AAAAAAAAGGAGAACTTACTCTTCTCAATGATTCAGTAATCTCTTTAGCGGCATCAAGGATATAGTCATCAGTCACTGGGAATCGTGTCTGATCAAATTCTGGTGGACTATCGCTGGCCGGAGAAAGTGCTAAAGCGTCGTAGTCTACCATGCTATTGTTAGTGATAAAAATTATATCTATCTATCTATCATTACGTATGCCACTGTAAACAATAAGCACTCTTTCATCATAGCTTCCTTCCCCTGAAAATGAATAAGTAGCTGTACAGTAAATTGAATAAAGTAATTTACCAAACTTGTCAATTCTGCCTGTCTGAACATCAATGCTGTCAATTTCTAAACAAACAAGAAAGTAAGTATTACATTAGATACAAAATCGATAAACACTTACCGACATTAAAGAAGGATGAGAATATAGACAGTTCTGTAAAAAGTTGAGTAATGCTACAATTGTATTCATGACAACAATTTACCTATTGCACCACCCCAAGAAGTAGGCTTCTGGATCCATTGAATATACTTTTCTAAAAGAGAAGAATTTTTAAAACGATTGCTTCATCAAAGAATATCATGCATGAGTAGCGGTTACCTCTTTCTTGACTAGAGTATTCATTATTTAATAATCAAATTCATATATTTGTGCATAGTAAACTTACCCCAACAGGACATCAGGATATGAGATAGGATCAGCTTTGATTCTTTCAACTATAACTAATTATCAGCAATTAGTATGCATCATCTCTTCTCTTTAAGGCATATCGATTAGTACCATGTCTTAATTCATTTGCTATGCTGGTGTCTCTGCTCAATACGTAGCCTAGAATAGTATATAAAAATGAATATAAGCAGCAGCCTCTTTTATTGTCACTGTACCAATGGATCTAAATAGACATGAATTATCATCCTCCATTGTCTATTTAAAGTAAGCTTTTTTGCTCTTGTTAGTGAGAAAATATTCATCTATTACCCTTAATGTCAAAAATCCATTAGGTGTCTGGACAACGCCTTCCTTGACAAGCTTGAGAGAAGACTCACTGCTTGTTGTTTCTACCTGTTGCACAGTACTTTCGGTTATCTTAACATTCAAGGTGTCACCATCCCTTAAACCACTACTCTGAATAACCAAGGTGTCATCCGTAATAGGCTTAGGTGGATATCCTCCAGAGACTGTGTAAATAAAGCAGAGTGTTCTTTAGCAAGATGCAATTATGCACGCGTGTGTAATCTCAATTTACTCTGAATGCCATAAGTAGAAGAGAGTTGTAAGGTCTGAAGGATTTGCTGCTTAAGTTCAGCTATAGTTTGTTCATTGGATACATTGTTAAGTGTAGCAATGCCATTAGCATGTCGTATTCGTAATCTCATAGTTTCAACCTGTTGTAACAACTCGTTTCATTTCTGTCTGATTTTCATTTCGATGACGGAAGCTGAAATTTAAAATACGCTCAGCTGCCAGCTTTTTTTCTTTTTTTCTTTTGAATTACTAACAAAAAACATGGAGAACATTGACAGTTTAATTCTCTCATTGACTAAAGAAGAAGAGGCGCTAAAAAGAGCAAATCAAGCTAATGCTTCTAACACGGCAAAGAAGCCAAAAAGGCAGTAAGCTTTGTAATTTCTTATCTTTTAATCAGTATTCTAATTCCCACCGTAGCACATCTGAAACTGACGAAGAAGCACCATATTCTGATGAAGAAGTAGGCATAGATGATGATGAAGATATGGAAGATATTGACGAGTATGGTCCTGATCTGTATAAAGATGAAGAAGATCGTAAAAGGTAGATATCGTCAACAATTTGCATATAGTTTTCTAATGTTCAAAAAGACTACAAGCACTTCCAGAAGTTGAGAGAGAACGTATTCTGGCTGAACGTTCAGAAGAAAGACAGAGAAACTTGGAAAGATTAGAAGTCAGAAAGTTACTTAAAGATGGACGAAGAGAGGATATTACTAGGCGTATGTATATGGTATCGTTATAAAACACACTTTGCTAAAACGTACATTATAGGTTCAGCAAGAGCTAAAGGCAGTAGTACGTCACAGGCACTTTCAGAGTTAGCAAGACGCAGAGAAGAGAAGAATAGAGTACGCAGTAAGCGTGGCCGTAATGAAGTATCTTCTACCTCAGACAGCAGAAAGAGACGAAAGCGATATGAAGACCAAAGCGACTATGAATATAGTGCAGATGAATCACCCGCATCAGAAGACGACGCAGAAGAAAAGGTAACTAACTTTGTGTGTATTCACTTGAATAAACCAACACAGCTTCTAGGCTAAAAAGAGAGTACCTCAGCTGGAAGAATTTCAATCTGCTTGCATATCAAGAAGCATGATTGAAAAGTGGTTATTTGCACCATTTTTTGAAAATTTAGTTCTTGGTATGATACCATTCAAAAGATGTATACTCTTTAGTAACCTCTTTCATGCTAGATGGCTTTGTTCGTATATACATTGGACAAGATCCACAAAAGAAAGTTCCTGTGTATAGACTTTGTCAAGTTATGGAGATTGTGCCATGGCATAAGATTTACACAATTGGTGAAAATACATCATGTAATCAAGCACTCAAGTTAAAGCATGGCAAAGCAGAAAAAATATTTACTATGGATATTATCTCAAATCAACCTATCACTCAGGTATTTATAACTGATGTAAAAAGAAAAAGAAAACATGTTTATAGTTTATCATTTATAGCACGAATACTCTCGCTTTATAGCCACATTAGAGCATGATAAAGTACGCGTTCCCTCTATGGATCACATCAAGCAAAAAGTAGAAGATATAAAAAATGCCAGAGAATATGTATTGAACGATAAAGAAGTAAATGAAATGATTGAAAGGAAACGAGCCGTGAAGGGTTCATCCATGAATGCTGTTATGGAAAAAGCACAACTTATGGCACGTCTTCAGCATGCGGAAAGCAATAATGATACTGAACAAGTAATGAAGCTGACAAAGGAACTAAAGGAGTTGGAAGAAAGAACCTTTAGTGCTGAAGCACAAAAACAAAGCGTGTGGGCTGATATCAATAGTAGAAATAGAGAAAAAGATAGAATAGAAGCACATCAAGCAGAATTACGCGAAAAGGAAGCTAGGCGAAAAGCATTATTAGAAAGTGTAATGGCCCAAAAAGCAGCAGCAGTTGCAGCAGCAGCAACAACAACAGCAACAGGAGTGTAAGTAAATCGCTATGATAGAATAAATGCATGTGACTCATTTTATAAATAGGGCAAGTGATTCATCAATTATGGTAAAGGATACAAGCAATAAGCCACTTGCAAAGATCGTGGCCTTAAGTCAAGGTACCTTTGATGTAGAAAAGTTGTCTGGTTATCAAACGCCCTATGTGAGGCTAGTTAATAAGGTTGCACAGGAAATTAAAATTGAACTTTTTGAGTAATTTGAAAAATAAACACTTCAAATTCAGACGACAGCTGAAAAAAACAATCAGTGTGTGGGGGCATTGCTGCAACATCCACTGAATCTTAGGACTTATCTATCAAATGCGCATCGTTTTATATTAACATGAATTCATATCTGATGTGTTTGATATAAACCATTATAATCTATATCTTACTGTAGCGCATACATTCTACTTTATATTGCATCTGAAAAGATGGACTTATGTTAATAACTATAGTAGCTACTAGTATAAAATTGATAAATAATCACATAGACAACATTAATCATGCTGACAATATTGATATTCCCTATAAAGCTCACGCGTCTTATTTTAATAATATTCATCTTTTCTTTTCAGCAAAGATTTTAAATTCTCAAGATGTCGACTTGTTAGCCTTATTTCAAATATAAAGCTGAATACAATACTTTCTCAATTATATTTATCGACCAAAAGAGGAGTATCTTTTTAACTCACACTACAAATTAGCCTCTGTATGTGATAAGGATATTTTGTCAGCCATTTGGAAATCAGATTTCTTAGGGTACACCATACTCTCGACTCTTCAAAATTTGAATAATAGATTATTACTTTCTTTGGTAATAGTATTTCTTATAGAAACCTTTATTCGAATATGCTCTTTAATATCGATACCTTTGCATACATATAAGCTAGAGTAATCGTTACCGAAAAATAGTACAAGCTTAATTTAGATAGTGGAAAGCAATTTTCTTAAGACACCACACTCACATATTCAAACTGACGTCTAAGGAATATTTACCAAATGTGGTAGTGGCGTCCCAGAGACTTCATGCAAATGTAAATCATAAGATTCGGTTTAAAGAATAAACACGTACTTATTTTAACCTATACTAATTATTTGGTCCTCATTTGGAGGAGCATTTTTATCTATCCTCTTTTTGGGGATTGACCGCAGTGATTCCAGTATTTTCTGTACTCTTTTTTCTGCATTTGTACTCTTCTTTTTCCTGCATTCTGAAATTAGTATTCTTATGGGACGCCACTACCAAATGTAGTAAATAGTTCTGAGACTCTTATGGACTACCGCTACCATATTTAGCAGGTCTTTCTTTGATTTTTATGGGACACCACTACCATATTTGGTAAGTATTCCTTAGACGTCAGTTTGAATATGTGAATGTGGTGTCTCTTAAGAAAACCGCTAGTTAAGTGCTGATTATTCTATTTTAATTCTGCCAACTTCATCCAACAGTAGGTCTGGAACCGAAACGTCGACGCAGAATTGAACATTTGATTGATTCTTGGAGATTGTGTAAATAGTAACTGTAATATTAGATCAAGGAATGCTCTATTTAGTATGATACTTTAACCAGCACTATCGTGCCACTTGTTTGGCTCTTTGCACTTGTAAATATTTTGTTCTATCCTGATTTGAAAAAAAAAATACTAACGTCATCATTATCTTATCCAATCAGAATTTCTAGGGTGATTTAAGTGAGTGCAGAATCTAGCCATCTGATTGAATATATTTTAATGTCAGCCCTATTTTGGTTTTCGCGTGTTGTGTGATTGTTCAACAGGAACAAAACTACTTCTCTTTTTTTTCTTTTCTCTTTCTTTACACTTCTTTTTCCTTATTCTCTTTTTATTTTGCTTCTTCAAAATCTCCAAAGTGCTCTATCTATATTTTATATTTTTCATTTAGTTTAATTCCACCTCGCAGTAAGTGTGATTTACAAATAATTTGAACAGTAACTAATGATTAAATTAGATGAGCGTTTATCAAGATTTCAAAATCTCTTCACACAATAGTGTCATAAAAGGTGCAAGCGCCAAGAACAGCAACGGCCATCCGTGGAGAGATTGGCAAGTGTCTCTGGTTGCTGTGGATAACGGTAAGGAAGTAAAGGGCAAGGCTTCTCTTATCCTGGATCACGTTGAGTATATCTTGCATCCAACGTTTGAAAACCCAAGAAGAGGTAAATTTCTTTTTATTATTTCAAATCAATCATACTTACTTCTTATTAGTTAAGACGAAGGAGCCCTATCTCTTGCAGGAGCAAGGATGGGGTGAATTTGACTTGCGTGCTTTATTACACTTTACCAACAACTTGGCCGCCCCTAAAATCATCGTATTTGATTTGAACTTTACTCAACCAAATTATTCTATTATTGAGAGAGTTGAATTCTCTAACGCCTCTCCTGAACTTGTTCAGCTGTTGTCTTTGAAGCCTGATTCTTTCCATGGTCTTCCTCCATCTTCTGCTGCTCCTCCTCCTTGGTCTGGTCATCGTCCTAGCGCTTCAGCCTCTTCTTCAAGACACGCGTCTTCTTCTGCTGCAAAGTCCTCTTCTGCTAACATTAGATCTGATTCACCTGGTAAGTCTTCAGCTTCATCCAGAGTCTCTAGTGAATCTCAAAGACGTTCCTCTTCTTCTAAATCTGCTCCTCTTCAAGACAAGAAGCCTTCTGACCAAAAGGTCCCTTCAAAGAGAATAACTTCTCCTTCCGAACTCCTTCGTTCTTCTTCTGGTTCTGGCAAGGTCAAAAAGAAGCAGTCTGCTCCGCGCTACAGCCCTATGGACAGTGTGAAGCACAAGCCTTCACGAGCTGATAGTCCTACAAGCATACCTAGTGACCTCACTCCAAGCAAGGCCACTAGTTCCTCCACTAAAAGCTCATCTCCTCTTAGGCCAGTCCCTGATGACATCATTCGCTCATCTTCTGGTTCTGGAAAAGCTAAAAGAAAACAGTCTTCCGTTCGCTATCCAACAACTGATCCCCTTAGACGAAAGACACATCGTCCTGATAGCCCTGGTACAGATTCTTATAATGATATCATTCCTCGCAAGCCTTCTGCTTCCCGCTCTGACTCCGCTTCTCGTAAGGCTTCCAGCTCTTATGATAATGTTTCTCGCAAGTCTTCTGCTTACTCTGATTCTACTCCCCACAAGCCATCTACTTCCCATTCTGACTCTGCTTCTCATAAGGCTTCCAATTCTTATGATACTGCTCCTCGCAAGTCCTCTTCTTCCTATTCTGATTCTGCTCCTCATAAAACTTCTAGCTCCTATGATACTGTTCCTCGCAAATCTTCTGCCCCTCACTCTGATTCGGCTCCTTCTAAAGCTTCCAGCTCCTCTGATGCTGCCTCTCGCAAGCCATCCGCTTCTGCTCATGATACCATTTCACGTACACCCTCTTCCAACCAAGATACCATTCGCCGCAAGCCATCTGCTTCCAATTCCAATACTGATACCACTTACCGCAAATCTTCTTCCTCTAATGACAATACTGCTTCTCCTGCTGACGTGACGCGTTCCTCGTCTACGTCAGATAAGGTTAAAAGGAAGCCATCCACTACAAGATATCCGAGCACAAACCCACTACAACGCAAGCCATCACGTCCTATTAACTCTGATTCATCATCTGATGAGCTTGGACACATCAAGAAATCTGCATCTTCATCCAAATCAAATCGTAACCCTAAAGCAAGTTCTTCTATATCCAAACCAAGCATGTCAACAAGCAAGGGACATAACGAGGCCACCCTTCCACTTAATGAAATACGCCAAGGCTCTTCAAGCTCGTCTTCTATAAAACATTCACGCTCCTCTGCAACTGATGACCAAAAGACCATGCCTGCTACCAATACATCACAGACCACTCTGGCAAATGAAGATATTAATGTTGAACGTATCATGGATTACTTCTATAGCCCTGAAAGCGTTGGAAACATCCATCTTGTTCACAATAATGAAGTTGATGAACTAACACGATCTGCCTGGGACATCCCAAACGTAAGCATATAACATTTTCTCTAATCTATTGGCTAATATGTCTTATTTAGATAATCATATCAAGACTTGCTTGTAGGTTGTCTTTACTGCAAGGTGAACATAGGAATCGAATGCAAGAAATCATCATAGCAAATGAAACAAACACTATGGAATTCACTGTGGAGAATGGTATATGTTTTATTAATGTTAATATCTAGTAACTAATCATGCTCTATTTAGGCGTTGTCAACTTCAACCTGTATTCATTCAGCTCGAAGCTCATCCAAGCACTTTGGGACTTTACAGAGGGTATATCTTATACTCATGAAGCAGAACGTAGGCAGCATAGATATGCTAGCTCTATTTCTAGCGCTTCTACAGGTAATGTTTGTCCCTCCACCTGCCATTAGTAGCGATCATTCACTGTAAAATAGATACCTCGGCACCTGAATTTCATCCTAGTAATTTTCATCTAAGCGACTTAGACTTAACAAGCGATGATGAAAATACTTAGGATGACATAACCAAAAGTGCTAGAGGTATCTATTCTTTATGTACTTAAATAAAATTTGTAAACTTCCAAAGAAACTAATATCCTTGCTATCTCTAAAGTGTTTTGTCCTTTACGTGTCTTTGAATAAAATGTCCTACACTAAAAACACTCCCCCTGCGTCATCCTCTATGACTAAATGCGCGGTGTGTTTTCTTAAAAATAATCTTTATGATGAGAAGATCAGCCACCCCTTGGTAGACGTCGTTGAATAGGAAATGACATACTACTTGATAAAGTACAACCGTTTTTATCATGTTGAAGAATAGATTAATAAATTTTTGTTCTTTTTTTTTTTGATTGGTTAAATACCCTCTTTCTGCTTAACAAACTTTATCAGTCAGCGTATTCTATTGTCATGTTGCCCTTATTATTCTGCTTATTCAACATAAACAATAAACCTTCAGACGCTTGGGTAATGATGAATATATATGTATTCATCAAATAGGTGCATGACCACCCCTTAAAACGTATACTAGTCAAAAGGAGGTTTCTCAATAGACATATGTATTTGATGATCCTTTCTGGTTTCTTTTGCTTCTTTATATTATACTCAAATGGATGTCCATATATTCAAGGTCTTTCTCTTTATGCTTTTGCTTCACTTTATTCAACCTGTAAGGCTCACAGGGATAGTTCAAAACGCATATATTATAGAGTTTGATCAAAATACGAACAACTCAATTCATCAATCCATCAATGACGAATTACGTTTTTACAAGAACCAATACGAAGTACGCCAAGTGTACAAGTCTTTCATATTTAAAGGAATGTCCATACAGATTAAATCTATTTCTCACGAAAAGCTGTCGTCATCAAGTGAAGGAGGAACTAGCCATCCTATCATACGCCACTTGAGCAAGCATCCTGCTGTTGTTAGTATAAGCTCAGTATCCAAGCTTGTACAACCTCAATGGTTCAATGGTTCACCGAATTACACATTCCCTTATTCGAACAGCGTCTCTCAGGCCTATGATGTGCATCGACAGTTAAAGATTACCGGAGAAGGTATTCTAGTCGGGATAATAGATTCAGGTTCGTTTAAGACAGGGTTTATCACTTTATTCTCTCTAAACGTTATATTCTTAAAGGTATCGATTACACTCACCTAGCACTAGGTGGTGGACTTGGCAAAGACTATAAAGTTAGGTATGGGCGCAACCTGGTCTCTGCAAAAAGAGATGAAAAATTGGGCATCAAGCCTCGCGGGGAATTTGATCCATATGATCCTTGTACAGGACGCAACACAGGTTTGAATTAGCTGTCAAATTATATGATATAAGTGTGATAATATCAATGATCTTTAGGCCACGGAACTCATATTGCTGGTATCATTGCTGGTTATGATATATCAAAGGTGCCCAATCCATTTAATATACGTTTGTGTGTGTATCTTAATACAAAAAGATAGAACTTTATAGGAATTGCTCCTAATGCAACACTAGCTGTCTGGAGAATTTTCGGTTGCGACCAGAGAGCACACGATGATACTGTGATTAAAGCACTCGAAATGGCTTATGAAGCTGGTAAATAACAAAACGTTGCATATTCTATTGTTTGTAACATTACCTTTATAGGATGTCAAGTAATTAACCTTAGCCTTGGCTCAGAGAATGGCTGGATAGAGAGCCCCTTGGCAGCTGCGGTAGAGCGAATATCCAAAGCAGGCATCATAGGTAATCAAAGGACGCTTTAATTATGAAATTACAATCAAGTGACATCCATTAGTTGCTAGTGTCGCAGGAAATCAAGGTATGGATGGCCCATTTTCTATAAGTTCTCCTGGAATAGCAGAAAGTGCTGTTTCTGTTGCTTCTATCAATAGCCCATACTACCCAGCCAAAGTATTTGAATTCAGCACGTTTCCTGGAGAATACTTTTGTAAGTTCATTAGCTTATTTACAATGTATGATTACACAGACAGTTTTATTAATATTATACAGCTTATCTGCCTTCAACCTCTACACAGTCATTTCCCAATGGCGAACTGGCATATGTTATAGTAAACGGTAGCTTTCCGTACGCTTGCAATAACGACATGCAATTCCTTACACAGTTTTCCACTGTTGGCAAAATACTACTTGTGAAGCGAGGCCACTGTAAATTTAACGAAAAATTGAAAAATGCAAAATTACTAGGTGTAAAAGGTGTTTTATTTTATGACCCTGATACATCATCTCACGATGTGGCTAGGGCAAAAACACATAATGGAATGCTTCCTTGTGCAGGGATTGAGTACGCAACAGGCAACAGATTAGTTACTTATATGATGCAACATAAAGATGTAATAATCAAGTTGAAAACTGCAGAGGAAGAGCATATCATCGATGGAGGTCCAGGTCTACGTATATCTGATTTTTCAAGCATTGGTCCATCTTATGAATTACATATGAAGCCCATAATTACAGCAATTGGAGGCAATGTCTATTCGACTGTACCTTATCGTGTAAACAATGGGTGGTCCGTAAAATCAGGTACGTCAATGGCCTCTCCGCAAGTAGCTGGTACACTAGCGCTGATGCTGGAATATTATCAAAAAACAAAAAGAAGTGTTACCGGTACCTTTCTTATTGAGCAACTTCAGAACCATGCAAGGATCTTGAAAAAGGAATCAGGAATACCTTACCATCCTTTAATACAAGGATCAGGGCTTATACAAGGTAAGATACCAAATGTGCTTACAAATAGACTAACTATATCTGTTATATACAAAGTTTTTGATGCAATAAGAGAAAAGGTGCATGTTTCTCCCGCACATATTAGTTTTAATGATACAGCATCTTTCTCAGTCTACAAGAAAATTACGCTTACTATAAGTAATGAGAATGGTTACCCATTACATGTTTTATTCGAGAATATTCAGTCAGGCTCAATTCAAATGCTTCCTGCTAATACCGCAGACTACCAGCTAAACAAGGCACAGATTGATGATGGGTACTTTCATGTTGATCTTCAATTTACACCTTCATCCACAGCAGTTATTCCTGCACTAGCTTCAGTTAAAATAGATGTAACAGTACTTATAAATAATCACATGATGGTATATTATCCCTTCCCAATGTATGGTGGATTTATCGTAGTTAAAGATGCCTTGTCAAAACGAGCACTATCAAGTGTTCCTTACTTTGGAGTCATTGGAAGCATGAAGGACGTACCCATTTTTGATAAAGGATATCCTTATATGGCATCCGAGAAAAATATAACAGAAAAAGCAAGCTTTCCTTATCTGTTCACATTAACAAGATCCAAGTCAAGGCCAACCATGGTCATTCGCACAATGACAGGAACAGCAAGGATAGAGATTAGACTGCTGGATAAATATGGGAATCCGATCGGCGTAATTCATAATGGTGTGCATACGTATAAAGCCAGAAATGGGCTCGCAAACAAACGATATACAAAGTACAAATGGACTGGGGATTATAAAGCAATATGCAACACTGGAAAATATGTGAGAAAATACAAGTGTGACGATACTCATGAGATCCGTGCTAAAGAGGGCTCATATTATTTACTTTTGCGCGCCCTTAAGCACTTTGGCGATCCTGATAACAAAGACGACTGGAAAGAATGGAAGTCAGGGGAAATTATAGTGCAAGTCGAATAAATTAGATTCATCACCTAGCCCTGTATAAAACTACTTGTGGGGTTTAACCTTCGTCATGAAAATAAAAAGAAGCACTAGTCGTTTTAATTCCAACGGACAATAATACTTTACTTTCATTTTTTTTATGCATATAATGCTCTCACTGACCTTCTTGGTTTAATATTTACCATCTTTCTTCTTTATACCTCATTTTTATATATATGAGATTGTCGCTTTTGATTAGCGTATGCTTGATAGCATTCGCTGTACCGTCCTCTGCAGTGCAGCAAGACAAGTATGTGTATAGAAACAGGCTACTGTCTATCATCGCAGACCCGAAATTTAAGCCCGGTGCTTTGGGAAACGCGATTCCAGGAAGATACATCATTGAATTTGAAGAAGACTATCATGGATCATCCATGGAATTCATCAGTAGAGTAGAAAACGACATTCTTTTGGCCGAGCCACACCTAGGGCCACATATAAAAATGAGTGTTGCTCATGATTACAGCACCTCCTCAGCCATTTTCCGAGGAGTCTCTATATGTCTTCAAGGCTATAGTCAATTGTTGCATAAAAGAGACAGCACCAATGAGACTATTGATGACGCTGAAAGAGCAGAGCATATCATTCTACGTAAAATATTACAGCAGCACCACGTTAAAAGTGTTTATCCTGTTACTGAAATACCTCGACCCTCTGTAAAAGTGCATCCATACGAAAGCGTGCTGAATGCAAATGAAGCTTCTCCAGCACCAAGAATAAAGATATCAGATCCCAATATACACTTGCCATTCACGCACGCAATGGCCCAAGTAGATGATCTCCGTCAAAATTCAAAAATTTTAGGGAAAGGAGTGATAGTAGGAATTATTGATTCAGGTAATACCAATATACGTTTTATATTCTAATTGCCAACGATATTGATGATCAACAGGAATTGATTACCGTCACCCCGCTCTTGGTGGGGGATTTGGGCCAGGCTATCTTGTACAATATGGCTATGATCTGGTTGGAGACAATTATGATTCAAGTGACCCATTTTCAAGAGTTCAAGGCGAGACTCCTTTAGATACGTGCACAAGTGGCAGTGGTACGTGACTTTGGTAGAATGTATTTAGAGCTTATATATATTGATTTCACTAGGCCATGGAACGCATGTTGCAGGCATTATTGCAGCTCAGGACAGCGTATTTGTGAGTATAGATACAACTGGCTAAATACACACCTGCTTATACTGGATAGAATTTCACAGGTATAGCTCCAGAGGTGACTTTAGGCGCTTGGAGAATTTTTGGTTGTACTGGCTCCACATCAAACGATATGGTTATCAAGGCACTTATTGATGCATACGAAGCAGGCATGTTGTGTTATTGTGCACTAACTAGGTTATTAACCATTATCCTTATTAGGCTGTGATGTCATTAATCTCAGCTTAGGGTCACCTAGTAACTGGGGCGACGATCCTACATCCATCGTTGCGAACAGAGTATCCGAAAGTGGATCTTTAGGTACATTAATTTACAGAATTTTAAGGTAATTTTCTTATTAATTGATTCTGTGATCAGTCATTGCTGCAGGAGGAAATGAGGGATCAGAAGGTGCATTTTATATGTCAGCCCCAGGAACAGGTGGTAGCACTGTATCAGTTGCTTCTATAGATAATACTTATGGCCTTGCACCTGCATTTGAAATAGTGAATGGAGAGAGTTATGGTAACTAGAACGAAAGAAAAAGATGCGTTTTTACTGTCAGTATTTTCACACTGTTTCAATTAGCCTATAATTTAGCTACGAATACAAATGAATTTATAGATGGAACACTGGTTGCATATAGTTCAAACAACACCTTGAACGATGCTTGTCAAGGCACCGTTCCTGATCAAAATATCAAGGACCAAATTACTCTAATTCAAAGAGGAAATTGCTCATTTAATGAAAAAGTTATAACAGCCCAGGAATTAGGAGCAGCTGGTGTCGTTATTTACAATAACGAGCCAGGAGCAGTATTACGACCACAAACAGATCAAGCGAAAATTCCAGTCATATCTATTTCGCTTGAAGATGGAGAGACGATTAAGAAAAAGTTATATGAAAGTGGAAACATCGGTTTAACATCCAAAGGCATAATGATGGCCAAAAAGATTTCCACTGGTAATCAGCTTTCTACATTCTCAAGTATTGGTCCATTGTACGATGTCAGTCTTAAGCCCGATATCGCGGCACCAGGCGCTTATGTATTCTCTACTTTGCCGTTAGCGAATGGTGGTTACGGTGTGTTATCAGGCACTTCCATGGCATCCCCTTTTGCTGCTGGCGCTTTTGCATTATACATTCAAGCCCATGGAAGAAATCAATCTCATGCTTATATAAAGGAGCATTTTCAAAATTACGCAAAGCCAGCTACACAAGATTCTATATATGTTAATCCAGTGCGTCAAGGCGCGGGTTTGGTACAAGGTAAACTCTTTATAAAGAAAAAAAAAGCAAATGACTTACATAAGCATACCGGTACTTGTAGTTGTTGATGCCATTAATCAACCTGTTCATGTATCTCCTGGTCATTTAAGTTTTAATGATACCACCAATATCAAGCCTCAGGTTCTCACTATATCCAACCCTAGTGACAAGACAGTCATTTTCGATATTGCTCAAAACGGCACTTCAAGTCTAGCTCCCTTTCTTACATGGAATCAACTTTATTACCCAGTTTCTCCTACAAAAGTTGCCCTTGAGCCTGTTACAGCTAATTTAAATTTCACAAGAAAGAGTATAGAACTTGGACCAGGACAATCGGCGGATATCACAGTCCAGGTGTCTGAAATTTTAGGAGAGATTCCGGATGAACCATTTCCTATTTATGGAGGCTATATACAGTTTATCCCAAGAAATGACGATACGCGGAAACCAATACATATCCCGTATATAGGTATTCAAGGTGCCTTGAATCAGATTCCAATTTTTGCTAGAGACTTCCCTCAGATCCTCGCCAGAAACAATGCAAAACTTTCTCAGAAGATGGGTGATGAAAACATAACGGATTCGCTTGTTATCGATAGAAACAACACACAGTTCTCGAGTGTTACAGTGTTATACCGCTTACTTACCGGCACAGCACGCCTTGTAACTGAAGTTTTGGATAAAGATTTACAACTTGTAGGAACAGCAGCTGATGACGAGTTTATACCACGAAACACTTTGAACAACTTTATTTATGCTGGCAGTTGGAACGCTACTATTATTCCTTTAGGAAGTAGCAGTATTGATAGTCTACAGCCTGTTGAGAATGGAACGTATTATCTACGATGGAAAGCCCTCAAATTACTTTCTGATCCTAATGATGAAAACAGTTGGGAAACCCGCTTGTCGTCTCCTATCATAGTACAATAAAAAACGCAGTCAGAGATATATTCTTTTTCAGTATCAAAGTTGTGTTTACCCAGAAAATCAACTTGAGATTGTGCCTTTCTTTTTTTCATATAAATATGAGCAGACATTTTTTAAAGACGAACAGACGCGTACCTTTATCGAACATACTTGCCTTGAGTCTTTGGACTATACAAGTGATAAGGAACAGTTAAGTGCACACACTGATGGCTTGTGTGCATTTATAGTATGAGCAACTGTGTGTGTCGTATTTACCTTGTAAATGCTTAGTTATATGAACAATACGAAGAAACTGGCTACAAAATATGTAGTTATCATAGTGAATCTTTCTGAATTATCATTATTCGTGATTAATGCACGTATTAGTCCTGTTATCAGATAAATTGACACTGTTTGTAACAGTAGTCTCCCTCTTTCTTTCGTATTAAATCATAGAGACTCATTATCATGCATCTGTATTCCTTCTTTATTAATATCACGACTATATCGCACGTCAGCTTCTTGTTACGAGCCTTTCTCTCTTTTTATACAGCAACCCTAAAGTTGATGACTTTGCCAACAGATCAGCTATCAGTTACCAAAGTGACTGTCCAACGAAAATCTCAACATGGTAAAGATTACTTTTGGGAGTTAACTCACCTCTATTCAGTAGTATATCGGATATGTTTAGAGAGAGAGAGAGGAGAAAGTAAAAAAACGAAAAAGAGCTTGATATTTACGATATAGCTTCATAAAATCATGTTGTAAATGAAGCCAACGCTAATAAGAAATGATGTACTTTATGAATAGAAACAAGCTTTTAATGATAATGGGAAATGCGATATACATAATTAGTGTAGACTTCATCATTGAACATCATTTATGCAATATTGGAGCTAGTGCTGTTAGAATAGAGTGTTATTTTCCTATTAAAGCGAAAGACCTCTTGGATATCATAGCAATAGATATGGTAACGTTCATGAAATTGCGTTTGTCTTTCTTCTTCCATAGCTTCTTCATAAGTGAGCACATTATATCTCCTATTTTTGTGTATTTTGATGTATACATATTCTTTATGAGTCTTTACGACTACCAACCATGGATTTCCTGAGAAATCCCAAGGTAGTATGGCCAAGTTGAGTCTTTGCAACCTCAGGTCTTGCATGTCGATAACCCCCTCATTACCATAGACTATAATAGGACCCATGCCTAACTCGAGTACTTTTAGTTTAGGGCAAATACGTCTCAATGTTGGAAAAAAGCTGGCATCAACGAAAACACTAGAAAGTGACAATGTTTGCAGCGAATTGTAGTAGTAGTTTTGAAAAGATCGTAACTTGTAAAAAAAATTTAGCTCCTGAATCTGGGTGGGTGAACCATCATTCCTGAACGGAGTTAGGGTAGCTCGACGGCGTTGGAACGTCAGTTTATGGAGATAACGAGGGATGGCTCCTCCAGACAGAGCATCTTGATCGATCAAATAAGAAAATGGCGCCCAAGTGAAAAGCATACAGTATAACTTTTTGTCCACATAGATATGTATACCTGGTTCATAATCTACTTTAGTGACTTCCATTGAGTTAAATGTTCTTGGCTGTAGCTTAAATGCTTCAATTGTACATTTGGCAAGCATGCGAGTGAACTCCATTTGAGTGTTACCATCGAATGGTCTACGACAGTCCTTTAGAGTCATTTTAAAAGAAAAACGGCGCTTATATGGCGTCATAAGAGTATTCACCAGACGAGTATAGTTTTCTTCAAACGATGAAGAATTCGTTTGATGAATATTAAGAATCACCGTTGAAAGATTTATAAATCGAGTTGAAATATAGTCGACCATCGGCCTGGTCATACTGGAGAACGTGATCTTCATTTCTAAGTTGGTTAAGGAAGGATATATATTTTGATTTGTTATCAGACAGGAAGCGTCTTCTATAGTAGTTTGTATACACAAATGAGTCAATTTGGGACATGCGTCAAATATAAACATGAATTCCCGCAGAGATTGGATGACGCTACTTTGATGTATAAAGGTTTGAAGTGATGGAAACGATGCCAAGAATTGCAAGTCTTTTACGTCTGATGGAGCGTGTATGGAGACTATAGAATCTTTATACTTCAAGTATACGTCAATAGAGGGATTATTGGAATCATTAGCAACGATGTGACGGAGACTCCATTTGATATCATCATCAATATCAAGTAAGTGCTTTGATATACATATTAGATATAGCCAAGAACTAACATTGATCGATTCAACATTAGGACAATAAGTGACTAGTTGTTTAAATTCTTCAAGCGACATACTCCGTTCCATTCTAACATACATTTCCTTGACGCATTCTCCAAGTGATATTAATCTAGTAGACTTATTCATCGCTCTAAGCTTTAAGAACTTTGTTAGATTGCGTGAAATAACCACCCTTTTGAACAAGCGTCTTGTGGCTACAGAATGCCATTTTGAACAAGCACGTCGACATCTATGTAAATCTTCTTGGCTCGTGAGATATAGAAAGATGATTTCCAGAATGTGATGAGGAAAATGCTGAATGTCGACCATTTCTAAAACGTAGTAAAAAAAGTACACCTTTTTAAATTGTTTTATTAACTGCGCTGTATATAGTTGAAAGATGTGCAAAAACGAAGTTACACAAACTTCCTTTTCTTTTTAATGGTGAGAACAAATTCATATTGCACGAAAAATAATTCGTCCTGGTGGAAAAATCAATTCACCTGATGGCAAGAACCTTTGGATATATAAAAAGAGCCATTAAACGGCATCTCCTGAACACATTTATGGCAAGCGTCGCCCCGATCTTCAGTAAAAATCAAAAGCTCATTTTGACAGTGAATTTTCAGGATCTATTGCTTTTTACCAGAGATCGGGGCGACACATGCCATAAATGGAAATGAGGAGGACTCTTTTTTTACTTCTATATGATGCAATGAAAGAAATTAGCATCTGATTATCTAGACTACACGTTGATGTGTTTGATGAGATAACCATTATAATAACTCGAGTATAATCTTACAGTAGAGCATACATTCTACTTTACATTTCCCTATCGCATCTGATAAGAATAACTTATAACAACTGTAGTAGCTACTAGTATAACAGTAATAATATAAATAGCAGTCATAGATTCTCTATCCAAGTAAACTCTCACTCAAACTTGATCTAATATTATTCAGCTCTTCTTAATAAAGAATCTAATTCGCAAGTCATCGACTTAACTGCCTTTTTACAATAACACTAAAGCTGAATACAACAGAATCAATTGACATAACATCAGAATTGTGCTCAGGCTCATTAGATTCTGATTAATCATCGGAAGGAACGTAATCTGGGCCGCCGGAATTGTTATCCTCCTCAGGGATAACTGCAGTAATGATAGTGGTAGATGCCTTTGATCTAGTTCGTATAATATTTTTCCGGATGTTGGCTGTCATCTTAGAAGATTTAATGTCAGAGTGGTGCACAGACTTAGATACAGCAGATACAATGAGAGTTGGTGATGAGAGGCTCTGAGCGGGTGAAGAGCCTAAATTCAATGATGAAGACGACGTGGGTACGGTAGGCAAAAGATCGTCGTAGCGGGCGCGTTTCTCGCCCACAGTGGCCGTGTTACGTTTGGGACACTCCTTAATCAAATAGTCTGGATCCCCACAGCTATAACAAGTCTTAATACGCTGCTGAGAGAGGCGAGGACAGTTGCCTTTCGTGTGGCCAAGCTTATGGCAGTAAAAACAATGAGGTGCCATATCTCTCCATGAAGCGCAAATAAGTCATTGGTTCGTTAAATCAATATCATAACTGAGAGGGAGGACAGTGCGATCCTCAGGTGCGGTATCGATAAGGGCATACCCTTTACGACTAACCGGATCGCGATATAAACCAACATGGAGAACTATGCCGTAGTTATTTCTTTTATGTCTCATTCTTTTGCTTCTTGTGGGCTCTCTTTTATCATTATTTGTTGCCTGAAATTATCATTTTTTTATCAGTGGATAAAGTGCAAATTCTAACATGTAATAAAGCTTCACATTTAACCTACAGATTTCACCGTAGTGGCCTACACTTTATTCAGAGGCGCTTGCAAATTTATTCTGGTTTTTGGCCCCTTCTTTCACCTTTAATCTCAGAGGTGTGTGTCCAATTAAATCCCTTGCTTAGAAAAGAGAGGGAAAGCAAAAAGGAGGTTTCTTCTTTTTCAACATTTTGCATGCCACATTTTCTGTTTGCCTTTTGCTTGTCAACATTACTTGTAGTATATACCCAAAAGAAAAAGTCACTCTCTAAGGATGGTGCAGTCGGCGCATTCATTTTGGGAATGGCAACCTTTTCTTCATCTTTTAATGTCTTTACTGTCGTATTGCTTGCTTTCTTTCTGTCAAGCTCAAAGTTGACAAAATTCAAAGCAGAACGAAAACGCGCACTAGAAGCTGACTACGAAGCAGCTAGTGAACGTAATTTGATACAGGTTATCTGTAACGGCCTCTTGGGAGGAATAGCAGTCAGCTTATTTCAAGTCTTGGTGGAACAACACAATGGATTAGCTTGTTACGATCAGGCACCATGGAGTACGATTCTGCTGTGGGCATATATAGGGTAATAAATCCATCAGGTTCTTAGACACACTTTATTCACTCTATTAGAAAAGACACTATGGTTGTTGTGCAGGTGATACGGTAAAGTGAGACTATGCGTAAAAACGAGACATTGAACTAAGTTTTTGCAAGTGGGCAAGTGAGCTTGGTATTCTGAATAAAGAGTGGCCTATACTGATCACAAGACTCAAAAAAGTGCCTCCAGGAACAAATGGTGGAGTGTCGGGACTAGGTTTGGCAGCATCGCTTGCTGGTGGAGGATTTATTGGCTTAATGGCCGCCTTGACTTTATGGTTTGATCAGCCCTGTCATGGTTTTGCTTGGGAGATTGTACTCGTAGGGTTATTGTCGGGTATTGGAGGATCCTTGGTAAGGCAAGCCTTTCTTTAAAAGTGATTATTCACTCACTCCATCTTTATAAATAATGATTAGATTGACTCCATTTTGGGAGCAACAGTACAACAAAGCTTATACTCAGAGGATAAAAAGATGATTGTGCCCGAGAAGCGTTCAAAAGATGAGAAAGTAAAAGTAATTAGCGGCGTTCCTTTGCTTGATAATCATCAAGTCAACTTTGCATCATCGCTTCTCACGACATCCCTGTGTGTAGTGGCAGCTTGGTACCTTTATTGACCAGCTTAATACAATAAACCCTTGTTTTTTCTCTCTCAGTATTCAGTTTTTTCTCCTTTATTCATTTGATTCGGTATTGCCACCAACATTTTGCTCTTTTAACAAGCTATTGATTTGATCAGGTTTATAAAGTTCATAATGAACCTTGTCATTTTTAAGTTGAATCGTAGCAAATTCCACTATAATAGACATTAGCTATTATCCCTTTTCTTTTATCTTTTCACTTACGCTTTTCACTTGTTAATGTAGTACTATCCATTGTTTTGCTCAAGACCTTGATAGCTAGTGCCTTTGCTTCTTCTAATGTCATATCATCCTTGTGATCCTGCTTTAAGATACTTTGTGCTGTAGCATTGTTCGCACCGATACAAGTTGCTTTCCAGCCACCATAGTTACCAGAAGGGTCAGAATGATAAAGCTGGAAGCCATGATGTTCATCATAACCAGCAAAGATAAATGAAACACCAAATGGACGCAGACCACCATATTGGGTATAACCTTGCTTTAGATCACATACATTTTGAACTAATTGTTCAACTGGGATTTCTTCGTTATAAGCAAACAAATAGCGTTGTGCACTAGCTCTTGTCCAGTTGATCAAAATGTTGGCATCAGCTGTAATACCTGCAACACCACAAATGATGTTGCTATAAAAATAAAATTAGCAAAACACTTTACATCAAGAAAGTATTGACAGCCCTTACTCGTTTAATTTATAGATTTTCTCTGAAGATATGTCATTTTCCAAGAGTTTAGAAGTAACTTTTTTTTCAGCTGCAATAACAATACCGTCCTTGGCGAGAATACCAAGTGCGATACCGGCTTGAGAAATAGCCTCCATGGCATATTCAACCTGATATAAACGACCTATAATAATCATGGTTGATGAACATCATTGGGACATTGCTTTTTCCCTCTTTATTTACCTTCAGGCGAAAAGATGGTAGTTCTTGAATCGTATCTTCTAGCCATTACTGATTAATTTGTATGAAAAAGAAAAGAAATTATGCCGAGAAACAAGGTGTGTATGCCCGCGTTGCGCGTTCAAGAGTCAACGTACGTAAGCTGTGACGCGGCTCTTGGATTTTATCCCAGATGAGTGGCCTGAAATTTCCTTTTTTAGACAGTGCTTTCGAATGACAGAAGTACACAATAAAAGATTCAATTACGAGAATAAAGCTCATGTTCTCTTATACAAATAGCTTGTTTTCAAAAAGTCAATTTGAAAAAAAGATAAATTATTAACCCTTTCCGTTCTGATAGAGCATTAAGAGATAGAGAGAGTGAGACAGAGAAAGTCTCTATATCTCAGTACAACCCTGTATTTTTTTTCTTTCCTTTCCTAGTTAAAAAGTCATCCTGAGAAATCAGTGATGTCAATCTCTTTCTTTCTACTACTTTTATGCTTCATCACAGTATCTTTCACATTACCCATTACACCAGTAATCATAGAAGATACTCAATATAGATTGCCAGCACTTATAAATCAACCAGGTGTGAAACTTCTAGGAGAAGCCTGCTATGAGAGTTTATTAGAACGATTTGAAATTACAAATATCAGCTGCTTAAAATTAGCAATCTCAAAAGCATTAGGGCTTGGTATTGTCGTAGGAGGTGCTATTGTAAAAATTCCCCAAATCATTACCATCCTAAGAGGTCGTTCAGCACAGGGTTTATCACTTGCTTCTTTTGTAATGGAGACCAGTGCTTATGAAATTGTTTTAATCTACAACACACGACTGCATAATCCATTCAGCACCTATGGAGAAGTACTGTTTATGACAGCTCAAAATATTTTGATATCTTTACTTATTCCATATTATCAATCCCGCAATTATACCTATATGACGGGTCTATTATGCTATTTCCTAGCTGGATTTGCTTTTCTTGAAGTGATACCTGCTTGGTTAATGTCTTTGTTATATGCTTTACAGATACCCATTGGTTTAGCGAGCAAGATACCACAAATAAGAGCAAACTATTTAAATCAATCGACTGGTCAGCTCTCTGTTTTTGCTGTACTCAATTATTTTGCGGGTACGACTGCTAGAGCCTTTACAACTTGGACAGAACTTGATGATCCCATTATGCTTGGAGGCAATTTATTGGCAAGCGTACTTAATGGAGTATTGGTAATTCAATTAATCATGTATTGGAAGAAGCCACCGGTGCCAAAGGTTGACTGAGAAGGGGGAAAAAGAGAGAAAGAGAAACCAAATTAAGTCGTACATCCTTTACGTGCATGCTCTTTAAAAATGGGCTATCCTTGCCGTTGACGTATAATCATTTCAAAATGATATCACTGGATCCAAAAAATGAAGCTTTTGCGCTCACTTGGATCATGTAAATAAAGAGTATGTTTATAAAAACACAATGTATCAGAATTTTTTTTCGATGTACAAAAAGTTTGTGAAAAAGGTGTAAGCATCATCAAATGGGTACGTATCTGTGGCAAACTTTTACTCGGAATTTTCTTTTCTTCTTGCTGAGGCCTAAAAATCCCATACATAACCTAATGTATACTACAGGCCAGGCTAGGGTATACAGATAGGTGATACTGCAAAGTGGGTCTGATTAACTTTGTTGTATTGTGTGCTTGGACTGCTTTTGGTCACATGTAAATCAAAAGGTGACAGTATATTATTTTGCAAAAAGAAAAGACGAGATGTTTTTCTCGAAGCAGTTACAATCTCTCTTGTTTGGTATTCTTTATCAAGTCTATGAAACAAACTTAATTCCTTCGATAGTGGTGTGTGGGAATGGAATCTTTATCTTTTGAGGACTTGAGAAAAACTAGTCAATAGATAATTTTAAACATAATGAAATATTCATTTAAAAATGAATGGCTACTTTGAAGGCGAGAAAAGATATTCGTTCCATTTCCCATTATATTTGATATTTTTTTAAGGAGGAGGGGAGAATCAAGCGCCACAAACCCACGACGTATATCTCATTGTGGAGGAAGAAGACTCCGACGAGGGTGTTGTCTGTGATGAGGCGAGAGATGAAGGGCTATACACTCTTTCCGGAAAGTAAATTAGCTTGTGATCGAATATAAATGCACCTAATGGTGAGAACAAAATTCATGTTGTATAAAATGTAAATTCGTCGTCGCCAAGAATATTTTCGTAGTACCAGCCTTGACACCCATAGATATACTGTATTTCCAAATTTAGATGTCGTATTGAAACCGTTGCAATGTTATCTAAATAATAACAAATACAAAAAGAATATGGCTCGCTATCCCATTTGACAGTATTATTAATAGGTGGGATACCTTGGAGTTGAAATTAATTTAATATTAGAAATAGCCTTCATTAGTCTCCTTGTAAAAGTTTAAATTCTTTATTCGTTTTTCCATGAAATCAAAACATGTAGTCATACTTGGCAATGCATATCCTTGAATGGTCGCGAAGCAGATTGCTTCTATTTGGCATGATTTCTTTGCCCTAGGTACTCGAATCCTGAAACCTGCTTGAAAGAAAAACATATAAAAACCCATTTTAATTGAGTCCTTTTTTTGCTTCTTTACAGCAGTTATCAAATGTCCCTCTGAGTGTTCAAAGATTTACCAATCAAAGCTACTACAAATGCATCTTTCAAATCTATTTTGCGCATGTAATCGTTCTTGTCTAACAACTCCCGTAAGGCTGATACACCTTCCATTTTGAAGTGATTGCATTAAATGCGCTGGTTCAAGCTCGTGCAATCCAATATCGGCCTGCGTTTGTTTGGTTCTTTCACTGTAAAGAATTCCGACAGGTAGCTCTTGCACTGAGACGGAGAGCGCTCGATTATGCCGGAATTCAGAAATTTCTTCACTGCTTCGTCCACTGCTACTTGCTCCTCTTCCGTGAACTTCCTCGAAATATATTTCCATGGTCGAGGTTTGTGGTTCCACTGTAGTTGATATCCTTGTGTTACTACCGACACAGGCTCTGAATGAAATATTGTCCGTTTCCATTACTCTAAGAAACATTGGATACGACCCCCTGGTAAGATGCCACCGCTTGGTATGGTGTAATGCGCCGTTGTCGAGGGGAAAGACGTCGGCGTTGATGGCGGCCTTATTGGGATTGACTGGAGCTTTGGGCCTCTGTGTGTAGCTGGCCCTTGCTGCGTCCAAAAAAAGACTTGTGGTAGGTTCCACGACCCCTGGTGTATCTCTGTTGACGTCCAAATCCTCTGTTACTGTGATTGAATGATTGCTGTTATCATCCCACTGCATTTCTAAGGATGGACTGTTCGTATCTTGCTTGAAAGATTCTTTCAATTTCTTCCTTGCCCACAGCCAAGGCCTTGTCCTTAGGTCCTTCTTTCAAGTGTTTGACGCTGTCGGGGAGCCTGAGCGCCTTGATCGCCATTGTCCTAACTTCATTTTTGGTGGCCTTACTCGTGGCGTATGGGTAAACCGCGAGCTGTCGGATGCCTTCCATGATGTGAAAGAATTGTTCTTCATTTTCTCCTGATCCAGGAATTGTTGTCATTCTTCGTAAAGGCTTGTTGCTGCCCTTCCCGCGATGATGAGTCGACCAGCTCCCTTGTATACTGCGTTTGTGCTTTGGAGGGCATCCACAGTTTTCCTTTTAAGTTCTCTGTGGAACTCTTTGTTGAAGATCTCACTGTTGGTCCATTCACTACCTCCGTACTTTGAAAAGTTCTTAACAAATTATTTGATGTTATTCTGTAAATTGATGGACGAGCTGTTTTCCAGTTCTTTCAAGATTTCATTTGGAAGGTTTGTGGAGCCTTCACTTGATCTGTCAAGGTTGAGTTTTCTTGACATTTCCCCAATGATTTGTTCGACTTGTTCTCTTGTAAACAATTGTTCAGATTGATCATTGGACATATTATTACCAAGGTGCGCGGCGCGAAAAAGATCTAAAGAAATAGGAACCGAAAGAATTTTTTTTTATTATATATTATCTGAAAATAAAGCGTGGCACGAAAGAGCCTTTACCACCTCATCGGAACCTGGAACGAAGACAACAATGATTGGGATAAGTATGACTTCCAATCGACACTGGTTAAATGCTCTCACACAAGATAAAAATAAAGAGCACATTTCTTTAGCCTAGTTTATTCTTGGTTTATAACATTAGCAAGGAACATATTTGACGCGTGGATACATTATTCCCGCATTTAAATACCTCAGTACCTCAACGAATATGGCAGTTTGTAAGCAGTGTTTTGTAGAGGTGCGCTCTGCAGTTGCATCGAGAGAATGGCAAGGCTGCGTTTGCTAGTTTCGTGTGATGGGATATTGAAGAAATTAAAGGCAAATATAGGTTAAATAAAGTCTTTTCAGAAAATAAAGTCGCATTTTTGCAATTTATATAATACAATTTATACGAAATAGCGACAAGTCAGCGCGACATCTCTTTCTGGAAATAGTGCACAATGAAACCAAATAGGAAATATTGAAAATCACATCTTTAGGAAATGCTTCCAGAACAAGAGGAAGTAGCTTAGTTGTTGAAACTGGCTACTGTGGCTACCAAGAGGCCATTGATGTATTTGTTGTCACTGGTATGTCAGGCACGCGGTTCCTTTTCTATAACGCCGCCAGCTCATGCTTGCTCAATCTGCTATGTTGCCGCCTTGGCTTATTGCTTTACATTGTTGTATTGTCGTGTGTCTCGTAAATATAATAAAAATAGCCATGTGTCATCTATTAAATAGATGTGATGGGCAATATATAAATGCACAATCAAGATATGACCATATTTGATTAAAAATAATATACGCCATCAAAGAGGACATGATGAATTCAAATACATACAATTAACTAATACTCTGAGATTGAACTTAGACCTACAGCTCATTTCTTCTAGGAAGATATAATATATATCGTCTCTTTGATAATACAACCACAACGGCGGAAGAAAAGTTCGATTCAATTTCTCCCATGAATAAGCATCTATAAAATAAGCCTTGAGGGTCTCTCCATCTATTCACAAAAATGGATATATGTCTAATATTTAATCCCAGATCCGCTCGTCTCATTAGATGAACCCATAAAGACATAATAACCCAATTTCCTTTTTTGTACAAAATACGCACAGTAATCGCAATGTCTTATCCATTTCAACGAATCTCACCCAAAAGAGCATTCCATTTCTCACAAATATGCTGTTTATTGATCATTCTATAAGTGTCTACTACAACGAATAAATTGTCTGCCCGAAAACGTCAAACTACATACATATATAATGTTGAATGTTAATAGAATCGAGGGGTTTATATCTGCGTTTAAATTGCTTTCCAGATTACTTAAGAAAAAAAAAAGTTTTATATTAAAATAGAATGACAGAAGGTCTTACTTTAAGGGTTTCTTTTCCTCAGTAATGGTCCTTGTTGATACTGAAACAATTGCAGCAGACGAAAGAATTCAATTGGCTACCAATGCCAGAGAGAACTTGGATATCGTTAAAGAATGTCGCTCAAACCCTGAATTGATTTTGCATGAAGCTTATAGTCATTTTACAGAAAGCCAAAAGGAGCATTCATTAACATGTAGTGTAAGGATAAATAAAAAAAAGGCTTGAATTTGCTTAATTAACCATATGAAAATAGACATTGAGAGGACCTGATATGATCATTTTGCCCCCCCTCATGTTTTACAACAAAACTTATACAGAGATGGTTAGTATTATCCATTTTGGTAAGAACCTGTGTGGACATGATGGCATCATTCATGGTGGATTGGCTGCTACTATTCTCGATGAAGCATTGGCTGCTGTGGTAAGATCAACTTTGCATAATCAAATAAAAACATAAAGACTTATGCATCTGTACACATTTTAGGCACTTCCCTCATTACCCAAGCGATTTGGTTTCACAGCAAATCTAAATGTCAACTACAGAAAACCCATCTTGTCTGATCAATGGGTGGTCGTGCGAGCCAAATTGGACAAATTAGAAGAACGCAAAGCCTTTGTGTCTGCGCATATTGAAAGTGCAGAAGACAAAGCCATATTGACAGAAGCTACTTCATTGTACATTTCCCCTAAATCCATTCCCAAGAACTAATTAGTTACCATGAAACATTACTATGACTACCATTACTATTGCTATTAATAGATTAAAATGCTTGGCAAACTTTTTGATAATTCAAATCTGATCCAACTCTATTTCACATTGACAATCTAGCTTAAAAAGGAAATCATTGGAGTCCTGTGATGCACAATTTAATCGCCAAAAAATACGCATGGAACTCCAACAAAAACAATTACTCATTGAGCTTTCTTTCATTCTTTCCTTCCTTCCTTGCCATATACATGTCTCGTCTTTATTCGCCCTCAGAGTGGGTTGCTCCCTTTGTTTCAATAGCTTCACTAGCTCTACTTCCACTTGGCCCCATATTCTTTCCAAGACTTTATCTTTTATGCCTATGCGTCTATTTTTCCGTCTTTCTATTCACTCAATACAACCACGTCTGTAAATTCTGGCTGACTTCACGCAAAATTAAACGAACAATTCGTAAATGGAACAAAAAGTTGCATGACTCGATTGAAACATTGGATGGCATTGACGAACAACTGCAATACTATAGTGACACTTTTTATTTTCATGCATTCATCATACCCAATTACTGCGAACCTGAAGACTTACTCAAGGATACCATTGAACGTATTGCCATGCATAGGTAAAAAAAAATAACTATTTTCTTTGCGCCACTAAATTTGTCCGTGGCTGATATCGCTTATTAGCCGAGCACATACACATTATGCGCTCATTTTAGCAATGGAACAATCTGAGCCTGGTTGGGAAGCCAAGGCAAGTCGACTTGAAGCCCACTTTTCAAATATATTTGCCCAAGTCATCATCACAGGTCATCCTACCAATATTCCTGGAGAATCTCGCGGCAAAGGATCGAATGTGGCTTATGCAGCTCGTCATGGATGCTTAGAATTGGTCAATAAGGGCATCGATCGAAAGCGAGTGATCATTACTGTCACTGATTCTGACGCGGCAATACCTGAATTATATATCCGTGAAGTGGAGGATGCGTTGAACAAGACCGACGACCCTTATCATCTACTCTGCGCACCGCCCATTTTCTTTTCTCGCAATTGCTTTGATGTACCTGCGTCTGTTCGAGTGACAGATATTACCTGGTCTGCAATGGTCATGTCAAATTTAAGCAATAGCTGTGGCATGTGTATTCCATGTTCCAATTACTCTCTTTCTCTTGTATTGGCTGATACAGTGGGTTATTGGGATACGGATGCAGATGCAGTAGGTGAGGATATGCACATGTGGCTCAAATGCTTTTGGAAGACAAAAGGATTGGTCAGAACAGCTCCCATTTATGTACCTATCAACTTGACCAACGTTCAAACAGAAAGTTATCTCTCTAACGTACGTGCTCGTTATGTCCAGGCTAAACGGCATTACAATGGCGTGGCTGACGTGGCCTATACACTGAAGAATGCATTTCAAGCATCAAGTATCAGCCTTCTAGATAGATTGAGAGTTTGCTTTATTATTCTCGAAGCTCACATGGTGCCGGCTACCTCCGGTTGGCTTATGTTTATGGCAGTGCCTCTTATGCAAGCTATTCTCTTTCCGCCATTTGCTTGGATGGCCCTTGTGCCGGCCACAGAGAACCCAATCCTGACATCTGAGTTTTATGGTCGTTTATGGGGTTTCGTCAAATTGATTACATTCTGTTTGCCACTACCATTATTTGGTACTTTGGCGGTCTACGAACAGCTTCATCGAGTGATAGATCGCGAATTTTTTCGTAAACAAGAAAGTAGAGCATGGTTTAACCTATTTGACTATATCAATTTACCAATTGCAGCATGGTTATTCATGACACTTCCTTCTACTTTGGCTTGTATCAAGAGATTATTATGCTGTGAAGAAAAGTATATTACATCAGAGAAGCTATTTTTCAAGGATGATACTCCAGCCAATAAAACTAGCATTTAATCTAGTCTAAAAAAAAAGCCCACTTATCTACTAGTGTAACTGGTTCTCTTTTTCTCTTTCTTTTTTTTATACATATTTATTCCAGAACATGTTGCCATTTTCAAAGGTGACAAGCACATTAGTGCTTTTCTTATCTTTGTCATCTTTTGCTTCAGCATTCTATTTACCTGGTGTTTCCCCAAATGACTATCACAAAGGAGATCAAGTGGCACTTCACGTCAATTCACTTACACCCAACTTTGGCAAATCAGTTATTTCTTATGATTATTACAACCCGAAATTTCACTTTTGTAAGCCAGGAAATAATACGATTGAACAGCCAGAGAGCATAGGCTCAATACTCTTTGGCGACAGAATTTTCAACTCACCTTTTGAGGTAAGCATAAGGATTGCGTTCCTTCTCCCTTATTGATACTTACACTAAATAAGCTGAGAATGATCAAAGATGAAAAGTGCAAGTTACTTTGTACAACAGAGATAATCCCAGCTGAGGATGCCAAGTTTATCAACAGTGCAATCATGAATGGTTATGCAATAAATTGGATCGTGGATGGTTTACCTGCTGCTACAGAAGATGTAGATCGTGAAACAAACAAGGTGTATTATAATATTGGTTTCCGATTGGGTACTATATTCAATAGCGTACCCTACCTGCACAACCATTACAATATCAAGATACACTATCACACTACAAGCCGAGACTTGCATCGCGTCGTAGGCGTGATTGTAACTCCCGAAAGCAGAGATATTCGTGCGGGAGCAGAAGGGGATGGCATGTGCTTGGAAGAAGTCGGTAAATTTCATTTGAATGAAGATGGAAAGAGTAAAGTGACCTATACATACTCTGTCACTTGGACTGTAAATATGAATTCAAATAAGAGAAGAGACCAAATCATAACCTATTCTTATAATAGTATTCCAGTACTGTTTGGGCAACAAGATGGGATGGCTATCTTCATGTCCTTGATCCTTCCATTCACTGGTTTTCTTTGATTAACTCCATCATAATCGTTCTCTTTTTAACCGGCATGATTTCTATGATCTTACTTCGTGCTTTGCATAAAGATATCTCTAGATACAATGCTCTCGAGGCTCAAGTGAGTTGTAACGTTTTGATGGTTAGACACCACTCTGACGCTTGCATTTTTGCTTATAGGAAGACGTGCAGGAAGACTATGGTTGGAAATTGGTACATGGAGATGTCTTCAGGCCTCCTAACCATGCAATGATTCTATCAGTTATGACCGGCAGTGGTGTACACTTGATTGCAATGACTGGGCTGACACTTGTGTTTTCTGTTCTTGGGTTCCTATCACCCTCTAATCGAGGCGCACTTGCTACAATGTTGATTCTCTTCTTTATGGTCTTCAGCTGCGTTTCAGGCTATGCTTCTTCTCGTATTTACAAAATGATTGGAGGAGAAAACTGGAAGCTAAACATGATTCTTACTGCCACCTTTTTACCTGGGTAAGTTGTTTATGCTACAGAGATGATTTGCGTGTTAACAAAAAAGATAGAGTTCTTTTGGGCGGTTTATTAGGTCTCAACTTTTTCTTGATCTACTCCAATGCTTCTGGTGCTGTTCCATTTGGAACAATGCTTGCTATGGTTGCACTTTGGCTCATCATCTCGTTCCCTCTCAGTTTATTTGGATCCTACATCGGTTTCCGTAAACCACGTATTGAGCAACCTGTTCGTACAAACCAAATTCCTCGACAGATTCCTGATCAGCCCTTCTACTTGAGACCTATCCCCTCTATTTTGATGGGCGGTATTCTCCCTTTTGGTGCCATCTTTATTGAGCTCTACTTTATCATGAATTCTATCTGGTTTCATCGCATTTACTACGGCATCGGCTTCCTTTTCTTGGTATTTGGTGTGTTGATCATGACCTGCTCACAAGTGGCTATCTTGATGTGTTATTTCCACATGTGCAACGAAGATTACCATTGGTCTTGGCGTGCATTCTTAACTGCGGGCGCCACAGGCTTTTATGTTTATGCTTACGCGTTCTTGTATTACTTTACTAAATTGGACATCAATTCATTTACAAGCACTGTGCTTTATTTTGGATATTCTTCCATCATCAGCTTCCTGGTAACCGTGATGACAGGTAAATGCATCATTACGTAAAAGGAACATATGACTAACTTATAATCATAGGATCCATTGGTTACTTGTCTTGTTTATTCTTCTTGAGAAAAATATTTGCCAGCATCAAGGTTGATTAGAAAGGAGGATTACGTTGTCTAATTTCTTAAAAGAGAAATAAACGGATCAATAATTGTCCGACATTATTTATAAACTAAACCCTTTTCTTTGTCTTTCTTTTCTGTATTAAATTTTATGCTAAATAACAATGACAGAAAGTGATTCAATTTCGCTTGTTGTTTTATCTCATGGACTTTGGGGAAACAAGGGACATATGGACTATATCAAGAATCAGCTTATTCAAAGATATAAGAATACAATTTATGTGGTAAGGTACTCAAGTGCATGAAATCATAGCAGTAACTCATACCGCAATCAATATAAAAAGTTGAATATGGATATCAATGAATCCAAATTTACATATGATGGGATTGATGTCTGTGGTGAAAGAGCTGCTATACAAGTAAGGACATGATCAGTAATCATGCAATGTAATAAAAATACTGACAAAAGGATCTATAGATTCAAAAAACAATTAAGCGACTAAACAATGCAAACAAAAAAGTAGTAAAGATAAGCATGATCGGATACTCACTAGGAGGCTTAATATTGAGATATGCAATTGGAGTTTTGGGAGAAAAAGGTGTATTTGAAGATATTATTCCTGATGTAAGTATATATATAATCTACTGACCTATATATATACCTTGATCTAACTAGTAATTCAGTATTTTATTACATTTGCTACACCACACATGGGTGTTCGATTGCCAGATAAAGGCTTTTTTTCAAAGATATTCAATTTTACTACTGGTAGATTTATTTCTCGCTCTGGAGAACAGCTTCAGCTGAGAGATAAATTTGGCAAGAAGGAGAAACCTCTGATCCAAACATTATCTGATCCAGGTATTCATAATAGTCTTGTGAAAAATACACACATTAACTCCTGCGTTCACCATAGATGACATCTACTTTAAGCATCTTGCTAGATTTAATACAAGAAGGTCATATGCCAATATCGCCAATGATCGAACGGTGCCTTATTGGACATCAGGCATAGAACTTATGGATTACTTTCATGAGAACAAGGGGAAACTAGATCTGTAAGTTACTAATGAATAAGATATATAAAATGGAATCTGACGCATACCTTATAACAGAACTTTGGATGAGACCTACATCTCGATCGTAACTGCATTTGACTTAAAAACTCGTTCCAAGGATACAACATCGAAAAAGGACACTACAAAATCAAAAAAGACAAAGAAACGGATCAAACCTATTCTATTCAGATGTGCATTTTATATTCTGTCACCCATCTTGGTGCCAGTCTTTTTGATTATTGCATTCACTACCATCGGCATACAAGGCCTGATATCAAGATTCAGAGTATCAAAGCTATTAAAGTTCCAGCAGCGACCCCTTATTAATCAAGCAGAGAGTGGCAACTATAGTAGCAGTAGTGACGAACTGATCGAGAGTAACTTGCTGGCAGATGCCTTGGATGCCATAAATATACCTGGTGAAGAGACGCCTGATATAAGCAAAGACACGCATTCTCATACATTGGACGATCGAACACATTACTATGAAGTAAGCCCTTCGCCTGCATTAAAGGGGGTATCAAAACAGCTCAATCTTGATGAGACGATATGCACGACATACAAGAACCTTAGATTATTAGAGTGGGAGCGTGTTTGGGTTTATCTCAGTGCATTTAACGCTCATGGGGCTATTATCTGTAGACAAAATATCCACACCACTGATGATGGAATAGCTACCATACAGCACTTTTTGGATACCACGCAGTTTTCTGCTTGAAATAAATGTTTATTTAATTGAATTTACCAGGAACAACAGGATGACTTGCAGAAAGACCACCGTCAACAGCGATGGCTTGGCCATTTACATAAGAAGCTTCATCAGAGGCCAAGAAGGCAATGACATGACCAATCTATATTTTACGTATAAGACTGTGTTTTCTGGTATAGTTTATATTTATACCTCTGATGCAACACCGTATCTTCTAGTGGGGTTTAACTGTCCAATTTTATGAGAAGTTCCTCTTTGTTTAGCGTAATCAAAAGTTGCTTTGGTCATGCCTGTTTCAATCAAACCCTATGACTGTTGTGTTATTTTTAATAAAGTAACCTCAATTTCTTATCTTACAGGACAGATAGCATTGACGCGAACATTTGTGCCAGCATATTGATAAGAAGCAGTCTGGCACAAGTTGATAACGCTAATGATAGGATTAGATGAAATTATTACATTTTTGCATCAACTAACTTACGCAGCTTTTGATGCAGAATACTCAGGTGAGCCTGCACCGGATCGAATACCAGCAACTATGTAATTCATAGTCAAAATCATACTTTTTCTTTTTTGCATTATTCTCACCTGAAGCGGTACAAATAATAGATCCACCCGACAGTTCCTTTCCTCCCTTTCCAGTTTGCTGCATGGCAATACCTGCATGCTTGATGGCCAAGAAAGCACTAAATTTATCATAGTTTATAATAGTGTATACAGTAATGCTATCACTCGTTTGTACCTTAAAGCATTAATGCGCATCATCTTCATGAAGCTTTCGGCATCCTCTTCGTGAATACGAGATCCTGTAGCAATACCTGCATTAGCCACAAATATGTCCAATCGACCAAACTCTTTCATAGCCTCATCAATGATAGCAGTAACGTCATTTGTTGAGGCAGCGTCTACCGCACGAGCAATACAGCGAACGCCTGTATAGGTCGTTTCAATTTCTTTGACCAACTCGTCGAGATTTGTCAAGGTTAAATCAGTAACATAAATAACTTTGGGTCCACGTTTAGCAAGAGAGAGTGCAGTTGCTCGACTATAAACATTAAAAAGAGTATGAGCAAATGAAAAGTAACAAGCCTTTTGCTTTTACCCAATACCGTAAATAGAACCTGCTCCTGTCACTATGCATACTTTATCCTTGAGAGAAGGAGAAGCTTTTGTGATATGGTTGAAAATAAGAGTGGCTCTTTCAGCTGCAGTGGAAGCCATGTTTGTATATATTTATATTTGTATAATAAAAAGCAGTAAAAAAAAAAAGAACTGCTGTTTACGCATATAAAGGGCGAGTATAATTTTCTTTAGTCATGATTTTTCCCCGCATTAAATGTGAATAGTATATTTTTCAAAAGCCGCTGTAGCCTTTGGTGGCTCATTGTCTTTTGCCATGACAATGTGTTCCTGAATTTCATTAGTCATAATAGATAGTGTATTGTGCTTGGTGAGATCATCTATAAAGCACCAACATTTATATTATTATTCGAGAGCAATTCATTAGCTTGTCTCAAAGGTATACTTTTGAAATAAAAACAAACGAGATCATCCAATGGCTTTTAATGGTTTCGTTTACTGATAAAATGTATTTACAAGCAATATCCTATTTTATTTTAATCATCATCTCCTTTGTTGTTATATTTTGTGTGGACAATGCAAATGTCTGGAATAACGCCTTCAGGGTTCAAGTAATCATATTCATGCCCCAGTTGTGCATCCAAGAAGGTCAAGAAACCGTCAAATACATGTTCTTGAATTTCAGTGTCAAATATTTTGGAATAAATCCATTCTTGTTTAAAAGTTTCAATCTTGTCTTTATACACATCAAAGTCTATCTTTATTCTATCTTCCTTGCTAGTTTTCTGGAGTAACTTGTCATTATACACATCAAACACGGGTCTTTCTAACAAAAGACCCAGAGCTGGTGCCTTGGGAATGTTGATACGTTTTTCTCCAAATGTCTGTTGAATTAACGAAACAGGTGTCTCTGTACGAGCAATGAGCATAGCCATGGCTATAATAAATGAGTGACATGTACTTTGTTTTACAAAATAACTTACAGATCATTTTACGAATTTGATGAAGCATAAATGATTGGCCATGAAGCTTGATACTGAGCCATTCTGTATCCCGAATATACATGGGTTCGCTCACTGTGATGTTTTTGATATAACGCATCGAGCTGTGATCCTTGTATCCCTTTCCGATCGTATAATTGTGAAAATTATGTGATCCTTCATACAGTTTAACCGCTTTTTTAAACTTCTCAAGCTGTTGCTGTGTCGCTCGATAGGCATGTCTCTTTTCAATCAACTCTGGTGTACTACGTCTAGCGTAAAATGTCGTGGGTTCTCCATCAACCATGGTTGAAAGCATAAGGTCATCTTCATGTACTTGTTCACTTGTAATTTCTGGTTTAATAGGTTCCATGAACACATAGGTTGGCAAAAGGTATTCATAGATACGTGAATCACAAAGGGTTTTTGGATTAAAGGAGCCAATGACGGGAACATAACCTATGAAATGAAATCAGTACAGTAGTCAAAAAAGAACAAGCACTAGTTCATTTACCCCATACACGGATTTGCTCTGGCAAGAATGAATTGGTGCGTTCGACAATGTCATAATCTGAGGGTATTTGCATCTTTAAAGACAAGATATTACCGGCAGCGTGAACACCCTTATCTGTACGAGCACATCGCATCCAATTGACCTATTACTCATTCGTTAGTTTGATCCATATGTAACGACCCGATTATAGTTTATATACCTTCTTTGGATCATTGGCATTATCTTTAGAAACACCATTTGCTTTACACAGAGCCTCAAAGACTTCTCCTTCAATAGTTTTAGAGTTTGGATTTCTTACAAGTATGTCAGTATTCAGTAATAAGAGAGAGAGATTTTCTTACAATTGTAAACCTTGGTAGCCAGTACCATTGAATCCAATCAAAAGAGCAACCTTTTTTTTAGGTAAACGAGGTTCTCTAGGCCCAGAGTGCTCTAATGGTGGCTGTCGTGGTCTTGAATCTCGTTTATTCTTTTTCGTCTTTTTAGCTTTGGGAGATTCTTGATCAGGATCTGCTGCACGCTTAGATCCAACAGTTGATTCTTCTATAGTCGTAATGCTTATCTTCTCCTCCTGTTCAATCACTTCTTCTTCTTTCACTTGTTCCTTTGACCAAAGATTTCCCATGTCAAAAATATAAAGATGACAAACAAACAAAAAAAAAAAAAAAAAAGAAAATTTTGCCATTTCTTTCAGCGGATATTGAAATAACCCCAAAGAGAACTTGGAGTGTATTCAGGTACAAGTGCAACACCATTCATTTAATACGATTACTATCGGTATTATAGAAGCATTTCTTCCAGTTATTTTATAAATACATTCATTACAAATCGAATAATTGTCAATGATTGCCCCTGTATAGTTTAGCTGTTATGGTTGAGCACCACATCAGCAGTTGCTAATTTATTATTATAGTCCAAAGCTTTCAAAAAAAAGGTAAGAAAGCAAGGAGTGGGATGACTATAGAGTATATGTGACCAACATGCTTTGAGCCACCACTAGTGGCAGATCCCTGTTGAATGGTGCTGCTTGTTACAGATGGCTTAGGCTCTACAGATTTAGAACTAGAGGAAGGGACGACAGTCGCTTGATATTCATCACTTGTTTTGAATCCTGTAACCCATTGCCAATTGCCAATGTCTAGTAAAAAGAAATCATTTCTGGCTAATCCAAATGTATCAACACCAAAAATAATGAACAGAGAGTGATTTTTATATAGTACAACTATAAAAAATATAAGACCATTGCTAGTATATCTCTCTTCGTCCTCTTACCTGAATGTCCAAACCGCGGTCCAGCTCCTTGATCTGAGTTGGTAATGTTCACCATAGACCATTCAAATGAAGTCGTATTCAAAAGATAAATATAATCAGACACCACCTTGGGGGAATCTATAAAAGAGATATAAGGGACACAAACTAACGAAGGAATCTGGCTTTTACCTGTAAATGAACCTCCATACATTAGTATAAGATCAGAATTTGGTACTATGAATAATGCTAGTTGGTCACACATTACACAAATCAGACTTTATTGCTTACTTTGCGTTGCAGAATGAAGTCTTCGATGTGATGGAACCGTTTTATTCGATGTCTTGTGCATTTTCCAGGTTGAATTGATCAGATCAAACTCTAATATTTCATCCATTGCTGCAGGAACAATCGTGTCATCTTCTGTTACTTCCAAGCCTCCAATGAAATAAATTGAGTTTCCTGATTGGGTTAGTGTAGCTGTGTGTTCTAATCTAGGACGCACAAACGATGGCACTTTGGATGTGCTGTTTGTTTGGTTATTAGGAAAGGACCAAGTGAAGTTCTACAGAGAATGCTAAATAAAAGAAAAGAGAAGGGAAAAGTAGGCCCTATACTTACTTGAGTGTTTAATACGGTCAATTCATTATGGTAGATTGTTGTAGTTATATTTGGCGATGATGTATTGTCACTATTATTAGCTCATTTTTAGACATCATTTTCGTTGCTATAATAATAGCAGATCTATCCTTCTTTTAATTTATTTACCTTAACCCGCCCCAAAGCCAAGCACGACCCAAGGTATCTAAAGTAGCTGAACCCTCACGGCTAGAGTAGTATAAGATAGGATGTTCAAAGTGGATGTATATATAACTATTGAATTACCTTGGAAGCGTTTTATTATCTGCTATTGTAGTCCAAGAGAGATTGGTTGTATCAAAAAGCACAGTAATATTTTTTTTGTATTGCTGACTTGAACCATAGCCCAGTCCACCGTGGATCAAATAACTGTGATTCAGAGATATAATTGAAAATAGGCTGTTTGGTTCCAGAACAAAATCAGGAGAGGATATACTTTGCCAATTATTTATAGCTGTGTTGAGAGTAAAATCTTGACTTAGGTCAAGCATATAATGGTCGGATGTGGGTCGTTGATCTGACGTTCCTCCATAACAATATATCTTTTGATTTACTAAAGTACAGCCTAGACCATTTTTTTTAGCTTATAAATATACACACACATCACAAAGTACGTAAGTAGTTTGTAGATGGTTACCTCCGTTATATCTTGATGAAGGTATAATAGCATTTACAAGTGTAAAATGGAATAGAAAAAGCAGTATTATTTTCATGAATAAGAAAGAAAAGAAATAAACTTTTTCTCACCTTCTCCTGTTTTGCTGCACAACATATAGTGTATCTTATAGTTCTATCTCAGATGCTAGCAGCCAATCATCTGAATGGATATTACCACTGTATTTTAATTCATGAGCTTTTGACCTACTATTCAAAAAAAAAAAAGGCGCAAAAAGAAAAGATACATTCCAGCACACTCTCTTTAGACTCTATTTATACGTTAATAATATTAAGACAGACCTTCACTACAAATTAGTGATGGCTGTCAAGGCTGAATAAGGCATTCTAAAGGCAAGGATTATTGACATTCAAGTTTTATTGTTGTCAAAGTCTTTTGACGTGCTTTTAATAAGCCCCTTTGCGAATGTAGTATCCTACACTACGGAATGTGTAGACTTTTTTTTTCTGCTGCTCACTTTGACAGATTTAAATAAAGGGGAGGAGAGAAGAAATAAGCTATAGGCAAAGGTGAAATTTATTGTCTGCATTATTTACAGTCAAAAGCTAATATTATAAAGTGTACATGTAGAATAAATGAATGAATGATGGAGTATTATTATAAATAAAAGGAAATAAGCTTGTTTAGACTTTCGTTTGACCTTGATGGCTGATTTGGGGTATAAAAGAATTCAAAAAACCATTTCAGTGTGTCTGTAGTATCCATAACTTCTTGGTCTGTTGTATGCTTGTTTGATAAGTAACGAAGGTGCTTGTTGGATATATAAGTCATGGAATATTTAATATAAAGATTTAAAAGAGAAAAAAATTGACTTCTTTTATATGATATTCAGCATCTCCTGATAAATATCAGTGTGGAGTGATCTTTGTTAAGTAAATTAGTGGTATGATTTTTGCTTTTTATTTATTTATATTCCATAAGCATTTTATATGGAGTCTTTCCTGTGATATTCACGTTAGGTTAAAACATATGTAATATCATTCAGTCTTATAGAAGACTATTGTGCAGGCAAAGGGGCGTGCAGTGTAAAATAACTGAAACAGCCTATATTCAAAAAAGACTACATATCTCAGCCGATATTTATAAACTTGTGCTAATTTGCTAAATGAACATTTGTTTTAAGCCATTTTCATCCATTCGATCATCAAACTAAGGGCATGAACCATCAACCAATACATACCTGCTTATACAAAAGAAAACTTCAATCTAAATACAATGATCAATCCAAAATACATCAGTAATTCGATCCATTTCATCTCAACAGCAGATAATATCAGGAATATGGAGATTTCTTATTCTTCCATGCCTTTTAAAGAACAGAAAATATTATATACTTTTTTCAGAAATTATTTGCACACAATTTAAAGCCAATAGCTATTACATTTTAGTTGATTACAAGATAAATGTGGTCAACACCTATGAATAACACGTAACTAAAAAAGTTGTTAGAGACTTCATATACGTTTCCCTTTGATTGTGTATTCAATTGGGCGATTCCATTTGTTGGCATATTCGGTCAATATACACTGGACAATGCGAGTAAATTGGGTTTCGATCGAAGACATGGTTGATGGCAATTGATATGTCCACAAAGCATATGGCACTTCTTTGTACGGTTTCTGAAGTACTGGTTGAAGTAGCTGATATACATTCCGGAATTACTTCAGAGTTTTCAGACACTACTGATCGAATTCTTCTGCACCAAGCATTTTTTTTTCCATACCTCAGAGAGAAATGGATTGTCCGGCATGATGATCGTCATAATATCCTTGAGCTTGTCGACTGGGTCTACCGTGATCTTTGGTAAATTGGGAACAAATTGTCTGTCAGAAGCCACAAGTGTATAAAAATGTCGTTCTCCAGGGATCGAGACAAGTCTCCCTCTTTTGATTGGTACTGGAGCACTCTCGCTGTGATCGAAGGATCGCTTGCGAAGATGAACGTCATCAAAATAAGATTTTAAATCGCTTTCCTGCTCATAGTAAAATAAGCAAGAAGGACAGGCAAGTTGTTGTTTGGTACTGTCATGTTGAGTGCCCCGTTCCATAGTAACAAATGTGATGTCGTCGGTGCGCTTGTGCTTAACGCCAGTTTTACGTGGCGACACTATGATATCATGCATTGTCTCGAGATGATAACACAATCTATTTTTATTATACCGTTTTTGCCCTGGCCAGTTCAAGTTGTGAGACAGTATCTAAAAATCCCTCTGGAATCGAAGGCAAAAATGCTTTGGCTGACAGATTAACGGAACAAGTGTTAAAAACACTGCTATGAAGAATTAAATAACCATTTAAGCAGTTTCTGTCTGGGCCAGGTGGTAATGGTGGCTCTTTTTCATGGTATAGGTGATCAAGCTCATGTAAGATAGCGCAGATTACGAGCCATCTGATAGTCCAAAACGATTTTGTTTGAAAGGAGCATGGTTTTCGAATGGGAAGCTTATTTAAAAGGAGAGACAGAGGATCAATTATAGTCTTCGGTATTTGTAGACGGTGATGCATGTTGAGGCAATAGATGGCATGCTGTTTTGTAAGGAGCTGTGAGGTGTGTCGAAGGCAGCGAGTAGTGTTATAAATGAGTGAGACTGTTAGGCGACACAGTCAGAACAGATTTGAGCTGCATGCAGTACGCCGCTGTTCTAAGTTGCCTTGCAGGAATTACAAACGTATTTTCTTTAATAACCGTTTGTCTAAGATATCAGTATATTGCGCACAACGCTTCCACAGTGGCGTTTTTGATATAGTATACTACCTGGAATCGTTACAAGTGCAGCTCTTCATTTCGTTTTCCATCACAGTGATTTCGTGTTGAAGTTCTATATTGCTGAATGACTAGACTAGGTAAACTCCAGGTGTGCCACTTTCTGCAATCATATCGGGGATACACCCCATGTTGATTTGATCGGTTTTTATTTGCCTCGTCCTTCTTCTTCTTTCTTCAGAACCCATCCTACCGACGTTTAGCATCAGCCTTTGTATATTTTGGAGATAATCCTCTTCAACATCATTCATTAGTATGGATATAAGTCTGTCTACTCTTCGGTTCTGCTTTCTTTTTAAGTATGTCGTTTTCAGCTGATTGTACCAGCTTTCAATATAATTGTTGGTCTCCATATTGGTATAGATAGCGGGCTGGTATGTTCTTGCCCAGCGCTTGAAATTGTCATTGTTGAAATATGAAATGCAAAGATAAGAAATCAATTACGTATACGACCCAAATTCAAGAAGAAACGATTGCAGTTTTCTATTAAATTCGGATACATTTCTTTCCCACGTTAGCGACTTCAAACTTATGATGGCTTTTTTGTGTTCAGTTGAATCTTGATGGATATCGCCTGTCTTGATATACTCCTTTATTTTTGCCATCCAGGCACGAGCGACGTGAAAGAGGCACCATTGTATTTGAGCTTCTGGGTACACAATTTGAATAGCACTTTGCTCAACGCTAGAGACATCAATTGTTATTTTCTGGACATCCACATTACTTGACTTTTTACAAAAGATAGAAATTCAGTAATAGGTCTTGCAGAATGGTCCGTCGTAAAACAAAAAACAACTGGTCAACTTGTACCTGTAAGAGTGTCTCACTACTATGGTATATAAAAGGCAACGGTCAACATTTGTAGTCTTATGGGCAGTATCTAAGCAGAAGTAAGGCGACTTTAGGAGAAGACTCTTCTGCCATGGGGAAATAAATCCAAAGGTGTAGCTGTTGTTGAAACTATCACCAATGTAGTCACTGTAGCCCTTGGATTTAAGCTCGTCCATCCAAATTTCGATACTCATATTGGTCATTATTACGCTTATATGCATTCTCTTGTATACGCTTGTACTGGTTGTAAACTAATTCAGGATCCATCAGTTGATCACGATGAAAAATCCCACACATTGATGAAGCGTTGGAATGGTGATCAACAATGACGCGGAAATGACCTTGAACATACTTCATTAATTCACATTGAATAGACAAGTGAACATCTCGACACATAAATCCTTTTTGAAGTTTCTGAAAGATGTATCTTTTTGTTCCTTCTGAAACAGGCGAGTATTGAAAGTCTTCCTTGCTGCCAATAGGACCATGGTTGTAGTCATTAATAAATATAAAAACTATTTATAACAAGTAGCTTCATGATAGCAGGACTGTCTATCTTTTTGGATGTCTTCTGCACTTCTCTTATTTGACCTGACTTTCCTCCTAGGTCATGCTTGGGCTTTTCTTTCTCACCAGATCTATGGCAGTAATATGTCTTGTACTAGAGATAAGGAGCATATCTTTTTCTTTTCTTGATTGGGTTGATGCTGGCATCCAAGCCAGTTGTTTCCTGATCTTCGCCTTGGTTCTTAGGCTTATAAAGCTTTCCAACGTTTCACTTCATTGCATATGTCTCTGGAAAGGTATCAACAACCTCTTACATTTGCAAAATAGGTACCTCAATGCTTTAAGGGATAGTCTTATAAGGGTTGATACGTAATGTAAAAGACATGTTTATTGCGTTATTAAATGAATACAGTAAAAAAAAGTACTTATCATCATTGTGAATCAACTTTCAGGTACAGCGAATAGGGTGGCCTTTGATGGCTTAAATTACTGGCTCATGTATAGAAATTACAATTTTAAAGTCCCTTAAGTAACGCGCAACATTTCTCAAAATAATAAGATTATGTCGACTTGAATTTTTAAAACAAATTGGTTTTTCGTTTCACTCATAAGAAACCTTTTTTTTTTTTTTGACAAATCAATACTTTTTATAGCTGGCTGTTAAACAATGTATATCAACGACTAGGTTACCATTGACAACTATTATGTAAGGTGTATCTTTTTTTATTATTTATTTTTTTCACTTGTACTAATCTGTATAAACTTATCCACAATTTCTTACAGAACAGCTGTAATGTACATCTTAGAAATGCCACGGATAAGAGTAACATTGGTGGTTTAACGTTCCAAATATCGACGTTTCTTCTTTCAAAGATTTGCCATAATTTTTCAAGGTCAATATTTCTGACTCTTTTAAAGATAAGTATACACGTTAAGAATAATGCTGCAAGAAAAGCACAAGGCTTTGTACACATGAACCCTGCCCTACGCCGGAGAAATTCGCTGGCTGCTTTGACGAACAATCATTCGTCTCCAGCCGGGAGTGGGAAGTTGTCACTCTCCTCTTGCAAACCAATAATGCGTTTTGGCTTTACTTGTCATTATATAGGTCCAAATTTAACTACAGTATGGCCGATGCTTTTGATACCAACAATTTTCGATGGAATGACGACTCTTCTCGCTCTTTTTTTTTTTTTTCTCATGGTGTCAGCACTCTATAACCCTCATCATATGTGTATATGTTTATTTTATTTGCCAATAAAGCGAAAAATCATAACAGCAAAACCATAATGTTTAATTCCGATTCTTTTAAGACCTTTTATTAAATTTGTTAAATTTTCGGAAAAAAAAAAAAACAAATATTATGCATTTAGTGGATTAAATGAAGTGTCGATATGAGAAATGATTGAGGGGATGAACAAGGAAGGTTAACCAATTGTTTGATATGAGAGATGAGCAAGGAGGGGGGAAAGGAGCACCAGGTTGATACAGTAACAAGATTAAATGTGTTGTGCGTGTAAACCGAAAAAAACATAGTACATTTACAGGAGTTATACACTCTTTCCAGAAAGTAAATTAGCTTGTGATCGAATATAAATGCACCCAATGGTGAGAACAAAAATCATGTTGTATAAAATGTAAATTCGTCGTCGCCAAGAATATTTTCGTAGTACCAGCCTTGACATCCATGGATATACACCATTTCCAAATTGAGATGTCGTATTGAAACCGTTGCAATGTTATCAGAATAATAACAAATACAAAAAGAATATGGCTCACTATCTCATTTGACAGTATTATTAACAGGTGGACTGTCTTGGAGCTGAAACTAACCTAATATTAGAAATCGCCCTCTTTAGTCTCCTTGTAAAAGTTTAAATTCTTTATTCGGTTCTTCCATGAAATCAGAAGAACATGTGTCATATTTGGCAATGCATATTCTTGAATGATCACGAAGCAGATTGCTTCTATTTGACATGATTTCTTTGTCTTAGGTGCCCGATCCTAAAACTTGTTTGAAAGAAAAACATATAAAACCTATTTTAATTGAGTCCTTTTTTTGGTTCTTTACAGCAGTTATCAAGTGTTCCTCTGAGTGTTCAAAGATTCACCAGTCAAAACTAGCCTGTCCTCATGGTCCTTGCTCTGACTCGCTTGTCCCGCCCTCTCTGCTCTCTGGCGTGTATCTGGAACGTTCCCCAATAGTCTCTTCTGACGCCCTGAGTCCTCTCTGTCCTCCGTTCCTTTTTTTTTTTTTTTGTTTAAACTTCTCCTGGGTAGTTATCGCTACCCTCCTCAGAATGCACCTTGGTGGTAAGTAAAACTAATATTAGGATATGTGCTCTAATACTAACATACTCTTTCTCTCTTTTTCTACATATACTCATTATCTCTCTCTCTTTTGATATAATGTCGCTTTATTCAAACGTGTTTTTCTTTGTCGTCTTTTTGCGAAAATAATTTATAAAATTACGTCAATAATTAATAAAAATACAGTACAGGGTATGTGTAATCATTTATGTGTTGGGAAGATAAACTGGTGATTTTGGCCCGTCATCCACAATCTGAGCCATATGCTTGTTCTCGCTAAGCCGAACAATTTGTGGGCATACATGCTCAAGGAATGAAGAATGTGAAATACTTCGTTCAAATCGCAAGCTTTATAATTTTTCGTCGTGTTCGTCTTTCAAACTATCCAAGACATCCTTATTCTTTTCACATGCGACAGAGATAGATGTCTACCAATTCTGTAAGAGGCTTCACCTAGACATTGTTGTATTCAACTTTAGTTGGCAGTTAAGGCGATGACTTGCGAATTAGATTATTAAGAAGAGCTGAATATTATTATTATATTAAGTTTACTTGGGTAGAGAATCTATGACTGCTATTTATATTATTGTCGTCACTGACATTATTTATGTTTATATTATTACTGTTATACTAGTAACTACTATAGTTGTTATTATAAGTTATTCTTATCAGATGCGATAGAGGAATGTAAAGTAGAATGTATGCTCTACTGTAAGATTATACTCGAGTTATTATAATGATTATCTCGTCAAGCACGTCAGACATATCCGAATGTGATATTCTTAAGTGTAATTATTCCATCCGGTCGGCGTTTTGAGAGGGTCTCACCGATAGTAGATTTAGGATTGTTTGAACCCACAAGGTCTAGCGAAACAGATTCACTTGTGTCTTTATAGTCGAAAAGACCTTGAAAAATTGGAACTAAAAATATTGTTTTTAATTTTTCTTCGCCTTTTTCGGACAAGCAGTTTTGAAACAAGTTATACAAGACGCCGAATAATGGGTTTTTTGTATACTGTAATTGACCTTTGTTTGGTTAGGGCACTTCAATGACTGAAAGATACTGACTTATCTCATAATTGACTCCCTCTCTTATAACACTTTCAAGCTACTCTTGGATTGCTTTCAGAAAATCATCAAGATAGATAACTCATGAAAGAAACAAAGAAAAGATATTGTCCTTTGTTCAAACTAGTCTTATTAAAAAAAAAGTTTAGAGTGTGGGGTAAATGGTGAGCAGCCTCATGTACTGATCAATTATTGGTGTTAGTTCATCAGCGACATACGTTCTAAGGAACTGTCTGATAAGCTTTTCAAAGTCTATAGTCACACTCCCATCCAAGCTAATGTATACTAATATTATAAACAAACTTTTAGAACACAAAAGACATATAGGGTAAATAAGCGCAATCTATGTTACCTATATCACCAATACTTGAATTTTGCTTCCTTGAGCATTGAAGAAAGCCATAGTACGCAAATACTATAGCAAAGTGAACAGCTTCAAATCTAAATGCTTCATATTCATATAAAAAGCCAACAGCCTATATGTTTTTTGATTTATAAAGATTATCTTGTTATTTTGATCAAACTTACCTTTTCAAACTGCAAAGATAATAAAAGAATGGTGAAATAGCTCCAAGGATTCAACCTTTCAGGATCAAAATAAGATGGTCCTTTTGTATTTAGTGATTCTTGCAGATCGCGTAGTCTGTATTGTTCATGAGTATATAATTCTCTAAAGGGCCGTTCACGAATAAAAGAGAGATGTAACCAGAGATAGTCTTCCTTTGTTTTCATTTGAATAGGTTTATCCATTTCACATCGACCAATGATCTTGTAAAGTAATTTTTTATAAGGATCATACTTTTCAATGCCATATTCCATCTGTTGATACTCTGATAGAATCATCTTTTGGTTGTCATCAGATAAACTAGTTTATATCATTCAGTACCTCTCTCTCTCTTTCTTTGTATAAAGAAAAGACTTACAGTCTATCTGGAGATGAAAGATATTCCTTGAAATAAGAAGGAAAGTTGGGTGATAAATAAAACAAATCTTGCTTGTTTTCAACAAATTCAAGAGCAATGTCTTCACGTCCAATTCTCATCAAGAGATACAAATAGAGCCAAATAGGCATATCGCTTTGTAATTCAAGATTTGGCTCAGTCCAATTGTTACTAGCATTCTTGTACATGAACTGAATATAGGCAAGAAGACGACGACTTTGGGAGGGTATACCGCCCACTTTAACCTGTGTTGCGTACTTGATCAATACATCATTAATGCCTTGAAGATATCTAATATCGAATATCAGCCAGAGTGTCATCTTGTCTCAATTCTTACCTCTGCTCTAACCAGCTTTTGGCAGCTTGAACTAAATGCTGGGTCATGCCATAGATTTCTGATGGTTTAGGGTGTATGGCTTTATTGAATGTACCTTGAAAGTTGTTGGCCGTGAAATAACAGAGTATATCCCATGCATCGTCAACGCATCTTTCCTGTGCCTATTTTATGCTCTATTAGAACTCTTATTTTAAATATAAATCTTATTTTACCTTTGCCAAATCTGTATGCTGCTTCAACTGTCTCAGCTTTTCAATCAGAGGGAATGGCTCTAACAACATTCGGCTTTGGTTTAGGTCTCGTATAACAGTTGCATAGGACACAATCTTGTCTTCAGGAACTGTGATTTTAGTTTGATGATTTAATACTGTTGTTCTTTGTTGAGTCTTCTTATCGGATGCGTTGCTTAGATACTCTTTCATCTCTTTTGTCAGCTAATATACAACAAGCATTAATATATTTCTTTACATTGTATTCATATCTATTATTACCTTTTCCCTTGCTTCCTTTATTGTCTCTTTTGTGATCTTTTCATGCTTTTGCCGTAAATAAGACTAAGAAGAAGTGAGTGATGGTCTCTCTTTAGCGTTGTGATAGAGTGTACCATTATACCTCAATATCCGTGCTTTTTATTATTTCTGAAGGTTTGAATAAAGTCACTGATTCTATCTTTCGTAAGTTGTCATCAATCTCTCGAACATTAACACCACCCTGAGCTAAAAAGTATTGACTATATTGACTATTAGAATCAAACTTGCAATTATTCCCCCTCTCTCTCGCTCTCTCTTTACGCTGTTGGATCAAGTGATTGTTGTTGACTGAACTTTGAATAAAGTAGATTAGATTCATCAACAAGCTGATTCAAGTCAAGTTCAAGTGAAGGCACTTCATTCTTTCCCGTATTTTGTATCAAATTTTGGGATTTATGTAAAAGCTTTTCAAATGTTTTCAAAGACATGTTGTTTAAAAGAAATTCAACAAACACAACTCAACGCGTTTATTTATTTCGGTCATTCAAAAAATTTTTGCCCCTTCTCTGCACAAGTTATTCTAATCTTGTACACTTTATTCATTGATAAAAAAATGATAATTTCAGACAACAATGATAAAAGAGAGTCCACAAGAAGCAAAAGAATGAGATATAAAAGAAATAATTAGTATTTCAGTTAATACATTGATATTAAATACTTAAATTATAAAGAAGAGGATTTATAAGAGAAAAAGAGAAGCAAGAAAAGTGAGTAAGCATATAAAGAAGTTATTAATATCTTCTGAATTGCATCCTGGTTTGGGCTGGCGATAACCAGCCCGGAGAAAGAGCGGAAAAAAAGAAGCGAGCAAGAAAGAGAGCGGATGGGACCAAGGTTTGGTAAGAAACAAACTATCCTCAGCTAGTACCGGTACTGTTTTCGATTTTATGATCTATAATACTACATATCAGTTTCTTACAAGTGTAAAGAATAAAACATACCTTAGGGCTAGTTGGGAAATGGCTGGTCTTACTTTTTGGTTCAAAGAAGAAAAGAAAAGAAAAAGAAGTCAAGATTAGATTATTTATACAAGGTCTCTAGCAACTTTTTCAGTTACGTGTTATTTATCAATGTTGACCACATTTATTTTATGTATTTCTCAAAAAGACAGAATTCATTGTCTTTTTAATAATAAAGAAAGGGTTGATAATCAACTAAAGTGTAATTGTATTGGTTTTAAATTGTGTGCGAATAATTTCTGAAAATGGTGTGTCTTATTTTATTCTCTTAAATAAACTACCAAGGTTATCAGATACCTTCTTAGTTTATTAGAAGGTGCATCACATTAGACGGAGATGTTTTGGAAAATGCATTGCTGTTGCCGGCAACCGCAAATGAAGATGGCCAGGCAAGCACACGATCTATGATCTGACAGGGTTCTGGAGACGACGTATTTGAAAGTATGGTAGAAACGTTCATAGTAAACGCACCGGTATGGAAGGATTGGGTATAATATCTCTGCTGCCAGGCTTGATGCGATCCAAACAAGGAATAGCATAATCAAATTGCTGTTGTATCGACGGATTGACTGCAAACGGACAGGGAATACGTGCCCATGGATATCTTAAAGATGATCACGCAGTTTTCTTGGTGTGCTGAATGGTTTGGTACAAAAAATGCCTTCGAAGCAGCGATTAACAAGGGCGTATACCACCTCCTATTTTTGTGTATTTTGATATATGCGTATTCTTTGAGTCTTTACGACTACCAATCACGGATTTCCTGAGAAATCTCTAGGTAGTATAGCCAAGTTGAGTCTTTTCAATCTTAGGTCCTGCATGTCGATAACTCCCGCGTTATCATAGACTGTAATAGGACCCACGCCTAACTCGAGTACTTTTAGTTTAGGGCAAATACGTCACAATTTTGGAAAAAAGCTGGCGTCAACGAAAGCATTGGTAGGTAACAACGTTTGGAGCGAATTGTAGCGGTTATTTTGAAAAAGCCGTAACCTAACGCAAGCAAAAGTTAACTTCTGGATATGGGGGCAAGCTCCGATAGACAGAAGGTTATCTGTGTACAGATTTTTGTTAATTCGCGAGCCCTTCATCGTCAGTTTATGGAGATAATGAGAAATGGCTCCTCCAGACAGAACATCTTGGTCGATCAAATAAGAAAATGGCCCCCAAGTGAAAAGCATACATTGTAATTCTTTACCCACATAAATACGTATACCTGGTTCATAATATACTTTAGTGGCTTTTATTGAGTTAAATGTTCTTGGCAAGCATACAAGTGAACCCCATTTGAGCGTTATCACCAACTGGTCTATGATAGTCCTTCAGAGCCACTGTAAAAGAAAAACGGCGCTTATATGGCGTAATAAGAGTATTCACCAGACGAATGTAATTTTCTTTAAACGAAGAATTCTAAACTTGTATAGAATTTGGTTTACTTAAATAACTTCACAATGTATAAAGTATTTCTTTTTTGGGTATGAAGTGAGGACTTTATTATATATACAAATATGAATAGATGCTTTTATTAAAACGAACTTATTGACGAGCAGCAATTTCCTTGGCAGCAAGAGCAGCACGCTTAGCCATCTTGGCGTTGGACTTGGGACCCATGACACCACCACCCCAGTGGCGACGAGTTTCTTCCCACTTGTCAGTGAAGTTGGACTTGACGGCAGAGACGACAGTAGCCAATTCAGCCTTATCAGCATCAGAGACTTCAGTCAAGGCAACGGCAGTAGCAGTCTTCTTATGGACAAGAGTACCGAGACGAGCCTTACCCTTGACAATACAGTAAGGGACACCCATCTTACGACAGAGAGCAGGAAGCCAGAGAACCAATTCAATAGGGTCAACATCGTCAGCAATAACAACCAATTGAGCCTTCTTGTTTTCAATCAAGGCAGTGATGTGGTTGATACCGTACTTGACAACGAGAGGCTTGTCAGTCTTGGGGACTTCCTTCTTCTCAGCCTTGGCAGCAGCAATAGCACGGAGACGTTCGCGCTTTTCTTGCTTGCTTTCAGGTCTGTACTTGTGCAACAACTTGAAGAGTTGAGTAGCAGTGTTCTTGTCCAAGACTTGAGTGAATTGGTTGAGAGCAGGAGGAACCTTGAGACGTTGGTACAAGATCTTCTTTTGACGTTGAAGACGAACATAGTGGGGCCACTTGACGAAACGGGTAACATCACGCTTGGGTTGAACATCTTGACCAATACCGAAGTTCTTGGGAGTCTTTTCGATCAAGGGGTTGGCAGTAGCTTTGGTAGTTTGCTTGCCCTTAATGGGATAAGGAGCAGGGGCAACTTTCTTTCCAGTAGACTTCTTGGTAGCAGGCTGTCATTGAGTGATAAGAGTTTGATCAGATTCAAATTTCTTTTAGAAAATTCACAACTCTGATAAAACTACACCCTAGCAATTGATACTGACACATATAGCGCAAGTATCAATTCAGCCTTTTTATACAAATCAACTCATCTCTTTTAACAAGAGGATGTGTCGGGGATGTATAATATAAAGTGCATGTTTATCGCTGATAAAAAAAAACACAAACTTACCATGGATGTTAATGGATGGATGGATGGATGGATGTAAAAGAGAAGAGAGAGAGGCTGAGAAGATGCGTTCGATCCTTTTTGCGTTTGCTGCTAGTTTATTTCAATTACCGATTGACTCTCATTGGCCAATGTTGACTGTATTAAAGTCTAACAAAAAATAAAACAGATAGCCTATACTATTTCTACAAAAAAAAAAACATTCTACACACATTTTCGTTTCAAAGCGTAGAGACACATAGCTTACACTGGTATATGTCGCTTTCTTTCTCTGATCAAAAGAATATGACTAAAGTGCATACCTTATAGACCTACTGAAATTTGTCTATATAAAATAGGAAATAAGTATAGATTACATAAGATACTATCCTATTTACGCTCTCGATTGGGGAGATTCTGGGAGCAATTTCCCAGCTCAGTGTCTCTTTTTCTCTTCAGGCGTATGCGGCATGTCTGTGCATGAAGCTATCACTGTGAAACAATAGGCAAGAGCATTGATTTGTTCCATTTGTTCCCATAATATTCCCGCCAAAAAAACAGCCTACATCTGTCACACACCTAATTTCACCTTTCTTCTCTTTCTTTTGTTTTACATGTCCCGAATTGACGAACTTGTTGACGCTATCTCTGGTCTTTCTCATGTAGAAAGACCTTACCTTGAAAATCTATTGGCTATCAAAAAGATTAGAATGGCTAAAGATCCAATCGATCTTGAGTTCCAAGAGGCCGCTGCCAAAGTGTATGTAAAATATAGAGTTAAACAAAAGAGCAATAGATGAACATTTGTTTATGTAGAACCATGTGGGAAACCGAATGGAAGAACTTAAACTCTTGGTCACTTCAATGGGTTATTTCTACAATCACAGTAAGTTTGAATCATACATAGGGGATCAAGATGATAATGGGTCTATATAAAAGTGTTCTTTACGAGAAGACAAGGATCGTGCGCATAAAGGTATCCAAAAGGCAAAGGAACTCTTGAAAGAAGCAGAAGAGAAAGTTCAAACTGAAGAAGATAAAATCCAAGAGATTGAAACAAGAAATGAAAAATATTCTGTAGATCACAGGACGCTGGAAGTCTATCGTCAAGAGGTGACCGAGTTATTGGATGATGTATGTAGTTTTATATATGCTACACTTTTATTTTGCTTATACTTTTATAGAAAAAAGATCATCCTGACTCAGAGCCATTGAAGCAAGCCATTGAGGACTGCAAACAAAGATATGAAGAGGTAAAATAGATAATGTGTTCCAGAGTTATCTGCTCTGAACTAACAATGTAAAAATGCTTAGAAAGCAAATAATTTAAAGAAATTGGAAAAGGTAAAAGAATTGCTAAAGGAAGCGGATAGCTCAATATTGGAAGCCATTCTTGAACTGAAAGCAAACAATATGAAAGAATCAATGATGGGGCAGGGTAAAGTATATTTCCCAGATGCTGCCTATGAATGTCTTTTACAAGCTCGTCAGCTTTATCCTCAACTACCCACTTTGCAATCACCTCAAGAGTAAGTTCATACCACATAATCATACCGACTTACTAAACCAAAAATAGATATAAAAACGAAAAGGATAATACAGGGGCTTATTATTCTCCTATGCAAAAATACCTTTGGGATGTTCGTCATAAACTATCTGAACTGATCTTGTGGTGTGATAATGAAGTGATTGAGTTGATGGGCCAACAAACTGAACATCAGATAGAGTTGGGACAAAAAATAGATGAATACAATCTATTCAGACGTGACAAGACACATTAAACCTTTATTAATGAAGTTATTTTGACGGTGCCATCTATTGTGCCAAATAAACAAGCATTAGATGAGTTTGCCCAATCTACTGTTGTAATCTTTTGATGCGCTGTCGGTTGTCCTCCAATCTTTAATACGGGTGATGAGGTATTTGGCTCTAGCACCTTATAAATGGATCCATAGTGATTTGCAGAAGTGCACAGCACATAGTCTGTATTAGAGCTGAATGAGACCATTTGAGAGCGAGGAGATCCAGATAAAAGTAACTGAATGACACTATCATCTCTGAATGATCTTTTACTTTTCTTTGATGATATTGAGGACGCAGATGACGTTGGTATGTCCATTGGTATACTAGGAACTGGTGGGAATCCTTCCAATGAGCGACTAAACACGCACTCACCAGGTTTATGTATAGACCATTGAGATAACTAAAAAAAGGTAGAAACCATATAGTTTATCCAAATACTCAAATGACCCTTCATTTACCTCACCGCTGGTATCTACCGAATAAATGGAATTTTCATCAAAGCTAAACTGTGCCATGCATGGTGGTTTCTTGTTGCCTTTCCATTCCATGATTGGCTTCATACTTCGAATATCTACAAGATGTAAGTGAATCATCAAGAGCAATAGTTAAAGTAATTACCAAATATCTGCATCAATCCTGCATTGTTGGCAACGACAAGCATTTGTCCGTTATGGTTCAAATTGATTGTATTTATGTCTTGATCATCATTAAAGGAGAATGTTCCCTATGTATGTTATTAGAACACTATGAAATATTATCTCTCATCACTTACACAAGCTGACATTGTCTTCATACTCCAAGCTACGAGTGTTCCAGATCGTTTATTATTATTACTGTTTAATACCCTGTTGCTTGATCCTGCGCAGATGAAAATAGGCTCCACTGGGCTAGAAGATATCTGATTGATCCTGTTACTATTGTGTTAATTCAATTTCTTATTTTAAACAATGGACATACTTTACCAAGGATAGCTTTCATCCATTAAGAATTCTTGCACCACTGCTTTGGATTCAACATTATAAACACGGATAAGTCCAGTATCTGTTCCTAAATACAGCTAATTATGTTTTATAGAGAATGCTCAGCATATATATACAGAAAGAAGGAAAAGAAAGAAAGCAATGAACTAATCTTTACAAATTTATCTGATCTTGCATCCCATTCTAATGATAGCACGTTTGAAGGACTGTTCTTTATCTTGATTGAATCTGTTGATTGGCTTTTACAATTCCATATTTTGACCATATTATCCATATCACAACTAGCAATTCTATCTCCTTGACTTGAAAACTTGGCGTGTGTGATGGCTGAAGGGTGTTCATAAAAATCTTGTTGACCGACGATCAAGAATGGCTCTTCTTCCATTGAGCGGACAATAGCAGTTGATTCAGAGCTTGATCTTTTTGGATTCTCGTTGCTCTTTAATGCTGTCTTTTGTTGCAAATCAGTTGCTGTACTAGCTGCTCTTCTTCGTATAAATGAAATACCGTCTGTCATTTCCTTTCTCGTCTCGAGCACTTGATGCCTTAGTTTAGCAATATCATTTTCACGAGCCTCCAAAGTTGCTTTTTGAGTTTCTACCGTGCTCTTTAATGTCTCGATCTCTGTCTGCTGCGACTTACGCTGAAGGCGATCCATGTTGAATGATAAAAGGCTTGGTAAAGCTTTTAACAAATAGGTTAGAGCCCCCATTTGTTCACAATAAGAGTCTAAACTTACGCATATTTTGAAATGTGGTAGCTAAAAAGTTGTGTAAAGAGATCGTATAGTTGTCTACCCAATACTTTGAAAAGAAGGGTTCAAATGTTGGGTCATTGGATGGATTTTTGATATAAGGTAATGCTATTGTTTGTATCAATATATTTGGTCTTGTGTTTTCATCATCATTTCTTACCAAACCAAGCGGTCCATTCAGGTTTGCCTTGTAGTTCTGATCCATAAATATCAAAGAATTCAATCACTTTTTCCCTTTTCTTATGTTGTATGGTATGAACAAGATAGTGTCTTAGCAGACATAACTCAAACTTTTTTATCGTACGTTGGAATCGACTATCGAGGCGAGAAAAGAAGCGAAGATCGAGATATCGATAATAGTCAACAAGTCCCTGAATGTCTCCAGAGGTTATGTATGATATTAGTTCTTCAATAATCTTATCCGCCTATTTTTTTTTTTTTCTTATGAATGGGATATAAAGTCAACTTGTTATAGTTTATATTTACTTGAAACCCTTTATCTTTATCCGACCTTATATCTGTTTCTAAAGCTCGAAAGGTGTTTATGAATCCACGAAACTAAAGAATATTAGTATATGTTTTGTTATCTCTTTTTTCTTTTCCCTTACTAATAAATACTCTTTCACAAGTTCATCCACTTGATGTAATGAATTCATAATGAACAAAAAAAAAAAAGAAAAAGAAAAAGAAAAAGAACGATTCCTGCAACGATGTGTAACAGCCCTTTTTTTTCTCTCTCTCTCTCTCTCTTTAGTAGGTTACCGAATTTGTCAAATTGTTCAATATGGCAATTTTTTCAGTCTTGTCATACGAATCACTTATAGAATAATAGAAGAATTGTAAAATGCAAACAATAAGAAAGGATAATTGAAACAAAGATTTTTGTGTGGTGTTTATTACAAGGCAGCCAAGTCCTTATTGTCAGTAGAAAGATGAGTTGTACAATGCAGAACTGACGACCAAAGAGTTGAAATGGGTCAATAACGCTCCCAAGTGTAAGCTTGATGATGATTCAATCCCAATGTGGGAAGCAGAAAGTGCTGTCTTTCTTTCTTTTTTAAATCATGCTCCTGATATGGTTAACTCGTGCTCTCTAAGGGGGCGAGTATTTTCTTTTTTTCCAAAAAGACGGCTTCAGATCTGGTCATAAGTTCTCTGTTTACATCTTTCTCGTGTGTAATAGAATCTTTATGTAACTAGGGGCTCTTGAATATCATATAAGAAATGGTTAGCCCACTCATTTAAATAGCAGAGCAAGTAACACAATGACGCTCTCTCCTTCCTTTTTTCTGGGTTTATTTATCTCTAAGGCCTTTTAGAATAAAGTCAAGCAGCATTTCTTCCTTCTAATACAAAAAGTAAGCTTCCTTTACAGAATCCTTGATAGACAAAATTTTGGCTATAGCGGCTGAACCCGTTTTTGGATACAGAAATCCCATCAAGAAGTTCATTCTTACAGTGATAGAAGCATTGTAAGTCCTGATCATCATTCAACTTTTCTAATTGTAAGGAAGAAGCACAACTTGAAGATGACTATCCTGGCGTCAACCGATCCACTTCATTTACATGAGAATATCAAGAGGCTTACACATGCATAACTGATATGCCCAGATGAAAAAAAAAGAGAGTGTGAATAAAAGCTTTTAATCTGCAAAATTACAGTAAAGAAAAAAAACCAAATATTTATAAAAGACTACCATTGTCCATTCATACTATTTCCATTTTGAAATGCATATCCACTGGATAATTGCTGATGAACACCAAACACATTGTTATTAGGTTGACGTCTGCCATATTGGCCTTGATTGTAGTTTGATTGTTGTGGATAACCATTATAGTTTTGCCATCCTGGAGGAGGACGATCTTTACCCCATGAAAGCTAAAGAATGATGAGTTGACTGTTATCAATCATAATCAAGCACTTACCTTAGCTATGTTACCATTGATATTCATGCCCTGTAAATGAACAATAGCATTTGCTGCATTTTCATGTGTATCCATCCTAAATCATGTAAGATTATGCTCGCTCTTTCTCCTTGAATGTAGTTTACTTACTTTACAAAGGCAAAACCACGATCAGCATGAAATTTAACTTCTTGAATATATCCAAATCTTTGAAAAGGTTGAACCAAATCATGTTCTATCATTTTGTTAATATTGTATACCATCCATTTATCACAAAAACACTTACGAGTTATACTGACTGGTATGTTGCCAACATAGATGCTTGTGACATAAGCAGGTGTTTGCTGCACAACAATTTCATAAGGCAATTGTTGTCCAGGTTGAGGTGCAGGCATAGCCATTTGTCCTTTTTGTGTAGCCCAATTACAGCGAATGGGACGTGTTCCTAACCATTCACCGTTCATGGTGGCAATAGCTTGTTCTGCATCTGTCTTGTCTCTAAAAGCTACAAAGCCAAAACCTCTTGACTTTCCAGACACTGGGTCCCACATAACGTGTGCATCACTTTAAAAAGAGTCAATGAGAGTGATTCACAGATATATAAAATAAACTTACGACATGGTGCTATAGTTAGAGAATGCATTTCCAAGCTTTTCATCAGTGACTTCAGGTGCAAGGTCACCAACAAAGATGTGAAAGTGGTTGGATGTATCTTCTTTAGCTGTCTGTTGTTGTACAGAAGCAGCAGCAGCAGCAGAAGAGGGTTGAGCCCAGTTTGCTCTAATTTCCTATTTTCATTGTTATATACACCCTGACCCTAGATGAAATAAATAAGGCTTACGTGTTCAAAGACTCTTTTGCCATTCATGACTTGAATAGCACCTTCAGCATCTTTTGGGTCAACAAATTCAACAAATCCATAATTAACGGCACCCTTTTATTAAATCAAGTTAGTCTCTGTTCATTGTTTCAGTCAATAAACTTACAAAATTACTATGCTTTCTGACCTAAGAATTCGTTTTCAATAAATATTGCCTTTTTTTGTAATGTTACAAACTTACGGATATGATTTTGACACTAGCAACTGTACCAACCGTGCTGGAGATCTCGTGTAACATAGCTTCAGTCACTCTAAAAAGAAATAGTTGTAAAATAACGACACTTTATGCTCTTTTTATTTATTATCTAACCTTTGGTCCAAATTGCCTACATAGATTGTGTTGGCTGGGTTGCCAGATTCTGCCATAGTCGAAGACATGTCCATTGTTGACATTATATAAGAAATGAAAACAAAAAAATAAAAAAGAAAAAAAAAGCAAAAAGAAAAAAATCAATGAAAAAAAAAAAAGTAAAGTATTGTTGACTCTTTTTGTACAATATGCTTTGCTCTCTTTTTCTTTAGATAAAAAGGTTTTTCTTTAAAAAAAAGAAAGGAAAAAGGAAAAGGAAAAAAAGAGAGGAAAAAGAGAAGGCTGGTTTTATGTCTCACCAGAGATGTCCGCATTTACTGTTTTTGCCCATCTTCCGAGCCGGAAAGAAAAGATAAAAAGCAGAAATTTTTTTTTGTTTACAAGTGAATATCAAACTCTCTTTTTTCCAATAGAATTCAATATGCAGTTTCTCTTTATATTTAGCATTGAGCAAACTAAAAGATTGGTGAATAAAAAAGGAATGGCTTGAGAATTTGTGAAATACGCTTTTTACTTTATTTGTTACATGTGTGTCTTTTCTTTTTTGTTTGATCATTTTGTCCATAACTCTCAATCTGTCTTTATGGCGAACACTATGATGGCCTCGTTTTGTCTATATCGCATAAAAAAAAAAGGCAAAAAGTCAGTCACGGAGATCGTCTTTCTGAGAATCAACTTTCTTGCCGGTAAAAAAAAAGGTAAATGTGGAGATGTACAAAAATTCAGGAACTCTTTTTTCTTTCCTTTCTATTGTAAATGGTTTATTGTATAGGATCTGGTAAACCTATAAAAAGAAAGCTTATAGTAGTTGGAGATGGTGCTTGTGGTAAGACATCCTTATTGAATGTATACACAAGAGGCTACTTTCCTCAAGTAAGGATACATATTAGATTTTAAGGAGCCCCCTGATTTAAGTCATATAGGTATATGAACCTACTGTATTTGACAACTATGTGAATGATGTATACATTGATGGAAAACATGTAGAACTATCCATATGGGATACAGCAGGTAAAAAGTGGAATGAAGCAATCAAAGTAGTACATTAACTGTGTATATCATTTAGGTCAAGAGGAGTTTGATCGAATTCGATCTTTATCCTATAGCGATACACATGTCATCATGATATGCTTTTCAGTAGATAATAAGGACTCCTTAGAGAATATACCCAACCGCTGGATGGAAGAATTAGAAGAGGGTTGCCCCAGAGCAAAGATTATCCTGGTAGCACTAAAATGCGACTTGAGAGAGGATGAGGCAACTTTGAAGAAATGCGATCCTATCTTGTATCAAGAAGTAAAATATATCAATCGACCATGTTCAACTTCTTTTATAATAGATTCTAATTATCTTTTTTTCAGGGATTAAATGTAGCAAAGAGCATACGTGCAGTGAGATACCTCGAATGTTCGGCAAAACACAATCGTGGTGTTCGAGAGTGCTTTGATCAAGCAGCAAAAGTGGCTATTTCTGGTAAATGTGGAACCACATGTTATTGATTTGTGTACTCATATTTTTATAGTAAAATTGGACGAACAATCATCAAAGCATTCTTGCGTTATTCTATAACCTTTATACTTCCCTTCCGTATGCGTATAACAGCATATACATACATATATACCTTATTATATACTCTTATTTGATTGTTTTAGTACAATAATACGCCTGTGTTCACTGATATTGCACAATTGATTGCGTTACTCGACGTGCGTGTATGTGTGTGTATAACCTTGAGTACTTTCTCTATTGCACCATTTGGTGCAATAATAAATAACAGTAGTGACACTTTATACAAGTATTCATATCTGTACAAATATGACTTTTTATTTAAATGGCGTCAATTTTAGTCAGTTAAAGTAATATTGCCCTGATGAGGGGCACTGAAATATATTGATAATTAAACCCGAATGAGAAACTGTAAAAAGGGGGTAAGCCATTGACTGCCATTTACAATGCGAACGGCGGAATTTGTGTTTGCTCATATTTCATACAAAAACTTTCTTTTCTTTACTTGCTGTTAAGCATATTGGTGAACACTACGCGCATGAGGAAATCCACGAGAAGGCTAATGTTACGGACGCTTCCTCAGGGCGTCACTACACAACCTCAAACTACCAGTCTCTACCTAACCTAAGGCTGTTTATTGATATAAAATACAAATACATCATAATTACTCTTGAATGATCTTGATTCTTTGCTGATAGAGTTGACAACGTAAAATTGAAATACAGCAATAGCAGAAGAATATCACGCTTGCCCTGCTTGTTGGGATATATTCATAGAAATACACGAACTTTCAGCACACTATTACCTACGTCCTCCCACAGCAATATCTAAAAGGCAAAACGATTGCATCAGCTGTACTTACTCCGTCAAATAACCTTATGCAAAAAACTACTACATCCGAAGTCGAGACAAAGGGTGTGATAAGGCCTCGCCCTTGGTATAGAAGATTTTTCTAATAGTGATTTCTATGTCCAAACAACACAACCAAAAAAAGTGACAATGCGACATGTAAAGAAATAAGGATATAGACAATATATTACTAAAAATAAAACGTGGCATGAAAAGTCTATTATTACCACATCTTTTGTCTTGTCTTTATCAACCTCCGAATTTTGGGCAAGCGACATTTCCACCGTTCACACTATAAAAAAAAGTAGGCAATAGTAGTACAGTGGCTACTACTGATATCATACATGTTGAATTCCTTTTTGTCAAAGCCCACGACTGAATCATTAGAATATCTTGCCCTTACATAATGCATTGGCGAATGCTTTTCTTTATTTAAGTAATTGAAACAAGGCAATTCCCAAGCTAGTGCAATATTTATAAACTGCTTAATATCATTGCTATAAACCCAACTAAAGAAAAACATGTGGAGAATTGCCATAAATACTCCTACAAGTTTAAACAGTGAACTACTTGTTCAATCAAGTTACGCATAGCTATCATGTCAAGCTTTTTGATCTTCATGTGTGTGTATCTTTTTGTGTGTAAATAAAACAAGTGCCCACTTGCATGCTTTAAATTCATTTTGCCAAATTAAGACTTTAATTTCTGCACCTAGCAGTCGTTTAATCACTGTTGCCTTTACAGTAATCAAGTGATGCTTAGACTAATATAAAAGACTTTATTACTCTTGTTGCTTTATTTTAGGGAATTATATTTTGCCGTAATAGCTGTAATCAGAAATTGTGTATGTGATTAGTTCATCTTTACAAGTCTACAAGGTAACCAAGGCTAACACTGAAGTTCAAGGCCATCATGTCTATGGTGTTTCTTTATGGCCAACCCAATTCTGTCTTTTTCGATATCAAACTGAGTATAAAAAGCATTCGTAAATGAGAATCCAAGGACATAGTCCGAGTCTGAGCTACTGCGACCGATATGAGTACGACACATATCGCAGCATGTATCTGTTTCACGTGGATAACTCCAATAGTGAGGAGGAACTGTGACAGTGATATTGCCAAGTTGTATTTGGAAGCTTGTCAGCCTATCCATCAAGCAGCAAGGTATTTTGTATGTATTGTCTGGTTCATCGTAGACAGCATACCAATGCTTTTCAAACTCGTCAGCTAAGCAAGTAGACAAATTTAGAAACGTTGCAAAAACTAAAGCAATATATTCTTACCTTGTTCATTTGGTAATCCGATAACATCTGTGGATGAAGACAGTACTGCTTTCGCATGCTTACTAACTTTAAAACAGAGATCGTGTAAAAATTTGGCATGGCGTACAGGAACTGCCCAGTTTCCAGAGCCATCATTTTCAGCTGCCTTGACATAATATAGCTTTCCTTGAATAGCGTCTGTATCTACTCCACCTATCAGAAAGTAAAGCTTTAATGACTTTCTAAAAATAATGCAAAAAAAAGGAGAGGCCAAAAAAGGAGAAATTTATTTTACCTAAAACAAGGTACCCTGCGGGCGTATCATCCTTTGTGTGTCGCTTTGAGATTGTTCCCCAACCTCCAGACGCAACGCCCGTCGATGGAGTACTGTTTGATGCTGTAGTTTGCGAGAATCCACTTCGGCTAGATGTTGTGTACATGGCAAATTGAGAGCTACCCATACCGTAACCCTGTTGATAGGCGTTAGGTACAAACCCTGAATCAGGGATATCTCGCTTGGCATAGTGTTCTTGCACTGTATTAAGATCTACATTTCTTCCTAAACCAAGGAAGCCATCGAATCCTTGGTCAAAGCGCTCCATGCGGTATGCATCTCCAAATGGCATATTCTCTACTGTCAAGCCAGCGTAGCGGAAAGTATCAAGGCAGAGTGTTGTATAAGCAACACCTCGACCGTAATCCATGGTGAATTTTTTGCCTACAGTAACAACAGTGGTAGATCTGCTTGCATTGTATGACTTTCTATCTAGACAGTTTCCATTAACACATTGAGTACCACGGATCCAACTGAATCCTGTGGATGTATCTAGCGCTAATGTCAGCTCTTGTGGTGGGTTACCGACCTCGATAACAGCCCCCATCATGCCATTTTGGACAAGTTGTGCAGGTGCGGATATAAACTCTGACTGGCTGGTTCGTTTTTGATATAGAGGGATTTTGTGAATAGCCTCGACTGTTGCTGATAGTACGAGTGCTGCAAGGTAGAATAAGAATACCGATCTCATAATGTTCAGAGAATAAGCTCGCTTTTATGAAAAAGAGTTACCGGAAAGAAGCAAGTCTGTAACTAAAGAAGAAGAAAAAGAAGAAGGAAAAGGAGATAGGGGTGAGATATATAAATAGTAGACGGCCCAGGCTTCATCCAAGTCTGATGGATAGTCTCTTTTTGTTGTTGTTTTTTAGTTGATATCCTATTTCACCCCCTTTCTCCCCTCTCCCTTCTCTTGTTATATTTCGAAAAACCCCTTTATGTTAAAGAGCTCTGAAGCTCCTCTTTTATATGGGCAAGAAGGGCTCTGTGAAGCGTGATGCTTTTTTTAATTTTGATAATTCAGTTACACCTTACCAAATCCCTTCGATATCCTTATACGCCTGTTTAGACAAACTACCCAATTTATAAGCTCATTGTTTCATCGCTTTTAAATTATTCATTGTTTATACTCTATGATAAAGTAATATCAGGTGAGAATAATGTGTATAGATTCACACTCCTTGTCATCTTTACTCAGCGCATAAACTTCGGAATGGTTTTATTGTTATTAGACGATAAACCTATATCTCATATAACAGAACCTTTTAAACTATTGACCAATAGTCACTCTATATACGAATTCCTACATCTGTAGAATGGGAACAACTGCGATATTAGGCTTGGAAAGATTACAAGCTGTTGAGTTGATATAGTAGCAATGGTGAGACCAGGTTCGAAATTAGATAGGGTTACGTGATATTCCTCAAGTCAGAAAATGGGGCAACTACTTGAGTGCATTTGACATTCAGAAAGATCAAAACAAATTCAGTGAAATGTGATATAACAAACAAATTGAATGGAAGATGGCTGTCCTGTGGTAATTTGGCTAATTTTTTCTGAATCGTGTGCGTGCCAAGCTTACAGGTAAACTTACTGAGAAGATCCACACTCCATTTTTGGTAAATATTGAAACCAAAGAGAAAATGCGCTGAATGCAACCTGTTACAGAAATTAATGCAGCGTGGCTGGCATTGGCACCAGTGCTTTCAAGGCATATCCATTGAGCACATGGAACTACATTGCATGGACACACAAAAAAAAAGACGCATGCTAATTGGTCCAGCAAGTTTGACGCATTCAAGAGGTATTACATCAAGCCGACTGATAAGTTCCAAGGCAGCCAGAGATATCAATGTTATCATCTTTTCTATTGCGGAAAATATGGACATCTCATTAAAGCCTTGTCACAGCGATCATAATGACCACAGCGTTTGTTCAGCTCTATAGTAGGGTAAGGCATTGAACGAGTCCTCTACCTATTATGGTATCCTAGGTTGATAATCATATAAATGGAAGGGGTGTCTATATCTTACTATGTATTTGTAATCAATAGAATACTAACAAAAGCATTATTTTTTTTTTCCTGGAGTGAGAACATTGTCTTTACTACCTGCGCTTGATTGTTTAAAAGTGATATGCGGTTGTTTAAATCATGGAACAATAGTCACGATGCTTATTTAAGAAATGATCAGTAGCTTTTTCGTTTTCTTCTTTTTCTTTTTCAAATTTAACTTTTTCAATATGGCCAGAACCAAACAAACTGCTCGTAAATCTACTGGTGGTAAAGCACCTAGAAAGCAACTTGCTACTAAAGCTGCTAGAAAGTCAGCACCTACTACTGGTAAGGCTTTACATAATAGTATGGACCAGTAATAAACCATACTTAACAGGTGGTGTGAAGAAGCCTCATCGTTATAAGCCTGGTACCGTTGCCCTTCGTGAAATCCGTAGATATCAGGTAATATGACATTTATTATAATTTAATTGTACAAGTTGTCCTAACAAAGCCTTGACAAAAGAAATCAACTGAACTCTTGATTCGTAAACTTCCTTTTCAAGTAAGCACGATATACCCATAACATTTTTGCTATCAAGGTTATATTTACCTATTATGTAATAGCGTCTTGTAAGAGAAATCGCTCAAGATTTCAAGACTGATTTGCGTTTCCAATCCTCTGCTATTGGTGCATTGCAAGAAGCTGCGGAAGCTTACCTTGTTTCACTCTTTGAAGGTTAGCTTTTTTTTTAAATTGAATATGCATCACATGGTATATTTCTAACGCTTTTTCTCCTTATACAGACACCAACCTTGCTGCCATTCATGCAAAGAGAGTCACAATTCAACCCAAAGATATTCAATTAGCTCGTCGTCTTCGTGGTGAACGATCTTAAAGAATATACACAGCCCTTTATCATTATGAAGATGACTAGCAGAATAAGGAAAAAACATCACTTTATTGTTATTCACTGAGCAAATAAATAAAGTTTAATATACTTTGTGGTAAAATTTATACAGTGTCTAAATTAGGGTCTGCATCAAGCAGTTTTTGGTGTATGGCTTTAAGTGCACTTAATGCATGCTTTTCTTTTACAACACAAGAGATGTTAATTTCTGATGCACCTTGTGAAATCATTTCTAAACTAACTCCAGCTTCCGCCACTGAAGAGAACATTTCACCGGCTATACCGATCATATTCTTCATCTGTTTGCCTACAAGCGACACAATGGCCATATCTCGGATAACATCGACCTAGAACGAGACATCAGAATGACGAATGGGTTTCATGTGAACACTTACTGTTCCTAATCTTTCTAATTCCACTAGGGCTCTACTCAAGCTATTCTCAGTGGCATCTATGGATAGGGCCATGGAGACATTTATTTGTGAAGTAGAAATCAAGTCAACGACAATATTATGCTCATCCAGAATGGTGAATATCTTTGCAAGGAACCCATGGCTTACGTTTTTACGGTTTGACTGTATGTTCAAGACACAAATCTTGTCTTTGACAGTGACTGCGGCAGGCCGCTTCCTTGACAAGTCCTTATGATAGCCATTCTGAGCTAAAACTTCGGGTGAAGGCGGAGGCGTAGCAGAACCGTTTCTCTTGAGGCTGTCGGGGAATATGATGGATCCTACACCTGAGGGATTTTCGACATTTTTTATACGAATGGGAATTTCTGCTCTAATGACTTGTTCCATGGTAAACGGATGGATAACTTCTGATCCGTAATAGGTCAACTCTGCTGCTTCTTCGGGAGTGATAATGGGTAATAGTCTTGCTGTATTTATCTTTCGTGGATCGGCTGTGAAGATACCGTCTACTTCTTTCCAAATCTGAAGTTCCTGTGATTGTAGACCAACAGCGGCTAATGCTGCACAGAGATCTGTATATCCTCTACCAATGCTATTCAACAAACTTCCAGGTACATAACCAAAGAATCCTTTTTTCAAAAAAAAAAAGCATGAAAAAAATGCTCTAAATGAATCATCATCATCATTCATTATTACCTGTCAAGACTGGCACCCGATTTCCACAATCATGTATGATCTCTTTTAATCGACCAGCCACATAGTCGTAAAATGATTGATCTAGGGTTGTGAACTCTTGATTGATTATATTACTTAGAACTACTAGTTGACTATCTATTCCCTATGTTATAATAATATGAGTAACGCTTTTTTCCGATTGAAATACCGTTGCTTACCCTGTCTTTTAATACAGCCGCGATAATGGTACATGACAGTTTTTCGCCCATGCCAACAATGATATCTTTTGATCTTGAAGATATTTCTTCAATTATCTAATAGGCTATCAACATATATCCACAACTCTATTCGGGGGACATTTGTTACCTCTGCTGCTTCCAAAAAGGATTTCAACTTTAGACAATCTTTTTCTAATTGATCTTCAAGGGCCGATAATATCTCTGGGTTTTTAATGACCGATCTAGCTGCATTAATGTGATCATCTCTTATTTCTTTTACAATATTCAAGTGCTCTTTTGACCCTTCCGTGATAGCTTCTTTTGCTGCTCGTAATAATCTTTAATAATATTACTTATTAGTGTCAATGCGTCTATATTATTATTAATTTACCTGTTTGTCGTTCCTTTTTCTTTCGTGACTCCACTTCTTGCTGAGCAAACAATGGCGACTCTATTTGTTTTTAAATATTTCCTAAATAATAATATCGTAAAAATGTTAGTGAAGGTGCCATAAAGATTCTATATTCGGTCTTACGGTATAATCGTATCCGCAATTTCATTCAGAAATTTGCCTACACTGGTTCCTCCGTATTTCTGAACAATCCATGGCAGTTGAGGTGAATTCATTTGTAGTTCTATTTGCATTATTAAAAGAAAGGGAAAGGAAGAAAAAGAAAAAGAGAGATCTAGCAGCCAAGGTACAACTGAGGTTAAATATGAATAACGAATCAAATCTCTTATCTTAAAGATGATCTCTCTGTTTATAATGTGCATGATTTTCCGAGCGTAATTTTCTGCAAAAGTAACTGGACAACATTCATTTTCCGCCATCATTATTTATTCGACAAATTTTGATTCATTGCTCGATATCGAATGGGATCTTGTCATAAGTAAAATAAGCTCAGCAGGGAGACTTTAACTCTTGTATTCAAAAGATCTTGTTTTTGCTCTTTCTGGTAGAGCATCAACTATAGTCACACCAAACTAGTATTCGTACTATGCAAAAATTTAGTAAAATCAGATATCTTCTTTACTTGTAACAATCTTTATCCCAGAAGGGAAACCGTGTTCATTACGGCGATTTTAAAAAACATTTAATCTCTTCTATAGTTGAAAGGTCGACCTCTTCCATCCCAAATCGAAAGAGAAATAGACAGTATATTCTTACAAGCGTTGATATCTGGTTGCCATAATGTGTCGTGTGTTGTTGACAATGATGCCGTACCACGATGGCTTTTTGGCACTCAAAAAAGTATAAATGAAGACCTTTTTATTAATGGCATCAAATCCAACAACGAAGAGGAAAGAGGTGCATAGGAAGTATCAGATAAAAAAAATATTTGTCGCTATAAGATTGTTGGGTAGATCTAATCGTAAAAAAACTATAAGTTATTGGCAACGTCAACTGTCACGTTACGGAAATCAAAATTTTAATTTTCAGAAGTTGAAGTTTTTAATGATTCGAAAATTTGGTATCGCATAACAAAGGTTTGGAACGAAGACAAAGAAAAAAGCTACTAATCAGCTACTAAGGTGTACCAGGGATGGGATTCGTGTCAAGATTGGCATCACGTAATGAAGCCGTGTCTTCTTGAATGGAACTGATAACCGAGTCGCGCCAAGCAAATACATCTTTCATATGCTTTATAGTCTTCTTTAAACCGTCTGGCGAATAAGGAACTTGGATTTCAGCCGCTCGTGTTCGAACGTAAGTGAGATTAGTCATTAACGTCAATGATTCAAAATAAATGGTTCGATCTTGTGTGAGAACTATGAAAATACGGGGTTGACAGTTTTCGTTGCTGTCTCGCCTGTTCAAGAGTCGAGCTGCGTTGCGATACACCTTTTCGGTATCATTCTCTAATTTTTTTGCGTTTTGATTTCCGAAGCCACCAGCAAACTCTATTAGCATCACTGTTGCTTTGTCATCATCATCGTTCACATTTTGCAAAACGCCGTCCCATTTATGGCGCTTTGTTCCTTCAGCTTCTACTTCGATCCTAAATAGAAAAAAAAAATGTAAGCAAAACGTTTATTTTTTTTTTTGGATGAACAACCATTTGAACGAGACGCGATCATTGAATTGGAGAAACAAGTTTTGAAGGATCAGAATTCCACTATCCAAAGCACTAGTTCTTTCGCCACATATCATTGATATATGGTTACGCGGCGAACACATTAGGTCAATCCTAACCGTGAAAATACCTCAATTATTACTGTTATTTCGGACACAATCATGATTTTTTATAATACCATCGACCAGCAATGACCTCGATTGCACGAAGATCATAATGAATCATAGGACGATAGTCTTTTGCTTCAATTATAGGAGCTCGGATAATCTGACACAAGTCCCGTGCATCCACGTTGCTTGCAGATAACGCATCTATCAATTTTTTGCACGCTGGTTCTTCTTTCCAAGAGATAGTAGTTGGTTCGAAAAGTTTTCTGAACTTCTGCTCTCCTAGGGATTCTTCATAGAGTTCACGTGAATGACGGTCTGCAAGATCAATTATGTTCAGGGAGCTTAAACTGATGGAAATACAAACAGGTTAGGCTCTGTATACAGTTTTTTATAAGTAATGCCGCATAATTCAAAAGTTTATAATACAAAATATACAAAAAATGACATCTTGGGACGACGTTACTTTCTGGAAATAGTGCGTGCAGCGGATTTAGCGTTTTATATACCTAAGTTTGAGATTCTGCGAAGCAGACATCAGTTTCTCCAGCATGGGATCCCTTTGCTCCTCTCCATCGCTGGAAAGATCGTCTGAGACTCGCTGATGTTCGTTAGATGGCTCTAGCCCTTCAACAGATCTGGAAGAAGTTCCCGCCACTTCAGAAGCAGTGCGTTTCATCAAAGCAGCGGTTTGTTGAACAATCTGCTCACGTGCGTTTGCTTTGGTTGCTTCGATGCGTTTGTTGGAATCAGCACGCTGACGCTCCATCCAAAACCTCTGGTATCGTTTACCGAAGCGTGAGTTGCAGTTATTCCGTTGCTAGAAGAAAAAATGTTTTCAATTTTCCCCAATCTTCATTACATCAATAAACATAAACAAGCGTTTACCCTCATCAAAGCTTTTGCTTCGTCGATGGCTTCTAGATGGTGATGATCAGTTGTCATGCTGCCAGCGTCTCTTAACGCGCGACGAAAATTCAGGTTTGATATGGCTTCGTTTGCTTGAAAATATGATATAAAATCAAAATAATCATAAGCTTTTTTCTTGCTTCTTTTCGTTATCTTTTTTTGATCTTCAAGCCAAGTCGAAATACTGAACATTTTTGAAAGAGAAAAAAAAAGAGGTGATTATATGGACACCATGTTCTACTATATAGAGGATTTTCATTAATCACGACTAACGTTCCTAAACAAATGAAGCATATGGCCGTTAGCTTTGATATCATTGGTTGGCCTACTCTTATTTTTAAGGAGGTTATGAAGCTTATTTTTTAATATTTCCTTTTGAGCACACGCGAGTTTCTCTAACCAATGATGCCAACTCTGGCGACTATGTTCTTTGTTTACAGAACATATGAGCAATCTATTTGTATCAGTAGCCATGATTAAAAGGAGGAATTTTAGTAAAACAGGATGTCCCAAAAAAAGTTTGGCTTGGAAAATATGTGTTCATATAATTACCCAATGGAAATTATTCATACATTCTACAGAATTTTTTGTTCGAGCCTTTTTTCTCTTAATCTTTTCAATTCAGAATACAGCGTCCTTCTACGATTTCAGTTTTTCAACAAGACTGTTTGCGCGGGATGAAATCTCTACACATACATGCGACTTGGGGCCCTGCCTCCCCGCATTGTCTTGATGCGATCCCGGATGCCGTTTGTTTCAACACCCATCCGTCCGCGTAGAGATGTTGTTCTGTAGCACGGCAGCATCCTTCCACGATTTCAGTTTTTCAACAAGACTGTTTGCGCGGGATGAAATCTCTACACATACATGCGACTTGGGGCCCTGCCTCCCCGCATTGTCTTGATGCGATCCCGGATGCCGTTTGTTTCAACACTCATCCGTCCGCGTAGAGTTGCAGTGCAGTGATAAGATGTTTAGCAAACAGCTTCAACTACTGTATTTGAACGTAAGTATAGAATAAATTATAACTGCATCTGACATGTTCAAACACATTTTTTAAACACTGATCTTTCGAGAATCGGTAACAAGTAAATGTAAATAAAACAAGTTTTCAAATGGATATTGGGAAGATTTCCAAGTTGGATGGTGCCTGAACCCATGCTTTATCAATATATTCAATTACTGTTCTTCTGTAACATTAAAAACATAAAAAGTTATGGTATTTTACACGTTGACCACAATTAATAACAATGCTAACTTTGCCGTTCCTATTCTGCAAAATATGTGGTGCCCCTACTGCCTCGCGCGAATATTATGATACCTATCCATCCCTGCACAACAAACAGCAGCCGATCGACCACATCATGAACCACCTTCCGCGCTTCGAAAGTGGGCTGACCCACAATAACTGGAGGAAGATATGGCTAGCGTTGATCCAGGTCCTTTGACAGATTGATCAGATGAGCCACAAGGATGCGGGATATGACGATGACGCCCTGTAAGGCACTGCCTCTGTAACTATGGGAGCACACAGATAACTTTTCTCTGTTTTTTGTTTATTCATTATTCGATCCAGGCCTGTCTTTTTCCCCACAGGGGTTTTTTCAGACATGGCACCAGCACTTTTTTATATTATTATTATCTTTTACATTTGTATTGCAAGGAAGCGGCCATTTACCTATAGGGATAGATCCTCAAGTCTCCCACAAATAAAATACATACTTTTCAATTATTCTGCAAATTCATATGATTACCTCTATTTTTGTATTTTCCACTCGCTGTCTCTTATCTCTTTGTTGTTGGCTTTGATGCCATTAGTAATCTTTACAAACACTCTTTATTTCGACATTTATCCCAACACTTGTAAGAATGCGAAATGAAACCTTTGTAGTGACTTATTTCTACACTGTTGCAAGCTTCCGTGATCCTTTTTGTTAAAGTGTCTTGCTGCAAAAACCTATGGCGTTTAACCTTACTCTTTGCCACTACCCAAAATTGTTTTATGGGTTAAGCTCAGGTGTGTAAATAAAAAGATACACATATTTATATCCTCGGTACTCAATATATTTCTTCATGTTTTCATGCGTGTGGATTGGTGCATTATCCATCACTATATAATGACCTTTCATATGCGAGTGCTTGTCCATTTCGAGAGTCACTTTCAAGAAACTGACATAGTGGCCTGCTATCGTCTCTGAACTTACATATCCTTCAGCCTTTCTATTCTTAGCAGGTCTTGGTTTTTTTACGTCGACTGTAGTCAAGCCTGCGGCAGAGATGGCACCCAATATAGACGAAGTGTTTGCTCTCGCAATAGGTCTAGTAACAATAGCACGAGCGCCTTTTTTAGGCCAAGCTCTTGAGCGTTTCATATTTATATCAAAAGCAGAGTCGTCAAGAAACATACAATTTGTCAGGAAGTTCATGTCCGTATTTTCCTATTTACAAACCCAATTGTACCGCTCCTCAACCTTTGCAGTACTATTTCTTTCGATAGAATGAAAGTCGACTTTCTTCAAAGAAAGATTACATTTGTTTCTCATGAAATTATAAGCAGTGCTGCGTGAGACTTTAAGATCATTAAATCGCTTCAACAACAGCAGCAGAGGGATTAGCATCAATAAAGTTGACAACGGCCGTTTTATGCTCTTCGCTCAAGATACATTTACGATCAACCTGCTTACAATCCTCAAAAATACTATCAGGACACATATTGTATTGTTTAATGCATCTCTGAGCAGTCCGGATGTGGATGCCCAGCAGTTTCGCTGGAGCTGATGCGTTCATACACTTCTCAATCTTAAGGTCGAAAAATCCAGCCTTATCCTGAACAGTATAGCGCACATAATCACGTTTTATGTTTGCTTCTTTCATGCGAATGTCTTCATCTTTTGGCTTTTCTACCAGCATTAGGCAAGCCGATGAAGGTTCATTGGACGCTGCGTGTTTTGGGTGTTCGCTATGAGTCGCAATCGCCTCAACAACAAATTCATCCTGATCAACAATGTATTCCATGGGCTCACGGCCACCATTCTCATCAACAATGTTTCCATGCCCATCTTCAAATAAAAACACTGTCTTAATGTTAAAATGTTAAGATAAGAAAAAAAATACTCCAGGAAAACAAAAAAGGTCCTCATTTATGTTTCTTCGAGTGCCAAAAAGTCATTGTGATACGACATCATTGTCAACAGCACACGACATGATTTCTAAAAATGCGACTTCCATCAATTTTGATTGTCTGCGGCATTGCTTATTGGAAGTACTGTATACTGTACATAAAAGAGTCTGTAGACAGAGAGACATCACAATAATAATCTGTACTACAATGTGGTGTATATTGCTACCCTGTATTAATAATTTATATATTTCTTTACTTCTTATTTATCTAAATAAAAAAGATACAATTGGAAGTTATTGTTTACTCATCGTCCCTTTACAAATCAACCAATCAGTAATTCTTCAGGGATCCGTAACGTAGCCATAATGTAGCTATAACATAGCTGTAACATAGCGGTAACATAACCGTAACGTATCCGTAATATGCCTTCACACAAGGCTTTTTCAATAATAAAGGTCCTCTTTTTTTTGCATATCGCTTTCATAAACAAAAACACATTGTGCATGTAGGTTTTATTGCTTTTCTGTGTTGAAACACTCACCAAAACACTTGGCAGAATGAGATACAAAGCCTTTGGAATTACTTAAATATAGACTATCACATGTTTTACTGATCCTAATCATTAATTTTTCCTTTTCCAAGAACTTGTTTCGCTTAAATTTGCTCTTGACAACGGACCAGAACTGCTCAATTGGATTCAGCTCAAGGGAATATGGAGGAAGATATACAAATCTGTATCCTCGAGAGTAAATATACTTTCCTACATTAGCTGAGCTATGGATTGGTGCGTTATCCATAACAAGATAATGTCCTTTCATTTCTGGGTATTTGTCCATTTCATCAAGAGTCGCCTTCACAAAGTTCAAACAATGACCTGTCACTATTCCTGTAATTTAAGAGAAATTGCTTATGTTCTTCCCCAAGAATACGATGTCGACCTGATTTTTTCTTTTTCTCGAAAATACTTTCAGAGTCTTCGTAATAACGTTTGACTCATCGCTGGGCTGCACGGACATGAATACTTAATTGTCTTGCAGCAGCAGAAGCACTTAGACACCTACTAAAAAATAAATGAAAAAACCTAGCTTTCTCGTCATCAGAGTAAAACATGTATTGTCATTTATTGCATAAATCCATATTAACATCTCCATTATCCCTTTCATCAGCAACTGGATGCATTGCAGGATTAGAAGATCTTTCTGGAGATTTATTCATTAAGAATTGAGTGCGAGCATTAATTGTTTCGATAGCAAATAGCTCCTCATCAACAAGATCCATAGACTCAACTCCATTCTCATCAACAACGTGTCCTTGTCCATCTTTGTAAAAGAAATTGCGTACTCATTTTAAATGTCTGTAAAATAAACTGGAAACCGGAAATAGAAGAAAAGAGTTGCTCCCTTTAAAAAAATAATGGTATAATAATTAAAGCGACAAGTAAAACAGTGACGTTATTTTCTGGAATGACTGTATCCACTCCCAAATCGTACATTTTTAAACTCAGCAATACATTTCTCGAAAATAAAATGGAATATTCAGCCAATTAAATTCGTACTTAATCTGGAGCACTTCTCAAACTTGAACAAACTGTGAACTTAAGTCTGAACATTATTATTTACCTCTTTATTTTTTGCGTAAAGACGGTTCCGGTAACATTATTAAAGAAGATGGAGCTGGGACTATGGATTTCGAGATTGGAGGCAATCCCTATTGAATGTCGTTCCTAATTCAACCTTAGCTGCCTCCATTTGTCCTCTCTTGATGAGGAGGCTTGAAATAAAATTGTTCGAAAGTGTCTGCTGAAAGGCTCCAATTTGTATGCTTTTTAACGTCGTCTATCTTATGACCCAATTTGACAGCTTTCGTGCTTGATGCTGAACAAAGCGTGTGAGGTTCATATACCTGTGTATTGATGGCAGACTTTTGCATAGCTTGTTTCATAATATTTGCTACTGTGCCTGATTGAATCGTACTTTGCTGAAATTGTTGATGTATGCTGGAAACACCGCATGCTCGTTTGAGAGCTCTGAACGTAAATGTTTTGTTTTTTCCATGAAAGTAAATAATGTAAATACAGGACACATCGACTTTTGGGATAAGGTGCCCAAGGCTGAATGTTTCTGTTGAGCTTCCTTTGAAGCTCTGATGAACAATGTAATCCCAGTGAGATTTGCATCATTATCGAACTTGAAGCGGACATCGCGTGTTTTGCAAGGTACCGATATCCGATCTTGATCCCCACATCGTTGCAATACATAGTAAAAGAATTATCTTTTGTTGTAGCTTGTCGATAGTGAAAGAGGTGCTGTCGCTGAAATTGGTTGCAATATACTTTGTCAAAATGGACAAGACCCAGGTTTCAATTTGTGCTTGTTGCGGTAACTCGACTACCGTTTTCAGCTTCGCCTGGAAAAAATCTTGAATAATGACGTTACTGTCAATTGGAGGCATGTGTGGATATAAGGCGCGGAAAACAGAAGCGATTGCTGAATGGAGCACGATTGGTGGTCCATAAAGAATCGCAAAATATTTTTGAATCGTAGGCTATGGAATCGACATTCGGTTATTGCGATACACACCAATGCATCCATTTTTGCCAGCTAATATTGCAACTATGATTCTTTGATGAAGCAATTTAACACCACCTTTAAATAAAACATTTCCTAGATTGAAATATTAACCATCTAATAAAGAGAAAGCCAAAACACACGATAGCTTGAATAAAGGAAATGATGTAAATTGGCATGTTACTTAGAGTAACAGTGTGTCAATTATATACAAGCTACCTATTTTCTACTCAAATGCCCTGCATTGAGATTAGTAAACGATCTTTGCTAGATAGTTGAAAAAGCACCAAGAAACCAAACATTCAAAAAAGGAAAACACTTCACCAGAGGCGATTTTTATTAAAATACTTTACTCCTAAAGGTTCCTCGGCTTGGGAAAAGGGCACACTTTAGCATGAGAAAATCCATCAGAGTACTACTGACACTATTACATTCCTTTAGAATAACAAGAATAAAGAAGCAGTTCATATATTATATCATTCTCACAGCTCTGTTATGACTTCATTTTGACAGCTAGTAGCGTATATTAGCACGAGTAAGTGAAAGCTCAAGTGTGCATATGCAGTAGAATATACAATCATCTTTAGTAGGAGAACCCATCTTGCACATTTATGTGAAATGAAAACTTTACTTTGTATTTTAATAGAACATACGTTGACTGTAAATCATCAGCTAATGCTGATTGACAAATGTTCATGTCTAATGGTTTGTACATACGGGAAATTCGCCGGCCATTATATCTTAAAATACGCTTTGGGCATGAATTAAGGTTTATTTGGTACCGCTATCTCTCTCTCTCTCTTTTTTTTTTTTTTTCACCTTAAAAAAGGGAAGTGTATCGTAAAATATGATCTCATGTTCAATAGTTATTATTGTCATTAAATTTCTATTATGCTTTGAATATTATCCTTTTAAATAGTATATATAACATGTAGGGCTAGACTGTTTTTGCTTATATATAGCATCCTTGATCATACTCCCGTCTGTCTCACCCTCTTCCTTTCTTTTCGTTTTATATTTGCTTTAGCCAGATCAACATTGACCCTGTTATTTTTTTTTTAAAACCGCACTATCTATATTCCTAAAAAAGTACAATTACTAAACTTGCTCAATACGCCATTTCATGTCATTTCCAGACCACAGAGCATCCGCAAGTATGATACACAAGGAAAATGATTTTGTGGAAGCCAGGGGCACAGATATACGTCCAAGTAGTTACCCCAAGATAACAGGTTATACAAATCGACAAAAGTCAGAAACACGCCTTAATCAACAACAATCTATAGATGTAAATCTATATATTCAGTATGGAAGTAGCAACGAAAGGAAGGAGTTTCCATCTGAGCAGTCTTCTATATCAGATGGAGTAGGGTCTAGCCACACAGTCATTAATGAATCTACGCAAGCTGTCTATCAGTTAAAGCATACAGGTGCTAAATGCGATAGCACCGAGCGTAAGCCGAAATCTCAGGGGCTTCAAGATAATTCCTCTATAGAGCTAAAGACATATCCTGTGGCGTGGTTAGTTCTTTGCCTTGTAGTACTGTTTCGTATAGCCGTAGCAATCTTCGGCAGTACGTTCAGTCCTATTCCTTTAGTGATTGCAGAATATCTTAACATTTCTCTGTCCGGAGTAAATTGGCTCTACAATATCATGGGTATAGCATATATAATTGTAAGTTGTTTTACCAGTTGGATGTATGAAAAAATTGGAGTAAAACGATCAGTAAGTTCAAGTATAATAGTAAGGCCATTTTTATGCTTATACAAGGCATTCTTTTAGCTGTTCCTCGCAGGAGTACTTTTGTCGGTAGGATGTTGGATAAGATGGATCGCAGTCAAGATCAACCCACCGTCTTTTGCAATTATGATGCTTGGCCAGACCATCGCTTCCATTAGTGCTCCTATGAGCTTGAACATTATGACTGTGGTATAGCCTTAAGACATTTGAATATGTATGTAATCTAAAGATAGTCTTTTATAGTTTTCTTCTCTATGGTTTACAGAAAACATGAGAGCCACTGCAAGTGTGTTTATTGGTGAGTTTATGAAAATAACATACGTTATACGGTCTCTAATCATCATCTCAGCGTCCAACTACGGCGGCATAATCGCAATGTTTCTTATGCCTGCTATTGCTACGGGAACGGACAAAATTGAATTTACTGTATGATCTGCATTACCTATTTTAGTGTTTATAAGGATCTAAACTACTTGTATGTAGGTTATCTTGGTTGCATGCATCTGTACGGTAGCAACTATTCCATTCTTATTTATTCCAGCCAGGCCACCGACGCCTGCTTCTTTACCTCCAGTCAAAGATGACTGTTCTGAAAAAGAAAATCGAGATTCGCTTCTAAAATTGATATTAAGTCTGATCAAGAACGCTCATTTCCTTGTTATTCTAATCATTCACGGTATTAACATTGGATTATCCATTGCATGGAGTGGTCTTATGAACCAGGCTATTTCACCTTACGGTTATACAAATGGAGAAATTGGTAATATTGCTGCTATTGCTGTCGTGGGAGGGTCCTTTGGCTGTTGTAAGTATGGTTTACAATGATCAAGTCGTAGTTATTTATGTTAATTCTAGTTATTGCTGGACCCATATTGGACAAAACTAAGCAACATATAGTTTTGCTCAAGATCATAACACCGCTAATTTTCACTACTTACTTGGCATTTATTTTCATTAGTAAGCATAAGTATTATATTTATAAATATTAACACCTCCGATTTAGTCAAAACCGATTCATTTGCTGCCATCTTGTATGTAAGCTTCCTTAACCAGTTTCTTTTATCATTTATCGTGCCCATTTGTGTAGAGCTTGGTGTTGAAAGTAAGACATCTGAATACCTTAAGAACTTTGAAACTAAACTTTTATTTCAGCTACTTATCCTATTACCGAATCGATTTCCACTTCGCTCTTATGGCAGTTGGGACAGCTCACTGGATTTATTCTCGTGGTAATTATGGATCAACTTCGAGACTCCAATGGGAGTCCAAAGAACAACATGTATAAAGCTCTTATATTCCAGGCTGGCCTTGCAGGTGTAATGGTCCTATTTGCCATGGTTTTCAATGGTCCAATGCTCAGAATGTGTGCGTTACAAAAAGAGAAGGACATTAAAAAGTTACAAGAAACAACAACAAAGGCCATAGAAGCGGTATCATCAGATTTTGATAGACAAAGGTGCCTGAATGAACAAGTTCCTCAATACGATAATGGTTCTAGCGAAACTATTGAAACAGTAATAGCAGGAAGGAATGTTCCTGATCATGTTAATATTGTATAGTAATTTGCTGTTGTTGTGTATACTTCCAATATACAGAATTTAACTTAATAGTAAAATGTTGATTAAATTTTCGCTAGGATAAGCTTTCTTTGTTTGTAGCTTGGGTCGGTTGAGTAATCTAAGGTTTGATCATCATGGCTATAAATTGGTTATTTCAAAAATAAGCTGTATTTCATGTTTTAAAGGAGGTAAAAAAAAAAAAAAAAGAGTGCGACATAAAGTGTTGATAAACCGAATATGTCTGCATTACCACGCTTCATTCTCCTTGAGAAATCAAATTATTGACATTCAGATTGTAACTATGCTAAAAAAATGGTCAATTTATGTACAACGGAATGTCCATTGAAATATGCAAGTACAGCATGTCTTTAAGGTTTATATTTGTGTATTACAAATAAAACAAATTCATCGGATGCTTCAAAATAGGAAAACTATGGAGACAGTGTATGTCAACATGTATACACCTGGTGTAACAGGTTAGACTTGTTTTATTTTGGTTCAATATGAATAAATATATATGACAGGGAAAAAAAAGGAGGTTATTTATAACAATTAAAAGATACATGTTTTAAATGAAAAGGAGGTCATAGATGCATTTATACAAGGAAATATCCAGTCACTCTATTAAGCAACTGTATTAACAAGGGGATTCGCTAGAACAGGGGGATCTGTATATTTCAAAGGCTTAACCTGCCAAGGAACTGTTTGAAATGTTGGTGTAGAGGAAGGCTCATAAGGCAATTGGGATACTGAAGAATTTTGTGATATCGTCGGTGTATCTGGAAGCTTTGGTAGCTGTAAGGAACAAGCCGAGGATCTACTTAAATTTGTCATAGCAGCCATGACTGAAGGCGCGTCCATCATTACCGCATTACAACATAGATCGGGATCGACCCAATTTGGGAGACGGGCTTCACCCACTTCATACGATGTTTTCCACCAACGAGTTCGGCGAATAGGGAAATAACTTGGTTGGTGACATTTGATTGGTCTTGAGCGTCTTTTGACGTCTTTATCCTGTTTGTACCCCTGCTTTCTATTTTCTTTTGTGATTGACAACTCTAATAGAATATCCATTTGAGATGGATTTTCGTATGAGATATACTTTTTTAAGCATGCATCATCCCGAATAGCCATCTTTGAGAAGCCAGTTACTCGTAATTGTTCAATATAGATATTTGTACGTTTATCCAACTGTAACCACTGGTTATCTTCCCATTCGATCTCGTAAATCGTTCTTGCAGGATAAAGTAGACGCCTGTATCTGAACTTTCGTTTATCAGCAGGTGTAATAGTATATCTCTGGAATTGTTGAAGCGGTATGATTTCTTTGCCATTGCGAATACTCGTATGACAGCTATTTTCAGAAGTACTATCTTCCGGAAGATACCCGAGGGTCTCATATGTTTCGGTTGTGTTGTCAACCTGTGAAGCAGCTACTCTACTAGCAGGAACTCCCGATACACGCTCATCAGTTTCCGTTCTGTCGACTTGAAATTGTCCGCAACAAAAAAGAGACGATAATGACGAGAAAAAGCTTTTGATGGCAGTTTGCAGTGTTTTTTGTTGTTGATCTGCTGACGGTAAAGGAGATTGGATTGACATTTTCACCCCTTCCTTGTATATTTCTGTATTCTTTATGGATGTTTGCTCAGATATGATCTTGTTAATGTTCTCTGCCATGGGTTGATGAATAATACAAGAATAAAAAGGGAAAAGAGTACAGCTTGAAAGCAAAGTGCTACTTTTATAGCTATACCTTGTTTGTCGTACAACAATCACTGGCATATTTCATCATCCCCTTTTCTTTTTGGAATTCTGCACTACAACCAGTTTACACATTAAAATTGTTTGGTGAAAAAGTCATCATCTGACAGTCTTGAATTACTTGTAAAAGATTTTGTAAGCTTTTAGACGCATTGACACATTGACAGCACAATTTCTTATATGTTACTGTAGCCAAAAGCAAGTAATGTATTAAGGAGTACGTCAAAGAGGGGCGTACAATAACGATGATGAAGTGGGAGGTTAGAAGACAATGATATACTCTACTCTGGGTTTAAATTATTGAACACAAATGGCATCACTTTCCATGCTTTTCAAGCTTAGATAATTGCTGATTAGGCCAACGCTCAGACAAGAGACGCGACACAAACATGCGGATTCCTTTTGCTAACCTACACACAATATGAAAAAAATGAGAGATTTTAGCATACATCAGTTTTGTATTACTGTCAATAATCTGCCATGTGTGTCTTTTTCACACACGATTTAATTAATGGCTATCTATATTATGCACTTCAATGTTTCATGGAAAGCATGTGCCTTTCATCTTACGCAAGGATTACTCAACTATGCCACCTTTACTAAACAGACATGAAGTAGTTAAATACTTTATTATAAACATGCATACAATATATTACATTTAAAAAGAAAGAAAGAATATACACTATTTTATAGCTTCCTTTTTGCTATTACCAAAAGCTGGCACTGTATCTTCTTCAGCTCTTGTTAACTTGAATGAAATCTGATTTCCATCTTCCTTAAGCTTTATATAGCGTTCTCCTTCCAAATAACCAGTTGATGAGTTGGATGATTTATCAGTCAAAGTACCGCTATCTTGTGGACTTATTTCTGTAGGCTCCACATTAGATAATACCAAAGTGGTATTGTCTATTGTTTCCTTTTGTGTCTTTAATGCTTGAGTTTCTGAACTGTCTGGTTTAGTTGTATTCTCTGTATGCCCATGATCTATCAATAGTCAAGGTTATTACCATGCAACCTTGTGATATACTGCATACCTTTCATATATCGCGACAGTTCAACCCATCCACCACCAACACGAACCATAACCATCTTGCTAGGTAAAATTCGGCAATATACTAACCTTGGATGTTCATCTCCAAACCAGTATTTACCAACTTCACCTTGTACACGCTTCACTTTCATCTTGTATGGACTGTCATTGATAATGCGGCCAAGCTGAACATCCAGCTCATTTTTAGGATCGGCAACGTATGTCGAGCCTCTGCGACCACCTGACATAGAAGGGCTTTGTGATCGACGGATATTGGCATTGTTCGTGGACGCCATTTTTAGTTCAGTAGAAAGAGTTGATGATCTAAAGCTACCCGCTGGACGGGAAGGTGGAGCAAGAGTACCTCCTAAATGGCTGCTGCCTCGTGCTCGTCTTTCTCTTGGGGATGTTCTGGCCATTGCTAACTTGGTAAAAAATTCGTGGTCTAATTCTTTTATGCAGGTCTGTAGCTCCTTCTCTCTTGATGCCACCGAAACTTGAATGTTTGACCATTCCTTCATTGTCTTCTTGATCGCATTCGCCACACGATCATTATCATCCAGAAATTGTTTTCGTGCCTCTGATTTGGCTTGATCCAAGAGTTCGATAACAACTGGTTCACTTGATCTATACGCAGTAACAAGGGTTTTGAGAAGTGCTTGAAGATCTGATTTGTTAAACTTGGATCCAATTAGACTTGCATGTTGTGTTGATGTCTCTTCAATAACTTTAGATAGTCGAAGGATTTCTGTATCGATTTGGTTTGTGATACCAAAGAATTTAGTTATGCTTCCTTCCGTGTGCGCTTGTTCCTGACGTTCTTTGACTAACTGACGGAGATTCTCAATGGAGCCAACTAACTTGTCTCTTTGGGCTTTTAGTGGTGTCTCAGAGATTGATGAGCTTAGCTGATTAAGGCGGATAGATTTCAAGAGTGTATCGATATCAGTAACACTCTTCTTTAGGGTACCGTCAATCTCCTCCTGAAGTTCCTCTAGTTCTTGCTCTTCTACTGATACACTCTTTCCTGACAGCTGTAGAGCTTCAACTCGTTCTTTAAGATCTTCTACATAACGAAGTGATTCTGCTAACTTGATATTCACTGTTTGATATTTATGTAGTAAATCTAATCTCGTACGAGTCTCATCTGCAGATGTTTTTATTTCATTCCATTTTCTGCCCATGTCTTCTTTACGTCTATCAACAGCCTTAATGATCGCATTTATACGCGCAGTACTTGCCCGTCGGTTGAGAGTCTTTCTGAGCTCGTCGCATCTCTTGTAAAATAGCTTAACAGAACCCTCTGTAGACTCATATCGCTGCATAAAGCTCCTAAGTTCCGGTATCTCTTTGCTTCTGCTGTTGCTACTGATAGTAGTCTTTAGTACAACGCCCTTGTTAGCGCCATAAGAACGTGAAACGCCTGTCTTAAGGTCATTGATGGATCTTGTTATTTCTTTGTCGAGACTGATCAGTTTTTTTAAAAGCTTTAGTGTTGTAATATAATCATTTTCGGTTCGAAGCAAGGCATCAAGTTCCTTTAATAGCCTTTCAAGGTTTTTCTTTGCATTCTCTACATCAGAGCTTGGTTGCTGGTATATCCTTATGAGTTTACTAGCCTGATCCGATATAATACCATCATACTTGTTCTTGCAGTCATGATAGTTATCTTCAATATGTGACAAAGCAGCAGTATAAGCATTCACAACACTTTTTATGGCATCAGATTTCTTTAAGTGATGCTCAGGATTTGTGCTGGACTGTTGACGAATATAAGTTATTTGATCTTCGCATACTTTTGATACTTTAGCAATTTCATTGTTAAAGGCTTCAAACAACATTGTTCTTTCCTTTTCAGCTCTTCGTTTATCCAATGCTAGTTGAATAAAATTATTCAAGGCACGGATATCCTGACTTTGTTTGAAGAATGGCACCTTGTTTACTTCGTCTGTAACTATATCCTCAGTGCTATTCACGTTGTTTTCAAGATCATCTTGATTCATGGCTACTTGCAAAAGTTGTTTTTCAAAGCGACGTATCTTGTTGCTTGATGTAGTTGAAGGAATTCCATTGACAATAAATCGTTCAACCTCGTTCTTTATATTGTTGAGCACTTTTCTCAATTTGTCAAGTCCATCGCATGCCTCTATCCACTTTGACGTTCTTGTAATTAAACTAGAAAGTTCAACACTTTCCGCTTGAATTTTCTGAAACGAGCCCTCTATCTCTTTTTGCATAAGCTCGGCTTGAGGAGTTAATAGATCTTGAATTTTCAGCCCAGTGTAATATGAACATGAATCGTCGTAGAGGCCCGAGCATTCCAAGATGGCTTCTTTTACTTGCTTTTGAATAGTTATCAAGCTTTTCAACTGCTGAACTCTCTCGGCTTCTGATGCTTTCTCTACAACACAGCCAAGTTTCTTAGTGGATTCAAGGAGCTCGCATGCTCTTGACGATGCTGCTTGAAACGCCTTTGCATTTTCTGCATGTGTATTTTGAAGTCGAATAGCATTGATGATGTCGTAAAGACTTGCTAACGTAGCTCTAATTTCAAAAATTGTATCCCCTACTGTATCTAATTTGGTATTGAGGGACTCCATTATGTCTACATTGATCGAACGTTCGTGCTCGTGAGCTTCAGAGTGTAGTCGGTCATATTCCCTTGCTTCTAAATGGTCGATTCGCTTTTGCCATTGGTTAACCTGTTCATCAGTAACAGATGCTTGATCAACTGCGTCTATCTCTTGTTTGAGTGCTTCAAGTGAATCCATCAAGGTCGCTATACGGCCATTTAATTCTGCTGGAAGCAGTGCGTTTGAAAGAGCATTCGATACTTCTGCTGTCTCGAGCAATAAATCTTGCCACATATGACTGATTCTTTCAAATGTTTTGCCAACTTCTTCGTACTCAGTCAGTCTTTCTTCTCTTTCTTCTTCACTGAGCAACACTTGTTCTTCGAATACAGATATGTACTTTTCACGATATTTACACAACAATGTAAAATTATTGTCATAGGCTTTCATTGCTGTTTGGATACTATCGGCTTCACTGACCGCATCTCTCAAGCAATTTAAATCCAGAGCCAGATTTTCATCATCGAGCATATGCACATTCTTCTCTAGAATATCTTTTCTCGTTTGAATCCATTTTTCACAAGCTGCCATTTGTTTTCTAAAGGTTCTTAATATGTACTGTAGACGCGTAAAGACTTCATGTGACTTAATAAGTGAGGATAGGCTTTCTACGAACTCGTCAAGTCGGTTGATCTTTGTTGAAATGACGTCCTGTACTACAGAATTCATTGTCCTATCCTTGACTTTTACCGTCATGGGAATATCCTCTTCATTATGTCGCTTAGGAATCAATATTTTGAGCTTTGCAAAATCTGTGGCTACCTTGACCTGTTCTTTGAACGCTTCTAATCGGTTCATCAGTTCATTTTCAGGAGAACCCATGGACGCTTGCGAAAGAATTTCCTCTCTGATCATGTCAGCAGTTTGTTCAAGCTGAGACTCTTTATTCAAGAACTCTGATAGCTGCTTTCTCAGCATTATCAAGTCTTGTGCATAACATATTTCGGCATCCATATAACTTTCGGATTGGTTCAGGGCTTCCATTTTTTTAACATGTAGTTCAGACATAAATCCTGGCTTTGAAGCAGTTGAGGCGGTCTGGAGGTCCTTATAAGCCTGTTTGATGTTGATCAATGTTGTTTGTCGATATTGCTGAAATTCATTTTTCTTCTTTAGCCACTCGGTTTCAACATCAATTGTGTCATCAACCCATATATTCTCTGTTTCGTTAGGATTCCATCTAGCATGTACTTCAACAAAGAGCGAAGCAGCCTTAATCTGTTGCTCCAATGACAACATGGCTACTTTTATGTCTGATTCCAGTTTTGCTCGTTGCTGTATGTAGTGAAGCTCCTTTTGACGGTGAGATATTGCCTCTTCCATTTTTTCAAATGAATGCTGGAAAGCTTCCATTCGTTCATGTATATGACCAGGTACTGAATTCACAAGAGGGAGCTTCAAAAAACTTGATTTGACATCCTCATATTGCTTTTCGACAGCGTCGAGTGATTCTTCTTTGGTTACCTTGTACTGAGCCTCCACTTTTTGTAGTTCATCATAAAGAGTCTGTACAGATTCGTCAGTAAGATCCTCTTGTCGCGCAACGCATTTATTCTTTTTGGACACATAATCTTGTAGTTGACCATTCATTTTATCAAGTTGTGCCTGTCCAACCGCAAGACCTTCTTCCCATATCAATCTGTAGGAGGTAGCTTCCAAAGCGAGCGTTTCGCTTGTAATACTTTGACGTAGCGTAGATACACCTCTGACGATGCTGTCAGACAGTGCTTTGCATGCATCAATAACTTGTGTAATAAGCGGTGAAGAATTGTTGGATGCAGTCGTTATTAAATCTTCAATATTTTTTTGAAAGTGCTGTACTTCATTGTCGTCAAAGTTATTCAGCTCTTTTAAATGGTTCTGGTTATTTATTCTGCATGTGGATATGGTATCCTTGGTAATACCAGCCAAGCTAACTGATGCACTTTCAATACGTCTTTTGCTTAGACTTTCCATAGATTTATCGATCCATTCTTGTAATTTGTGGGCATCTTCTTGATATTCTTCTAGCTTTGCCTTAATGGTGTCAATGGATTGATAAGCATGAAGTATGTCATTTATTCCCTGTTCCAAGCTCTTCAAGCTCTGCGTCTTTTTATCGATAAACACTTTCATCTGGGCATTATACTCGTTCGACTCTGATACAGACTGATTCTGGCATGATGTAAACCAGTTACCACATTCAAAATACTGGACGGACTGGAAACATTCAAGCAAGTCATGAATTTGGTTCTTGAAGACATTCACACGATCGTTCATCAAGCTCATGTTAGGATTACTGTCAGCATTAGGGGCTTCTTTATCAACATTGGACTCACGAAAAAATCGCTGGAGTTCGTCTAGAATGTTTTCGCCTTGGACAAGTATCTCACTGCATGATTTTGCCCACTTTTCGACTTTTAGATTTTGCTCTGTTATATCTGACACATACTGTGTTAACTTCTTTAGGTCTTCATACTCTTTGTTAATTTCAAGCTGCTTATTATTCAGACATTTTGGTATTGTGACCAAATGATGTTCTTCTTGGGCCATGTTGGCATAATCGATCAATTGAGTGTATGCTTCCTGCAATTCACTGAATGCAGTCTCGGCAACAACTATGCTATGTCTATCCTGTAGGGTATTCACTTGCTCTTTTAGCTGCTCTAATTCAGCCATCACGTCTACTATACTCTGGGTGCTTTCAACACTGCTACTGCTACTTCGCTTTCGTAAACCTTCGATGTCATATTCTGCAAACTTGGTATTAAAATCCCACAACTTATAGGCAAGCTCGTTCATATAGGTAATAGCTTCATCCCATTGCGATTCCCAACTGGATCTCTTCTTCAAAGCATAAATCTGATGTGTTCGTAACGATAAAACATCCGTAAGTTCATTACGAGCTTCTTCCAAATGCTCAATTCCATCAATCAAAGCAGCACGATCAATAGATGTAGAATTTGTTTCTTCAATCTCTATCTCAAGGCGACGAACAACATCTAATGTTCTCGTTATGTCTCGTTCTTCTAGATGTTTTAGCTTAAACGTAATACTGTCGTGCTCTTTCTCCAAGCGATCTATTGTTTCGTGATCTACGTTAATGATTTCTTCTTGGTCCAGTATACTAAAGTCAAACTTGAGAAGAAGTTTGAGTCGTTCCTCAATCCAAGAAGTGATTCTTAACAAGTCGTCATAGGCAAGGCTTGCGCGCTGCTGTAAGGATAGATTTTCACGATGTGACGCCAGGAGCATCTCGAGGTCCTCTGTGATTTCTGCCAGGTACATGGAATAGTCTTCCATCTTGTTCTGTATGAACCGGTTATTTTCTTTGGCTACCTCCTCTTCTTCTTTGAAATGACCTTGATTACAATCTGGATAAGGTATACGCTTCAACAAGGTCGTCACCCAGTAAGACGAGCTTTCTTTAAACTGCCGAATACGTTCATCAAACCCGTTATCCTGGTCATTCCGGCCAGCGCCGCTAGAGGTGACAGTCGAGTTACTGTGTGTCATAAGCATCTTTATTTTTTCGCCTTCACTTTTGAGTTTTTTAAATTGAGACACAACATCATTAACAACTAGATGCTGTTCAACAATCTTTCGAGCAAAGGAGCACTTCTTCATGACAGATTCAAACTTGTTTTCTAGTACTTCTTGACGACCTTCCAGATGGGAAGGCAGTGTATCTTGCTCTATCTCTTCCATTTCTTGATAGACATCTAGTACTTTGGAAAATTCTCCTTTATCAAAATCAGCAATGGCGTTTTCGTGAGATACTAGAGTGTGGATAATATCTTCATTCTTTTGCTTGATCTGAAGATTGCTGACCTCTTCCTCATCGTCTTGCTTTTTTGACCAGCAGGCGCTTGTTTGAATAAAGTTGGAAATTTCTGTGTCTTTGTCATTACACCATCGTTCTGCCCTTTCGATAAGGTTCTCCCATTCCAACCGTTTTCCAAGCAGCCCTACGAATTTGGATCTTGTCTGTAGTAAACTCATTAGACGATTTAAGGTATTTAGAGTTGTTAAGGTGATTTCAATGGTAGTGGCATCTGCTGGTGTTAGGTTATGGTCATCATCGTCGTCATCTGTCATGGTGAGTGATTTGACGTGCGAACGAAGACGAGCCATGTCATCTTCATTAAAACGGTTGATCTCTTTCTTTAACTTCTGATGCTCTGTCAAGACAACATCGATATTGATATGACCCATCTGTGATAATACGTCTTGAGACAAGGGGTCTATGTTAGAGTCTTCAGTGTCTTTTTGACGAATTATTTGAATACGATCTTCGATCCATGATCTGATTCTTTCTGCCTCTACAAACCACACTCGAACTTGATCAACCCATGTGTTGACAATTTCATATTTGGCTTGAATTTCAGAAAGAAGCGTAGCAAAACGATTGTCGCGTGAGAATAGGTCGCTGAATTCTTCTTTTAGACTATAAAGGCTTGCCTTTACATCGGCTACTTTGCTTTCTAAATCCTGAATGGTGTCATTGGTTGTCTTTTTGTCTTCGCTGCTATCTTCCATAATAGACTGAATGACTTCAAGTTCAGATTCGATGGATTGTACCTTGCTTCCGATCGTAAGCCCTTTTTTGAAATCCTCGCATTCTTTCTGCTCCTTTTCGAAACACCTCTTTAGCGCGTTATACTTCTCCTGCGTCTCTGTATATCGATGCTGCACTAGCTGCATGACCGAGCTGGGCAACCCTTGTGTTTCATCGTTAAATTCTTTCCAGGTAGTATCAGTAAACTGAGTAAAGCGATCCGAGATGGCGACTAACTGTTGCTGATATTGACCTATCATCTCATTTGTCTTTTCTGTAGGATGAAGTACATCGATAGCGTTTTTATGAGGCAAAACCTGTTTGATATCGGCCATGTATTTGTCTAATGCTTCCTGCATGGTAGCCACGTGCTTAAGATACAGCTCGACTCGTTCTTCTGTATCAATTAAGGTATTCTCTACTTGTATAAGATCTTCTTTTGTCGTTTTCAAAAGCTCTATAAACTGATTCCATTCATTCTGCAGCATATCATATAGCTTCATAACCTGTGTTCGCTGAAGATCAGTCAGGTGAATCAAGGTATCATCTGCCTTTTCAGGTGGAGTCGTGAGTGTATCTTTGGCCATTCGTGCAGTTTCTAGATGAGATTCTTCGACCATGGCCTGCTCTTCTATAATCTCAATTGCTTCTACATACTCAGTCACTGATGCTGAGCTTTGAAATTCAACAGGTATTTCATCAATAGTAAGGGTATTAGACCGAATGAAAGAAAGGACAGTGTCGTGAATCGTCAAGAGCTCGTCTAATGTCGGGTGCACTCCTCTCGGCAAATGTCCCGTCAATTGCATCAACAGTTTATTGTTCAAGTCAGCCTTGATTCTTGCCTTATCCTCTTCTGCTAGACTCGACTGGCGCTGTTGCATCTTTCTTCTCCGCCGTGCAGAAGGTACAGGCACAGGCACAGGTGCTTCCATTAGCGGAGGCAGTAACTTGTCTGGCTTGTTCTCGTTTTCTGGAAGAGGATCAACAATACCGCCTGATGCCATAATGATCGCCGCCTTTCGTTTGGCAGCTCGTTCTTTCTTTTCACTGTCTGATTCCTCGCGCTGATGTTTTGACATGATTTTGTAATATTCGCTCACGTACATCATAACACTAGGCTCATGAGGATATTCAACATCGACTAGGTCTTCCGGTTCTAGATAAGCCTGTATCCCTAGCTTGTCAGTGGCCAAGCTAAATGCTAGTTTCAACAGCTGTAGCCAGGTCGATTTCTCTGCAAGGTTCATGCTTAGATAGACACTGAAGAGGTCGGGGATATAAGCGGGATTGTGTCTGTGGATCAATAGACAAAATGCAACACCGTTCCGCCATGATCTTGAAAAATCTTGGATAGGGGGTATAATGTTGACCGTGAGGTAATCTTCTAGTTGAATGCGTACCCAGTAAAGTAATGCCACCTTAGCGTCAAGTGAAGTGGAAGTCGTTGCATTGTGCAGCTTATCCGAGATCGAGTTGTGGCTTCCAAATTTACGGGATGTCGCTAATGAACCTGCAGCGGGTTTGGTGTTGGAACTTGCATCTATAAAATCGGTCGACTGCATCGTTTTGCCATTTTCAACTTTGGACAGCTCCTGATAGATGAGTTAATGATTTATGTTGGTGTGCTTCTGTGATACTTACAGATAAGGACTGTATGAAATCCTCGCCATGTTCATTTAAAATAAGCTGTATTTGATACTTCATCATGATGAAAAAAATCAAAGCCAGTGTCTTTTTCAAGTCACCATTGACAATCGCTTCGTTTCCAATATCAGGCATATTTTCTGATCCGACTTGCTTCTCCAAGAAGCTGAGGGCTTGAGCCACGTTGGCTAATTGATGGATACGCATGTTCATCTTTTCGGGTTTAGGTGCTGGTTCTTTTGATACGACCGATAACAGTTTAAGCAGCCTCTTTCCATCCTTTAGATCAGTCTTTATATTATCTATATGGTCGCCTGCTTCCTTTAGCTGTGCATTCACCCATTTGGTTAAGGTACGAATCTGTATCTCTTGGTAATCTGATCCAATATTGCGGACATGTTCGTCTCCAAAGTCAAGTCCGCCAAGTGTGTTCTGCCGTGAACGTGTTACTGGTTTTCTATTGTTGTTTTGAAAGATGGACAGGTTGGAAGCTGACCTCACCATGTTTGTACCCAAGTTGGTAGAAGGTTTACTGGAGGTAGAAGGTGATGTTGCATTAGAAGATGCCGTACTCATATTAACATTGAGCTACATGTAACAAAGCATATATAAGTTAAACCTCATAAAATATTGTCTACGTGATATACCGTCTGGCTTTGGGTATAAGCAAAGTATATATATAAAAAAGAAAAAGAAAAAAAAAGGGGCGTGTTTGCATCAGGGCAAATTTAAAAAAGATTCATGTGATCAATGCAAGTTTAGGAACAAATTTTTATGCATAGTTCTTTTATCTTTTCTCTTTTATCTTTCTCTTTTTACTGTCACGTAAACAATCCCTCCCCTTTGCTTTTGTCTCTTCTTTGTGCTGTTATATTTACATTTTGTTACACCAATATAGGAAAAAATTAAGTACTATTTAGTACGGAATTAAAATCCAAGTAACTGTCTAAGCTATACATAGAGTGTACATGATGAGGATATAGGACAAGGCATGCTTTCAATAGAAGAAAGAAAATATGATACACCTCAATTCATATTCTGTTCTTTTATACCAGCCCTGGTTGATTTCATTTGTCGGACTCCAGATGGTGGTACTATGCCTTATATCCTTCTTCAGCTACAGAGCATAGACAGATTCATAAAATTTCAAGAAAATAATATCAAGTTGATCGAGCCATTAGAGATTTCATGATACAAATGTTAGTGTTCATATCAAAATATCATTTTTAATCTAAGCATGAACCAACAGCATTTTCTATCTTTTATGTCCAGAGTGAACCAAGATTGTCCGTTATCCTTATTTTGCTCTCTCTTTGTATTACAAGCGTTACTCTTTTAATTTCTTTCTTTTGACATCGAAAAGCTTCTATTTATTTAAATAATTGTCAATTGATGCAGGTTGTATTTTGTTTTACAGCCGAGTTTATAAACAAAAAGACATAAACGCAGACCTCATACTACTTTACAGCCCTTTCTTTTGCTCAAAAGTGGGTCATTTATATCGAACTCCGGTCATTGCGGAACATCAAACCTTCGGTCCAAAAATAAGTGGATTGCCGATCTTTAGGGTTGAACGGACCAACAGTTGGAATATTAGAGAATCATGTCATGTTAGTTCTCCCTTTGAGTCTATTTTTATACATCAAAGATGATACAACAATCTAAAAACCTATAAAATATCAAAGCGACTTTATATTTTATTCTATGCCTTTGAGGCGAGGAAAAAATGGGTGAATAATGTGGCCAGCACTAAAGTAGAAGAAGGATCTGCCCTGAATCAAGTATTATAAAGCTTTTCTTGGCAAAATAGTTTCAACAGGAGGAACACTACCAATCAAAAAGTGTTTACGAAGCTCTTCAAAGACGGCAGCCTCTTGCTCCTCATCTACTTCATTCAACCTAGCCATGCCATCCAATCCCCACTTTTCACAAAGTAGTGTTACCCACGTCATACGTTTTCCAGAATTTTTCATGCTGGGTTCCCACTCTTTCACCTTTGCACGAAGCCTGCCCATCCTTTCGATCACACTGCCCATATTCGGAGGTAAACTCTTGGCTGCTTCGACACGAATCATATTGGCAAGTTTAGGTCCTTGTCCATTCGTCGATACGGCAAGCTGAAGAGGACCATCACGATGCTGGCTCATAAAATAGAAATCACAGAGTGGTGGTACGTCTGCGACGTTCACGGGAATACGTCGTTCGCGACACAACTGACCAATACGTAATGATTCCTCGTGATCATCCAAGGCTGTCAGGCACATATCAACGTGATCGATATCTTTATCTATAAACTTGCGATTGATCCAGTCTACTTCCTTGTTTTCTATACGATATCGTACTTCCTCAACTAAACCTGATTCTGGACATACCACTGTGACATGAGCGTCTGCCATCTTGAGTGAGACAATACGTTGTGCAGCAACATTGCCTCCTCCAACAATAATTACTTTCTTGTTGGCTATTTGATAAGCGACAATAAGTGAGCCACCTCCTTGAATAGGTTCATACTTTTTGGAATAAGCCATAAGGGAAAAAAAAAAAAGAGTGGGAGACCAGTTATTACGTGATGAAAGTTAAAGTGCCGACCTATCCACGCTGTAGTAACGATAAATACCCACAAAAATTTAATAGTCACAAAATGAAGAATCAGTCAGTTGGTTCTACTTCGGCTTCTAATGTGAGGGCTTTGCTATTTGCACTAAACAAACCACTCCCACATAACACTATGTACAACACTGAAATATAAGAGAGGTATGTATTGACGATTCTGCAGTAATTTCTTTGTTATGTTGAGAGAGGCTTCATTATTCATTTTATAAAACAGGATTATTGCATGAATTTATCACGGCCAATGAAAATTGGGCATGACGCGTCTAAAGAATAACGCATTCTGTGGTTAGTTTTCTTTTGTTTTTCTTCAAGTAATTTTTTTACAAGATAGAATTCTTATAAGGTAAGCTATAAGATAAATACGATGGATATGCTGCTTGCTGTGCAGATGTGCAGTGCAAATAGCAAAACCCTCTTTTTTCAAATCTAGTTATTAAACAACTACAAATATTGACCAGTATAAGTTACTGTAATGAAGCAGAAGCTATTTGGTTGGAAGCTAGTGATTTCCTTGATCCACCACATTGTTACTTTAGTTATCTAATTATATATTAAAAGACGAAAGAGCCACTAATAGTCAATATTCAAATTTAATAAGAGCACTATTAAAGACAAATAAAAACAGGGCTTTAAAATTGACAAGAGCCCTTAATGTCTTTGCGGTAAGAAATTAACTAATTGTTTAGGATATTTCTTAAATGGCCTAGTTGACGAAACGGAGACGGAAGACGTGGTTATGGGTCTTCGGGCCGCGCTTTTATTATCATAATTATATAAAAAATAAAGTAGAACATATGATCTACTGTAAGATTATAAAGTATTATAGTGACCTATATCACGCATGCCATGGACTATTCCTTTCGACAGAATGGAAGTCAGCTTTCTTCAACAAAAGGCCGCATTTGCTTCTCATGAAATTATATACTGTGCTATGTTATGTTTTAAGATCATTAAACCTTTCCAGTAAATGCCCAGCTACTTCAACAATAGAAACAGAAGGATTAACGTCAATGAAATCAACAAGAACTGTTTTATGCTCTTCAGTCAAGATACATTTACGACCAATATGTTTGCAAGTCCCATCTCTGAGCAGTTCGAATGTGAATGCCCAACTGCTTCGCTGCAACTGGAGTGCTCATACACTTTTTTGAACAACGGTCGACATGGTTTCTAAAAATACGGATTTCCTTTCTGAGAATGCAAAATTGATCTTGACCAGTCAACGACACTGATCTTGATTGGCCAGCGACATCAATTTTGACTACACGCGGCATTACCTGTTGGAAGCACTGTGTAGAAGGAAAAGGAAGGTAGGCTTTGCTTTACGCATATTCCATCGATATATTTATTTAAGGAAATTTGTTTTTTTTAGAACAAGATTCTAACTTTATATGAAGACAAGGACACTATTGATCTTTGTGCTACTCAATTGATGGTCGAATGACTACTGTACATGAATTTTATCATCTGAAAAGATAGCTCCACTTTTTATTGTATTTTTTCTTTTCATTGTTGCTTTCCCGCTTTTCATGTCCCATTCTTGATTGAATGCTTTTTTTTTATTGAGGAGCGTGCTTGTGCTTGTGCGTGTGCATTAAAAAAAGCATGTAAATAAAAACGTGACACTGCTACACACACGTACTATACGCACTTTATGGTTGTACAAGTATCTATTGAAAAAAAAAAAAAGCAGGTTACTTTTTAATTATAAAAAACAACCATCTTTTTTATATACTTTCTTTCTTTCTTTATTATTATTTTACAATGTGTGATGTATCCGATCCTCGTATTTTAAATGCATATTATTCTATTACCGAAGATGAGCCTACGGATTGGTAAAAAAAAAAAAAAAAAAAAAATAGGTTACTTTTAGGCTATAAAGACTCTAGAAATGTCATTACTTTATATGCGAGTGGTTGTAATGGTCTAAGGTGATCATCCTTTTTTTATTAATTGCGCTTATTTGTTTATTAATACATACATATGCAGTGAGTTTAGACAACATCTGACAAATGAGATATTATTTGGTTTTGTCCGTATTGAGGATAAATTTATTTTAATAACCTATGTACCAGACAGTGTTAGGTAAAATCTTAATTTATGTCACCTTATTACTTACACATGTTACAGTGGAGTAAGGAGAGCAAGAGCTTTGGTTCATAGTCGGTCTGTCGCTTCTGTATGTGAACTCTCTCACGCACAAATCACTGCTTCTTCTTTATCTGACTTGAGTGACAGTAACATTCGTACTCGGCTTAAACTAGGTGAAAACCAAGTGCCCAACAGAACAAGGCCGGCCAAACGTTCCTCTGTTGTGAGCACGACTACCAGAAGACGTAAATCGGCACAGTCTATACCCTCTCCTTCTCCGACTCCACCACCTATTCTTCCTGTACCGGATAAGAGAGCGTCATTGATCATTAATACCTCAACAACAACAGAAGAACCAGAGAGTTATGCTACACCATCCACACCTACATCAGTAGCTTCCTTTTCTGATACAACCACTGTCATTGACTGTAACAGCAGTATATCTTCCTCAAAAGATTATTATGAGCGAATAAAGGCCGAAGAGGATGCGGCATTAGAACTTCATTTTCAAACACAGTTATTGAAGAAAAGAGAACTAGAGGAAGCAAGGTTTAAGCAGACACTAAAAGAACAAGAAGAACGAAGAGAGCAACAAAACAAACGAATTGAAGAAGAAAGGAATAAGACTCACATGGAGTTTCAACTAAAGCAGAAACAACTTGCTGAAGAAAGAGAAAAAACTAATTTACTAAAAAGACCATCACGAGTATTTGATCATAACAGTAATAATAGTAATAGTAGTAGTAATGTTGCATCTACTATCACCCATACCAATAATAATAGCATAATGAAAAAGGTCAGCAGCCATGATGCTATGAATAATACCACCACCATCACCAAAACCAATGCCATAACAACAGAGACTAAAAAAACAGTAGTCTTGATGAGTGGATTTGTTTCCGTGCAGACTCGAAATAGTCCAGTAAGTTTGATAGACGATATCATAACAGTAATAATAATAATGTAATCTAGTTTTGGAGAAGGCGGTATTTTGAAATTGAAAGCACTAGCAAAACAATCATGTTTTATAAAGACGAACTTGTAAGTCATATAATCATACACTCGTGTTCTGTAACTAATATTATTTATTTTTTAGTCTACAAAGACGCCTATATCAACCATTAATTTGTTACATGTAACACGACTTGCACCAGCCAATGAAGATGAGGATACCTTTGTACCTAATTCATTTGTGATCGATACCCAATCTGACGATTCCTTTCAAATATTAGCAGACGATAAAAACACAGGAAAGAAGATACTTTCTACCTTACAAACATTAAAATAAAAAAAATACAATTGTACAGAAAACAGAGTTTTTTATTATTCAATCAATCTATCTTCCCAGGGCTCAATAAGCCCTTTTCTATCTCCTTCGTCTTGATTTAACTCTAGTCGTCTGGTACTAATTGGATCAAGTGTGTCCTGCACACGTCTATTATTTATATTGGTATTGTTGTTTACAAATTTATCTACTACACAATCATTACTTCAAAAAAACTCCTTCTTTTGTCCCCCTTCATTGCTCTCTTGTCTATTTACCAGAATCTCTTGATGTATCAGGCGTTGAACGATGTATTGTGTCCAAACTGATATCATCTGTAAATTTAAGTGAAGATTCTAAAGAATAATCCAACGAATTCCCACTTCTATGCCAAGCAGAACCATGCTCTCGACCAGATACTGTTCTCACATGTCCCTCTTCTAATTCATGAATATCCTCGTCTGATGTCAAGTACTTTTCGCTTTCATATAACAATCTCTCTTGTGGATTATTTGATATGTCGCTCAGATTCGTTCCATCATCCAATGCAGTGTCATTTCGAGAGTGCTGTAATAATGCTACTCCAGAACAAATAATAAGGAAGCCGAAAACACAGGTCACGATATTGACAGGTGAAGCATCAAATCCACGATAGAAAACGATCGAACTGATGATACTGAGTGTAGTGAAAACAACATAATAGGTGGGTGTGACAATAGCTGTGTTGAATATGTTGAGTGCCTTGTTCAAATAGATGATTTCGACTGCCAAGGTGATCAAGGTGAGAGCCAATACCAAGTAAACGAACCAATGAGTAAATTGATTTTCGATAGCGAATGAATGCACGATTGCACCGCCCAAGCCTTGAGTGAACACGACAGATAAAGATCCAATGAGTGAGCAAATACAGATATAAACCAACATGTTCGTCTTTCCCCATCTAGGCCCACAATAAAACACTAGAAAAAGAGATATACAGACAGCTATCAACGCATACACAATAAAACCTAAAGTAAAAAAAAGAAGGGAGTCATAAGTTATTCTTTATAAAAAAAAAAAAAATCACTTACCGACAGATAACATCAATGACTTGAAAGTTTCGATTGAACTATCCGCTGCACCTTGTTCCGGTGCATGCATAACAATAATGATGGCACCCAACACGCATTGTAAACAACCCACTTTGCCTTGGAATGATAGCCTCTCTTTTAAAAACATGGATGACAATACAGCTCTTTTTTTTAAAAAGTTAGTTTTTTTTTTCATCCCTATTTTATCTTTACGTCATGATTTACTTACGATATGACCACACTAAGTGCTCCTAGTGGGGTTACTAAAATGGCTTGCGTAAACGCATATGCAACAAAATTACATGCTTCACCCACCACCACTATTATATACATAATTAATTCAATTGAATTCTCTCTCCTTAATCTCATCTAATTTACTCAGTATCATGCCACTCCACCACATTGTTGATTTAAGGTAGCTGTATCCTTCTCCTGCTACTCCACCTGTATAGAATGAGATAAATGATGCCTTAAACAATCAATCATTACCTGTTTTTTCAGTTGATTGCAATAATCCTTTCTTTTTAAATACAAAACTACTACCAATAAACATGCCTATATAACATATGAGTATGTTATTGTTTTTGTGTTTGGTCATATTACCACTTGCTATGGCTAATGTCACGCCAATGACTTTATATAATGAACCATGAGTATCAGGTGCTAAACCTAAAGGGCTTGATGTTGAATTATGTGAAATGGTTGAATTCATTCAGATTGAAAAAGAATAAAAGAAAAGAGAGAGAAAAAGAGAAAAATAAGGGTTGTAGCAAATACATAATTTCCTAAGTTATTATGATCGTATTGGATTTTAATTGGCTCATTCAATTTATTGCCTAATTTATAAGTATCATATAATTCTACTATAAATATCTTTTGTTGTTGTTATTATGGTTGTTTATGTAATCATTATCATAAGCATCATTTCTATAGTTTGTGCTCTTTCCTTCTTTTTTGACATGGCTTAATTTTAAATTTATCACACATGAATATAAAAAAGAGGGCTGCCAAGACCAACAATTAAGTGGCAGTATTATTACTAAAAATAGCATTGTTATTCTAGCCACATTGGTTTTGCATCAATTCATTGGCTATTTTTATTACAATATATTTTTGCTCTACAATAAGACATATTAGAGTAACCAAGCGTAAATGAAAGAGAATAAGGAGCTTTTGATTGTGTAAATAAGCAAGGGCAAATAATATCAGGTGACGCAAAAGACTATTATTAACAGAAAAACAGGTTACGCTTATACATGTATTCGAGACTCAGGGTCGATTTTTCTCTCTTTGGACCTTTTTATTACTCTTAAGGAGGCGAACCTGAAACTACCCTGGATTCAACAAAGAATGCTGAAATGAATAATTGACAAGAGAATGAACTAACCTAACAGCTGTTCTTTTGTTTTATCCTTTTTGAGTTATTTGATTCAAAGCTTAAGGGTCTTTCAGTAAAAAGAGAGAGAGAATGATAGTCGCATTTTAACTGAAAATATGTTTAGATCAAGTAATGGTTGATGACTTTCAGGACTGAGCCAAGTATTCTCTTTTGATAGATGCGTTTGATTCTCGATTCAATACTTAAACCATGTAAACATGTGAATGAAGTGCAGGAAAGACGATCAGTAATTATTGTGCAACAGTCACGACCAGTCACATTCTTGTTTTTGGGCTGCCTGGCTTTCCGTTTTAAAGTCAAACTAGCAATTGGTATACTGAAAAGTAGTACTTTGTTGCTCTAAAATAAATCGCACATGCCTTTATCGTTTAATAATGGCGTATTAAGAAAATAATGATAAATATACAACATAAAAAGAACTATCAGGCTGATTGATGTTTATCAGTGGAACGTGTCTTTTTTGCGTAGCTAATGTCACTTCAGGTCATTCATGAGTTTTTCGTTATTTCAGCTATTATTGCTCTGCTGAATTGTTCTTATGATTCCTGTTACTCCTTTCATATTGCAAATTTCAGAATGAAGTATGAATGTCAAAAGGAGGCCTATATTCTTTATGTAAATGATATTCCATATATTTGATAGAAATTTAGATCAATTGAAGATTTACTAAATCACTGCAGCCAAAAATCAACAAGCTTCTCAGTCGGATCAAGCAACTGAAGAAGGGAAAAACTGCAAGATCATGTCACTGGCTTAACAACCTGTTATGGAAGATGATGATGATTCCAGCCATCGGCGGAGCGCTACTTACAGAGGGATTTCAACATGGCCTTGAAAATGGGTCTATAAAGATGGGAAAGTGCGTGCCCTTTGTCCGAGAAAGCACAGCAAGAGCTTTCTTGGTGGGAGAGATGGGCAACAACCAAGAACGGTCTCCCAAATCAAGTTCTTCCAATAAATTTTCAGAACATCGACTTAGCCATACACGTGGATGCCTCTCAGACAGGGTTGGATGTTCAATCAGAGCTAATAACGACATCGGGATTCTGGGCAAAGGAAGAAAGAGAACTTTCGATAAATATACGCGAGCTGAAGACGATCTTGTTCGCGCTTCAGCTGCACACACCAAGCGCCGTAAACTCGACCATAAACCTATATACAGACAATGTCATCCCTTTAAAATAAGTGAAAAATTTGGAGGAACCAGTTCAGTTTATCTACAAGACTTGGCACTTCAGATTCAAGAGCTCATCAACTAATTCAACCTCAAGATTCACTTTCAGCACATACTGTTGAAATCTAGCAAACGGTTGATAAGGGGTTTATGAAGAGAGCAATCGGTTATTGTTTACAAACACTCAAGTGATATAATCGATCCTATCATTCTGATTAAATGCGTCAATACCTTAAATAGCTATGTTGCTTCACGTACAGCGACCAGCCGTTTTTTTGGAAGATATGATTTTCCCTGTGAACCTCGGGCGGCTGAGTGTATTATTTTTTTAAAGAAAGCCTTGGTAATAGAAATGTAGATAATCCTTTAAACCCGCTATTTGCCCTTGAATTATTTCTCACGAGTCAAGATCTTTCTATCCTGAATACTTCTTTCGCTGGTGACTCAATAATGCAATACTTTTATAATTTGGCTTTAAATTGCGAGGAAAATTGCAGTAATAATGCTCCATTTGACGTGTTTGATGAGATGATCATTGTAATAACTTGAGTATAATCTTACAGTAGAGCATACATTCTACTTTACATTTCTCTATCGCATCTGCTGACAATAAAGAGTAAGAGTACTGACAATAATAATAGCTACTAACATAACATTGATAAATAATCACATTGACCACATTTATCATACTGACAACATTAGTATTCCCTATAAAACTCTCACACAAACTTAATTTAATAATATTCAGCTCTTCTTAATAAAGAATTTAATTCGCAAGTCATCGACTTAACTGCCTTTTTACAATAACACTAAAGCTGAATACAACACCACTGTCATTACTTAAACCCCAAAGTCTTGAATATGAGAAATTGCTAGCACTTGCAAATACAACTGGATCATCTGATGTACTGGTTCAAGCAATAACCGATGCAAGGACTAAAAATGATAATTTGATAAGTACGGTTCAGATCCTTCTGGCAGTTCCGTAAACAAAAGAACAGCAAAAACGAACGCCTCCTCAAGCATCAACAATGATAAATATATAAAAGGCATCGAGTCTGTTGAAAATTTCAAACAAGAAAGAAATCAAAAAGGCCATACAAAAATGGATTGGATAACATGCTTGAAAGAAGACTCATGATTACACTTGCTTCGTAGCCAGCTTTCAAAGTATATGAAACAAAAAAGCAAGAATCAGAAGTAAATATTTTACAGACGCCACCCTTATAAATTCCTTAAGACTATTATTGGCCCCAAAGATAAAAACTTTTTTGTTCCTGTCACAATACAATATCTGGCTTTGTTCTGTTTAATTTCTTTATTGCTCACGTCTATCTGAGATTGACATCATAAATGGTATTTGAATATGCTAAGAAGAATAATTTTAGTCAATGTAAAATACAGTGAAATTTACGCTTTTTTTTATCGTCGTGTGTGATGATAAACTACATTTTTAGTTAATTTAATACTTTTGATGTTCTTACGGGAAAAGAGTCATATTCAATTTGCTTTGTACTATATTTCGTCGTTTACTCAAAGTCGAATCACAAAAGGTCTCCACTATTGTACTATGTGTTAACTAGCTTGTGGCAGCCAAGCGTTCATAGCGACGTTGCTTTTTGATTCTTCGATGTCGGCTCTTCCTATCATAATGAAGCAGAATTCATTAAGTGTTGGATTGTTCACCCACTAATAGGGAACGCGAGCTGGATTTAGACCGTCCTGAGACAGGTTAGTTTTACTCTACTGGTGGTATTGGTATCGCAACAGTAATTGAAGTTAGTACGAGAGGAACCCTTCATTCAGATAATTGGTATTTGCAGCTGGTTGAAAGGCCAATGTCGCGGAGCTACCATTTGCTGGATAATGGCTGAGCGCGTTTAAGTCAGAATCCATGCTGGAAGCGATACTAAGCGCATTAAATGTGACGTATTTTTTTGCTTCTATTTTTTTTTTTTTTCTTTTTTTTCTTTTTGGTCCTAGAAGAGAGAAAAAGGGCTCATTAATATTTATGCAACCATTGATGACAACAAGCTCTTGTTTGAAGAAAAGAACAGCTCCATTATGTTATCGTTTACTACATACAACACGTTGCCGCATGCAGAAACCAAGAGACTATGAGCTAAGAGTTGGTTTTGGTAATGACACATTTCAGCTTGCATATATATACACACATTATATAAAGAGAGAAGACGAGTGACACTGATAAACTATGTTAGCTATTGCTACCTTACAAGATGATTTACCCAACTTCTTTCAAAAGGGCTTCTCAGACCATTCAATATATTCCCCAAATATTATACTCTCTGACCCACACTATACAAAATTATCTATCCATGGACGTACAGCATACATAGGAATAGCGCAGATGTTAAGATGGAGTACAAGCCTTTATTTTGATGACATATCAGTTGAAATCACAAAGATGCGCGTGTTACCTAATGTGCCTGACATCCATGACTTGGATGACCAAGATCTCTATTTTTCGTCTATAAGAGACGCAGAGAATGATGCCAGAGCGCCCGGAATAGTCAAAAGATTAGAAGTGAGGTGGAGACTAGAAGGAAAGAAACGATCTTTAATATTTCAACATGAGACGACTCGTCATATAGAAGGCGTGTTTATATATAAATTTGATCATCTTGGCTATATTGGCGAACACCGCATCCAAACCATTATTCCTCCGCCAAGTAGGCGCACACTATTACTTCATTCATTAGGCGTCAGGTTTAGATCCCTCTGGTGGGATCAAGGAAAGAGATCGCCCGTATTAGATCCTGGCTTTTGATTTTATAATAAACGTCGGAGTTTACATCTGTCAAAAAGGACCTCCTTCTCCCATTATTTTCTTTTTTTTCCATTCCCATGTTGCCTTGTCTTTTTGGCTCCGTGCTCAAGTCAGCAAAACCTGTTTCACAAAGATCCATATGGACTGGAATAACAGCTACAGGTCCTTCTGTTGAAGACTGTGTTCAAGCTGCAAAGAGTACAATACGTGAAAAGCCTGATGTCTGCGTAGCTCTCATTTCAAAGTCATTCTCAACACGACATTACCAAAACCTACTGGCAGCTATCAAAAAGGAGATCAAACCTCAATTCTTAATCGGTGGCGTTGTCGATCGTGTACCAGAGGTCGACCATGGCCTATCGCTTTGGGCGGGCTACAATGAAGCTATCATTCCCTTTGTACTTGAAGATAGCGAGGAAAGACACAAAATTCGCAACATATCCGTTGGCCGGTGGGGCAGAGTAGAGGAAACAGCGCGACTAAGATATCAAAGTGATCATGTGGATAAAGTAGGCTGGAAAAACTTCGGATCGATCAGTAAACCGGCGCAGCCGCATGAGTTGCCTCCCACCTTTCAAGGTGTGAATGGGCAGCCTTCGTTTGTGTTTATGGTATCTGATAATGAACCTGACCAGCTGCTACAAACATTCGATCATCATTATCCTCATACTCCTAAAGTAGGCATCATCGGCTCATCAACACCTTTCATCACTGGTACGCCATATACTCTATTCAACAACTCGAGTCTCATGGGATCGGGCATCGTCGGTTTTGCGTCATTCGGCAAACAGAATAAAGCGCAGATAAACATACATCATCCGGCACTACAGAAAATTGGAGATCCACTAAGAATCACCCGTTGTCGAGGAAACGTTATTCTAGATCTCGATCAATCGGGGGCAACAGGTCTTTTGTTAAAACTAATAAACCAAGACAGACGAGCGTCCAAGGATGAAGAGTTTTATCTGGCTGTTTATCCACCCAATGCTGAGGGACAAGAAAATAAAATGACAGTAAGTCGAATCACAAGCGGTGATCCTAGCAGAGGAAATATGTCAGTTGACACAACAACAGACCTTCAAGTGGGTCAAACTGTGCAGGTAAGAGAAAGGTTATAATAAAGGAATGGCTTCAATCTGATTGATTATTTCAAGTTTTTAAGGAGAAAGCCCTATGACGACAGCATGATAGCTCCACTGCCGACAGATGACGATGAAATTCTTCTGGGCGTAGGAGAAAAGGACCATACGATTGATATGTCACCAGTTCAAATACCCGAAATGACAATGATTGTCAGAGACACATTTGGTAGCATAAGTGAAAATGGTGTAATTATAGGTCACAACTCACTACCTGCACAAGTGCTTGACGTTCCTTATTCAAATATCACGTTTAAGGCTTCGTCAGAATGATTAAATAAAAAGGGGGTTGTACGCTTTTATTTACAGATTGTCTATTTTTTATTGTTATTCTTCTTTCTCTTCTTGGTAGTAGGGCCATCTTTCAGACTTGATGCAGAAGCAATAGCAAATTCTTCTGATTGATCAAAATTTCTTTTTATAGGAACTTTTCTATTCACCTTGCCCCTTGGCTTTCCTTCAGTCTTCTTTACTTGTACACGTGGATTCTTTTCCTTCTTTTTCTTATCCTTTATACTGTCAATGATGTTCGAAGGTGCTTCTCTTAATGCAAAAGACTTGGCCAAGTGGCCCAAATGCAGTTTCTTGATATGAAAGATGTGCTTTTCTGATGCTGGGTGTGTGGCATAGGCACGACAAGTTGACCAGAATGCCTTACGAGCTAATACCACATGCTAATCATGAATATGTGAGTTGATATGTCATTATTGCATTACATATATATACGACTTACATCTGCATCGGCTAAAACATAACTTTCCATAGTATTTTGTAACTGCTGTGCCGGTGTCTGAAAATCATCTTTGTGTTCAGCAAGGTTCTTCAAGATGGATTCCATGGGCACAGACTCAAGATTCAAGTCCTGCGCTTTCAAGATGTCCAAATACTCCATTTCACTAGGCAGCAAAAACAAGGTTGCTTCACCTATTCTACCCAAACGAGCCGTACGACCTGCACGATGAACGTAGTCTTTAAGATCTGTAGGCGCATCATACTGGACAATGTGATCAACGTTGGGTAAATCCAGACCACGAGCAGCAACGTCAGTACAGAACAAAACACCGGCTTTAGCCTTGCTGAATTCAGAAAACGTTTCAGAACGAACCTGTTGGCCTAGTTCACCATGGAGACGAAACACTGCCTTCTCGCCAAGAATTGTGCTGACTTGATAAATTGGCTCTGGACCGTTCTTGCTCTTCTTATGTCTCTTTGTTTTGCTGTTGGCTTGTTCTGAGCCAATGATCTTGTTCAAAGTCTTTTTCATTATACTCGCCTCTGTATCTCCTTCTTCTTCTTCTTCAGCATCAGACTCTTCATCCATGACAGGCTTACCAGCCTTTGCAAACAGATCATAGTGGAAGTCAACAGAATCACAGCAGGAAAAGAAAACAATCACTTTACATCCTTTCTGTTTTTTGGTCTTTGTATCATAAAAGCAGGATCTAAGAAGAGCTAATAAGGTAACAAGTCGTAACTTTGCAGGTACAATGGTATAAGTTTGCTTCAACTGATTTGGCGTCGTAAACTTCATCTCTTCTGCTTCGTTATGTTCATCCACATCCATGTCTGTTGTATTCAGTAATTTTAATCCATCCTTCTTGGCATCAGTACCACTTATAAACGCAGGATTCACCAAGGACGAGCCTGCTAGCTGTTTCACATCATCTCTCAAAGTAGCTGAACACAAGATTGTCTGTCGTCTCTTTGGCCAGTATTTGGAAGCCATCACTGCCTTGTACTTGGGAGAACATCCAGCTTTTGTACGTTCAGTGATGATGCCCATAATCTTCTTGAGCGTCTCTTCAAAGCCGAGATCCAATAAACGATCTGCTTCATCCAAAACGAGCCATTTCAAATTGCGAATATCAAAACTCTTTGTGTTTTCCAAATGATCCAACAATCGACCAGGTGTGCTTACTAAAATGTTGACACCCTTTCTTAACCGAGCCTTCTCCTTGGCCTTTGAATCACCTCCAATGACAATACCGGGCACAATCCAATGGAGTCGACGTAAATGTTCATCTTTTGGTCTGGGAAGATTGACTAGCTGAGTCAAGACGCCGAGTACTTGTTGAGCGAGCTCTCTAGTAGGTGTCAAAATAATCGCAACTGTTCCGATAGCACGATCACCAAATGGTTGATCTTCTGGTTTGATAGCATCCTTGGGTGCTGTAGACGCCTCTACGAGTCGATTGATGATGGGTAACAGATAAGTCAAGGTCTTTCCTGAGCCTGTCTGGGCTTGGACTACAACATCAATATCATCTGTGGTATCAATCAAGGTCTGTTGAACTGTGGCGGAAGGTCCAAGTAAGACAGGAATTGCTTTTGCCTGTACATTAGTAGGAGCAGTGACATTAAGCTTTGTAGATAAATGATCAGCCAGATCTGAATTGATGCCAATACCAGCAAAGTTACTTGAGTCCACCATGGGTGCGTTACTTGCATCACGATTTCCCGATTGAACACTCTTTTTTTTGTAAGAAGTGGGTATTTGAGGGTTGGCTGAAAACAAGGAAGACATGACTTGCACTTTACCATGAATCATTCTTGTTCCAGGAGCAGGACCCTCTGTTGCCTTGGGTTTTTCTTCTGATTCTTTTTCAGGTGTTGATATGCTAGGTTTCTTTACTTGTTTTGGCTTTCCATTATTCTTTTTTATTGGTGTCTTTGGTGAAGATGCTGTGATGTTTAACAAAAGGCCGTCGTCGTTGTCTTCCATTCTAATCGATCAGATCCGAAAAAGTGTATAAAAAAGGTTTTCTTGCAGAAAAGAATTTTTAAATCCCGTTTTTGACTTTCAGCTTGTACACGCGCAGATCTTGGGTTGGAATACAATAAATGGTATGTGATGGTCTTATAGAAAAGAGAGAGGGAGAGAGAGAGAAAGATTGCTTTGCTATTTTCCAATTCAATACCGTACACCTACATTCATTCTTTTAATAGAAAAGTGCCGAAATTAAAAGCAACCACTTTATATAAGGCAGAACAGTAACAGATGTATGTCCTCTTTTTGCAGCATATGCCAGCTAAGTGATCATTGTCTGTCTTTTAGTTCATCATATATAAATTATATAATAGTAAGTATTCAAAATATGAATTGGGTGAAAAAGAAAGAGATGGACAGCCGACAATGAAAAACGCTAGTCACACGGACAAAGATGAAAGAAAAAGGGAGTGTCAATCATGTTTATCATCAAATGATGTATGATGGCTTCCTTTTTCTTTTTTTTTTTTCTTTTTAATTAAAAAATGATTGATCCACAATCAAGGGCTTCAGGGGAAAGGTGGCCGCTGTTGAAAAGTCATGATGGTAGCAACCAACTGCGTGCATATCTGTATGCTGCTGTTGCTGCGGTAGGTGGTTTTCTCTGTGGATATGATACAGGATCAATATCTGGCATTATTGCATTGCCCATCTTTCAAAAGCTATTTTTTGTAAAAGAGTCTATTGCATTCTACGAAAGCATCTTGCTTGCATCCTTTTTGATCACTTCCATGGTGGGCGCCTTTGTTTCTGGATACTTTTGTGGTTAGTGATTTGATTGGCATGACAATAGCCATTAACGTCTAAATAGATGAAATTGGCCGAAAAAACTCCATCATGTTTTCATCCTCATTGCTTTCCATTGGAATCATGATGGAACTGTCTGGATTTAATACCCATATCTTGCTGTCTGGAAGGCTTATCGCCGGACTCGGTACCGGCTTGATGACAAATGCCATTCCGCTCTATCAATCAGAAATAGCTCCTTCAGACATCAGAGGACGCTTGGTAAGCATGTACACATCTTTATCGTCCTTTGGTAGGTTGGTTGGATACATTGTTATATTTTACAGCAGTTACTTTCAGTCCAACTGGGCATGGCGTACTCCATGGGCCGTTCAGCTCGTCCTGTCCATCGCATTCTTGGCGGCGTGCTCATTGCTACCATACTCACCTCGCTGGTTGATCAGCCAAAAGAGAGATGCTGAAGGCTTGGAAGTCTTGGGAATTATTTATGATCTACCAAAAGATCACAGGATCGTCCAAGATGAATATACCAAAATTGTCTCCCAGATTGAGATAGAGCATAGAATGGGCAGCGATCAAACATACGCTGAACTCTTCAGAGGGTCTAATCTTAAAAGAACCTTGATCGCGTTTTTCATCTCTATTGCGACTTGCTTTACTGGCAATGTCGCCATTTCCTATTTTGCTCCAACTATCTTCAAGAATGCGGGTTTAGATGATGTATCCATTTCACTTGCCCTGACTGGAGGCGCTAGTTTGCTGTCGTTTATTGCCAACATGGTTTCATTTAAGTGGTGGGTTGACACATGGGGAAGACGCTCTTTATTCTTGATAGGATCAGCTATCTCAAGCATCTGTATGTTTACAGTAGGCATTATATTCTATACTCATGCTGAAGTTACAAATGGAGAAGTGGCTATACCAAATGCACAAGCGCGTTATATTGTTATCCTTTGTATCTATCTCTTTTCAGCGTCCTTTGCTGCAACATGGGAGATATGCACCTATGTGTACACCGCAGAGGTGTTTAGTATGAAATATCGTGCAAAAGGACTATCACTTACATACGCAATAAGCTGGGCTGGCAGCATCCTGATCACATATACTATACCCTATTTATTATTGTACTCCATCTCTGGTGTTTACTTTTTCTTTGGAATATGTTCTATACTCAATTTTATCGGCGTATGGTTTATACCAGAGACTAAAGGCAAGAGCTTAGAAGAAATAGACGCTATATTTGAATAGATTTTTTTTATAATAATAAAAAGTAGTTTGTCTATCTTATTATTGCTCTTTTCAAGTTATTGTACAAGGAAACCATATTCAGTAGCCATATGAACGTCTGAATTGATCAAGAACTTTTCAAAGCTTTAAACGAACAAGTTAATACATAGCCACGCATTGGTAAGCAACCACTTACACATTTCTTTGATGCTCTTGATGAATGATAAAAGAATATATATGATCTTGTTTAAATTTGTCTATAACTGGTCTATAACGCTCAATATCAATTGGATCTCTGATTCCTTCTTTCGTCACTTTCTGATTATAGTATTCAAATACGGGTTGTTCCAACAAGAGACCTAGTGCTGGTGCTTTAGGAATACTCCATCTTTGAGGTCCAAAGCTTTCTTCAATAAGTGAAATTGGTGCATCTACATGAACACAAAGCAAGGCCATAGCTATCATATGTAAGTCACTCAAGTTACTTCATGTATCATTGCTATCTTACAAATCATTTTACGGATCTGATGAAGTATAAATGAATTCCCATGAAGCTTAACACTTATCCACTCCCTTCCCTGAATCATCTTTGGCTTACTGACCTAAGTAGAATTCACTTTAAATTGAGCCTCAACATGGGCAACTTCTCTTACTTCGATGTTTCTTATATGTCTTCTTGTATCTCTTTTGCCAATGACCTTGGATAAGGTATAATTATGAAAGTCATGTGTACCCTTAAACATGGACATGGCTTCACTAAATTTGTCAAGCCTCTCTTGATTTACACGATAGTTTGAGAGAATTGAAGGATTTGTCATGGTAACGTATCGTTCATCACCATGATTATCCCCCATACGCACCATAATATCAGTAGGTGCGCCTGGTTGCTCCTTAAGAACAATGTTTGTCTGTTTTTCTCTTAATGCATATGTAGGCAATAAGTATTCATAAATACGTGAATCACACTGGTTCTTGGCATTAAATCCTTTGGTTGTCTCCACATATCCTAATGAAGAGATAAATACAGGTAAAGCATGTATATGTTCATACATACCCCATAATCGTATATCTGAAGGCAAGACACTATTTGCTTTTTCTATAAAACAAGGATCAGGAATGATCTTTAAAGATACAACATTACAGGCAGCATGTACGCCTTTATCCGTTCGAGCCGCACGATGAAACTGAACTTTTGAGGGGTGCAATGAATTCTGTTTAGATATGGCGTCTATTTTACAGAATGCTTCGAATAAAGTTCTTTCTATACTGACAACATTGTCCTGACTAATACATATTAGTTTATCTTTCTTTATGCCTTGATCAATATTTACAACTGCATTCCATAATACTTAGAACCGTTGAAGCCTACCATGACAGCTACTTTCTTTTTTGGCTTTCTTATTGTCGTATCTTGTAAATTAACCTTTGGTAGTTGTTTATTTTTAGACTGTAAGAAGTTTCCGAGTAGAGAACGAATGGTTGAAAATGTTGAAAGACATCTGTTAGATCTATAAAAAGTACATGGCATTTTTTGACAGGAGTAAAAAATAAAAAATAGAAATAAATCCGTGAGACTTTCAAACTGTGTAAATACTTATTACACACAGAAAAGATATATCTAGAACACCCCTTAGTTTATGTCATTGATATATGCAAGAGTGTGTACGATGGGAAAAAAAAAGGAGTCATTAAGATACAAGTTTTAAGGCCAAGAAGTTTATTTTATTTATATCCAATGTGTGTGTGTGTATGCTTGGTGTATATTTTACGCTGAACTGATCAGTTGCCTTATCTCGTCTACTCTCTCTTTTGACTTTTTGATGCAATATTTCAGTTGTTCTATGCTGACTGTATTTCCTCCAGTTTTATATGTTCTACAAATATTATAATCTAAATCCATGATAATCGTAATTGTCTCCTTGGTGAGTATTTCTTCTGTATCATTAGGATCTGCTAATATAACATCTGGATTATTAAACACGCAAAATGTGGATGGGACAGGGAATCTTGATAGTTCAATAGGATCATTGAACTCATTAGGATCTGCTTCTACTATCATTGAAGGAGTTACTTCTGCTTTTGGTAATTTCACTATAAACAATAAAAGCATGAATTCATATGATAAGCACACACACTTATTTGATGTTACAGTCTCTTAATGCAATCGATAATGCCAGTAAGCTTGCATCCAGTACATTCCCATCATAGTTTAAACATACGATATCTGCATACAATACCCATACCGCCTTTCCTTCCTCAATGCATAATTTCTCTAGAGGAAACACATTTGATCTAGAAGCGAGTTAGACAACATTTTGTATATTTATTATTGTTTACATACTTTGTGTAAAGTTGATGGATAAGTTCTGATAATACCTGTGCTTTTTCAGAAGGTGGTCCTGCTTTAAACTTGGAAGAACATAAGGGTGATAACTCGACATTAGGCACTGAAAAGAAAATATGATTAGATGTCATTAGGGCTGTATACAAGTTGCATTATGTACCCAAATATCCCTGACCAGGTGTGCTCATCTTGGGTTCACTCACTTCTGCTTTGATACCGCAGACAACAGTGGTGCCTCCTAATCGAACCATTGCACTTGCATTGGCTGTTGATATGGCGTTTTTTGTAATCATAGTTTTTCTGAACTGTTCAAGAACTCTTCCATCTGGTCTCACTTTTTCATTTAGAAACTTCTTCAAGTATTCATGAGGTTGAATTCTGCTAAAGATCTCAAAATTAGCCACCATCTTTATCAAGAAAAGAAAGTTTTACTTTTTGTGTGCATATGTGGATGAATATCATCTCAAGGTGGCTTAGACCAGTCAAAAGAAGCATAATCTTTCCCACACTTTTTTACAGTTACGCATAAACCATATCGGTCATTACACGCGCGTTAAGAGAGATTAACTATATGTTATAAATGCGTGTACGTGAGAAATGCTAAGAACATAAATGACTATGATTAGGTAAACTAAATCAGGTATTCCCTTAAATATAAATATATGACCTTTTCCTTCTTTTTTTTCTTTTTCTCTTTCTCTCCTTTTATTCTTCTTCTTTATGGAAATAGAAGCGGCTCATTGTTTGGTCAATCTATCCACAAATAAAGCAAAGTATCCTATACCTGCCTTTGATAAGATGCACACCAACAAGCCTTCTAGACATCACCAATGTTCTATGTGTCCTAAATCATTCTATCGATTAGAGCACCTGAATCGTCACATTAGAACTCATACTGGAGAAAAACCTCATCCGTGCACATATTTAGGCTGCAGTAAGAGATTCTCTCGTTCTGATGAACTCTCTCGTCATACTCGTACACACATGTATCCAAAAAATAAAAAGAAGAAAGAAAAACATTATGAATCCAGACCATCCTTATTTCTTCCTACACCTACACCCATTAACTCACCGCCATTATCACCTTCAAAACATACTCTACCAAGTTTAGATTTGGATGTTCAACTGAGTACAGAAAGAGCCAGTGTGCTGCTAGTCACCCCAAACAGCTCACCACAGTTATCATCTCGGATACTCACACGATTCACGCATGAATGCAGGACATGTACCAGTGGGAATAACCATAATCGATCTCTGCTAGATCTCATAGAACGACCACCTTGGGATCGCAATTTACCGCCCATATTCTCACCCGAGAGTGTGGAAAAATAATGTATATTTTATCTATTTGCTCTTGTTTTTTTTTTTCTCTTTCTCTTCTCATTTGTGTATAGTTATAGCAACTTGATAATGTATAAAAGGGGCATTTAAGCTTCATCCGTCTTTTCTTTTTCTCCCTTTTTTTTTGTGTATATATAAAATGTTGATTTAATAAAGAAATCCTACCATGTTGGTGGCTATCGTGAGAAAAAGAAACCCTCTTTCTCTTTCATGTAGCATTTTTCTCACCAAATATTACTTTGGATGTGTGATTAACATGGTTTTTCTTTATACGATCTTTCTATATATCTTGCCTTTCTCTTTAATTTGCATTGACAACATTTATTATCATATGTCATCAAGAAAGACGTAGGGCGTTATGGATAAAAGGGAGACTGGCATAACAAATCATTCCATCCTCTTCCCGACGTTTTCCCGTTCCTTTGTTCACACTGTTCATTCTTCATTCAAACCTACTTTTGTGACTAAAACTCACAAATACGTATAAACATCCCGTGAGCTACATTTCAGGGGGGCATTATCCAAATCGTACTACGCATTTTTTTTCTTTGCTTTGTCATAGGGGAAATCTCCGGTTTTTCCGTAGCAACGACTGCGAGCACACTTCTTGCTGAGCTATACATACGTATTAAATGTGACAAGAAGTCTATTTGAGCTTAATCCTGTAAATCCTTTCTATTCTTTATTATTATATCAAAAACAAACAAACGAATGCAGAATTCAGCTGAACACATATCGGCAACAACAGGATGAACATCCGCAGCCGTAATAAAGAATTGACTCATTGTTCACCCTCTTTCAGCACAGTTTTCGCATTTACGGACCAATCAAAATGAACTAAAGGTAAAATGCTAGAAAGAAATGGAAAGACAAAGCAATTACAAGAATCTGCTAGAAGCAAAAAGATTTATAATGATCCTAATATGGAATAAACCCGCTCCGAGTGATTTGTGTATAAAAAGGTGAAAAAAAAAAAACTTGAAAGGGTCCCGTATCAAATAAAACAACTTTACCAATGTCTCTCTCTCATCGATTTTTTTCTGAAGCACTCCGTGACTTTAACCGTGCCTTTGCCTTATTAGAAGAACCTGTGTTCTACCATGTGGCTCGTCGTTCTGCTATTCCTGCAAGATCTTTTGCTCGTCAGCCCGCAACAGACTTGATTGAAACAGAAGAAGCCTTTGAGCTACGCTCTGAATTACCTGGTTATGACAAGAAAGATATCCACATTGAACTCATAGACGACAATACACTCCAGTTACGTGGTTCTACTCATCAAGAATCTTCTGCTGCTTCAGAGAGTAAAGCTGCTGAAGAAAGCAAAGAGGTGTCCGCAGAAACCACTTCATCTACAGAGACCACTACTGTGAATGGTAATAGCGCTACGTCTACCCCTATTACACCCAAATGGTGGGTAAATGAACGAGTCTCTGGTAACTTCCAAAGATCCTTTTCGTTCCCTGTTTCTATCAAGTCTGAAGAAATTAAAGCAAGCTACGAAAATGGCGTCTTAAAGGTCATCATTCCCAAGGCAAATAAAGAGACAAGGCGTATTCAAATAGACTAAAATAGAGGATATATAAACCTATTCTTTGTAATAAAAATCATGCCTTGTCATTTTATTTTTCTTGTTTCATATTTGTCCATGCCTTTTTCCCTGATGGTGCTGTGTTTATGTCTGCCCATACAGCCAAAGTCTGCAGAAAATATATCAAAGTGGATTGTGTTCAACGTTTCATATTCTATATGTCAATGGCTACAAATAATATCTTCATGACAAAGCTCGTATATTATAAATGATTAAGAAGCTGTTCAAATTATACGCAGCGATCAGTTTCATAGCATACATTCTAATGGTTTTTATTTCAAAAAAAAAGTAATCTGTAGCTTGCTTATTTTAATATCATCTTTAGCAACATTCACTTATAAATCAGTAGAAGCAAGAAGGAGAGGACATGTATCTCGCTAGAAAATAGAGAATGAATGTACCATTAGCCGGACCAATAAAACCTGATTGCTTGTTGAAGGAGTTCCTTCTTGTCTTAAAAGTCAGGCTTAATGATCAAAACATCTTCTCTCCAAAAGTAAAAGATGTTTTCGTTAAAGGACAAAGGCCAAAGCTTTATCTTGTCCTCTGCGAATGGAAAAGGAGAAAGAATAAAATGAAGATGACGTTTTTCAAAATTCAACATAACAATATGAATTTATCTGCGGCGTGGACAAGTAAGATTTTTACCTTCTGAAAGTAATCAAGAGAAGTATATTTTATTTCATCCGCTATTGTTTTGAGCATTGCAAGAGCACCAAACATGTCTTTGTGGTGGTTGAAGTTTATTTTAGTCATGTTGATGTTTTTAAATACACTTATAATAGTTGTCTCCTACGGTCTTCTGCTATTCTGTTTGTTCTTAACCTGTTGCAACGAAGCTAAACACAAGGTGCAAATTAACTTCAAGAAAAACCAACTTGCTGTGATTGAAATACACTTTTCTCTGGTACAATAGGAGTATTCATATTGTTTTCTGCAAGAAAATTAAATGGCGTATTCTAAGCATATGATATTTTAAGGACTTAAACACTGTAGAACAATCACCTTAACAAACGTGGTTTACCTTTTTAGGGCTAAGGTTTTTACCGCTGTAGTTAAAAAAGCGTTTTTCAATTTAAAATCAGCGCCTTTTCTTTTGTTTCCCGGAACTGTAAAGTTACAAATTTCTAATCTGAGCCCTTACCAAATGGTTCAAATTTTCCTGGAAGCAGAATGGCTCAGTGTGCGGCGCTCTTTACCGCTTGCCCGGACAAACATTTCATATAGTAAGCATTGAATTGCACTGTTGCTTAACGATTATCTAACTATAGAAAGGAAAGTTACGCAAAAATAACAGGCATGAGATGTAAAAAAAAAAAGAATAGTAGCAGCAATTAATTAGCTATTTAAAATAACTTATTTGAGCGTCACAAGATCCATAATTCAAAATGCATTCTCTTTGACCTTTCAAAGTTAGACTATTTGAATCAAAAAATAAAAAACTTGCTAAGCATGAGTAGAACATGGTTTATGGTGTCGATCCATAAACCACAGCCGGTGAAGACCGATTGTACTCCCCTTTCCTCTTCCACTTCTTCAGTTGTTAAAAAGGAATAATGTACGCAGCTAACAGCTTTGATATGATCAGCTCTATTTCTCGGAACAGTTACTCGATGAGCTTTTGACGAGGAGAATACAGTCAAGGCGTTCTTGATACTTTTGTGAGCTAGAATGATCTTATCTGTAATGACGTGAGTGGGTGTAACATGAAGGTTGGCTTAGAATCCTTGTTTCTATGAATAACATCAAATTATTACTTGGAGATTCAGAAAATTCGAGATTTGTATGTTCACCTGCGCGGAGTAGACGGCACAAAGCGTGGTTATGGCAACCATTGTTAGCCTTGGCAACTTTATCTTTACAGGATAGAAATCAAGTGCATTTTCATAAGTAAAATAGCCATATCTGGTCGACCGCTTGTCAAATGATGGGTAAGGAAAGGAGAGATTGTAAAGTAAAACTTGACCAAGTTGTTTTATTTTGCTAATGATGAGTTACATTCCCGGTTAAAACCATGGTGACACCAAGTTAATTATGAACGTGCTTTTTCTTTTAACGAAGGAGAAATGAACATTTTAGTACCAGTACCACCCAGATCCCGCATTTACCTTTGACGATCAATTTGCCTAGAGATCAAGCTCACTATTTTCTAGAGAAGAGCAGTAAAGACAGCTAGTGACAGATCTAGTAACAAATAGAGTCCGGTATTAGACATAATATCTGACTTAATAAAAATAGAACAAGCTTATATATTAATTAGTTAGACTACAACTAATCATTGGTTGCATGTTACTCTATTACAAATGGCCTATGATCTTTGTCCCGATTGTCTATAAATAAAAAGTGACTATTCCTAATTTATAAAGGGGTTACTTTAAAAAACTTTTTTAGGCAACAGTTATTCTTTTTATGGAAAAAGAAGTTACAGTAACTTTCCTTGTGGCATGATGTGTTTGTTGTCCAGATCTATAATTTGATTTAGGGTTCACTGACTATTTCTTTCCTCTTTTCTTCCTCTCTTTTTTTCTTTCTTTTTTAAAACAACCTTCCTTTATCTTTCCCCCTTTTTTTTATTAGATTCCCTTACTCTCATTCAACAATCATGGTTTGGAAAGGTGCCATCATTTCAGCTATTGCTTTCGCTAGTGTCAACGCTGCTACAACCAACTACACCAGTTCTGTTGATCCTACTAAAATTGATATTCCCAAGATCCCTCAAACTACTTCTTATAACCCTACTGAAGAATGTACTGCCTATCAATCTCCTGTCGCTTGGAACAAGGCTGACTGGCCCAATTCTTGGGAAATCGCTACCTCTAACGGAATGAACAAGAGCGCTGAATTCCAAGCATTGTACAATTCTATTGACTGGTCAAAGGCTCCCAACTTCCCCGTCAGAAAGCTCACTGCTGCCGGTGGTCTTGATATGACCGGTTACGACACTGCTACTGATCCTGCTTGTTGGTGGTCCAGCACTACCTGTAAGACTCCTAAGACTTCTGGTATCAACGCTGACATCTACGCTTGTCCTGAACCCGATGTCTGGGGCTTGGTAACTATTTTTATCTTTGCACTTTTGCGTTCTTCTAATTGTTTCATTTAGACTTTTGATGATGGACCCAACTGTTCTCATAATGCCTTCTATGACTATCTTGAACAAAACAAGCTGAAGGCCTCCATGTTCTACATTGGTTCCAACGTCATGAACTGGCCTTATGGTGCTCAACGTGGTGTCAAGGACGGTCACCATCTCGCTGGCCACACTTGGTCTCACAGATTAATGACTACCTTGACTAACGAAGAAGTTCTTGCTGAACTTTACTTCACTCAAAAGGCTATTAAGCTTGTCACTGGTGTTACTCCTAAATACTGGCGTCCTGTAAGTTTCTTTTTTTTCCCGTACACACATTTATATAACCGTAGCACATGAACCCTAATTTTTTTTTTCTTTTTATTTATAGGCCCAAGGTGATATTGATGACCGTGTTCGTTGGATCGCCACTCAATTGAACTTGACTGCTATTCTTTGGAACTTGGATACCGACGATTGGGCTGCCAACACTGTCGCTGGTGTCACCACTCAAACTGTCAATGATAACTACCAGTCCTTCATCAAGATGGGTTCTAACGGTACCTTTGCTAGCTCCGGTAACATCGTTTTGTCTCACGAAATCAACAACATGACCATGGACTTCTTCATGCAACACTACCCCGAAATCAAGAAGGCTTACAAGCATGTCTTGGATGTCGCTACCTGTATGAACATCACCAACCCTTACCAAGAATCAACCGTTACTTTCCCTACTTTTGCTCAAGCCATTGGTGGTAGCTCTTCTAGTAACAGCTCTGTTGCTCCTGGTGCCTCTGGTGCTCCTGCTTCTGGTGCTTCTACTCAATCTGCTGCTGCCAAGAGTGCCGGTAACTCTGTTGCCATCAACAGCTCTCTCTTCATTGCTGCTCTTTTTGGTCTCTTGGTTCTCGCCTAAAAGCGGTCTATACACCCTTAATATAACAAAAATCTAATAATGTATTAAAACTTTGACTTGATGTAAACCTTCTCGTAGCATGTATTCCCCCCCTTTCTATATTTTTTTAAAGCACATTTTTTATTCCTTTTTTAGAAAATGTATAAAATCCTTATTCTCCTGGATCAACACAACATGCATGTCGTCTAATAGTAAATTGATCGCAGTATGATCGTGTAACATTTCGTTGTAATGTAAGAGAAAGAGAGAGGATGTATTGTTGTATATATAAAAAAAGGTGGTCTCCGTAACTTCGGTTATTTGAAAAAATATGTGAGCAGGTTAGTAAAACATCTCGATACACGAGTTTATGCATACACGACAAAATTCTTCCTCCCCCATGACACATTGTTGTACCATTTCCCCCTTCTTTTTTTTAGTTGTCAATATTATGCAAGTTTATTATGAAAATACCTAGTTTAGAGATATAAGCGGCTCATAATGGGCTTTCACACTTGATAGAATATTGAAAAATAAACAAGTTTATAAAAGGATACAATACAATTTTGACTTCAGTTTTTATTAAGTATCCATGGTCAGCTGAAAACATACCAACTAAAGAACATGGTCCTTATCAACCATGAGAAAAAAGAGAGTATTGGGGGGGGGTAGTGTTTACCTTGGAAAAGTAGAGCATTCCTATGACGAAATTGCAAACATAGTCAACTTGGCTAAATCAACAGTACAAAACACTTCTGATAGAATAAAAAAGACTGAACCATCTCTACTAACCACGGCAAAAAATGGAATACATAAAAATCAATGAGAGATCACAGACACTCCTTACGAGGACAGTACGAGATGACCCATTCGTAACATACGACCGTCTGAAACTAGGATTGAATAAAGTAGATGTAAAGGCCTGTAAGCAGATTGCTACTGGCGGTTTAAAGAGGATGGAGTGTGGTTCTTACTTTGCTGCTCAAAAGCCTGCATTGACAGAAGAGCACATGAAGAAAAGGCTACACTGGGGCTACCCAGTGGTTGAACAGTGGCTAGCGTCATTTGGAGTGATGAATCTCGTCTCAGCGTTATCAGTAGCGATAATAGTGCCAGAGTCACCAGAAAAGCTGGTGAACGATATGATGCTAACATATTGTATCAACAAAGATATATGACAGCGATGTTTGCGTACGCATAATCATTACTGTTGTTGTTGTTTCCATTGTACTTATGTTTGAGTTGGTTTGCTATTGACAATAACTAAAGCCTTCAATGATAACAGTTAGAAAGGACGTTTAAAGAAACGATAAGAATAAAATCACTACTAAGGCTAATGGTTTAGAACTAATAAATAAAATGAAGAAACGTATTCGAAAAAAGAAATAAAAATTGGGGCAGGCGTTTTGTAAGCATGGAATCAAATTAAAGACTTTGTAACGCTACTATTCATTGTATATTGTTCTACCAAATGCCCTTTTTTTATTCACAACAACAATTTTTATGGATACACATGTGTGCTTTTGAATAGATCTATGAGGGCATCACTATGACAGTCAAAGCACTCCATACAATCGGGTGACTGAAGTGTATCAATACGTCTGTACACCTCATACTTTCTAGCTTCTTTCAGGCGATCTACCGCAATGTATTCTAAATATTTATGGCTTCTATGAGAGGCGTTAGTTTGTGTGTTTGCAATAAAATGAAGAATTATGCTACTACAAAACGTACTTGACCAACTCCAGGACGTCAGAAGGCTCTGCTGAAAGAGTGGTGTAATCGATAACGATAAGACATACTTTTTTTTCTGTCGACGACAGATATGTCAAAAATGCCATACTAAACCAAGAGTTAATTTGCCGTGCCATAATCCCTCTTCGTCTTTCTCCAAACACTCCCATTTTTCTAAAACTTACTCTGTGTGCTGCCAGCCCAACTATCAAGTTTCATCTGTTTTAATTCTTTCTCAGTATTGACCCATGCCCCTTGATACAATGGAGCCCTTAGCCAGACTTTTTGGTGAGACAAAAACAGATTCTACCAACGAACGAGATCTCAAACAGGTTATCATATTTTGAAGATTTCTCTCGAGTCCTTCGTTTAATGTGTAGGTTGAATTTTTTTTTCTGGACGTACTCCAATACATCAAAATCATCCATCTTAACCTTCTTATGAACCTTTCATATCGACATTGGTAATTTCCCAATGTTTTTCGCTAAAAATACTATAAACCTAACGTTAACACGGTGTATTAGGTTCTTTTCTTTTCTTTTGATCAAACACTCCACTTTTAAAGCATTATATACCTTGATCATCAGTTTTCATGATATATACGACTTTTTTCTCCACTAGACGACCTGACTCTATCCTTGTTCTTGATTTTGGTGCCTTTAAAAAACACGCGTAAACGCTGCAGGTTTTTTTTTAACATATAATGTTGTATATGATTGTTGTCAACACTCTTCTCCTTATTCCCATAAAATACGATAGAAGAATATAAACTAGAATATATGCTCTACTGCAAGATTATACTAGAGTTATTATAACAATTTATATAAACATGTCAGAGTGTGTAAGAGTGTCATATCCGGACATAGTTCACGCTTATTGAAACTAAGGAAATTACCCTTACAATAACACTTACTAGTACATAGCATCATTTCTTGATTCAGATGTCATAGTAGTAAAACTAGAAAGCCCTTAAGCTACTTTACCCCAGAACAACTGTTAGACTCATGTCAACTATAATTCCACAATAAGCTTGAATAGTATAAATAAGAACCACTCTTTATCAATAAAAAGGATTAATTCAGTCTTACTGTATCTTATTGTCTATTACTACTTTTATATTATCACAAAGAGTTACTTGTAAGTCTGAGGACAATGTGGGTTTTAATGAACGGGAATAATAGTAGGAGGTGAATGCAAGCAACAATACTAAAAGAGCACAAAGTCTAGGTCGACATGATTGTATAAGCGACTTTTTTTATTAAATATACAAAGGGAAAGGAGAATTACTTTTCAAAAAAAAAGAGAAAATGTATACATATTATATATATAAAGAGAAGCTCTTTATAATAAAAATACGTTTGAAGGAGAGTGGGCATTTCAAACGCTGTATTATATATTCTAGACATCTATTGAGCAGACATCATATTGTCCATAGACAAATTGCCTTCCATTTGCTCTCTAGCAAACATTTCAAAGAATTCGAAAATAACTAAAACACTGATTAGGATGCCTGAACCAGTACCAATACATCCAAGAATATCGGCTGTGGCAGACATGAGGGCTAATGTGGCACCACCAACAGAGGCAGCAGGAAGGATGACACGATTGAGTTCCTTATACATCGAGATGTCACGGTAGCCGGCAATGGTAACTTGTTGATCTTTGAGTTTTTTAGCTACATCGCGAGAAGAACAGCCAGAAATGTCAGTCCACAGCTTTGACAGATAGGCACAGGTGATGATCGTGAGTGCAGCATAGATCAGGGTATGAATAGGGTGGAAGACAGCATCGATCAAGCCATGAGGAGCAGAAAGATAGTATGCAATACCACCCACAGGAGCAAGAAGGCCACTGTCGTCAAAGGTTCCCCAGACACCAAGAACATGAACAAGCAAGTTGTTTTCAAAATAAGTGTAAAGTAAGTAAGAGACAAGTAACACATTGGCATATAAGGCAGACTGGAGGATGACTGGCATGGCAGATGTATAGAAGAGTCTGATAGGATAACTTGCACGCTGGCTACGCATACGGTTGGACTTGACGGACAATTCAACACGGAAACCTAAGAGATAGGTAGTGAATGCAAACATCGCGATGGTAGCAATAGCGCTCATAGCGTTAGGAAGATCAGGGCGATAAAAGGCATCCTTGAGTGCACGAGTCTTGCTGCTACGAGATCCCAAGAGATGGAATACGGAAACAATGGCACCTTCATACTCACTACCACGATAAGTTGCAACAGAAGAGAATGACAAGAGCTTCCAAAATACATTTTGACTGACACTAGCAGCAATAAAGATGTTGATACCAGAACCCAAGCCATAACCCTTTTGAAGCAATTCATCCAAGAGTAAGATGACGACAGAAGAAGAAACAAGTTGTAAAACTAAAAGAGCGCTTCCGACAGTTCCAATATCACTGGGGTTTCCATAGTGGCCAGCAAGGACAAGAAGAACGGCCTGTGAGGCAGCAATCAAGATAGCAAACACTAGAGCGATGTTTAATACATATCTTTTTTCTTTTCTATACTTTCTTACACTTTTGAGCACCAGAAAACAAGGCGCGGTCTTGTCTCAAACTGAAGTCAACACGGAAGAAATTGGCAGCAGCCAAGAATTGCATGATCATACCAGAAGTAAGAATAGGGAGAACACCAAGTTCGGTGAGAGTACCTCGGTTAGAAGCCAAGACAGTACGTAACCAATAGAGAGGATCAGATGAATCTGATGATTTGATTCCATAAAGAGGTAATTGAGACATGACCATGTAGGCTAAAAGAGCCACACCAGTATAAACTATTCTTTCATAAAATGGCACCTGTTGGATGATGCATTGAGTGAGCTGTCATTCTTCATCATCTGAGCATATTACCTTTCGATCAGGTGGGGCAATATCAGGAAGTAGAGCCATAAAAGGCTTAAAGAGAGAAAGTACCCTGACTAGAGTAGGGATATAAGTATTCTTTCTAATAAAGTACACACACGCACACACTGCAATAATACTTACGGCCCATGTTTTTTGAAATTTTTAAACACGCGGAAAAGCAGTAAGAAAAAAAAAAGGAAAAGAGAAGGGAAGTTTGAGAACAAGTAAACTCAACCAATCACAGAAAAGAAAATGTTGACCAATCATCATTGACTAAGTAAAAAACAAAATGCACAGACAGTGTAACAGCATTTATTCTGAAGGTGTCAGTTGAGGCGAGTTTGCGTTACTTTCTGACTCTTCTCTTAATGAATTCAGAATATTGTAACATTCTTCGAGAATATCGATACATAAACCTTGACCTATAATAATAATGAATAAAAAGGCAGATGGTGTATTTCTTTATTACCTTCTGGGATATTGCCTCTATCGTCATAGAATTTACCATCCTTTTTCAAGTTGTCAATGCTCGATAGTTTCATCTGGTATGGATAAAGTTCTTCTGAAGAGCAAGGAGCTCCAAGTTTCTTTACAGCCATTAGACATTGACGAACGCTTGTCAGTTGGTTATAAACAGGCATCAGTGACTCTGACACGGGCACACTTTCACTTAGTAGCACGAATATGATTCGGTAGCATTTATGAAGCAAGAAGTCGAGTACAGCCTGTCCTTCTGGTGCAGCACCATTGCTATCAATGAACTTTCCTACTAAATCTGGATTCACATTTCCTTCATGATCGACACAGCTATACTTCATCTTGACTATATCATAAAGTTGATGCTGATATGTGAACAAATCCGTCTGACGTAATGTCCACCTATGAGTGAGTTCTAATCTCTCCAACTGGTTCTTAATTTCTAAAAGTCGTTCACGAATGCTTTGTAACGCAGGAGAAAAGCCTTCACTACAAGATAAAAGGACATCATGCGACCAAAAGTATAATTGCTCGAGTAGAGTAACCAAGACGCCTTGTCCTTGCGGCACAGTTCCATTGGGCCCAAGGAATTTACCATCCACTCTCAAATTGTCCACTTCACGTATCTCTTCCTGTAATGGTTCAATATCTTTTGGCGTATAATCCTTTTTGCAGCAAATGATTCCCAGGTTTCGACGTATACGAAGCAATCGATCACGAATAGGAATGCTGTTCATTTATCATTAATAATGTATATTCTCTTGGGTATTCTTTTTACCGATTAATAACTTACAGCTCAGGGTCAACTTCCTTTAATGTGTTCATCAACTTTTCGTATATTCTTCCTAAAGATATTGTGGATAAGTAAAGAGAAAAAGATGATATTGCTAATATAACCTACTGCACTGTATAAACTTGTATTGCAACACTTCCATGACAAATTCTGGCAATATATTGTTCTTAATATCATGGCTAATTATCTTTTCTATTTCGTCTAGTTTTGCTTTATATGGTTCCAAATACTCTTCTTCATAAACGCCGGCTTCCTCTAATCGATCAAATATGTGCTACTCATCATACATAAATCTCTCTTTTTCTCTCTCTCTCGTTTTTTTGATAGCCTACCTTTATTGTAACAACTTGAGCATATACAGACGGGCCTAAAATATGTTAAAAAACTTTCTAAGCATTCGAAAAAGGTAGACATGTTCTTACTTTCTTTTAACTTTCCTAAGGATAGAAAGCATAAACTGAGCATTTGTAATATCTCATCCAATACATCATCTGTTCTCGTCAGTTCTCTCGTTTCACTCATCAGTCGTCCTCCTCTCAACATGCTCAAGTTCTTCATTTGATCAATTGTCTCCTGTCTCAAAGGCATAATATCATCCAATGTTAAATAGCTAGATCGATCCCGCTTGACAGCTGCAAGTCGCGCGCGGATATTTATTAGCTGTTGAAGAATAGGTTGCTCTATTAAGTTGTTTTAGCCCATCGTTTAAAGATAAGCCTCCAATCTCACCTTCTTCAGGTACTTTATGGATCATAGTTTTATCTTTATCTGTTATTGTAAGAAAGAACAATGAAGAAACAAAAAAAACGAAAAAATAAATGACAACATTTCAAGATAAATCGGACTTTACATTGTACGCTGACAATGAAAATGCACTAGCACCACAATATTGTTTTTTCTCTTTTATTCAGAATACCAAGCAGCCTGTAGTTAATAATGACCTTGAAATGAGAAGAAAAGGTAATGGCTTACTATCTGCATAATGATTCTATACTTCCAATGGATTTTGTTTAATAAAATTGGCATTAATGCATAGCAATGCATGTTAATGCAATGTGAGGTTAAGGTAGATCTTGAAAAGCATGAAATATAAAATACCTTTTCTGAACACACGCAGATATGATGAACGTCATATATGTGGCCCCACCCTGCGGATATTTCATGCAGATGTTATGCCACTGTTTTATTACTCCGCAATTAAGCCTGGTGCCTTTTGGGAAAACCAAGGTTCTTTTCTCTTACCATGCCATCGTTTGTTAGGTCAGCATTTGAGCAAATACGAGATTTATGGATACGCACAATAGTGTTTATAACGTCACCTATTTTTCAACGGTTATTACCTGACCCTTATACTAAAGCAGGCAATGTACGCGACAATACAAAACCAGCTCATGTCAGTCGAGTGACAATGACCGAGATCATTTCGTCTCAACAGTGTGATCTAAAGGTATAACAGTATCGAGTGAAACCAAACTTTATCTCATAGTTTCTTTTCTTCAAGGGTTTTGCCTATGCTGGCACGATTCTAGGTTGGATTGATATTGCTGCAGGCATTGCAGCCAAACGACACGCCATATCACCTTCTGTAAAACTTTATAAATCACTGAGTCATGCACGGTTAATAACTTAAAAGAAAAGGTTACTAGGTCTGTTGATGATGTTGCTTTCTTGCATCCTGTGAAACTGGGAGATATCGTAAGGACAAGCTTTTTTTTTGTTATGACACTAACACAAGTAGTAGGTATCCATTCAAGCCTCTGTCAACAAATCATGGAAAACGTCCATGGAAGTTGGAGTCAAAGTGGAAGCAGAGTCACCTTTGACCAATGAGCGATTTTTTGTTGCCCATGCTTACTTGACATTTGTTGCGTTATCTCCACGACCAAGGGCAAAAACACATCTCGGTCGTGTATTATCTGGTTATCAACCTATTCCTGTACCAGAGCTTGTTCCTCATTCGCCTATGGAGATGAAGCGATATGAAATGGCAGATCAAAGAAGACAAGCTCGATTTAAACAACAAAAGCCTAATTATCAAGCCATCAGAGATCTCATGCGAGAATGGTCACAGGGTTTAAAGACAAAGGCAGATGGGATCGCCCCGATCAAGAGGTATCCAGGCTATTCTATGGTTGAGCACTCATCCTATAATATGGATATGGATACAGAGGAACAGCATGAAGAACCAGTAAAAAATGATAAGAAAGGAAGAAGGTTCTCGCAAGATCCTCGTATGATACAGCAAGTAAAAGAAAAGCCAATGGACTTCACCTTTGCTGAAGTAGTCGAACTTGTTATGCCTCAACATGCCAATACACTTTCAATTACGTTCGGAGGACAAATTATGGCCTGGATGGAAATCTGTGCTCGGGCGAGTGCTAATCGATTAGCAAAAGCTTATCTATTAACAGCAAGGTAAGAAAAAAAAACTGATATGTGTGAGTCATATCAAAGAGGAGCTGAAAAAAAAATTTAACCTGCGCACAATCTATTGTATATTATAGCATTGATAGTTTAAACTTCATCGCAAGTTCTGGTGTGGGTGATGTGGTCACTATTCGATCTGTCGTTTCCAGATCATTCAATTCTTCAATGGAAGTTTATGTAAGCGTAGAAACAGGTAACTTCTTTTTCTAAACCTGACAAAATAAAAACTAACACTCTTTAGAAAACTTGTTGACCGGAGAAACAAAATTTACAAATGATGGATTCTTTACTATCAGTAAGATTGTTATTTTAGAAAAAGACTTACCTTTTATATTAACATATCTTTAGCTGCTGTGGACCATGAAAATATTCCAGTCATAATCCCCAAGGTTGTTCCTCAAACTCAAGCTGAAATCGATCTACATGAGGGTGGTCATGATAGACGTATCAAACGTCTGCAACGTCGTCGGGAGTTGATTCATTTTGTAAACTCATCCTCTTCGTCTTCTTCTACCGCTGCATCTGTTGACGCATGAAAAAAGAGCCTTCATCTATTGCCAATAAAGGAAACTGCCATTCATTAGACTGCTTTTTTTTTTCTTTCCCCAGATTTCTCAATGTAAAAAACAAGCCATCATCTATCTTCTTTCTTTTTTATAATCATTTTTCCATATCATGTCTTGTAAAACTGTACTTGCTTCCAAGGTGTCTGCTTCTTTCAGGTAATAATTTAAACTAGATATACAAGGTTATATAATAACACGATAGAATAGAGATCAAATAAAGAAAGATATCAAGGAGCGTGATATTCATCCCAAGTTGGTCGGTTTTCTTGCTAATGAAGATCCTGCTGCTATGAAGTATGCTGAATGGACAGCCAAGACTTGTGCTGAAACCGGCGTTGATTTTGAGCTTCGTAAGGTATCCAAGTTAGAGTTGGAAGAGAAGATTACCGAAGCAAACGAAGATGCATCTGTTAATGGTATCATGGTATATTACCCTGTATTTGGTGGAAAGCAGGTAAATAGAGTACAGTGTCAGCTATGATCATACCTAACATGTATATTAGGACTTATACCTTCAAAGTTGTGTTAGTGAGCTCAAGGATGTTGAAGGTCTCTGTCATAAATTTGTGCACAATGTCTATCATAATATTCGTTATATGGATAAAGAAGAGACCATGAAATGTATCATTCCATGTACTCCTCTTGCTATTGTTAAAGTAAGTTCTCTTTCTCTCTTTTTTGAATGTGGTTGGATGCTTATGATAATAGATCCTAGAATTCATTGGCGCCTATAACCCAGTTATTCCATATGGTAATCGTCTCTATGGTCGTACAATTGCTGTTATCAACCGTAGCGAAATTGTTGGACGTCCATTAGCTGCTATGCTTGCTAATGATGGTGCCAAAGTATATTCTGTTGACATCAATGGTATTCAATTATTCACTCGTGGAACAGGTATCCACTTGAAGGCACATAAGGTTGAAGACACTGATGCTACATTGGAACAAGTTATTCCACAGTGTGATGTTGTCATCACAGGTGTTCCTACTCCTAAATACAAGTTATCCACTTCCCTTCTCAAGGACGGTGTGATCGCCATCAACTTTTCTTCTTTTGCCAACTTTGAAGATGACGTCAAGACAAGAGCATCTATATTTGTTCCGTCTGTTGGTAAAGTCACTGTGGCCATGTTGGAACGTAATTTACTTCGCTTATATGATTATCAAAACAACTTGACTGAAAAGAACAAACAATAATCAAATATTAGATTTCTCTTTTTGTGTATGTAAATAAATTAAAAGTCCTCCCAAAAGAAGGGAGAAAAAGGACAAACATTACTCTCTTTTTTCTTTCTTTTTTAACAATAACAAAAAAAAAAGATATATAAATGCCACGAGAAATAATCACACTTCAAGCTGGGCAATGTGGCAACCAAAGTATATTAAATATAGATTTTATCTACTTGTATCCTTATTGTTTATATAAACAGTTGGTAGTGAATTTTGGAAACAAATCTGTACTGAACACGGAATTAGCAAGGATGGCACTTTGGAATCATTCGCAACAGAAGGAGGTGACCGAAAGGACGTGTTTTTCTATCAAGTAAATAGCAAGAAATACGCGTATAGACATACATAATTAACCATGATTGACCTATTTTCTTTTCTTAGGCAGACGATGAACATTATATTCCCCGTGCATTACTATTAGATCTGGAACCAAGAGTAAAGAAGAAAGGGAATAAAAGTAAAATAAACTGACATGTCTTTCTAGGTAATCAATAATATAAAAGCATCACAATTTGCCAATCTTTATAATCCTGAAAATATATTCATTTCAAGCGAAGGAGGTGGAGCAGGAAATACATGGCCAAACGGCTATTTACAAGGAGAGAAATTCTCTGAGGATATATTGGACATGGTTGATAGGGAAGCAGATAATAGCGATTCGTTAGAAGGCTTCATGCTATTACACTCTATCGCAGGTGGTACAGGATCAGGATTAGGATCCTTTCTGCTGGAAAGGCTCAATGATCGTTATCCAAAAAAGTTGATCCAAACCTATTCTGTATTTCCCAATTCACAAGAAGTGTCAGATACTGTAGTTCAACCCTATAACAGCATGCTTGCATTAAAGAGATTAACCAACTGTGCCGATAGTGTAGTGGTGCTGGATAATGCTGCTTTATCCTCCATTGCAACTGATAGATTACACATTCAGCAACCAACTTTTGAACAGACAAATCAATTGGTATCCACAGTCATGTCTTCGAGTACAACGACACTTAGATATCCAGGATATATGAATAATGATCTAGTGGGCATTGTTGCTTCATTAATACCCACTCCGAGATGTCATTTCTTGACAACTGCATACACACCATTTTCAAGTGAGCAAGTAGAGAAGGTAAAAGAATAATTTTGGATAAGCTACATATGCTGATTGTGTCTATATTAGGCTACCTCCATCAGAAAGACGACTGTACTGGACGTAATGAGAAGATTACTACAGCCAAAGAATAGAATGGTGTCTACAGTACCCTCAAAACGCAGTTGTTATATTTCAGTATTAAACATTATCCAAGGAGAAGTCGATCCAACCGAAGTACACAAGTCACTATTACGTATACGTGAAAGAAGACTGGCTACCTTCATCCCTTGGGGCCCTGCTAGCATTCAAGTGGCGTTGTCGAAGAAATCACCCTATGTACAAACACCACATCGCGTCAGTGGGTTGATGTTGGCAAATCATACGAGCATAGCATCCTTATTCAAACGCACAAGTGATCAATATGATAGACTAAGAAAAAGAAATGCCTTTTTGGAGCAATATAGGAAATATGACATGTTTGCGGATGATCTGGATGAGTTTGACGACTCTAGAAACGTAGTCCAGGATCTCATTGATGAATATGAAGCATGCGAAACACCAGAATATGTCAACTACGTAAGATAAGTCTGTGATTCATATTCGATCCATTAATCCTTTTATAAATATCCTCATAGGGCATGAAAGATATGTCACCAATGGAGACAATGTAAATGCAGTAAATAAATAGTCACAATTCTCTCTCTCTCTCTTTCTCTTTCTTTGTCTCTGTGTTTGTCCTTTCAGATTCATTCTTTTTTTCTTTTTGAGAAATGATTCCTGGCAATTCAGTGCTAATTAAGCAAGGCGCTGAGGCTGTAATATATAATAAAGAATAAAGCGACCACACACGACTTATTCACTTGCTTATAGCGCGTATTCTATTTGTCTACATTTCTTACTTTACCTACTGGATGCATTGCTAAACAAAGATTTAAAAAGACATATCGTCATCCTGATCTTGACCAGCAACTTACTGCAAAGCGAGTCAATCAAGAAGCTCGTAACTTACAAAAGTGTAAAAAGGCTGGAATGGATACCCCAACTGTCTATTTTATTGATATTCCTGAATCTACAATTTATATGGAAAATATCGTTGGTATAACTGTCAAACAAAGACTATTAGATGATCAGCACGAAGACTACAAGAATATTGATACGGGTAACATATACATTTGTGTATGTACATGTCAAATCTCTGAACCTTTTTTTGCATAGATTTGTTAGCGCAAAAGATTGGCACATCCTTAGCAAAGATGCACAGTGTCAATGTTGTTCATGGAGATCTCACAACTTCAAACTTGATGATAAGAAAAGAAAACGACTCTTTGGTAAAATAAAAATCACGATAACACTAGTATTTTCTCTAACAATTGATATAGGTCGTCATTGACTTTGGGCTGAGTTACACATCTGTATTGGTAGAAGACAAGGCAGTCGATTTATATGTTCTCGAACGCGCCTTTTCAAGTACTCATCCCAAAACAGAACAAATGGTAATCATAATAATTGAATAATAATAACGCCAAGCCCTTACGTCTATATACTCATATGATCCGATAGTTTGCCAAGATATTGGAACATTATGCTGTTTCTTATAAGCAATCTAAAGCTATATTGTCAAAGCTTGATGAAGGTAAAATTGACGCATACAGTCCTGATTGAATTCATACTCATTTATATTCTTAGTGAGGTTACGAGGACGTAAAAGAAGCATGATTGGTTAGAAGCGCGTCTTTTTATTGTCATAGAAATAAAATTACAAGTGTAACAGTGCCTCCAATGCCTATATATTTCCCGCCAATATTCCTATTTTTGGTTATCTTTTTAAACATGAGTAAACGGTTTCAAAATCTAAATAAGTATAGGAATGCATTTCCAACTGTCATTAAGAAAGAGGTACTTTTTATTGTCTGCATCACGATCAGTGCAATAACGAAGAGTAGGAATGGTATGCAGATATACCCAAAGGTGCCTCTTCTTCAGATGCTTCAAGTCTCATTCAAGTGAATCATCGCTGGATAGCTGTTAAATGGAGTGGACGTAAGTCAAACATACTCGAAGCAAAAAGAAGGTAGCTGATGGTAATAATAAAAAAGATGGTGGATCTATTGGCCTCTTGCCACTTGACAAGCCAGGAAAAGCCTGTTCCAACAATGCTCGTGTATTCCACGCACATGGAGCATCCCTATCAGACTGGTGCTTTTCTGAATTTGATGACTCTTTATTAGCAACAGGCGCAGAAGATGGTTTGGTAAGACGAATACAACTTCTTTATATATCAGATCATTCATCCCAGCCTCTATAAGATCAAAGTTTGGAAAATAAATGAAAATGAAGATCCTTCCTGTCAAATGTCAGCAAAGACGCCTTCAAGAAGAGTTGATATGATAAAATTTCATCCAGCTACAGATCAAGTATGCTTTATTATTAGAAAGAAAAAAAAAAAAAAAGACGATCAAGCTTACATGCATCTATAGATCGTGACGACACTTGGTAATGATGGTAAGAAAGTGTGTATTTGGGATATTGAAAAATCTATAAGTGCCATCGAGATATCAGCCGAGACTCCTATGCATTCGTTCTCTTGGAAGGCTGATGGGTCATTAATGACAACGTCGGGTAAATCAGTGATTAACGTTTGGGACCCCAGAACGGTTAAAGAGCCTACTTTGGTATGTACTATCTTGTATCTATACTCAATAGCTAATTACTTTCTGCTAATGCAGTCTGGGTTTGGCCACGAGGGCATTAAAGGATCAAAGGCTATGTGGCTGGGAGACTCCAATTGTATATTTAGCGTTGGTACAGACAAGGTATTACTGACATACTAGCAAAGGCAACTCTTATTTCTAACTGTATTGTCCAGATGCGGTCTCGCCAATATGCTTTATGGGACAGCCGTAATCTATCCCAAGCACTAGTCATGAATCAACTCGATTTCTCTACTGGAATATTGTTACCTCTTTTCGATGAAGACACAGAAACTGTTTACATCCTCAGCAGAGGAGACTCAAACATTCGATCATTGCAAATCTCAGATTTACACACAAAACCATCTATTGAGCTCGTTACTACTCACGGACCCAATGAAGTTTTATATGGTGCAGCTTTACTTCCAAAACACTCCTTAAATGTGATGCAGGCCGAAATCGCTAGGGTTATGGCAATCTCTGCCGACTCCATTATCCCGATATCTTATCGCGTGCCCAAGAAGGTAAAGCTGAATACAGTGCTCAGTCCGAGATGATTAATTGCTAGTTTCTATACAGTCTTATCTAGACTTTGATCCTTCTCTCTTTCCTCATACCAAAGGAACAGGTAAAGATACTGCTGCTTGATATATTTTTGTTTGTATTCATTTTCTTCCCCAAAGTGTCTTCTTTGACTGGCTCTGAATGGTTCGAAGGAAAGACTGCAGCCGTTGCTAAGGTATCTTTGGACCCAGCTATGCTAGCCCGAGAAAAGGTACAGAAGCCTCAAGAAACTCCTGAAAAAACAGTAAAGGAAACCGTTGAGCTTCCCATCAATAACGAAAATCAATCGTCTGAAAAGAAGACTGAAGATAGAACTGTTGAAAGCACAACAGATGGAAATAAGACACCTAAAAATGAAATACTTGAAGATAATGCGTCTGGTGGCAAGCCTTTTGTTCTAGCCAAAGAACCAGTCGCTTCTGCTAATAAACATCCAGAAACACCTTTGCCAAAAGAAAAAGATGATACAGAAGAAAAGTCAAAGCCCTTAAGTCCTTCTACAAGCGCAACAAAGGCGCCATCCAAGTATGGTTCCACGGGATTGTCTGCATATAAATACCTTTCAGCAAAGGTTTATCATCCCAGCACTCATTTCGACGACCTAAGAGGCCTCAGCATCAACAAGAGTGGCGACTGTGATTTGATTCAGGTAAAACAAAAGCAGAATGAAACCTTGTTCTGAGATGAACTTATATCCCTTGTAAGGCAAACGCCAAATTTATTGCCGTACCAATCTCTGGACCTGGTGGTCGTGTTGGTATTATCAATGCACAAAAGCCCGGCCGCCTTCCTACCCATATCCCTTGTGTAGTGTGTGGTTCTGAAGTTACCAACTTCAAGTTTGACCCCTTTGATCATAATAGGTTAATAACCATATCACAAGATAACAGAATACGTGCTTGGGATATTCCTGAAGATGGAATTGAGCAAGATTTATTAGAACCAAATTTTACGTTGACAGGTATATTGAGCTATTTTTTAAAAGATGCTGCCCTTTACTGATCGCCTTTTTTCTTAGATGGATCTATGGATAAATTACATTTACTTGAATTCCACCCCACATCAAAAGATGTTCTCCTGACTGTATCACAAGACTTTAATAACCATACGATTAGAATATGGGACTTGAAGGAGCAATCAGTCAGACTTAAATTCAATGGCATAAACAAGAACATGGTCTTCACTTGCACTTGGAATGTGGATGGCAGTCAAATTGCTACCACCAGCAAGGAAAAGGTCATTAGAATAATAGATGCTAGGACCGGAAAGGTGTTATCTGAGGGACGATCGCACGACAGCTTGAGGCCATCGCGTATTGTATGGCTAGATAAGACAAATGAACTTATTGCAAGTGTCGGTTTTGGTTTAGGGTCCTCACGCGAATTATTACTTTACCGTACCAGCGATATGTCAAAGCCTATAGCAAGCCAAATGATTGACATATCACCTAGTGTGATGAGTGTTCATTATGATTTGGATTGTCGCATTATATATGTTGCTGGTCGAGGCGATAGAACCATACACTGCTATGAAATAGAAGATGATAAATTCGTTTCATTACCAAAGATTGAAGCCACCTCTCTTCAGCAAGGGTTCGCATTCTTACCCAAGAGTGCCTGCAATGTCAAGGAAATCGAAATTGGAAAATTCTATAGGTTGACCCCAGCAACTATTGAAGTAATGGGTGTGCGTGTGCCACGAGCTAGAGTAGGTTGAAAGAGATATGGGTAAGCTTAGTATGTTTACTTACTTTTTTTTTAGCCCGAGTATTTTCAAGATGATATCTTCATTCCAACATTGGATGTTGAACATTATGCTCAGGAGGCTTCTGACTGGTTCAATGGCACTAATAAAGAGTTAAACACTGTCTCATTGAAACCAGAAGACATGGAACTATGTAAGTGGTCTAAAAATGGCATATAACTAAGCTAATTCGCATATTAGTGTCAACTGCTCCTCCTCCTGCTTCACAAGTAAGAGCAAAGGTTAAATTCGAAATGGGTAAAAAGCTTGTCAGTGATGATGAAAGAAGACAGCAACTTATGGATCGTATGTTCCATAATGCAAAAGAAGTCGAAAATGAAGCGCCTCCAGTTGAAAAAGAAGAGGACCCTGAAGTCGCTGATGAAGAGTGGGACGCTTAATTTACTAAAGTAAAAAATATATTTAATAGCCATCGTGAACAATTTCTACATTATTTCTTATCCAATCCAAAAGATTTTTTGATTGAAAGATTGTATTAGGCGTATTCACTGTTGATTTTTCATGATCATCTGAGCCTTTTTCATTGACATACTTTGTTCTTTCGTATACTTGTTGTACGTATCTTCCAGTTTCTCTCCATAAATCATCAATAGGGTCATCATGCAACACTGGATTTATGCTGCTATATTCTTTTTCATAATCGATAGTGTCATGATTAATAGGTGAACCTGTAGCCGCGACAAGCTCTTGACCATTGAGATGACTTTCCACGTCCTCCATAAGGACATCACTGCTAAAGCTAAAAACGCTTATGTCTATACCGTCTTCTTCGGGGATGCCGCGCGTAATTAACTCAAGTCCTCTACTTCCAATGTCAAATGTCGCATCTGCTTCTCTCATCGCTAACAATAGTAATACAACGATTAACCTATACTTCTCTCTCATTTGATTTATTTTTTTTACTTGTCTCATCAGATATTCGATCCAAGTTCTCAGATATCCCTTCATTTAATCTTTTGAAGGGCTGACGGTATTGTGGTATGGCAATCTGTCTTGGTTTTTTATATTGTTTTTCATATGCCGGAAAGATGCTCTCGTTGCTTATTCTCTTCCTTTTTCCATGCAGAGCCTCTACATTAGTGGTGTTTGGCTTTATCTTACAGCATGCATGCGCACATCTATACTGCTTCAGTTATATTTATGCGTGATTTAACATTCGTACTTACTCATCTTTATTCTTGCATTTATGTCTACATCTATATGCTAATAAGTGAGTATTTTTTTTTAACATGCTTATTATTTGCTTAACGTCATTACGGTGTTACTGCTTTTGATGAACTTTTAAATGCTTTTGTTGAAAGCCCAGAGTTCCTCTTGAAATTATACTTATTTGCTGTATGCTGATCACTTGATGCACTCTCTGGGCCTTTACTCTCAAATACTGTACTTGTAGAAGCAACTGCAAAGTCTTTCCATAATTCTGGATCAATACCGTCGTCAAATAAATTTTCTTCTTCCATTAGTTCAGTGGACGACTCCTGAGCGCTTTGTTTTTGGTATTGTCTACTGCTGTGTACATCCGACGGTGCAGAAATGTGTATATACCTTCTGGTATTAATATTTATTGTTATTTCCTTCACTACGTCCGTACCCACTGCATAATATTGGTAAACTTGTATATCGTATCATCTATTCTAAACTAATACCGTATTCTTCACTTTGTAAATAGCAGTACACACACATGTTTGATGAAGTCATTGGTATTGTCAATTCGAATTTCTCAGGACTATTATGCAACTGCGAAACTCTATAACATTCTGATAAGAGTCAGTTAACACATGAACAGTTTTTATTCTTACTTGATGCGCCGATAGTCGAGTAAGGCACCTTCATTCGTCTCTGCCCAAAACTGAGCATAATAGCCTTTATTTGCATTGGTGTGGGTTGATCGACTGATGGTTGCTCCGATAGAAAACGTGAGCGTGATATCTTCTCCTTTTATTTTCTGCCACGAAGGAACGTGTGTCATATTGAAGGGGTAAAATTATCAAGTAAAACTTTGAAACTTACTTGTTCAACATCTAGGCAGAGTTTAGGTATTGCCGCTAATGACCTCAAGATCTAGAAATGTAGTGAGTCGTGTAATAAGAAGTTTTTTTTTATAAAAAAGAGGGGAATACCTGAGTGCCAAATGGAGGATTTCTATGTAGAATCTAATAAAAGCTTTACAAAAACACATAATACTAAATGTATAAATAAAGGTCGATAGTTTACCATCTCTATACGACTAGGATCGCATTTTCTAAGCTGCTCAAATGATAGCAGATCCGCTTCTGACAATAACTTGGCAAACTGAGGACCAATTCCAGTAATCTGCCTTATTACAAAAGGTGAATCATACCACATCTTGGCCTGAATACTCTGGTACAGTTGAATGGAGTACTTCAGTTTAGAAGAGTCCCACTCATAGACAGCGCACTCAATTATACCTAGACTGTATGTTAATTGATACCACCGATAAACCATCTTTGTATACCATTACATTTTGTAATTCGACTAGCGTGGTTCAGAATATTTAGTCCTTCTGTAGCAAGTAGAGTGTTACCGCTGTTATGTAAGTTTACATCCCCAAGAATGCACTATGCAAAAATCAGCTGCAAGATTATTGTTGTGATAGATAATGAAGAACCTTTACCTGTAAGACAAGAAACACTTTGTCAGCTACTGATGTAACTTTGCCAAGTGGATAGCGAATGTTTGGGCTATTTCGAATTGTATTCAGAAACTGCTTTTCTCCAGAGTTATATCTGATTGTTTCCATTTCTTCTTGGCAGCTACTAACCAGTTCTAGCTGCCATCATATGAATAAGAACAGTAGATTATACTTTTTCTAATGCATAAACTATGTACATACCACATCTCTTAGGGAGGATATATCTTTTTTGTTAACTATTGAAGCCATTGTAGAAAATTTGATGTAATACTTGTCCATAATTAATCCATAATCTAGAGTCGTATATATATGAATTAAGTATTGGACCATTGCTAGTGGCCAACTTTCAATACTTACTTGTTGGTTTTAGCAGAAGATTGTTCATTTTTTCAATCATAGAATGTCCTTCAAGAGACTCTAGATGCTTGACGCATATATCTACATTACATGTTTGTTTGCATAATCAAGTCTCCAATGTTCAAATGAATGAGTTACTTTGTAAAATACCATCAGCATATAAACTGGAGGCAGACGATATGCCTTGCTGTATTTTATAATGTAGTGGATTCTGTGACATTCTCACATACAAGAAGGTTGATTTTAGCCTACAACAAGATTAGTGACGAGACTGAGCACTATCATTAACTGAAGTCTACCATTCGATAGCTGAACGTATATTTACGATTGTGCCAAGACAGATTTCAGATAGTAGGTGTTCAATCAGATTCTCGTGTAGTCTTAACATGACCAGTATAAGTGATAGGCAAAGATGACTTTTCAAACCTTACCTGCTCTCCAGATTTGTTGTTCCTGAAACCAATGAAGAATAACGTTGTTTCATTTGGTTGGTTGTCATAATGACTGCACATCCACTTGTATCAAGGCCTGGGCGCCCTGCTCTTCCTATCATTTGAAGTAGATCAATATCAGAATACTCTGTTAGAGTGCCTTGTTGATAGCCTGTGTGTATATGAAAATTATCTTAGAACAGTTTACATATCCCAAAAATTCCTAAAGGGTTACTTACCCAATGTAGACTTTATAATGACTAGATGAGCTGGTAAATTGACCTATTTTTTATCAGATATAAATCACTTTGTTATTTATTGGGTATGAAACAGCTATATTCCTATGCCTACACCTAGAGCTAAAGTAGAGGTCGTTCCTTAAAAATATTCATGATTAATAACAGGCTGTTTCGTTCAACACATTCTTACACACCAATCACTCTGATGACTTTCTTTAGAAAAAGCTCTTCTACTTGAGTCCGGTCTGCATAGTCAAGACCAGCTATAAAAGAAGCTGTTAGGGCATTTCTGTATGAAGTCAAAACAAAAAACTTTACCATGATGGAAAGCAATTCCTTTGTGAAATAGTCTTGCTAAAGCTTTGTTCTTAAAGTTCACTTTATCATAATCTTGTATGTTTGGACTAGAAATATATCGCTTGATTATTTTATAATGGCAATAATGCTATTAAAATATATTACCATAAAGTAGATATCTTTCGCTTATCCATCGCATTTGCAATAGTGTCACACGCTTGCTGAGCAGATCTGCGTGTTGAACAGAACTAGTATAGTGAGCAGTATTGAGATGTTTGGTATTAACATGTCCTTTTATCATTTTTTTCTTTACTATTAGCACTGGTTTGCCATTGCTATGCTTTTGAATGATGTCTAGTAATCTACAAAGGACAAGTTATTTAAAAATAGACCACCATCTGATCATATACTTACTTCCAATCAAGCTTCCTATCAAATAAAAACATATTATCTTCTTTCTGAGGGTATCCATAAACAAATCGATCCAGACGTACTGGTCTGTACTCTTCTGAAAATGCAATAGCTATACACATTATATTAATACTTACACTCCTCTGTAGAAAAGATATATTACGTTTTGCGTTTAACCAAGTACTGATATCACTTAGATTTGGCACAGTAGCAGACACAGCTATATATCTTATTTGATTATTGACGGTCTATTATATGCCAATAGAAAATAAGTCTTGTTATAGTACGCGAAACGTCAACAACAACACCTTCATACGACTAACACAAGTTTCCAACACTGCGCCACGCTTTTCATTTAATATATGCACTTCATCAATCTAAAGATAATGAGTCACTTGTTGAGTTTTTGAGTGAAATATTACGAGAATTAGTTTGATCAAGCCCATCAATTTACGATGATCTACCCATCTTCTTGTCATAGAATCCCATTTCTCAGGAGTTGTTACACTTTTAAGAGGTTAGTAAAAGTGTACTAGGGGGTATATCTTATTTCGTACATGATAGCCGTTTTATGAATGGACGCTATAGTCGAGTTCTGTGTATTTCCCGTATACTCTTTACCTGTTATAGTTTTAGATATAAAGAAACAAATATATATTTACTTTACATTCTATCCCAAAAGGCTTAAACTTCTTTTCCCAATCCTTTGCTCTTTCGTTACATAAACTCTTGGTTGGAGCCATGTATATTATTTTTGAATCTGTTCCACTATTCAAGAGCGCTCTGATAATCGACAATTCCAACAAGACTGTCTTTCCAGAGCCAGTAGGAGCTGATTTATAAAAAGTGAGTAAAAAAAAGCATACCAAGATGAGCTAGAATACCTGAGATGACTAAATTGTTGTTTTCATAGAATGTCTTGTATGCATTTATAATTTATCACATGGACAATGACACTGACAACTTTTGATACTTACATCTACAAGACATTTTGATTGCATGACATTAAAGAGTCCAAACTTGAATATTCTGTTATAAGGCGATGCTATGATGGTCGTAGGTTATACATTTGCTTTCTTTTTATCTCTAAAAGAATAGTACGTACGTATATCAGCTGTATGCCTCAACGGGGTGTCTCCTATAACAGGACAGCTTGTATCATTACGTCTGTGCTGACCTAAGTACTATATTATATACATAAAATGATAAACAATAAAATGCGTTTACCTTGTTGTTGCATGTTTTTTTGAGTAACAAGTGAGTTATGATTGTGATGTAAAGCCTGTCAATAAGTATATCAGTAGTACGTATGTAACTATCAGAACTATAACACTACATTGCTTTCATTAAAAGAACTATATTGTTGGTTAACGCTCTGACCAATATCTAACATATCGAATGAATCAGATAATATTGCTTCTTCGTTCTCCAACCATCGATCAATGCCATCATCACTGCTACTGTTATCTCTCATTAACAGTGTATCTGTATTTTGAATGGGTTAAAGAGATTCTTAACAAAAAAAGGAACAGATGGATTTATACGCGAATGTTGTCTTTTCTTATGCAAACCAGCACTATTTTTATAATAATTTTGTCTTTTATTTGACATTATGAAAACAAGAAAAAGAAGAAAATGATTTGCAATTTGCTTTATTATATGATTGATTGATTGACAACACGTAATAAATTTACAAATCTTTATTATGATATAGTAGCGACATACCAACTACATTAATCTCGACCGTCAAAACTTGCACACAAGGTTCATGGCGCTTCATGTGCATTGTACGACTCATTAAGAAGTGTAGCTACTTTTTCTTTATACTGATCATCCTCATGTTTTTTTGTCTTTAGTACATGACAAGAAATAAACACAGACACATCAGCAAATTTAAACTGAATCAAGGCAATTTACTCCAAGCATTTAGTTGAGGGAAAAAAGGAGACGGGAAAGGGAGAGGAGTATACAAGATAGCTGTCACGATAACTTTTTTTTTTTGAATGCATGGTGAACAAAAACAGAAATCAGGGACAATGATTCCAAAATTAAAAATTAGGTCTGAAAATAGTGGCCAATCAGATGCATGTACAACTTCCGCGGAGAGCAACAGGCAGTAAACAGGTTCAATCCGCGGAAAGAGAGATAACACCATATAAATATCTCCTTTCTTTTCCTTTTGATTTTATTTCTTTACTATTTACCCCACATGTCTGAAGTTACTCTTTTCGATTCCAAATACCTTTCTCCTGAAGTTCAAGCTGCTCTACCAAAGGGACATACCCTTCGTGCACTTCGCTCAAACGATTATGAACGCGGATTTTTAAAGGTGCTCGAAGTTTTGACAGAAGTTGGTAACCACACCAAAGAAGAATTCACAGAACAATTCAACTACTTGAAGAAACATAACCATGAATGTAAAGCATAAAGGCTCATCCATCTCAAAACACAATACTTACTTAATCCAATAGATTTTACTATTACCATTACTGATGACGCCAAGGACAAAGTTGTTGCCGTCGGTACCATTTTCATTGAAAGAAAGTTTATTCGTAAAAACGGTCTTGTCGGTCACATTGAAGATATTGCAGTCGATAAAAATCAACAAGGAAAGAAATTGGGTCTGAGAATTATTCAAGCACTTAAATATATTGGCGCAAAGAATGGATGTTATAAAGTCATTTTGGATTGTTCAGAAAAGGTAAACGTTGGATCCATTTTCATTATTCATTATTCTGATTTCTTCAATTAGAATGTACCCTTTTACGAAAAGTGTGGATTTAATAGAAAAGAAGTTGAGATGGCTTGGTATGTGCCTAGCACTGAAAAAGCTCGTTTGTAAATAAATAAATCATGATTCATTGTTTTTTTTTCTGCATTAATTATTATTATTATGTTTATTCCCATTTAGCTTGTTTTAATTGTTTCAAGAGAATTGGATAAGTAGTTTCATGGTTATTATGTCCCCAGATCGTATCCATGTGTTCATATCCATCAATACGTTCAACATGGACAAGATCTAACATTGGAAACATGGTGGTATTATTTTTAGAGGAGGCTCCTTTGGTATCCGCCAATCGGTGTTCACAATCATCAAACGATCTTACAAACTGTTCGCCATCGACCAAGTAGTCTGCTGTACCATAAAAGACAACTAATGGTACTCTATCCATCTGCATATTGTCATGTGTGTTCTCGCCCACATACAGACACTTGCCTGTCTTTCCCCAGCCTGCGATCCAGTCTGCAATCAATCGTGCACTGACCGGCCTTGGTGTAAATTGGAAATATTTAACTTTCCGTCTACGTACCCAGTGAGAGTCCCACCAAGAAAATAGATAAGAAAACATGCAGTAAGCCAAGAAGCAGAATAATCTTGGATGCATAATTGTCTGAACCACCGTCATCACTGGTAAAAATGCAGCTGTGCCTAAAACACAAAAGTTAGAGATCCGCGCATATTCTTCTCTGTCGTAAAAATGCTGTTTTACCAAATAATATGGAATATAGCCAATCATTTAAATTGATCAAAAGGCGAAGAGGATAAGTGCTAAAAAAAAAAAGTAAACAAATCGAGATTAGTATTACATCACTCTTAACGTTTTTTTCTTAATCTGTCACTTTACTTGACCAAGGTTCCAGAAAAGATAGCAGGTGCCAAAGCAACGAAGCAGCTTAGTTTATTAGCAATCTCTGGACATAAGGATAATCCAATGAAGGCCTGTGCATTTCCCTGAGAGTGCCCGATATAGGCTACTCTTGAATAACCAGAGTATTCTCTAACATGGTCCAACATGGCTTTGAAATCGTAAATGCCAAGCTCCTTTAGTCCCCAATCCCAATATTCGGGATCTTTGTATGATAGTGAAATGTGGTCATATCCAGCAATGGCTCTATTATTACCAACCCAAACATCATAGCCTTCATCAGCTAATGTAAACGCAATTGATTTTTCTTCGTTAAGCACAAAGGCACCTGAGCACTGGAAGAGGCCATGCCCTATCAGCACTGGCTTTCTACCTATATAGATTCATATGAGCAAGATGAAGCAATAGGTTAAACAGATACCATACCACTCGGTTTACAACCCTTTCTGTATAATCTATACATGATAATGATATAGCCATCTTCAGTGACCACCTCGTGCTTCTCGCTGATGTAGCCCCACTTTTCTGCATAATACGTTTCATCTTGGGTAATGACTTCGTCAGGTAATGTGTTTTCAAGTATATCCTGAGGTCTTTCTGTCTTATGATACAAAACATCGAGCATATGCGTTTTGGTGGTTTTATAGATGGCAAGTAAAACAAGGACTATCAAGATCGGCAAGGAGAGTGTCATTGAAATAATAGCTTGAATGTCTATGATAATTCTCTTCAATAACCCTCTTTTTATTCTCTGCACTTTTTTCCGATCTGCTGGTACACGTTTGGGCGGTAGTAGATCCATCATTTCTTCTAGTGTTGACTTGTCATCGTCGTCATCATCATCATTAATACTACTATTTACACCACTATCGTATGATAGTACACGTTTATCTTCATTTTCTTCTTCAGTAAAGTAAGTGTCTTTATCATCCAAATCTAAAAGTTCTATTGATCGCATCTCTTCTTTTTTTTTTGTTTTTTTATTAAGAAAAAGGATAAAAAGGGAAAAGATCGATTCAAAAAAATTAGGTTTAAATAGAATTAAATCTCTTAAATGTTATTGGATATCCCTTATTTTCATATGTCTTTCTGCGTGGCTGAATTAACCAGGTTGACCTAAAATGGAAGACGCACTGTCAAACTGAGAATGCAAGGTACTCTTTATCATTTGATGATCTAAAGTGTCTTTTTTTTTTTTCTATTTCAGTTCTCTAATCTACGTGAAAGGCACTCTTTGTTGTAAAAAGACAATGGATATAAAAATTTCTTTACCTCGTGGACATATTGTGTATTTTAGGAAGTAAAAAGGATAGACAAAGCGCATTAATACGCATATCTTTACATGCAGCTCTGGTTTTTTCGTTTTCTTTTTTTTTTTTTTTTTTTTTTCTCCTTTATCAATAGGTAGAGTCGTCACTTTAGAACGAATGATGTTAAGTATGAGAAATGCTTGTTTTTTCAGCCTTGTACCAGTCGCCCTTGGGTAGAGTTACGAGTTACACAATATAAACTTAAATTTAATCTTTATCTTCTTTGAGTAAGAGTGTAACAAACAAAGAGACAAGCAAAGAAGAAAACAGAGGGGAGAGGAGGACGGGAACAACCACGGCCACTTCAAGTGTAATTATGATGATACTTTATAAATTTGTATACTACATCAAAAAGTTTGATGTAGAAGATATGGAAGAGATAATAAAGAGTAGTTTTGTTGCAGGTGAACTAGGATTTTGTATGAAAATGTGTAAATGATTATTTAAATTCGAATACCAATTCACTTTATCTTCTTCCAATAACCTGTTAATGTACAATGTGCCCAACTTGTCAACACAGCTTTCACTTAACGAAGCAAACTTTAACCATGTTTTTATATGGCCGTTAATAGAACTTGTTATTAATACAATTGGTAGGAAGCTGGTCTTTGTTTCTGGGAAATACGTTTTGCAGTCCTCCTCCGAAGAGTATAAGGCCGATGCTGTTGCCTTGCACGATGTATTAGAAATAGCCTTATTTGAGACATCAGAAAAGTTCCTTTTAAACGACGGTCCTAAATTTGGTTATGACCACTTAAAAGAGAGCTTCCGGGTGTCTCACTATCTACAATGAAATCATCAAGACATATCATTTCGCTACCGAAGACACAGCATCAGAGTTGAAGATTTCCTTGTTCATGCAAGAGGCAAGTTGTACAATACATTGAATGACTATTTAACTCATTTGTGTTATTAGATGATGCGACTCATTGCGGTCGCTGGAGCTTTGTTCTGCAAAGCTGTATGTTTTAAAGAAAATGTTCAAGTTCATTGTCCCAAGAAGCAAAGAAGATAGCAAAGGTATCTTGGTAATGAGCTACTTTATGTGGTAGTTGAAGGTAAGAGAAAAAAAAAAAGTTAAGAATAAGCTAACTGACACTTTTTGCATGAGGATAGAATCAGTCGACGAATACTGCAGACATTGTGCAACAAATGAAGCAAGAACATGGTGACTATGAGATGCAAAGAATGATAGATGGCGATTTGGAGAGAACATCATTAAAACCATTAATAGACACGGAAATCAAGAAGTCAGACAGAGGCGCCAAATATGGCATTCTTTTGCCAACTGAAAGAGACGAGGATGAAAAGGATGCTTGCTTTGTTAAGCCTTGAAAATAAAAAATAATTTGGACATATTGGTTGTTTGTTTTTTATCCAATTCAGAGAGGTCTAAGCTAAGATAACCTAAATTGGCTGTTTATCCAAGCAGTCATTCAATCTTGAATTAGAATGTTTGATAATGATTTTGCGGAATTTACAGTGATTTAATCTAAGATGAGACGCTTGTAATATGTCTTCGTCAAGAATCTCATGTCTCTTGAGTTTACTTTTAGCAACTGACTAAAACTGCTCTATTGGCGTTCAACTCAGAAGAATAAAGTGGCAAACATATGCATTAATAGCCACACTTTTCAAGCGGTTCTTGGATATCAGCTCGTTTGTGTATAGGAGCGTTGTTCATAAACAAGTCTATGTTGATTGTGTCTAAACATAATGTATTCTTCAAATACCTTAATCTAACGAAGCTATTAATATTTTCGAAGCTTTCTAAACGGATAATTGTAATGGAAGCCTCAAGAGCAACAAAATCATTAACATATAATACTAAAAAATGAATACACTGTAAGCACAAGTCTATTCTTAAATTTAATTTAATATTAAAATTTTTTTTGCAAACTGGGTGCCTGGGCCACTTCTTGGCTTTTCTTTTTTGCTGTTCTTGTTGTCTAGATTTTTTTTTATCTAATGGAACTTCCAACACCAGGACAAATTGTCACATACGACTATAGAACTACTGAGAGTCAAGTCAATCAAGTACAAGACTTGAAAATATTACAGTGGAATGTTGAGAGAAATTACGGTTAGAGAGATGCAATACTGAATATAAACGTTTGATCCTAATAAAAAGTATGACAGAATCTGAGGAAATTATAAAAGTAATTCAAGATCTTGACCCTGATGTCATTATGCTTCAAGAAGTTGATATATTCTGCAAAAGATCAGGCAACCGAGATCACATGCAAGAGCTATGTAGGGCACTTAAATTAAAGGGTGGTTTCGTTTGTGAATTCCAAGAGCTTGATAGTCCCCTTCGAGGGTTACGTGATGCTGTAAGTCTAGAAAAGAAAAAAAAAAGGGGGGGTGACATATTGAACATTAAATAACGCTTGTTAAAAAGGGAGGCGGTGTTCATGGTAATGCTATTTTATCAAAGCATGATATCGAATTCAGAATGCTTGAGCATCGAAAAGAAGCATATGATTGGAACAAGCATGGGAAATGGTTAAGAGAACCAAGAATTGGAAAGTAATGTTCAACTACTCAACTAGATTAAAAACAGACATTAATATCTATATAGGCGATACACATTAGTTGGCACAGTATATGCCCCTTCGCTACCACCCGTACTCTGCTATTGTGTTCATCTAGAGGTTAGATTGAAAGTACAATGTGTTACTATAACATACTAAGGACAACATTAGGTCTTCACGGGCATCATCAACCGAGTACACAATTTCGCTGATATTTTTGAAGATGCCTCAAGTAACGCAGAAAAATACCCACATCAAGTTATCTGTGGTGACTTGAATACGTTGGCTCACTCAATAGCACGCTTTTCACCAAAGTATGCTAGAGATAGATATAGGCTAATGTCTGTAGGCGACACAGAGAGTAATTGGTTTGATCGACATGTCATGGCAGTCTATAGAGACCAACAATATGAGTACAATCTTCGCTTAGCTGGCTCTGGGTTTCCATTTTCAGCCATGCCCGTACGCCTTGTTCGATTCATCTGGCAAATGATTGGACCTAAAATATTCGAAATAATAAGTGGATTTGATGTTGAGACGCTAAAAAGAGCACGAAACCCTGGTTTTTATGATCCTTGGGATCCTAATGAAGTCACCTTACGCAATCCAAATTATTTTGGTCTATTTTCGGCTAAACTTGACTGGACGATGGTAAGATGTATGGACGTGCGTCAAAAGTGGATTGGAAACAGAGACTTTAGCGCTAGTGACCATGCTTATTTGATGCTAAAAGTCAGCCCTGATGACTCTGAGAAGGTTGCGCAGGTTCCAGCCATTTGGAAACTTCGTCGTCAACAATGGCAACCTAATGGATTTGCTCCTTACAGACGCACGGCTATTGGAACCACCTTGTTGACACTAGTTTTAACCTTGCTTTCACAGTGGTTAATTCATATGTATAAGCAATTTATGTTGTAACTAGACATCACTCTATAATTATAGTATATACCGCCTCTCTCTTTCTTTCTTTCTTTCTTTCTTTCTCTCTCTCTCGTTCATTATGCTTCTCAGCGTCATTTAACGTATTAACTTTTAGAATTGTATACTTTTTCAGATAATTATAGCTATTTTATCATATATTCCCCCTTCCTTCCCTTGTTTTCATGTCTAAATAAAAATATCTGTGTGTGTATCTACAAATGTATTATGCCTTAATTAATCATTAGTACTACAAACATCATTGACTATATTTCTAACATTGTTCCCTCGCTTATATTAAAAAAGTATATTTCAGAAAAGCCTCTTTCTATAAAAATAACTATGGGCTTTTTTTCTTACAGAATCTAATGGGAATCAAAATGATTTTCTTCAAAGTAAAGACGCTCCCTATAAAAATACCGGCATCAATTGTTTTATGGTTTAACTTTAAATCATTTAACAATCCAATGTTGATCATTCTCCTTTTTCTAATCTTCGGCCCGGGAAAAGCGCTCTGTCCCCCATAAACACTAAAAAATGAAGTGTCAAAAGAAAAAGAGATGGGAGAACCATACTAAAAGGGGAAACGTCAAGTGATCGAAAATACCTAATATTGCGAAAATAGATGGTATTTACATTTGATCATTGGTGCTGTTTCCTCTATAAAGTTTTCCCTCGCACCACAGAGTCATACCTTTTATCGAGACCGTGGGCAATTCTACCATGTAAATCGGTTTTAACTTTATTCAACTGGTGTAACTGATATGAATGGAATTATCTCACACACATACACAATGTGTATATGTATTGTACTAGAGATTGCCCCGTTGTTGATATCACTGTTACCTGAACTACAAAGCATACTGCTCGAATTACATTCTAATTTTTTACTCATAAATACGCTTAGTCAAATAGATTAGGAGTTTCAAAAAGCACTTTTTATAGTTTCTATTCGACATTATTAGTACCACGCACTCAAATTATCTACTATTGATAAGGAGCCTCTCTTTATCAAAGAAAGGATAAGATGTGATAAAGAAAATGCTAGATTGATAAGACCATATTTCTCTTCTTTTTACTCTTTTTTCTCTTTCTGCAATCATCTTTTATGACATTTTGATGTTCACACAGGACTTTTTTTAGTAAAAATGATCTTTTGACACCATGTGTATGTCGTCAGTAATCTTAGTAATGGTACACAAGTAATCCCTCTTGCGGGAACAGTATAATCAGAGCCTAAAACAGTTCGATCCCAGATTCACAGATGGAAGCTCTTAGTACAACTGAATAACGAATCATTGTGGGGCATATTGACTCTTACTTGATACGGAACTCTTGGGTAACATCTTTAAGACTATAAATGAATCTATTTTTTCGGTCTTTCTTTGTTATTTGCATTATTATTGCTTGTCTTTAATATCTGATTAAATCAATTACCCATTTTGCATTATCCCCTTGTTTACACAAACTAGCTATTCCCACTCTGATAAAAGCGCAGTATATAAATTTCCCTCTTTTGTATATATAAAAAAGAAAGACATGTCAAAACAAGTAAAATCTCAAGACTTGGGCTTCCCTGTCTATATGGTAGCTTGCGCAACAATTGCAGCACTTTCCGGATTCAATGTTGGATGGCATATCAGTATGTATTTATTATTAGATTATATTTAAAATGTCTGTTTTCTTATATAAATCATCAAAAAAAGGTGTGCCGAATATGCCTGAAAAGGTGATTATGGGTATTATCAATGAAGACGGTACAGGTGCTTGTCTGCCAGGCACTTCATCTTCTGGCTCATTGCCCGGATGTTTACCAATGTCCTTCAATACATGGTAAATAAATCTATAGGTCCATCCCATATAATCCGTTAAGACTAGTGAAATTAGGGGTTATACCATTGGTGCCTTTGCCATTGGCGGATTTTTTGGTAGTCTTGCCAGCAAATACATGAACGTCTGGTTCGGCCGACGAGATAATATCATGATATCCTGTCTCTGGATGGTCGTTGGTGGCCTATTATCAGCATGCTCTACTAATATTGGCATGGTACGCTTTTTCATTTATTTTAATATGTAAAGCAGAAAAATTCACGCCTTGCTTTAGTATTCTGTTGGCCGTGCGTTTGTCGGTATTGCCTCTGGCATGTGTGGTTCTTCAGTAGCTATCTATGTCTCAGAAATTTCCACAAAAAAGAGTCGAGGAGCCCTTGGTTCCCTCTTTGAACTGTTTTTAAACCTTGGTATCTTACTTACACAAGTCTGTGGCCGATATATGTCTACTGCACCTACCTGGCGCTTTCTCTGGGCAATTCCTTCTTTCATAGCTGCTATTCAATTCGCCATTATGTATTTCTTCACAGTTGAATGCCCTCGTCGTCTTTGTGCTAACAAGGAGTATGAAAAGGCATGCTCTGCGCTTCAAAAACTGCGTGCAGGTGCTGATGTTGAAGAAGAATTTTCCCTAATACTTGCTGCTCGTCAGCGAGAGATTGAGTCTGCAAAGAAGCAAATGTCTATATGGGATATTATATCCTGTAAAGACAGACATATCTCATGGAATACAGTCATTGTGATGGTCATTCAAGCCTTCAACCAGATTGGCGGTATTGGTCCCATGTCTGTTTACTCTGTCGGCTTCTTTACACAAATCTTTGGTGATGCAACCTTGGCTACCAACATATCTCTTGCTGATGCCTCTGTTAATATTCTTGCTACGTTTATTGCTGTAGTATTTATGCACCGCGTTGGCCGCAAGGGATTTATGCTCATATCTACTGGCGGTACCTGTATTGCTTCTCTCATGATGGTCTTGGGATCAACGCTCAAAGACAAGTCTGGTCATCAAGGCATTGGTGGCCTTGCTATTGCTGCTGCTATTCTCTTTACAGGATCCTACAGTATGGGATGTGGTGTCATCCCCTGGCTCATTGCTCCTGAATTGTTACCTATGCATGCCTTGGCAGCTGGTTCTGCCCTTGGTAATTCCTCCAACTGGCTATTTAACTTTGTGGTCAATACTGTATGGCCACATATGAGCACTGGTCTTGGCACATACAGTTTTATCGTGTTTGTCGTTATTAACTTTTGTGGCTTTGTCTTTATTGCGTTTTTCATGCCAGAGACAACCGGTAAAGACATTGATGATCACAAGAAAGCTGACGTAGTTGACGTTGAACAAAATGCCTCTGTTTCGAGTCAAGATAGCGCTGATTGTAAGCCTAAGCATCATCCTTAACCTTTATTTATATATTATGATATCAGTTTTTCTTTTTGCTTTTTAATTTTTTGTATATGTATAGCCCCTGTAACATATTTTTTTTCTATATATAATAAATATATTTACTTTTTTATTATTATAAAACTTGTATAAAAGAGTAGAAGGCAGCTGCACACATTTTAATACAGATTTAATTCTTTATAAAGTGCTTCATTCTTTGTCTCCAAGAAAAAAAAAGATATATTGTATTTATTCAATTTGATCATCTTTATTTTTTCATAACAAGGCTTTCCCCATAGTAGTGCCACTTAACAGAATGATTTACCAGAGTCTTGGTTGAGTTTTTACTTGTGATATTCTCAGGCCCAGGGTATCAGCTTGTATTACAAGTAGATAATTTACTTTAAACCCACTGATTAGCCATACATTCTAAATAAAAAAGAAACCTGAAATAGATGTTATCAAATTGTCTTGGCCTGCTTTCTTTGTGAAGGGCTAGTAAGTATTCTTTTTGATAGCCAATGTCAAATAGATCTCTTCAAACATTGAAATCGTTCATCTCAGGGCAGATTATAGATACCCATTTAAAATTACCTTTTGTAGACAATAATTAACAATAAAGTTTAGAGATATGGTTACCTGTTTACGACATGTGGCTGAATAGAGTATTTATATCATAAAATATCATTTATTAATGACAATGGGGAGACGATACAAACTGTAACTAGATTAAATTATGTGAAATAATAGAGTCGTCTTTATCAAACTATTTTCTTTTTTCGAAAAAAATAAAGTCAATAAAAATGCTCATAATCAATATTTGCTTTATTCAACCGTTTTAATTTACTTTATCTATAATAGCAAGTCCCTTAACAGCAACATCTCCAGCATCATTCATAATCCATAAATCATAGCTTGGTCCTTCCTTGTCATTTGTTTTCCAACGTCCACTGATAGTGAGCGCTTCATTTACAGCCAGTGGCTTTAAGCATCGGTATTCGAATGACTTGATACGGCGGTCTTTGGTTTGATTATGACCCGCCTGTTGATCAGCATCCTTTGTAGCAAGATACTGATCAAGCTGATTAACCATATATATCAAGGACAATGGACCATGAGTTAAGCAACCTGATGAGCGAATTTAATAAAATACACGTGCCTTATATATTTGAATTTACCTTTTTGCTTTTCAACTTGAGTAGCAAAAGTATGATCATAATGAATCAAATGAGAATTAAACGTAAGAGCAGAGAAGCGGAAGAGAGTAATGGGAGTAGGCGTAACATTGAATGAGAACTCAGGGTTACTCATGACCTCTACGAATAAAAAAGGGCATCAGATTGCTTTCGCTGTCTTGATGCTTTAACTTACCATGAGATGATGACTTATTCTGAGTGATTTTTGAGACTTCTTCTTCTTTACTAGCATCATCTGTAGTATATACCCAGCAGCGACTCTCGGTTAAGGCTAATCCTTGCTTGTTGTGAATTTTACCATCAACCCAAACGAACACACTGTTGCCCTTTTTGATATCCACTTTGCTGAGCTTGGATTCCATCTTTATTTCATCACCCACACGCAAAGGGTTATCTACATTCCATTCAAGTTTGCCTCCTGCCCATTTACGACGGACATAAGGTTCGGGTGGGCTCCATTCCTTATCATAACCGTCCTTTGCGAGCTCCTTTTCGGGCACACGAGGAGGGAAATAGGCTAGATGCCACCCAGGGGGAATTTCAGTACCATGAGCAGGGAATTGGTCATAGTTAAACTTGGGATGATCAAGTGTGTTGCCCAATAAATTGACTTGAGAGGGTGTAATGACATCTGTCTCTACCTTTGTTTTTTGTGAAATTTCCTTCTTCCATGACTCGATATCTTTTTTGCAGGCGGACGTTGAAGAGATGTGTCGTACACGCATGACATTTGGTATAGTACTTAATGCACTATAATTTTTGTTTAAAATGGTTCTTAAAGCTGGCTGACTTGGCTTAATTAATGAATGCATGTTTGATGGGATAAAAGGAAAAAACATATGAAATAAGAGCTAGTAATATAAATATAAACAATACATGACGTCGTTTGTACGTAGAATAGAGTTCTGCATGCCTTTTCAACAAGCTGACGCGGAGAATGAAATAGTGACTTTCATCAATAAAAAGCCCTGCTTTCATTTATTTTAGTGTAACAAAACCAATCTGAAAGGATAGAAAAGGCTTTCTTGCTTAAACGACTGCGATATGTTGCATTATTCACATTATTATTTTATATTTATAGGAATATTACCATCTTGTATATAATTCGTACTTAACATCTTACTTTTAAGATATATAATACACTTAATACGCCTAATGATGTCTGTTGTTGCCTTTGTTTTTTATTTTTGACATTAGTGCTAAAATTGGTGCAAAGGATAGATCCAATTGAATATTGGGAAGCATTACAGGCACCAGAAAATATACCAGAAGTTAGATTAACACTACGGACGCTGCTTCTACCCATTATCTATGATGCTGACCAACAAAGCTTCTCAATCTGCAGTGTCAAGCTAAACATGACATTTATAAAGTTGTCATCTTGGTTTGTTTCTTTTCAAGAGATCAGAGAGATTTTTTTTATTTTTTATTCTAACGTTATGTTGTCAGTTCGATCAACAAAGAACCAAGATCATTCAAGTGTAATTCACATTTTATATCAGAGAATGAACTGGGCAGCCTTAGGTTAAGCAGAGGCTTTAGTAATTTGAAGTTGTATAGTGACTCCACATGCAGTGTTCCAAGGGAGCGACCGTAGTATTAGCCTATTTTCTGGTGGATTTTCTAGTGTATGTAGTGTTGGCCTAAATTTTTCGTCCACCGTTGCTTGTATCTCGATTAAAACAGGAATAAGAGATTTTTGAATAGCTAATTTAGGCTCATATAGAACGTCGCTCCTTGTACTGTTGAGCCATTCACTTGACACAACGCCATAGGTTTCTTCCAGTATATTTAATAATGAATTTACTATTAGATCTATCACTTTTTGTTTTTCAAGATTCTTTTTGACAATATACCTTGTCCTGGTAAGAAAGCGAATGGTAGTTCGAGAGCTAACAGTTCGTTATCTTGTAAGAACATATATAAAAAAGCGAATAAAGCAATCCAAAAAAAAAAAAACTAAATAGACATACCTGTTGCATTCAGCTTTTTATTTGAAATGATCAATTAAGTCGATGCCTTGCGAAGTAAATTTTTATTAAGAAGAGAGAGATTTTATTAAAGTAATTGTGAGTTTTATAGGGATATTAATGTGGTTAATGTGATTATTTATCAATGCTAAACTAGTAGTTACTATTGCTATTTTTATTATTGTAAGTTATTCTCATTAGATGCGGTAGAGGAATGTAAAGTAGAATGTATGCTTTATTATAAGAGTATCTCATCCAACGCGTCGATACTTTCAGTCTAATTCCTTCATTATTGATAAGTAAATAGAAAAGAGAGATTCTTGGCGCACTGTCAAATCTCAAAACAGTGGAATTGCCTACTCATTGAGTAGTGCGCAAGGAGAGCGTAAAGACACGTACTGACAATTTTTTTAAAAAAAAGGCACCTTTGATATTTTTACAGCTTATCTTGGGAGTCACCATCTGCTTCGCCGGACTTGATATAAAATGGTAAACTCATAACTTCTTGAGAACGGTTTATATCACTTTTTTTCGCAGAGAAGGGAATTTTCAAGCCTCTATATACACACAACGCTTTTTGTTTGTGTTAACATGATTTCAATTCCGTGCGGCTGTGAAAAGCACCGCGTTTGTGATAAACTTTATACTAATGAGATCGGCATAAAGACTTACAACTCAGTGAATAGGCAAAGTCACTGCTATCGGAGATCAAAGTTCGATTAAAAATGCAACATTACCATTTGGAGATTTGGAAGCGCGATAAAATCTTTCATATAATACAAATATACAGGCTCCTGGTCAAATCAAGAAAGAATTGGACTTCAAATACTGATGCTTCGGCAATCTAATGGTTGTTTTTCCGCAGCAATGCTAGTCACAATTCGAGATGGCGAAAAAGTATAAAAAGGCGAGCAAAAGGCAGAAATCGTTTTTTTCCTTATCCTCTCAGGCCTTTTGGCTAAGATCAAGTGTAGTATCTGTTCTTTATAGTTTAACAACTATAATGAGGGACATTGTCCCTCTCGTTGTTAATCTAATTTTTCCCGCCGGGAATTCAGAGCTCTGGCTTGCTATCTCTGAATTCCACAGGTGTCCCTTGCCTGACACTACCTGCAAGGTGACGCCGACCTTTTTATACATATTATAAATGAAAAATAAAAGAAGCAAAAAGAGAAGAATTATAATAGAGGGAGAAAAAAGCGGGCAATGAATGTGCAAGCCACAAATAATAACATTCTCTGAAAATCGTTAGCCAGATTATAATTGTCATTAGCCTAAGGGTCTGCCAAAAAAAAAAAAGAATTTCTATAGATGTTAAGAAATGTGTTTTTTCTTGACAAAGGCCACACGGCCCTACAATAAACCAACCATTTATTCTGAACAGCCAATATGAGTTGAGTCAACATGGTTGAGATTTTATTGTCTGAATGTCAATCAATATTCTACTATATGCTCGGTAGAGCTTAAATTTCGAAATGTTTACTCGATTCGTGACCATTTAGAACCATCGCTGTCTAACAAATCTCTGTCTCATAATAGCCCTAAGCCGTGGCTCCCTGAAGTGTTAACATTACATGTTCAAAAGAATGACAAAGGCGAACATCTGCCTCTGTCAAGCGTTCACATGCCCACAAAATTGATAGTCTGAAAGATTGAGAAAATTGCAAAGATAGAATCTGAACCCATTTTCGATACCCGTATGATGAGAGCTGCAAGAGTGAGGAGAATAAGCTGAATACTTGTGAACTAACACTGTAGCAGGAGCTTTCATTTCCTTTTTGCTTCATTTCTTCGTTTAACCAAATTCAAGAAAAGACAGGCATGTCTTGTTTTCAAAAGTCTTTTATCTCGGTAGCTTTTTATATAGAAGACATCTATTGACATTAAAGCTGATACTAAAGCTCTTATAATAACATCAGCATCTTTTTTAAGGGTTGACACAGTATGGCTATTATTTTTACTTGACAGTTGCAGAAATTTTCAGAGAATGTTATTATTTGTGGCTTGCACATTCATTGCCCGCTTTTTTCTCCCTCTATTATAATTCTTCTCTTTTTGCTTCTTTTATTTTTCATTTATAATATGTATAAAAAGGTCGGCGTCACCTTGCAGGTAGTGTCAGGCAAGGGACACCTGTGGAATTCAGAGATAGCAAGCCAGAGCTCTGAATTCCCGGCGGGAAAAATTAGATTAACAACGAGAGGGACAATGTCCCTCATTATAGTTGTTAAACTATAAAGAACAGATACTACACTTGATCTTAGCCAAAAGGCCTGAGAGGATAAGGAAAAAAACGATTTCTGCCTTTTGCTCGCCTTTTTATACTTTTTCGCCATCTCGAATTGTGACTAGCATTGCTGCGGAAAACAAAAGGTGGTTTTACTCTTCAGAACCAATAGATGCAGGCGGTCTTCTTTAACCAATTCAAGCTTGATTCTCGGTATGATACCTTCACTAAGGACGCATAATAGTGAGGTTATTAACTTAATGTCATTTTTATACTTTTCAGTCGACATTTTTTCTTTTCTGTTCTATCCTTCATAATGAAAAAGATATGTATTCTTGACAACTTCAGGGACTGTACAAGTGACTACTATAGTGAACATTGCAAAATAAAACTCAACATCAAATGAAATTTGCGTACTCTATTTCCACTTCAACAGTTTCCTTTTTCTATTTCCTTTCAACATGAGACCACATTGGGCTTTATACAATCAGCCAGTTTCTACCGAGCAATTACAAGATCGTGTCAAGAGAAGATTAGAAATGCCAAATGCTATGGCACCTACACCGAGAGCTAGGCAAATCCAAGTGTTGTCCTGGGTACTCTCAGTTTGTAATATCACTCCAAGTTATGTTGGCAAGTGAAAATAACTTTTTTCTTTCTTTCTAGCATTGACTGGATATATTGTCTTATTTGCTGATTTTGGGCCAGAGAAACACTGCTTTACTCCTGTAAGTAAATAGACACTCATGTCAATATAGTATTAATGGTTATCTCAGGTTCGAAACTGGTTTCAAGAAAAGAAAAAACATTTCTGGAGCTTATCTGAAGAAGAAAAGAGAGAATTAAGAGAACAAGGAAAACTATAATTTTGTTTTTTAATAGAAGTGTAAATAGTATTTATTGTTTTTTGACTCAATAAAAAAAGAGACATACAGAAGGGGTTGAAGGTGATTTGACATTAGTGACTTGCCTGAGTCCTTTTTTTAAACACAGAACCGGGGGTTGTTTTTTTTAAAAAAAAAAGGAGGCTGGATATTTGACACCTTCCTCTTTTTTTGAACAAAAATAACCATGTTCTCTTTGAAGACAGCAGCTAACAAGGTCGTACTTCCTGCCTCTCGTGTTGCCTCTCGCAGATGCATTACTTCCTCTGCTTCCAAGACAGGTATGATACCGAGTTATTTTACCCATAATCTCCATAATTGACATTTGAACTTAGCTTGGATCTCTACTCGTATGGCCCTTGCTTCTGGCAACAGACTTGTAATGATCAACTCAATAAAAGTAAAGATAGACTTGACTTACCTTTTACATTATTCTATAGACTGCTAATCTTCTCAAGGAAGCCTACGTCTCATCCGCTCCTTCTCGTTTGATGTTCTTTGGTAAGCTAGCCCTTTATATACATGTGTGTATATACAGTATTAACATTCATTCAAGGTCGTCGTGGTATGGCCTCTGATGCTGGAGGAAAGTTCTCTCGTGCTAAGCCTCACGTTAACATTGGTACCATTGGTCACGTTGATCACGGTAAGACTACCTTGACTGCTGCCATCACCAAGGTCTTGGCTTCAGATGGTGGTGCTGAGTTCAGAGATTACAGTCAGATCGATAAAGCCCCTGAGGAAAAGGCTCGTGGTATTACCATCTCTACCGCTCACGTTGAATACGAAACCAAGAACCGTCACTATGCTCACGTCGACTGTCCTGGTCACGCCGATTATATCAAGAATATGATTACTGGTGCTGCTCAGGTAAAAATAATAGATTTTATAGTGAAGAAAGCGGCTCTAAACAATACATTAGATGGATGGTGCCATCATTCTTGTCTCTGCCACTGACGGTCAAATGCCTCAAACCCGTGAACACTTGTTGTTGGCCCGTCAAGTTGGTGTTCAAAGCTTGGTTGTCTTTGTCAACAAGGTTGACCAGGTCGATGATCCTGAAATGCTTGAACTTGTCGAAATGGAAATGCGTGATCTTTTGTCTGAATACGGTTTCGACGGTGAAAACACACCCATCATCAAGGGTTCTGCTCTTGCTGCCCTCGAAGGTCGTGACCCCGAGATTGGTGAAGAAAGAGTCCGTGAGTTGATGGACGCTGTTGATGCCCACATTCCTACACCTATCAGAGATTTGGATAAGCCTTTCTTGATGCCTATTGAAGATGTCTTTTCTATTTCTGGTCGTGGTACTGTTGCCACCGGTCGTGTTGAACGTGGTGTTATCACCAAGAACAGTGAAGTTGAAATTGTTGGTATGGGACCTACCGTTAAGACCACCCTTACCGGTATTGAAATGTTCCGTAAGGAATTGGACCGTGGTGAAGCTGGTGACAACATGGGTGCCCTCTTACGTGGTATCAAGCGTGAACAAATCCGTCGTGGTCAAGTCCTCTGTGCCCCTGGTACTGTTAGATCCCACAAGAAGTTCATGGCTCAATTGTATGTCTTGACCAAGGAAGAAGGTGGTCGTCACACTCCTTTTGTCAACAACTACCGTCCTCAAATGTTCGTTCGTACCACTGATGTCACCGTCAGTCTTCAACACCCTGAAGGTACTGAAAACCCCGAAGAGAAGCTCATTATGCCTGGTGACAATGTTGAATTGCAATGTGAACTTGTTCATGATGTTGCTCTTGAAGAAGGTCAACGTTTCACTATTCGTGAAGGTGGTAAGACCGTTGGTACTGGTATTGTTACCAAGATCTTGGAATAAACTTACCCCTTCGCTCTCTCTCTTTGTGTGTGTGTCTGTATCCCTTATTGTATAATACTGTTTCATTCTTTTAGAAAAGAAAAAAAAAAAATACATGAATAAAATATGTCTATATATCATTATTCTTTTTCGTTGGTATACTTGTTTTCAAGTTACATCGGGAGTGAAGAAATAGATGATTTATGGGGGATATTGTAAGAGAAGAAAAGGTTTACATTTAGAGTATTTATTTGTTATCAGTTCGGTATATATGGATATTGGTTCATATATGATATGCTTCTTTTTTTTTTGGTTTTTCTGTTTTTTGTTTTAGTGAGCAATTTCATCAAACAGCATCTCTAATATAATTAAATATTAATATTACATCTTAAATAGATACAAATTATGGTAACTTACGTTTGAGTTGCTCTTTGGTAAGTTGTTCCTTATATCTATCAAAATCAAAGAAACTGTCTGGAATAGGAGGTGCATCAGGCTATTTCAAAATAGTCAGCATATAACTATAGAGTCTACCTCTTGTTTTTTGCTTTACCTCATCATCAGGATCATGATACTAATATCAAGAAGGTCAATAAGAGTACTTTTAATTTGTAATGTCAACTTACTGGTTCAAGGTATGGATGCTTTAATGCTTCTTCAACTGTTATTCTTTTTTCTGGATTGAATGTCAATAACTTTTCAAGTAAATCAACAGCTAATAATAAGATTAATAAGCTATTTATCACTCATATACGTGTAATATGTCTAAATACCTAACGGATTTGCATTAGGAAGCAGTCTTGAGAATGGAATCCTCTTTTTGAAAGGTAAGCTACGAATATAGTCTCTAGCCTAAGTGCCAATATGATGAGTCACACACCATTCCCACACTATTCATATATTCACTTACTCGACGACTCTTGATTCCATAGAAATCATCCATGGTGGGTGTACCAAGTACATCCAAAATTAAAGTTAATTGATGGTGATAGTCTCGACCAGGGAACAATGGTTTACCACTGAGCATTTCTGCTAATATGCAACCCACTGACCAAACATCAATGGCCTTTGTATATTCCTTAAATGTAAGCATAATCTCAGGTGCTCGATACCAACGGGTGGCGACATATTCTGTCATGAAACCACTGTTTTCATCTGCTGAATTAGACGATCTTGCTAAACCCAAGTCACAAATCTATTCCCATATTACTACTACTGCATTGTATATGTATACGTATTCAAAAGTTACCTTTAAATCACAGTTGGCATTAAGTAACAGGTTTGATGGCTTCAAATCACGGTGAAGCACATTAGCTGAGTGCATTGCCTTTAATGCTCGAAGTGTTTGATAAGTGAAATATTGACAATGATCGTCTGACAGGTCTTGTGTACGAATGACACGGTGCATGTCAGTTTCCATTAGTTCCTGAATGAGATATCTAACAAGTTTAAAAGTTTAATAATATGAGTAGCGGTCTGCTATTGCTTTTTCTTACACTTCTGTAAAGTCCTCAATAGATTTTGGTTTCATGATGTCAAGAATGGAGATAATCTATAAAGAAAGTTAGTTGTTTTATTTAACAAAGATGGAGAAAGTAGTGTTTACATTTTCATGGTTAAAGTACTTTAACAGCTTAATTTCGCGAAGTGTTCTCAAGCAAAACATGGCATGATCAAAGGGTAAAATACGCTTGATGGCTACCATTTGACCTGTAGGTTTATGAACAGCCGAGCTATATATAATATTATATAAATGAAGCGTGAAGAATAGGAGTGTATTTACCAAACAACACCATAGGCGCCTTCGCCAACTATATCTACTACATCATACTGGTCACCACCATTAAAGTGTTTGAGACGGGCAGCAATCTCTTCTCTTCGAGACATTCAATAAGGAGAGAGAGAGGGATGAATTTTACTGCTGGGTTAAAAGTCAGTAATAAAGCTGAGAATGAAATCAAAGGAACATCAAAAAAAAGAATCAGGGTAAAGCATAAAAAAGGGGGATGTAGTACAAGCAGACCTGTATGAATTCTGGCACCAATTAGAGCGGACTGATTCCAATTCGAGTAAGCGGGTGCGCCAGTCCAAAGATTTTAGTGCTAAAGACACGTTTTTTTCATTTTCTGAATAATGAAATTCCTTCAGTTAATCAGACAGTCAAGAAATATGCTTTTAGCCCAAAGCCACCACTCTCCATCATCCAAGTTTAAGCATATAATTATAGTTGATTTTATTTTATGTAACATATCTTTATCCAAGATAAAAGGGTCACTATAAGGAAAGGAGAATATCAACAAACTTGTCTTCAAGCACGCGTATTAACGCCATCAGCAGATCAGTGGCTATTACAGTTACTTTTTTAGCAGTTGTAGATATTAATTTGCATCCTTATCAATTGCTTTCTGCAACATTAAACTTTAATATGTCTACAAACCTTTTGTATGCTATTGATCACACATTGTAAGAAGTAATGGTAAGCAAGATAAATAAATCACATATTTAGGAAATATCACAGACATCAACAGATCATTAAAGTGAATATATGGCTAGTAGCTGATGAATGAAAAGAGGAAAGAAAGAGACGCATAAGCATAAAGCACTTTATATATTCATACAGAAAGGCTGCCAGCGCGCTCTCCTTCTTCAAATGCTCTGTTATTTATAAATAATGACTCATCTCGGCGGATGTTATGAAGTAGAAGAAGCTAATTGATGATTTCTATAATGATTACAACAACGATTGATTATTATGGATTACAATTGAAAGCAGTAAATATATAAAACGGCATTAAACCTAGAACAGAAATACCAAATACCAGTCAACTCAATTCATGAAATAGGCTAATTTGGTAAATTTTATGAGTTTTAAATGGAAAAGAGTCAAAGAGAACAGAAGAATTAGTTCCAATGGAAATCTGAGGCTTGCCATATTTGGAAAAAGCACTTCTTTTTTATATATAGTGAAGATTTCAACTCTTCACGTAATTATAGTCCCCATAAGCAATCGTATGGATTGTTAACAATTTGCGGTGTCGTTTAGTAAACAAAATAAATTCAGAATATGTATATGTAAAATGCGTGTACATTTAGCAAAAACCGGAAAAACCAGTACTAGCCCTTCTTTCTTGATGAACACTGGTTTTCTCAATACCTGTGGAATCAACTTCCATGGAGGGTGCAAGTAGAGGCCTTTCTGAGGCCACCTCTGTTTGAAGGCGTCGATAGCTAGGCAGACGGATCGGGCATTCGTCTCCAGTAACATGATAGGCGGGTGTTTTCCCTTGACGCAAAGGCATCCAGGTCCATCTTCCATCTCTGTTGAAGCATTTTGAAAAAGCGTCTCGACAGAGTCCATTCGTAAAGAGGCTTCTGTCGTATACTTAAATTGTCCGCTTCTATGTTTTGCACTCCTGGTACGTGAAAGTACCTTGCCTGAAGATGATGCTCTGTTATACGCTGCTGTATCTCTAACGTCAATGGTTGTAGTAAGGCTGATGCTGTCCCACCCGGCTTCTTTGCATGCTTTAGAGCGATCACGTTGTCGGTGTAAATATGAAATAGCTCGCCTTGGTTTCTTCCTGCGTACATTTGAATCGCAAAAAGAACTGTCTTCAGTTCCCTTACGTTGATTGAAGTTTTTCTTTCTTCCTGGGACCAGAATCCGTTTGTTCGTATTTAGTTTGATGCTACTGCCCAGCCTGTGTCTGAGGTGTTCACATATATCTCCACTTTCGGCTCCTTGTCGCTCTGTGTTGGCCGTATAGACAGACCGTTCTTTAATGTTGCCTTCTCTATCCACCAGTTCAACTCATTTCATGCTTGTGTCGATATCTCACAGTTCTTCTCTCAGTTGTATCCTTGAATCTTCGATGCTCAGGCCAGATCTCTCTGTAGAAGTCGTACTCTGGGTAGCGCTTCACTCATTGCCGGCATCATAGCTGTAATCTTCCCCAATAAGCTCGCTATCCATCTGCACAAGAGTTTCCTTGTCGCACTTTTCAGTTGACGAACTCGGGTCACTAGTTTGGAAATCTTCTTTGGTGGCACACGAATTTCCATCTTGTGGCTGTTGAACGTGAATCCGAGGAAATCTTGCGATTACTTGGGTTCCAAGTTGTTCTTCCTGTAGTTGATGATAAATCCTAGTTGCGACAAATGGTTGAGTGCCACTTGCACATTGGTATTCATTTTTTCCTTCGATTTTGCTAACAAACAAACATCATTCAGGCAATATACCACTCGCATACCCTTGGCTCGGATGGCTCCATTGCAAAGCGCATTAGCTTTGAAAACACTCTCGGGATTACATTCAATCCAAATGCCAGGGACTGATATCGGTATACAATACTGACGTGTTTGATGAGATAACCATTATGATAACTCGAGTATAATCTTACAGTGGAGTATATATTCTACTATACATCCCTCTATTGCATCTGATAAGAATAACTTATAATAATAGTAGCTATAGCAGCTATTAGTATATCAATAACAATATAAGTATAAATAATGTCAGTGACGACAATAATATAAATAGCGGCCAAAGATCCTCTAACGAAGTAAATTCTCACACAAACTTAATTTAATAATATTCAGCTCTTCTTAATAAAGAATCTAATTCGCAAGTCATCGACTTAATATTCTTTTTACAATAACAACTAAAGCTGAATACAACACCAGGATAGTCAGTACACAAATGAAATAGAAGTGCCGGATCATCTAGCAGGTCGATCAAGAGTGAAGAATTGGTTGATGGTTTGAGTTAGGGATGGATGATGAGTAAACGATAACTTCTAACAGTAACAAACCTGTTTTTGTTTGCGTTGCACAAGCTGTATGTTTATACATCACTCTCACAGCATTGTAGTACAGATTACAAGCGTGATGACACTCTCTTTTGTATACAGTAGTTATTTTGAGAATAAAGCGCACCTAGAAAGCCTATAACCACATCTGAGATCGGATTATAAGTCACGGCAATTGTGGCAGGTACAGCGCGCAGTATATCTTTTTTAACGAGTCCAAAAAGGAATGTATTTATTTTATGATCGACATCGAACATAGTAAGATTAAAAAGTACAGTAATGAAACTTTTTTTTATCTTCTTGAAAAAGAGTAAAAACAGACAAAGAGAATAAGAATAAACTATGGGAGGGGATGAGTGGGAACAATCAAGATCACTTGGAGTGTAGTTATGATGATGCATATAATGTATCAAAAAAATCGCTTCAATCAAGGACAAGTCCATCGAGCTCTTCTGTTCTTCTTGCTTGATTAATCTTTCCCAGAAATACTCTTTTACATACTACTTTATATATATACATATGTATTATTTCTTTCTTTCCTTTATCTACTACTTTAAAAAACCAAAAAACATTGCAGAATTTAAAAATCCAAAATCACTTTGTGATTGATCATATCAGCACTTTAGTAAAACTGATCTACAGTTTCATACAAAAAAGGAAATAGAAATACGTGTATAAATATGTTGAGTTAACGTTTTCCTTTTTTCTTTATAGTTTAAAATGTTTAAAAACAAGTTTGGAAAATGTTACTGTAACAAGAAGCGTAAGTCTGTGATGTTTACAACAATAGTGTCATTAGGGCAAAGTTCAGTGCCTAATAAGCTGAACAAGTTTATTTGCGTGTCTCTTTTAGTAGTGACTTGATACTTTGATTGTTGAAGAAGGTTGTAGAGGGTAGAGTTCTTTCGGTGTCCGGTAAGAAAATATATATGCGTAGTAGCAGCAATGCAAGCTAATTGTTTATAGGCACCGGAAGAATAAACGAAAGGATGACGTACAGATGGCATATACATTAAAACATTGTTGATGTGGAGGAAGTTTACTGGGTTGATGAGAAGAAAATCATAAAAAAAAGAAGTCGAAGATAGTAGCTTTGAGGCTGCAGCAGTGCTGAAGCATGTGCTTCAGTACTGGCGGGACAATGACGTTGTCCAGAATTACGTGGGGCGCGAGGTTTGCCTCGAAAAATTCAAATCGTTGATGACTGAATCAAGAGTGGAGGTGAAAGATATCGACGAGCCAGAAGAAGTGAAGAAGAAGGCTAACAAACTATCAAAGTCTTTCCACGGCTGCGTACAAGTTTTCAAAATTATAACGTACGAAAGTGCTCTACTGTGTTCTCCCTTGGTAACTTAATAAAAAAGTAACAGCAACATACAACAGTCTCCATAAAGCTAACTGAGTAGCTCTATACTAGAAATACTTTTCGCTTATGTCTCTTCAATTACTACATTTACAGTGGGCTCTTAATGACGGAATACCTATCAGGATCACAAATGAAATTCTATAATCAAGGATATTCTGTAATAAAGCTTATACATTGACAATTGAGATGAATATCGCAGGAAATTTAAAGCGGTGGCTGTGAAATCCTTCGAAAATGGTATTCCAATATCACGAATATTCCGTAATCAAGAGTCTACTGTATTTCATATAAAATAAGGGCATTTTTAAATTTCTGCCCTCCAAGCATCTAAGGCTGCTATGATTGACTGAGAAAGCCTGTAAGAAGAAACTATGCTACTACTATTTGTTGGAGAAGCATTCGCCTGTGTATCTTCGCTTGTAGGATCACTACCAGACGTTCCTGTAACCATCTGTCAACTAACGTCCAAACCTTGCTGAAAGAAGTCAACCATGAACTGCTGAATCGTGCTGTTAATCTGCTTCTTGTAATTCTCGGCGTTGTTCTTATTTTCAGTTCTTAAAGCCTGAAATTCTGTTGACGAAGCAATGATTCCAGTCCATACAACAGACGTTAACTGAGGCTTCTTGATTTGTTCTTCTGAGCGTATATTCTCGACAATCCACAAAAGAAAATACCAGAACCTTTAGCTCTTAAAAAGGCTCCATGCAGCACGAGGAAAGAAGTAGTCACCAGAGGTGGAGAAAATGCCAGCGATTACGCACTTAGCTTGCTTAGGCGAGCTATTAAGATAGAAGCATACCGTACGATCTTTGCTCCAACGAACCAGCTGTCTTTACTGGTTATCAGAAACCATGTTGTCATTAATCAAGTTAACACACTGCCACGATTGACGTGAGTAACTTCGAAGGAGTGAATATCCACTGCATTAAGAGCCCTCTTGTAAGCCTTGTGCTGTTTTTGATAGGTGATTTCTTCAAAGCAATTTCGGTCATTCAAGACAAGATGCCATACCATTTTTGCCGTGTTCCAGATATTACAGTCGTTTCACTGCCAAAATGAGGATTTGTTAAAAAAATATTCAATGTATTCTGATATTCCTTGATTTTCTAGTAGAAATACTAAAAAGAGAAAACATAGCATAAGGATAGGGCTTACAGTAGTTTCAAAGAGATTGATGTTGAACAAAGAGTAAAAAGTGTACCTTTCTTTTGTATAGCTTTTTGAAGCCTTGGTGCCTTGATTTTATTAATTACTATATTAAGAAAATAAGCCGGATCTTGGCATAAGAGACATTATCTTATTGGATAAGCCGTCTTCTAAATGTTATGGGTTACAGATGAGTCTTTGTAGATTATTTTATTACAGTAATTTTTAAGGCATTTTTATTTTTAGCTGACAGACTAAAAAAATACTTTTTCAAAAAGGAAATCTGCCAAAGATTTTTGAGTTCCGACAGGTATTTTTTTGAGTCAGAGTTGAGTCTGAAGGTTCATATACTATAAAAAAGAGATGTATTTTCTTTTCCTTTTTTTTTTTTTTTGTTTGTTATTCAAATGTCACAATTTCAGCAACACGAATGCGAGGATGCCCCAGGGAACGGCGCACAAAAATTAACGACTATTCAAGAGACATTTAATCTATCTGAACTTCAACCAGCCAATGATCCATCGCAGCACTTAGCACAGGATATGCCTATTGTTGATCTACAACCAGCCCAAGTCCAGCAGACATCGGATGCTCCATTAACTGGTGTTTACTCAAGTTCTGGATTTGACATGGTAGGCATTTTATCTCGACTTGTCAATAGGTATATTTAGTAAAATACCATACAATGTCAGCATATATATAATGCTTTAACAGACCGAATCCACAAATCAATCTGGGTCCTATTGATATGTCCTGCTCCTTTTTGGTCACGGATGCTCGTCAGTTTGATTGTCCCATCGTATATTGTTCACCCACATTTGAACACTTGACAGGTTATCATGAAAATGAAATTGTCGGACGAAATTGTCGTTTCTTACAAGCTCCTGATGGTCAAGTAACATGTGGGTCGCGCAGGACGTATACTGATAATCAAGCTGTTTACCACTTGAAAGCACAAATGTTGCAAAACAAGGAACACCAAGCAAGTATTATCAACTATAGAAAAGGAGGACAGGTAAAAAGAGTGTCAAAGGGAGAAAGAGAGGGAAGTCTGTGAACTAATCCATGTATGTATGCTTGTGATAGCCCTTTGTCAATTTGGTTACAGTTATTCCCATCACGGACGATAATAATCAAGTGTGCTTCTTTGTTGGGTTACAAGTTGACCTTGTAGAACAACCAAATGCTATCCTAGAAAAAATGAAAAGTGAGAACTAAAGTTGTAGAAAGATATTTATGTTAAGATATGTTGTAACCATAGACGGCACTTATATGGTCAACTATCAGCAAATGAACATTCCTCCTTATATTCCTGGAAGCAGTAAAGTATCTGTGTAACCTTAGTATCAAAGACTCACTCTTGTGTTTATAGGCTTCAGTTCGGAGCCAGTGGACGACTATTTCCGAGAACTGCCAACCATTGCTCCTGCCTCAGGGACCTTGGCCTCTCCTGAAATATTGGAACTTGTCAACTGTAGTGGCGAAAATGAACAGCAATTACAGCAACAGTGGAATAAGCTCCTTTTGGATCAATCTGAGGACTTTATCCATGTCTTATCTCTCAAGGGCTTTTTCCTTTACTGTTCTCGTTCTACTTCCCATTTGTTAGAACATGACCCTGAAGAACTTGTTGGGCATCCTCTGTCATCTATCTGCCATCCTTCCGATATTGTACCTGTGATGCGTGAAGTGAAAGAGGCCGCTGGTAATCCCGATAAAGTTGTCAGTCTCATCTACCGTGTCCGTCGAAAGTACTCTGGATACATGTGGATAGAATGCCAAGGCAAGATTCATATTGATCAAAGCAAAGGTCGCAAATGTCTTATTTTGGCTGGCCGTGAGAGACCAATGTACCAGATGCTTCGTAAAGAAATGGTTCATGCTCCTAACGTTGCGACTGGTTCTGAATTTTGGGCAAAGGCAAGTTTGAGCGGACTCTTCTTGCATGTAACATCTACGAGTGAAGAAGTCGTTGGTTTTGCTGCTGATGACTTAAAGGGTGCTACACTATATCAATACGTTGGTGATAACAATGTCCGTGATATCACTCGTGCCTTGGAGCTGGTAAAGGATGGACATATCGTTAATTTACATCATACCATGCAAAACAAGAAGGGAGAATATATTCCTATTTTCTCCACATTTTATCCAGGAGATACCTCTCCAGGTGTTGGTCGTCCTTCCTTTGTTCTTGCACAAATCAGAGCCAAGGAATCTGCATCTATTGATGGATGCCCTGTTCTAGAGTCAGTCTCTCCTGATGTCCACGGCGAAGACAATGATGAGAATCTTTTTGCGGAATTAGAGACGGTCAGAGGTACCTCATGGCAATATGAACTACATCAGCTTCAATTAGCAAATCGAAAATTGAAGGAGCAGCTTGAGAGTTATATCAATCCCAAGACTAAAAAGGTACAAAAAAAAAAAGTAGACTATATACTTATAAGATATACAGCAAAGGAAAAAGCGGACAGCTGATTCAAGTGATATTCCCAAGATGTGTGCTCAGTGTCAAAGCACTGATTCTCCCGAATGGAGAAAGGGTCCTAATGGTCCAAAAGAATTATGTAATGCGTGTGGCCTTCGTTATGCAAAAGCTTTGGCTGCACAAAAGTCAGATACTGTTAACTCTCAGCAGTAAATGCAAGACGTGTATGTGTGTGTATTGTTTTTTAAAGATCGTTTGCATATTTTATATCTTCAATAAAAGTTTTTTATATCATTTAAGCAGCTAAAGAGAAGGGGTGAGTACATGATCAAACTCATTCATACTGTCATCATTTCACCGTCGATCAATCGCCATATATTCGATTCAGTGTCCAACATCACCGTCTGATGTTGTAGATAGCATGATCACTGACAAAAAGAATAGAAAGAGTGCATGTGGTATGTATTGTGTATAAATAAGCTACTTTTATGAGTATCTAGTGTATTTTACAAGGGCGGCTTGAAAAATCAAAGGAATGACAACCTTAAATGATGCTGGATAAACGCTCGCAAACACAGTAACAATACTTGAGACTAACGAATCCTTTACGCTTAAAACTACTACATCCTGTGTCTCAACTCTCAAATTGAGTTACGTTGGAAGTACAACTTTGATTGCAAGCCTTATTCAGCGTCGCATATCACCACCATTGTGTTTGATAAGTTCAACGGTTTTAGACAGCACCCAAGACACATCATTCATTAAGGCATTTGAACTACCTTTTTTATTTATTTTTTTTTAAAAAAAATTAAAGCCTATAGCATCTCAATGCTTTCTTGTTCTCTTTTTTGGTATAGATTTTTTATTAAAAAGAGCTGAATATTATTAAATTAGGTTTGAGTGATTGTTTATATGGGAGATTATATGTTGTCAGCATGACTGAATGTTGTCAATGTGATTATTTATCAATTTTATACTAGTAGCTACTATCGTTATCAGCATATTATAAGTCATTCTTATCAGATGCAATAGAAGAAAGTAGAATGTATGGTCTACTATAATATATAGAGTATTATAATGATTCATATCAAACACATCAGACATCCTTAAGAAGGAGTAGGATTTTGTACTTTTTAGAACTTTTCAAGTTCATCGCTCCGACATGAAAAACACAATCTAGATAGTATAAATGGTTGCAGGCTATGTTTTTCAGATCAAATTCTTGATGTTATAAGTATCAAGTTGACTGTGATGAAAAACACAGAAGCTACTGATGACTGCCGTGTCCTGGAACAACCATAGGCTCATTTACTTGGGCAATTTTTTCTTGATGAGAGTGTAACAATTGATGAGTAAAGGTTGAGATAACTTGATAGTACGAAATGTAATGAAAAGGAGGGCTCTGTTTGTACTTTTGACTAAAACTGCAGTGCCTCGCTTACTGCGAGATTATTACTAGCTTACTCTAATTGATTCCTTTTTCTTATTTTTCTTATTGTAGAGACTATTATCTATCTTTTTTTCACTTGTCTCATTTATTTTTGTTTATAAACTTTAAGTGCAGCATCTGAAAAAAAAAAAAGGGCTTACTTTAAAATTGCCCTCTTTCTCTCTCCTGTTACTATATTTAACTTGTTCATTTTGTCCCCTTTTCTCTAATTCATCTAATGTCAAACTATCCACCACAAAAGTATGGATATTATGAATCAGGAAACGTTAATGATGAAATGGACGAAATGCTAAACTCTTTAGTGGGTTCTAACTCACACACTATGGCTCCGTCTCATCATGGTTCGAGTCATTATGGTCCCGAGTACAGCAACCACAATGTAAATAGTATATATATATTTTTAGTAGAACTTTTTTTTTATAACTTTTGCACGTAGAACAACTATTATAATGATAATAGATATTATATGGAAAATAGCAGTAATACGAACTATCCTCCTCCTGTTCCTCCTCGTTATGATGGCTATCAGTCAACTGAGCCTACGGGATCCAACAAGTATTATTATCCGTCAGAAAATAATGGTGTTTATCCTCCTAGAAATGACTATGCTGGTTACTACCCGCCTAGTCAAACTGGTGCAGGCAATCGACCATTACCTGCTACACCTGTACCTCAGAGAGTGTCTTCTATGGCAAATAGTGGTAGTTACTCATCCTACATCGATAGTCCTACACCACCTATTTTTCCAACTCCTCAACAGCAAGTACCCATTTCCATGCCTGTGGCACCCGAAAGATATCCACAAGTAGATAAAAATATATACCCTCCTCCGGAGTATCATCAACAACCATTTAGTCACCAAAGAACCCCCAGCCAAGACAACAGGACAGCCTCACCGCCTATCGCCAGTTCTCCTTCCTCTACTCATATGCAGTTACCAGCTACCAGTTATCCACCTGTGGGATACCCTGATCGTTCGCAGGAATACATCAATAATTCCTATAGACCTACTTTCAGTCAACACACGTCAGACTCATCCACCATGTTATCTACACCTTCTTCATATGATACTGCTCCATCACAAAAGCAACATCGTCGTACGCATTCTTCACTTCGATCCAACATGATCATGACGATCGAACGTCCCAGATTCGACTACCTTTCTGAAACAGATATGCAGAATGGAGACGAGATGCCGTTTATACCTGTGTCACCTGACTCAAGTAGTGATGAAGAACAAGAATACTTTTCTAAGCCAGTCCCTCACGAGCCTCCTCACTCGCACGTTCCTGTCCCACCCCCTCATACTGAACCTACAATAGCTGCGCAAGAGCCAATCGAGATTGCGCCTGAACCAACACCAGCTGATGAACCCAAGCAAGCGACGGCACCGCCCGTAGTCGAACAGGAAGAGGTTATTGAACCTAATTATGCATTGTTCTCTGTGCTATCGGATGCCTTCATTCGACATGTCAAAGGCCTGGAACATGTCAGAGAGTTATGGTGCGCAGGTGAATATAATGAATCATTCACTGGTTCAGAGGCTGTTGTAAGTTTTTATTTCTTTTAAAGCTTTAGACTCTAAATATGTTTTGTAGGCTATCATTCGAGGTTTACTAAAGGAACAAGTTCCTGATGAATACTGTGTCAAGATTGCTAGTGCGCTCATGGTCAGTCAGCCACCTCTGTTTTCTCCAACACAGTATTCGCAAAAGTCACTCATTACTCGTATGATGTATAACTCTGAAGACACTTATTTTATTGAAGAAAATGCAATGGATGGCGAAATACCCACAGGCGTCTTTACTGCTTTGACACCTTGTTACTCTTATTCTTGTAGACCAGAAACAGGTGGATGTTATTCTCCTCGATGTCCCAATAACAAGAGTGATCAAGATCTTATTGCAGAATACAAGGTAAAAACTCCCTTTTTTTTTGTATGTCTTTCTAACTTTGCTGTCTTAGGATGAAGTGAGCGTATCTCGTACAGCATCAACCAAATCAACTGCAACTCCTGAAGGTGGTTGGGTAACGTATATATGGAACAATAAATAATAACATTAAAACCTAAATTATATATATAGCTTGTCTCTCATGACGCATGGGCTTCTCGTGTTGATAAAGAATTACTGATGTCATTAGATAAAAAAGAGATTGGTCGACAGGAAGTACTTAATGAAATCATCTATTCCGAAGAAAAGTTTTTAGCAGATTTGACAATTCTTCACGAGGCATGTTTATATCTTTTCTTTATTGATTGATTACTAATACAACAAAAACATGTATAGGTCATTGTCAAGGGACTAGAACAGTCGGGTGCGGTTGAGCCTAGCCGTCTCAAGGACTTTATTCAAATCGTATTCAACAATTATGAAGAACTCTTGGAGATTAGTACAGCCATGTTTAAGGACTTTTTAGCACTCGCTCGTCAGTACGAAGGAAAATGTGTTCCAATGATTGGTGATATCATGGTTCAACACATGGCATTTTTTGAAAAACCCTTTGTGACATATAGTCCCCACGCAGGACTTGCCAAGTACATTGCAGAAACGGAAATGAAGAATAACCCAGAGTTTGAAAAGTTTGTCAAGGATATTGCCAAACACGAGCGAACGAATCGACTGCCCATTTGGCATTATCTGCTAAGTCCTGTCACACGTATGCAGCGTTATCCTCTCTTGATTGAGGCTCTCTTGAAAAAGACGCCCGAGGATCACCCTGATCACGCTTATTTGACTCGTTGTCTGGACATGATTCGATCTATTGCTGCCAAGGCCGATAATAATGCCGTACACACCAGGCGCCAATTAGCCATCCTACACATTCGTGATGCGATTACCTTTAGACAAGGCGAACTGTATGACTTGCAGCTTAGTGATCCTAATCGACGTCTGTACCATCAAGGCGTCCTGAAGCGTCGAAGTGGTGCCATGGACGTAGCCGATAAGACAGATATATACGTTTTCGTATTTGACCACATGGTCCTGTTGACCAAACAGCGCAAGACAAGTGCGGGAGATGAATATCATGTGTGGAGAAAGCCTATTCCTTTACACATGCTTGTTGTTCAAAATAATGCTAATTACAAGAGCCCATCAAAGACATCCTCTGCATTTCAAAGCTTTGATGGGAGCACAGGTACTAGATACTCGAGCAATGGTGCAGGCTCAGCTGCTGGTGCGGGTATCATGCTCGTGCTTCATCATTTAGGTTCTCGTGGTGGGTCTGTATACCCGTTCTATTGCTCATCAACAGAAGAAAAACAAGTGTGGGTTAAGGCAATTGAAGATGCCAAAATGTCGCTCAAGAAACGTCATGGGGATATGGATGTCTTTGAACTGAGACCGTTGGATGATACCAACTTCCGACACGCTACATCAGGTCCACCTACAGGCACGACAACACGCATCAATTGCTCTGTACCCTTTGTTACTGCAAATGATGAACGAAAGATTGCTATTGGTACGGATAATGGCGTCTTTTTCAAGACAGAAGGTCAAGATAACTCTGTGCGTCGTATCATTCAATGTGAAAGTGTTATACAGCTGGGTATTATGGAGAAGCACCATATCCTGATCGTTTTGACAGGTAAGAAATCAAGATATTAAACATAGTACTGACCATATCATATAGAAAAGGCACTTAGGGCTTACCCTGTGGATGCTCTGGATTCAAAAAATAATACAAAGGCAATTGATCGTATCGAAATGGAAATTGGACAGCACGTCAATTTCTTTCAGCTGGGTTACTGTAATGGTCGTGACATGCTTGTATATAAAAAGAAAAAGAAGACGAGTAGCGTGTTTACAGCACTAGAACCATTCTGTGACTTAAGAGATCCTAGAAATGAAAAGCTCTTAACGCCACGTACATCTCTGTTTAGCAATAAGCCAGAGTATTTGAGATGGTTCAAAAAGTACAAGGTAAAGAATAATAATGTATGATGCAACAGTAAACTGAGCCCCAAATATAGGACTTTTATATTGGTGCTGAAGCTAGCAACATTCATTTCTTGAAGGCTAAATTGAACATTGTCTGTGAAAGAGGATTTGAAATCATTGATCCTGAAAACTTGACTGTTGGAAGAGATATCCCTGATTCAGAAGATCCTCAATTTAACTTTGTTACTCGACATCCTGAACCATTGAAGCCACTTGCGATGTATAGGATTAATGACAAATTCTTGTTATGTTATGACAAGTTTGCATTCTATGTCAACAATCGAAATGGATCACTTGTCCAAAGAGGACCTGGAAAGTAAGTTGGACATTGTCATTGGAAACGTATTTACCAGTATTTATAGACCACCTGTACTATGTGAATGGGAAGGAACACCAACTCATATTGTGTATGAACATCCTTATATATTGGCTATTGACCCATGCTTTATTGAAGTTCGACATGTAGAAACGGTAAGTGTTGTTATCAACAAGACACAGTTGGCTAACTTAATGCAGGGGGAACTTGTGCAAATCATTTCTGGAGAAAACATCAGATTGGCTTATTATAATGGAGGAGGAGATAAGCCAGTGATTCATGTCTGCATGACGCACAGCCAAAAACCGGATACACAAGCACTTTTCCATTTATCATTGAACTCAAATCACCGCAACTCCTTTCCAAGACGAGCCTAAGGACATGGATGCATGAAAAATTATAAAATGAACCTGATTGGTTCGCTGAATGTAATATATTTATATAAATAAAAAAAATTGAATCACACAATAACCATAAAAAGCCCTTCTTTTTTCTTCTTTTCTTCTTTCTTTCTTTAATTATTTTATTTTATAAAAAGTGATGCCATTATCTTTTGGGGCTGGTTCCCATGAAATAGTAGAAGCTACCAAGAGACATAGTCGTTCACTTGACCTTGAACAGACAAATGCAAGACATGTTAGACTGCTTCATCAACGATCAGCCTCTGAGAGTGATGGACTTGTTTTGGAAAATGACAACACAATTGAAAAACAAGTTCCTTCCAAGGTGTTTTCACTCTATAAAAAACTGAGTACACCCAGTCGTTATCGTAGTGGGAAAACAACCGGTTCGTTCTTACCAGAAATCAAGACAACAGATCGTTTTAAAAAGTCAAGAGCCTCATTTAGTTCAGCATTATCCACTTTTCTTCCTAATAACACTAAACATAATCAAAGTAAACAAAGAGAGAGAGAAAAAAAGATAGGACGAATGTGTTAAATAACTTTTATTTTGTGTTGATAGCAGAAACAACCCTTTCAACGTACCGACAGACTGAATTTGATAAAACTAATCCAACCTATCTGCTGGCACAGACGGGCGAATCAAGGTATGGGTGTAACCCTAATGAGCCATTGTTTATTTATTTATGTATATATTTGTAGAAGGTCATTACCTAGCACATTACAAAATGATATAAACCAGTTTGCTATCGACGGATATGCTAAAAAATACTTTGCCACACACAAAAGAGGGCTCTTTAGGAGAACGGTACCTATTAATGAAATGCTGCAGTGGACAAAGGATTCGATTAGACAACCTTTACTTTTGTCAAACAAGAATCTCTGTAAAGATGCACTCAAGTGTTTCAGAATCATACAGATTCTAATGAGTGATCGACCCAGGCCACGCAATTATAATGCTATGGAACACTTTCAGTCTTTGCTTGACTGTGGCATTTCCAAGGGACAAATGCGGGATGAAATCTATGTTCAGATCTGCAGACAGTTGAATAAAAATCCAAGAAGGTTTGATCATGGGAAAAAGTCTGTACTCCTGATACTAACACAACGTTTCATAGTGAAAGTATCCGAAAGGGCTGGGAAATCCTTTGTGTCGTCTGCATTACTTTTCCTCCATCAAAAAATCTGGAATCTTATCTTTATGACTTTGTTAAACAACATCATTCAATTAAAGAAAACCAGGTGGATGTCTATAGTCAGTATGTCACCGTGAAGCTGGAACGGATCTGCTCTAGAGGTGCCAGAGGCAAGGTGTTATCTATTGCTGAGATTGAAAGAGCTATGGTAGATATCATGATTATGCAAAACGAAAAAAGGGGGAACAAGTTGTTAATGATATCATATAGGAAGCGCCCTTTAAACCATCTATTTTTGGAGAACCCCTCGAGACGGTGATGAACCTTGAAAAAAAAGAAGGTTTGAAAATACCCAGGATAATCCTGTTCTTGACGAATGCTGTGCATGAGCTGAATGGGAAAAAAACAGAAGGTATTTTTCGTGTTCCTGGTGATGCAGACATGGTCACTGATCTGGTAAGTTAACAAAAAAAAAGCGAGAGATGTTTCCTTATTTAAATATTCCATTAGAGAGTTCGAATTGAAAATGGGAACTATGATTCAACTGGCATTGAAGACCCCAATGTACCTGCTTCTTTATTAAAATATTGGTTAAGAGATTTAGCAGAGCCCTTAATACCAGAAAGATTATACCAGCAATGCATTGAAAATGCAAACGATGGAGAAAAGGCAGTCGATATCATTAATTCATTACCAGATTTTAATAGACGAATTGTTCTTTACATCATCAGTTTCTTACAGGTAAAAATACTTAAAATATATTTAATCTTATAACTAAACATTATCTTTAGGATTTTACTGAGCCTGAAGTTATTCAGCATACCCTAATGAACGTATATAATTTAGCCATGGTATTTGCACCTAATTTCTTGAGATGCCCATCAACCCATTTACCTACTATTTTTGCCAACTCAAAACATGAGCAAACATTTTTAAAGACATTGATATCTGTATTACAAGTGGACAGAGAAGCCTGTGCACACCAAGAAGGCGAAATCATTGGCAGAGTCAACACAATGTAACACTCAAATGTGGAGTTTTCATATGTAATAAAACTTTTTTTTTCTCGTTGAACAAACAAAAAAAGAATATAAGCATGTATTCTCTTTTCTTTTCTTTTTTTTTTTTTCAACTTTAACAACACTTCATGAAAACTCTCTTTATCCTCTTCACACTCATTTATTCAAGCTTAGCTCAGACTAGCATTAATAATAATAATACAGTCGTTTGTGATAAAAATGTAAATCAATATTCAACAATGATGCCTATTACCAGTGGTATAAAAGCTTTTCTTTTTATGTTGAATGTAAACACGCTGAATAGTTTCTATAGATGACAATTATGGATTTACGATTACTTATAAAAATTATTATAAAGTTATTGAAAACTTATTTGACAAAAAGAAATACTGTGTGGTCCGCTGTGGTCAGCCTAAACCTGACGAATGCCCATCAGATGGAACATTTTCAAATATAACAAGCGTTAGCATCGACAAGGGTGCATACGGTGTAATTCCCTTTCTGGAGGTATATTCTGTTCGATGATCTCTTATATTGTACTAAATCAACTCAGCTCATTGGAGTTGATAATTATATTGTCAATAGTGATCTTTCTTTAGGTGCATCTCCTTGTTTCGGAAGCAAACAAAAGACACCCAACATTACATTTACAACTCAAGGAAACACAACGTCCGGAACGTCTGTGAGTTTTTCTGCTCAAAGAAATGATCTCACCCCACTTCAGGTAAGAGAAAAGGTAGCAAAGATCAAGAAGGTGATTTTTTAATATTTGTGGTCTTTTTAGAAAGCAGCGTGGTTACAGTATGTTGGAGCCTTTTTTGAAAAAGAACTGTCGGCAGCAAAAATGCTTGCTTATATTAATACATTCTATAAATGCCACAAGGACAATTTGGGATACCAATCAACACAAAAGACAGTTGCCTGGACAAGCTACGATCCTCAACAAAATGCATTTACCATCTATCAAGACAGCTTTTTTAATGAACTTGTGAAGGATGCTGGAGGCCGTCTCGTTGCACCAAACACAGCACAGAACAATGTCTATTTAATGAATAACACAGTACATGGATCATTGTTCCTTACTGCGCTCAACGGAGCTGATTACATCTTAGATATGAGCAGTACGAGTTTAACTTATGACAATTGGATTACACCTATTAATGGGACGACTCACGTAACAGTTGCTGGTTTGCCTCCAGCGATTGTAAACAATAATATCTATTCAGTGAATAGACTGGTCAAAAAAGATGTCTCTGGTAAGTGAGTTGGAACAACAAGAAGAGAGGGAAAAAACAACTTACGATCTATATTATAGACTGGACACAGAGAGCAGCTGCACGACCTGATATGGTATTGTTGGATTTAATGCATTTACTATATCCTACGATGGAAATGCCTAGCAACAACTATCCTATTTGGATAACTCATTTTTCCAATACGAATGGCACCGAGTATGAGCATGAAATAGATGCTTCTAAATATGGTACCTGTGGTAATATCGCATCTAACGCTTTTGAAGATACGAGGTGTTCCCCTAATGGACATAGAGGAACGATTCAAGCAAAGCCGTTGACACCAGGAGATAAAGCGGGTATTTCTGTAGGCACAATCATCGCTGGTATCCTGGCAGCCTTAGCAGGTGTATGGCTGTTTAAGAGATACCGTCGTCGACAGAGAAGACATCAGTTCTACAAAATGCAAGAATTGTAACATTCAATACACTTTTAAGGATATCAATGTCGTACCCGTTTTCAATAATACGATTTCTAAAAATAAACTCTCATTTGTGCCTTTTTCAAAAAGTATTACTTTTTATTCTTGTAACAAAGTTTATTGTAATAAATATATTGGACAAACAACCTTTGAACCGCGGCAGATTCTTTGTGTATTGATCAAGTAAGCTCAAGACAATGTTATCAGAAATGAGTTGAAAGAGTTTAGTGTGGTTAAATGACAAGTGATCGACTACAAACAATAGCCATACCATCATTCTTTTTGTAAACAAGGCACTTGTTTGTGGACTTTTATAAGATATTGTTTCAAATAGCTCATAAAAGTCGTTAGTTCTTGATAATTGCTTCCTCAAAAAAATGAGATCCGATATTTAAAAATTCCAAAAAAGAAGGACATTATTCACACCCATGAATACTTCTTGCTTTACGTCTTTCTTGATTCGTTTTAGTTGGATCAATTTAGTTGTTTATGTCCGTGTTCTCGGGTATTACTGATGTGCGCTCCTTTGACAAGGTTATGCAGCGCTTTATATTTGTATGAAAGGCAAATCTATTCAGAAAGACACCGTTTTTCGTAAAGTCTATAAAGTCTTCTCCCATTTGTGGACTCCAGTACTATTTATAACGATCCCTTTCATGTTCCTTATCGAAAAGAGATGGTCAGTCAATCTTTTGGCATTTCTGTAAGACTCTACCAGTCTTGATTCACTCCTTCTTCAACAAGTTGAAGAATCTGAATCTCGCCACCACTTTATGTAAAGACGATACTGCTCTTAATGAATAATATAACTTATTACTATATCCGTCAACAACAGTGCCTTTTTTCCATCATCGTACAAAAACTAGATGCTTTAATATAGATTCTGGTGTAATTATAAAAAAGAGAATCAAAAGACTTGACACGGCATTTATACAACAATAAATACCGAGCCTTGTACGACAAAATACCCTGGAAGTGCGACACCCAATTTGTCAGCCATGGCGACATTTATTTTGTTTAGAATTCGCGACACATACTTGAACACCAACTGTATATTTACAACAATAAACACAATAGTTACACATAGTAAACAATAGCTATATTTGGAAAAGAAAGCAAAGTATAGAGGGGTGGAAGGATATAAACATGAAGGTTTATTATGTATGTATAGTATATGCTTGGTGAATAATGAGAGAAGAATGTACACACTTTTTTTAAAAAAGAGGGGGGAAACTATACAGTTACTTTTTAAGTAATTTACTTGTGAGGGAGCAGCTGAATAAAAAATGTGGTTTTTTCTTTAAAGTGAATTGTTCAAATTCTCGTAATTGAAATAATAAAGATAAATTTGGGTTGACGGCAGGTGACAGATTCTTTACATGATTATAAGCATCTTGCATTGGCAATTTTAGTGTCTTGATGATATAGGCGATGATGACAGTAGCTGATCTTGATACCCCACATTGACAATGAACAAGTATATTCTGATTGACCGAACGTGATCTATCAATGATATCGATTGCCTTTTCTAATTCTAATACGAGATTATCTTGGTTATGTTCCCAATTCAATTTATGATATATAATGTCCGAAGGATGATGTAATAATGAATCAGAGGAGTAGTTAGTGTGAATAGTGGAAGTACTGCTGATAGTAGATGATTTGGATAAAGTGGGTGAAGGTATAATCGATTGAATGGATTGAAACATGTCTTGGTATGGGTGGCTGACTTCTGCTGCTACATTGAGTATGGATTGAATGTTCAACTCTCTTAATTGATCCATGTTTAAGGTATTTTGTTCTGATCCAAGATACAAATGTGGCATTATTTCAATAGGTCCATTTGAATAAGGATCAGTCGTCTTTATGGGAGTAGAAAGTGTTGTCTGTGGTAGACATAGTGACAGATTCTTTTTATTTTTTCTACGCTGAGATAAACTAGTACTTGCACTTTTGAAAGTAGTGGTAGCTATGGTAGCAGTACTAGTAGGAACAGTAGTAGTAGTAGTAGCAGCAGCAGCAGTAGTCATGGTAATAAAAAGATTAAAAGATAAAAAGAAATGTAAGAGGGACCCCCTTTTTTGTTTTTACTTTTTATATTGAAATTGTAAATAAATATACGTTAATTACTCGTCCAATGAAATCTATTTTAATTAATTAATTTCTTACGGTTCCAGAACTCAATTAACTCCCTTTATTTCCTTTATTATCCCATGCTTGTTATTTAATTAGGGAGCGTCTTTGTTTTGATGGTTGTTGTTATTATGATACTTACTACATAAATGAGCGTCTGATCTTCTAAATAATCAATAACATATGTAAGCAATTAATACACTATCCTGCTGTTGTTGATGATCAGCTGGCACCCCTTCTTCTTTTTTATCTCTAGAGTCATCTTTAGTAAGCATCAATTGTCATTCATAGGGCAACAGTCGTACGACATAAAATAATACATGGTACGAAACCAATTGATGTCATGACACAAAGGGAATCTTCTCATTCTTTAATGATCATCTGGCTTTATGACAAGAAACCATGTAACAATTGCGTAAACGCGGCAAATGATCGTAAAAGGAGGACAAAGAAAGATGAAATAATTTATTTATTACGAGGGCACAGATTAGAAGTTATTTACTGCAACACATAAAGTATAATTGATACACAAAAAAATTTAAACAATAAACAGTTTCAGGAACTCATCAAAAATTCATATGCAAATTGTGCGTTCTCGGAAAGGCTTTAACGATAAAGTGTTGATTCGGAATGAGATCGATAAAGATACTGACGATGACTATTGGGTGGCTTTATCGTCAGAGATCTTTCAAATTCTCGAAGTTGATATAACAGTTCCATGTTGGGGTGAATGTCAGGTACCTTTTCTTGAACATAGCGTAGTGCATGATCTAGAGACCAATTCTTGGCTGTGACCGCGCACTCTGGAACCATGGATTTTCGTGACAAATAGATAAGGTAAGCAAGAACAAGTGCTGCCGATCGCTCGACTCCCTGTTGACAGTGAACAAGAACAACTTGATTTCTTTGTAGAGCGTCCTCGATGATCTTGATCGCCTTAATAAACTCTACCTGAGCTAGATTTCTTTGATAATGCGTCCAATGCAGATGGTGATACTCGAAGAGGCCCGGAGCGATATGTACTTCGCTTGCAACATTAATAATATGCGTGATTGAGTGTCGCGCCAGGTGATCCTTATTGACTGCGTTGCAATGTGCACCCAGATATAGATTAGGTAAAATGCAGATAGGGCCATGCATGTAAGGGCCGTTGTGAAACAGCTGGGTCTTGCGATGTTTGATCTGTAATGCATTTTTATCAATACAAAGTACCAGGTTTTTCGAGTTTTTTCTTCGATTCATATAGAGGCTGATTACGATTGAATAAATAACGAGAAAAGAAAGGAACATTATCATTTTATGAGGGATGGTTTGGTCAAGTAACAAACTAGTTCTGTTTAATTTATATAAACCAACCAAATCCACGAATGAATATACAGTGCATGTTTAAAGGAGTATGTAACAGCAGGTCATCATTCTCTTTGTCTCTGCTCTTTTTTTGTACCTTTCCCCCCTTTTTTTCTTGTATTTCTCCTAGAAAAAAATGCACTATAAATGTATATCGAAAGTCTTTTATATTTTTATTATTTAAACAAGTTTAATTTAAGCGGTAGCACCGAGAGAGGGGAAGGCAGCAGCATCTTGAATGTTGACAGCAGCAAAGTTAGACTTGGCGGACTTACGGCCACCGTTACGGCCACCACGACGGTCGTTCTTGCGGAAGTCGTTACGGGGCTTTTCTTGGAAGCGTTGTTCGATGTCAATGACAACCTTTTCCTTGCGAGACTTTTCGGTCTTCTTGGTAACGGTCTTGGTTTCCTTGGAAACATAGAACTCTTCTAATTCAGCCTTGGTGTGGACAACGGCACCAGCAAAAGCGGCTTCATCGGCATCGTTAGCCTTACGGACTTCAGGGAGAGCAACCTTCAAGGCCTTGGCAGCCTTTTCAGCCAAGTATTCATCTAAAGTCTTGACCTTTTCCTCGGGTTCAACGGGGGTGGCAGGAGCTTCTTGTTCGGGAGCATCGGGATCAGCAGGGTTAAGAGTATCCTTGGCAGCTTCAACTTCAGCCTTTCCGGGCTTACCCCAACCTTGGTTGATCTTCTTTTGAGAGTCACTTTAATAAAAAAAAAAAAGGTTAAAAAAATTTCATTAAGTAAACTACACGCTTACACAAGGCCAGTACCAGAGTGGCGGTCGAATTGACGACCACGACGAGGACGACCATCCTTGGTAGGGCGGTCACCGTGGCGACGAGCCTTCTTTTCGCCCTTAGGAGCTAATAAGAGAGTTAACGTTGTTTTTTTATTTTCTTTCAGCAACGTATTATTCCCCTGTCTTTTTGTTGGAATGAACTTTCAGCTGTTAAGTTGTTGCTTTGAATCACTTGTACTGTTGTTATCAATGATTGGCCGGTCGATATGTCGACTGTCAGAAAGAGGGGAAAAAAAAGCTGTACACAAAATGTCTTTCAAAATTACGTGTGCCTGGCCCCCCTCCTTTAGAATACATTCATTTGACACAATTCGAGATCTACCGTTTCCATCTTTTCCTTTCTTTTTCTTTTTCTCTTGTATATATTTTGCAGACTGGTTCATTATAATACGTTGCTGTTTTTAAAAAAGAAATGTTAAAGATACTTTACCTTCCTTGGCCTTAGGAGCATTCTTCTTGTCAGCGGCAGCGGCAGCAGGAGCAGGGGATTCTGCCTTGACAGGGGTGTTGTCTTGTTCGGCAAGCACGTCGAAAAGATTCTTGGAGAAAGTAGACATGGTTAAGTGCTTATACGTAGACGGATGGATACCGCAAAGATAACAAAAGGAAGGATTCTTTGATCAATGGCCTTTCAATAAAGTAATATCCCCCCTCTACTTCGTATATCAGATTGTGTGCCCGAATTGTCCGGCGCCTCTTTTTTTTTTAACTAGCGAACATAGGTGGATAAAGCCACAACAGTAAAGGGATCAAATTATTTCTTTGTTAGGCCTTTTTATGTTCTTACTGTGCTCTTTACATGGGTTTATCACTTTTGAGATCTGCAAAGCCCATTTTAATAAAAAGGAACTAAGCTTTAAGTGATGATATCATTAAATTTAAAAAAAAGTTTAATTTAGTTTATTTCTTTTAATAGAAAGTACACATCATCACGAGAAAGAAGAGGAAATAAATACAGTCTACTTTATCTAAAAGAATATGAAAAATGTGGCCGCTATTAAAGAAAGTAACAAGCTGACCGAGCTAAAGCTGATAGTCTGGATTGCTTCGGACGAGTCTGTGCTCGAACTGGTCGAGTATTTCGCAGCATAGCTATCGCATTGTGATGTGGTACCACTATATGTTACATTGTTTAATTGGGCAGCAATCTTGAGTGTATCACCAAGGTTATAAAAATCAACCTCTAAAAAGTTGGGCTGACGTCCAAAGGCTTGAGTACATGCTTGGGCTTGTTTTAAGAGAGAACCGTCAGAGTTGGTCACATTGGCTGTACCCTTTTGTGGTATTTCGATTGTCATTTGGCCAAGTTGAAGTGTACCATAAAGGAAGTGATTCATGACATACATCATTTCGCTTGGGTTATCAGGGTTTGGAGGACGATCAATAGTGCAGCTGAATGAAGATTCGTTGCGGTTATTGTAAGGTGTCTCGAACACATAATTAAATTCAGTTAATAGCCTAATGCACATTATTAGCACTAGACAAAGAAAGCAAGGTTATTTATAGTCTTACCAAGGAAGTTCTTGTTGATAATAGGTGTCACCAAAATTAATAACTCTTTTTCCACTGGCAATTAGCTCCCCAAGTGTAGGCCAAGTAAAGTTGCCCGCTGGTTGTTGATAACTGTAGTCGATAATGCCACTTGCTTCATAGGCAGCCTTGAAGGCATCCGCATTAAACTTACCAACGTTATTCCACATGATGGTGATGACTTCGTTTGGATTGTTCTTGACCCAATCAGTGATCGAACGAAGGGTATCCACAGCAGGACCTGCATTTAATATAGTACATGATGTATGGCAAAGATAAATACTTTCAGCTGTAATAGCACTGTTTGTTGTATTGGCTAGAGATACAGCAGATAACTTCAAAGCTCGGACACCATCTGCAAATTGAGTCGTAATAGGACATAGTTGGTTGGCAGCAGGGTTGGTTATATAGCCATAGGAGTTGTGTGTTATAACATAGGATAGTGAATTATAGGGCTTATTACAATATTCTGCATATCCATTGCACACCTGCTGTGCGCTCGCTAGAGAAAGGGAAAGCACAGAAAGGATCAGGGTTGTAATAAGCATTCTATTATGTACAATGTAATAAGAAGAAGAGAAAAGAAATTTATTTTTGGCAGCTGTTATTTATGGATCCATCGGACTATAAATCATTGTTAGGTTGCCTTGGCAAAGACAGGTTGTCCTCGAGAAACTGACATTGAAACACAAGGTACTTAAAGGGGAAATTACCACTGTGTTGCCTTGGTGATTAAATCATATATGCCAATTTTTTGTCTCGTTCTTTTTTTTTTCTTGCTATTTCTTTTTTTTTTCTTCCTTTTTGTTTACCTCTTTTTTACTTTTTTTAAAGGGAAAAAAAGTTGAATGAGCCCCGCTTCAAAGACCATTTATCAGCCACAGCTTAAAAAACAATACTTACAAACAGAGGCTTATTATTCTACCAAATGCTGGATAGAATCTGTCTTGAACTTTGAACTCCCTTCGGAGGATCTATATGAATGCTTAAAAGACGGCCGAATACTTTGCACGTTAGTAAACATAGGGGGATATGGATAAAGGGTTTCTAATAACGTTCGGTAGACTGATCAACAAGGAATACAATGACAGCCAGGAACCAGTAAAGTGTCAATAGAAAAATATTAGCACTAGAAAATAAACTTTTTGTGTGATAGGAAGAGAGGATTGAAATATTCTTAAAGGCTGCAAAAGAAGTAATACAAAATAAAAACAATTATGAGGATGTGACGTATAATAATGGATATCTAACAGTTAGGACTCCCATCATCCGCTCTGTTCTGTGTAAATGATTTAATACACGAGGAGAATATAGACGATGTAAGTGCTTAAAATTTTCTTTGCATTATTTTCTCTTTTCCCTCTTTATTTCCCCTGTCTTTGCTCTTTCTCTAATTTTCTTTTTTTCTTTCTTCTTCTTTACTGAAAAAGGTTGTTTCAACACTTTTAATGTTATCTCATATTTTACCTACACATAATAGATTTGCGGGCGAATCAATCACTACCTATAATAATGATAATGCGAATGATACAATGACAAAAAGAGTTGTAGAGCAGGAGAATCAGGAGTACGATGACTATCGACAACTACAGCATGGACATTACCGTACCCAGCATAGTCTACAGGATGAGGAGGGAGACGAGGAGGATAGAAAGGAGGAAGAGTGGTCACCGCCATCTGATCGACCAGGTTGTATGCCTGTGTTTGGCACACATCCACTACTTTTACATGAAAAAAAATTAAAATACTATGATGAGGATGAGGAGGAGTTCCTGGAAGATAATATCTATGATACCAAAATGAGTAGCACTTCATCTGGAGATAGTGGTTACGGAACACACAGACATCCCACAAAAGAAGAAAAGAAACACACGGCCGCTCGAGATATTTTTGAATCCATGTTGAAACCACCACCTTCGAATTCGATTTCATCTTCTTCTACACGTAAAGCAAGCAATCGACTGTCTCTATTATTTTCATCGAAAAATCGTCATAAAAAGGAACCACACTTTGTTAAGTTCCAGACTTGGTCTAACAATAAGGCCAATTATAATCAACAACAATACAAAAAATCAGCTTCTGTCATTGAAGGCAAGAGTCCATATGTTCCTCAACCAGACTTGTTGCCAATTGCCAAACGCAAATCTACAAATTCTTTGAAAACAAATAATGCATCACATTTAGAACTTTTTGATGAAGATGGGAGCTTGTTGGCTAGATATGTAAGAAGATAGACCATCTCTTTAATGTAAATTAAACTTTGTTTTTTTTTTTTTTTCTCAGAAACTAGGAAATGTGATTGGCAAAGGCCATTTTGGTACAGTGTATAGGTAGTTAAAAAAAAAAGGAGTCTATCTATTGCATACCTTTTAATTTTTTTTTAAATGTTCCTTATAGAGCACTGGATCTAATATCAGGAAAAACTGTAGCTGTTAAACAGATCAATTTGAAATCATCAAAAAAGCAAGATATTGAGGATATGATGGCAAGTAGTTAAAAGATATCTAAACACATTATCATTGACGTGTTTTTTATAGCAAGAGGCAAGACTGCTTAGCTCATTAACGCACCCAAATATTGTTAAATATGAGGGGTTTATTCAAACACATGAACATATGAACATTGTGTTAGAATACGTCGAAAATGGCTCATTATTAAACACATTAAAATCATTCGGTAGTTCATTACCAGAGTCTCTTGTTGCCAACTACTGTCAGAGAATACTGAGTGGCCTAATCTATTTGCATCAGCAACAGGTTGTTCACTGTGATCTAAAGGCTGCAAACATTCTCACTACAAAGGCAGGAGATGTGAAACTATCTGATTTTGGTGTGTCTCTCAATTTGAAGCTGAAAAAAAATGAAGATGAAAGCATCGTGTCTGGGACTCCTTTTTGGAGTAAGGATATTCTATATTAATGCGTGTATGTGTTCTCTGTATAATAACTTTTGTTTATAGTGTCGCCTGAAGTCATTGAATTAAAGGGAGCATCTAGTAAATCAGATATATGGTCTCTAGGATGCACCATCATCGAACTATATACAGGCAAACCGCCTTATTCTGATTTGATCACAATGACCGCGATGTTCAAGATTGTCGAAGAAGAATGTCCTCCTATACCAGATGGTGTTTCAGCTGTAATTAATAATAACCATATCATTTCACTCCTTTTTTCTCAAACAGCTAACCTTAGGAACTGCATGATTTCTTAATGCTCTGCTTTCGAAAAAATCCAATAGATAGGCCCACGGCCAGCGAGCTTCTCGATCACCCCTGGATTTTGAAGCACCAAAAACCTTTAGAGGTTTCTTCCACTACATCTTCGCCTATTCTAATGGCTAAAAAACCAATCGCTCGTAGTCTAACAAGGAAGGTGAGGAGTAACAGTACATTACTGAACCAGATGCAAGAACATGCAGTAGTAGCAGGTGAAAGCCTATTAGCAAAGAAGCTGCAGCAAAGACAACAGTTGGGCCATCTGTCCACGCGCCAATCTATGCCAGTTGTGTCTAATACCCATGCTCGACCTAAACCAAGTCATATGCACAGTTTGATAGATTGTTCGTTTCCTAAAGGTAAATCATTGTTATCTAAATGAGCTAATCTTTTATAACTTTATATATATTTGTATAATAGGAGCAGGAAACTGTAAGGTATGTGATATACCTATCAAACGAGATGCATTTGTATGTAAAGGTAAGGAGGCTATCTTATTTCCCTCCTCATCTCATCGTTCTCACTACTTTTGTTCTTTTTCGGTAATAGACTTTTGTGGTTATGTTTGCCACAAGCGATGTAAAACTGTAAGTATTTTCTTTTTCTCTATTTTTTTATTTACTTATTTCTACATTAGCCAGAAGCACAGCCCAAGACCCCTCATCCTGTTCGGCCAACCTCTTCTGTTTCGTCACAGTTACGCGAAAAGTTTTCTATCTCTAGACTCATATCTCGAACACAGCATGAGCCTTCTTCATCAATAAAAAACCCATGGTGGAAAAAGAAGTCATCAAAATAAATGCATAAAAATAAAAAAGTTTTATTCCATGTTTCTATTATAACTTGCTTGGTTGATATGGATTTTGGTTGGAATAGTAACCATAGAACATTGGGTTAATAGCGGCAGAGTTGAATGGGTGTGATGTGTTTGATGAATGCGGACGGTAATGTGTTCCTTGAAATGCTGGATGAATGTCGCTTCTTGACTGATTTGGTATACGTATTTTATTACTCGAGGGCATCTTTTTATTTGTAAAGAAAGAAAGAGAGAAATGCTCCTTTTGTCAGCACGATGTCGCACTAAAACAAATTAAGCTGCCGCGCTTGGGAAAAACGCAATGATCCAATTGAGCGCATAATGGAATCATTCAAATGTCCGCCCGGACTAGATCAATCCCCAGGGACGTTAATGCCAATAAAAGCCCATTAGAGCATTTTATTATTCTGAAGAAGAGGAAATTGATTTAAAGTAAAGAAAACGGTGGCTTCTTTGATTTACGGCGCTTTGGATTAATCATATCCAAGGCATCTTCTCCAAATGTCGCGATCATTATGATATAAATGACAAACTTTTTTTAAAGAATCAATCTTTGAAAGGAGATCGCCCAAGTCACTAATTGTTCTTGGTACATCAAATGACAAAATGCAAGTTATTGTAGTAGCCTCCAGAAAAGTTTCTTCTACAAAGTACACAATTGTTCTGTATCCAATCAACTGAATAGAAATCACTTTTCTATTCTTTTCTCAACATGAGACCTTGGAAAAAGTTGCCAACCAAACCAAGTCGACAATCGCCAACTCTAAATCAGCTCCAACATCTGAAGGCTTGACTTCACAGTATCCGAGTGTGATTCTTTCAGCCTTTTATGGGATGCTTATCATTGCCCCATCCGGTTTCGAGCTTACTATGCTTTCTTTTTGTCTATTGAGCCAAAGGAGATGCTTATTTTCAGCGGGGTCGTGGAAACAAAGAGAAAATATTGGGTCCAAGAAGTTCGTGATTAGTTTTAGTTCTCCAGCATCTCCTAACCTTTCAAAATTAGGTTGTTTGCTCGAATGCATTAATGATTTTTTCATCTTCATTTTATGCTTACTTTATACTTATCCTTTATACCATATCGTGTCCTTTCGTTGACCCAGATTTTTTTATCCTCATCTTTGTTGTCAATAGAGTTGAGCTCATGCGAATGCGGAGATATATAAGCACATTGGTATCCACGGTTTTCGATAGATTGAACAATATCTGATGTTGCATGTATTGGGGCAGTGTCGCTGATAAATTTTATAATAACTTCTTTGGAAACACTAGTTTACTTTATTGAACAAGAAAAAAAAAACTAAAAGTCATTTTATCTTTACAGACGCACAAAGAATTAAATAATTGAATTACGCAGTCGAGAAGTAGGACATCACGTATGGAATAACTTTTTCTTATTGCTGATTTGCATATGCGTTTTACACTGGTATCGCTTTATATGTCAGTCTGTGTGACATTTATTCTCTAGTCACATGGCTTCTACTGCCTTGGCTCTTCTTCATTTTCTTCTTGCTCTTCTTCTTCTGGTTGTTGTTGCTGTTCTTCTTCATCATCAGATATTGCAAAATCATCATCTATATTTAATACGTCATCATCCAAATCAAATAGCAAAACAATAACTAAAAGTGCTGGTATGATAACCCTCGGCTTCATTACTTGTCGTGTAAACTGTAGAATGATACCTCCAAGGAATGAGGGTGGTTGAACTAGACTAGCTGTTGAAGAGGTACTTGCTGTAGCAGCAGCAGCAGCCGTTATCACTCGTGAGCTTACATATTGATATGGAAACAATGACAATCCAATCTGGCTTAATGACATTTTTAAAAAAAAAAGCGTGATCATAGGCTTTATTCAACATATAAAATTTATCAAAATTATTGTCTAATTCTGACACGAACATAAGGTACATCAACATCTTCGTCATTGACATCATTTACACAAACTTCGAAAATCAAGGATTTCACATGAGGTGGAATAGGCTTCTTTGAAATAGTTTCAACCAATTTAGACAATTTCATGCTAAGCCTTTCTGCTGCCTTCTTTTTGTTTAGGAAGAAGGAGTAAAGCATGGATACACCCGAGGAAACCATGGTAACTTCGAGATTGTGTTCCTTTTGGAAGTAGTCGATGAATTCTTGCAAAGTCATATCACGGTCAATGTCGAAGCGGTCCCATAATGTGAATTTGACGCCGTTATATTCAAGTGTAGGCGCAGCAATAGGTTCAGAGAATCCAAAGAATGGTAAAGCGAGGTTGACAAAGCCATTCTTGTACTGCTCTAAGTCCTTCTTACCATCAATGATCTTGTACAATTCAAGACAGACTAAACCAGTAACTAAGGCTGTAGTAGTAGCAATAGCAGGAATGATCTTGCCTGCAATGAATTTGGTTCGGTGACGGTCGGCAATGGTAATGCCATAGTTCATTGCACGCAAATTAGAAGCGGCAGTGATAAAGTCAATATGATGGTTACTATCATCATCCTTTTCAAATTCAGCAGGTTGCATACGGAAACTGCCAAAGGAAGATGGTGAAGGCAGTTTGTTGATCAAGTCATCAAGAGAATCTACGCCACTATCATTTTCGACTGTCTCATTTTCTTGTACTTGGATCTTGACACCTTCCTTGGGCTTAAATTCAGGCACCATGACGTTGTCAAGTGCCTTTCTGATGTAGGCTTCATCCGCTTCACCCTTGATGCCGTAGTTATAAGCATGCAAATTGGCAGCATGAACGATGAAATCAAAGTGTGTTTTGTTATTGATATCGAAAATAAGAGGTGAAGGTGCACGCTTAGGTCCAGACCAGAAGAGTTGACCTGTTGAAGTCACAGCATCAGGAGGGAAGTTGAACAAGAGTTGTCGGATATTGTTGCTGTATAATTCTTCAAACTTGAGACGTGCCCAAGTAATGCAGTCATCAAAGCTTTCGGGCTTATCAGTGGCTAAGTAGTTGTTGACAGATTCTAATGTTTCTTTGCTAGAACCGCCTTGTTTGAGAGTTGCTTCAACAAAGTTGGGTTGAGTCAAATACAAGTTAACATTGTCGGCAGGTTGTTTAAAGTAGCCTTCAAATAAGTCACGAGCCCATTGGATAGTGTGCTCAATGGCATTGGGGAAATTCTTGAGTGTACAGATGGGGATAGACTTTTCAGGAGGATCTTGAGAAGAGGAATAGGATTCGGTCAAGAAGGGAATAATGACCTGAGTATTACCCTTGGTACCAAGAGTACCAGATTCTAAGAGCGGCTTTCTGTAATAAACACATCTTCTATCCATGTATTTACCTATATAATTTCATTAGCACATATATTACTCTTCTTTATTAAGATACTTACGAGCTTCAACATTGTCAAGAGCATTAGTTACACCATCCAAAGACTCAAAGAAATCATCATCATAAATATCTAATAGTGGTGTTAACGGTATGATTCTCTCCTTGATATAATTGACTTACGTTCAGTATCTGGCCCTACGCGTTCTTGATGAATAGTGATCTTGTTTTTCAAGTCAGGATTCATCTTGGTGACAGCTGCTGCGGCACATTCAGATTTTAATTTACCAACATCACCAGCTCTGAACAAGAATTGTCTGTTGAGATTACTCTTTTCAATAGTGTCCATATCTGTGATAGTCAGGTGACCATTTGCGCCTGCGCCCAATCCCATCATAGCCCAGTTCTTGAGCATTTCACAGCCAATAGCACCAGCACCAACCAAGAATTCGTTGGTATTGGCAACCTTTTCTTGGAACTCACGACCAAAGACAGCAATTTGACCATCATAGCGTGAACCGACCTTCAAGAGAATGTGAGTTTATCTTACTATTGGAAAAACATTTACTTACAGGAGCACAGAGTTCTTCGGATAATGTAACACTGGTAGGAAGTGCTTCAAGGGCATCAAAGTACATGACTTGATGAATAGGTGAGAACTTGCCACTTACTGCCTTTAATACTTCCTGAGCTGCCATGCCACCAAATACAGCAACCATGGGCGAGAGTTCGCCCTGAGATTGATAGGCCAACTCCTTGATCAATTTCTCATCTATCTCTGGCTTTTCTTCCAAATTCTCAGCCAATTCCTTTGTCTTTTCAAACACTTCAATTGCATCTTGTTCATTTCTAGGCTTGGGATATCGTCCGTGCTTCTCGACAAAGGTATGCAAGGCTTGGAAGCCAAGATGTAATTGCATAGGGCGGTCAAATTTAGCAAAATCAGAGATCAAAAAGTCAGGACTGGTTAAGGATTCTCTGAATGATTTCTATGGCATCAACTCTAGATTAATTATACAACTACAAACATGGAGTTTCATTACTTACAAAATCAACTTGCTTTGGCATCTTAACTTCAGTAAATATGCCTCCATTCTTGTAATCTCCAAAATTTGAGGTATCACCAATACTGAAGGTATAGGGACCAAGGACCTTGATCTTACGAGGAGTGCAGTTGTTCAATTCCTCCATTCCTTCAATTTCCTTGAACGTTACATAGGCGCCGTCTTCTAAACCGTGACGTACTTCATCTAGGCAGGTGATAACACCTTCTTCATCCTAGAGATGTATGTTTAGTCTTTTATAAAAATATATCAAGTGAGGGTTACCTTGGAGATGCCTGCAATCATACCGGTCAAAGGTTCTTCACCAGTTGCATCCATAATTTCAAACATAGGTCCAAAGTCATTAAAGATACGACTATAATAATAAGTTAGATAATATAAAGAAGTTGTTATTTTGAAATTACCCAAAGAGACCACGAACTTCGGTAGAGATAAAGTGGATGTTATTTGCATGGCAAATGTCGGAAATCTGCAGCTGCTTGGAAAGGGGCATATCTGTAACAACTACAACTTTATAGTTCTTCAATACATCTTCAGTTAACTCATTTTCTAATAAATGAACTGGAACATATTGGTTCAATTCAGCAAGCTTGGGCTGAGTAACTTGTGCTCTAGGTTTGCCAATGTCTTCTTCTGTCAAATAAAACTATAAAATGCTGTTAATTACTTTATTCTTTGTCTTCTGGTCATCATTACCTGTGTGGACAAGTCGCTGATTTGAGCAGGTTCAGGATCATAGAGTGTAACACTCTTTACACCAGCAAGAACAACGTTCTTGGCTGCGGCAACAAATAAGTAACTTTGTAGATTTTGCTTTTATTTTATTTTTACCAATTTCGACACCAAGACCCTTTAAGCCAACAATTAATACATGAGCAGTGCTCATTTTCTTCATGGCTTCATGGCCTAAAACATAACTACGAAGGAACGCGTCAATAATTGATAAAGTTCTAAAGGGCGACTATTTAATATTACAGTTGGCGAGAATACAAACTCTCATCAATAGCTTGTTCAATGTTTGCACTCATTATAAATCAATACAGAAAAAGAAAGAAAAAGAAAAAACGGCGTGACATTGTTCGTTGTCTCTTGCTTTGATGCTTCAATTAATTTCAAATTCCGAAACCCGACACGTCAGCAACTATAAAGTTTGCAAATTTTATAATACAATTTATATGAAAAAGCGACAAGTCACTGCGACATCTCTTTCTGGAAATAATGTATAGTGAGCTTTTATTGAAATAGTGTTCACAATTCAGCGTGCTTTACATTTTCTTCATTATCTGTCTTCTTTTCAGCAGTCTTCTCTTCCACAAGGCCACAGTCCTCAATGACGACGTCAACGTTGGGCTTGTTACGGTAGCTAAGAACATAGATAAGTTTCTTCGTTCGCTTTGTTATTTGCGGGTTACTGTTACTTACTTTGTAGGAGTCTTTTCGATTGTAGTAACAATATCCATACCTTCGATAACCTTACCAAACACAACATGTCTACCATCTAACCAAGGAGTAGGGACAGTGGTAATGAAGAATTGAGAACCATTGGTGTCACGACCAGCATTTGCCATAGAAAGAAGACCCTAAGAATGGTTATTTAAGCTCCTTTAAACAAAAAACTAAACTTACAGGTCCAGTGTGCTTAATCTTGAAGTTTTCGTCAGGGAAGCGGCTACCGTAAATAGACTTTCCACCTGTACCATCGTGGTTAGTAAAGTCACCACCTTGAATCATGAATTGATCGATAACACGATGGAAAGTAGAGCCCTTATAACCGAAGCCATGTTGACCAGTAGTTAATTCCTTAAAGTTTCTGGCTGTGTCGGGAACAACTTCTCCAAAGAGACCAAAGACAATGCGACCAAGCTTTTTGTCACCTTGCTTGATGTCAAAATAGACTTGAAGAGTATCAGTTGACTGAATCTATCTTTTTATGCTTACTTACCTTTATCAGTAATAACAGGTTCTTCAGCAGAAACAAAGCTGAATGTTGTTAATGCGAGAATAAAAACGAATAAACCCGCAAGACTAAAGCGAAACATTGCAGAAAAGTAAAAAGATGCAATAAAAAAGAAAAGGAAAAGAGGGTCTTTTTATGAGAGGATTAATTGCTGAGATGAAAAATGAGCAATCATCAAAAAACACGCTTAAAGGTCCTCAGCACCATGATTGGAAAGAATTTGTCGTGTGTGACATTTTGGTATTCCCATTCAACAAGAAGTCATTTTGCTTATTATAATAAAACAGTCATTATTATTTCTATCATTATAAGTGAGTTTCTAATAGTATGCACGCATGCACTTAAAATATATGTGTTTATAACTAAAAAAGTACTGAATAATAAGCAGCGTGTTATTCATTTAATACTTACCGAGGCGTTAAGGAATGCACTGCCTATAACGGCAGTGCATTAAAACCAGGAGCACCATTAGTCTTTTGTAGGACTTTCATTGTCATATTTTGATTTGTAAACAAAGATGTGATATAGTTTTATATTGTCAGTTATATCAACAAATAACTAAGATCAATCACGTATAATTATGATAAATTCACATTTTATATCAGAGAATGAACTGGACAGCCTTAGGTTAGGCAGAGAATTTGGTAGTGTGGAGCTGTAAAGCGACAACATAGGTAGTGGGTAGAGGTAGCGCCTGTAGTATTAACCTATTTTTGAGTGCATCTAGTGTTTGCCAAAAACCGCCCTTTGATTTTTTTATTGGCCGCCCTTTGGCGTTGGAACGACTGTACATACAGACACACCATTTTTGTGACCTGTCTGCTTTTTACGGGAAGAGAAAATAGTTTTTCATATTTTCTCTCTCTCTCTTTCTTGATAACAAAATGTCTGTTGAAAGTAACAGATTAAATACTAATACCTTTGATCCAGAAGTCCTACTCCCTGAAGAATTTACCATTAGGCCTTGCATTCTTGAAGTTCAAGAGGAACCTGACGAACTAATAGAGAGAATATATGGACCATTCAACATACCCTATAATGGCTTACACAGACACACTATAAAAAAACCATTGACTTATCTAGAAAGAAGACAGCTTGAAATACTGGAATTAAAGAAAAGTATACAGGAACGGGAAAAGTTATATAATCAGTTAAACATGTTAAAAAAGGAGCCAGAGAGGCCGGCTTCAGCACCACTACCAGAGACAAGCACAACACCCATAAGCAGTCCATCTTCACAAGCTGCAATCACAGAGGCAGTGATACCTATAGCTGACATATCACCAGAAATAACAGAAATAACGCAAGTATCAGAAGCAGTAGAAGAAGCAGAGGCAGTAGAAGAAATAGAAGCAGTAATAGGGAGAATGGGAGATACAGTGCCTGTTGTAGAGGAAACATTCAATGCGTCACATGAATCTGTGAATGATCAAGCCACGCAGTTGACGACAACACTAAGTGATAAAGATGTAGAATCAGATGAAAGCATAAATATCCCGTCAGAAACTATAGGCGAACAACAAGAACAACAAGAACAACAAGAACAACAAGGAGAAGAAGAAGATGAGGAACCATCTCAGCCATTAATTGATCCTAAAGTCATATCTAACCTTCGAGAAAAGTTAACAGAACTAGATGCTCATATCAGGACAAAAGAAGGGTTCATTAAAGAAAACGAGGAAAACATAAAGAGTATTCGAGTGAAGTTACTGGCACTTAAAGTGAAGATATCCATTGAACGTAATAGACGAGAATCCAAGAAACCAAAAGAAAAGCCAAGAGAAGAAGAGCGTCTGACAAGGCCAGCAGAAAGAGTTGAATTTATTATGGGACAAAAACGGAAAGGAAAGTATTATTCAGAAGGAGACCGACGTATGAAACGAAGAGCGACGTCAGCCAGCAGTTCGATGGGATACCCGTTCATAATACCGACATTTCATCATCAACTTCCTTATATGCATCAGTACCCAGTGGCTGTTCCGCTTCCACTCTACTACCGCCCGAATTCGTTTACACCTCCTCCTCCTCCTCCTGTCTCGCCGCCACCACCACCTTCTCCCCCTCCTCCTCCACCCCCGAGTCATGATGATATGCGAGAGCTGATACCTAGAGAGGCAGAAGCGAGTATATCCATGCCAGATAGTGCTTCGGTCAGCAACTTCTTACAGGAAATACAACAACTCATCTCATTTCGTCTATCTAACCTTCCAGAACAATCACAACAAAAAACGCATCTATCAAGCACATCACTACGTACGCCAAGTCTTGTGACGATTGATGGATACACAATGACGAAGGACATGCTTCTTGTTGATGAGGTATATAGTAAATTCTACCATCTTTTACATATGTAATATGATACATACTTTATATATATAGGAGCGCAGGCATCGTGTCGGGCTCGACGAATTCATCAATATACCACTTGTGAGTATAATCAAGCCATGATATACACATATTGATCACATAGTCCTAGAATAACGAGAGTCCATTTTTTGCGATGCTCAGCAGAAAAGCAGTGGGGCAAACATTTGATGACAACATAGAACAATTTGCAACCAAATTGATCTCATGCATTCCCTCTGACGCAAACTTGAATATTTTCCAACCAGATAACCAAATCTGCTTCCCGATGAAGCTACTGGAAGCACTCGAGTTTGTCAGAGAAGAGTCCAAGCGAGAACCAGACAATGAATTGATGGCGGCACTGAGGGTAGAGTTATCTTTGTTTGTGAATGGGCAAGACAGTGACAAGACAAGAGAGGATTATGAACAAATTCTGGTAGAGTTGCCGTTGTGTGTGGATGTACACTGGCAGTACATCAAGTCCAGCCCTGCGTTTGAAGAGAAAATGGATGAGATTCTGGATAAAATACGATCGACCCGTAGTCATCTTGGAGTGAATACAAAAGAGAGTATAAAAGTATCCAATCTGACACTAGAGTTATTGACTCGACTACTCAAGCGAGGAAACTTGAAGCAGGTGCTACAGTATACTGGTTGTATAGAAGAGATTGAAACAAGGCATATACAGCTCATCAACCTGGAAGAGATCCATAGCAAAGTTTACTTGACAGAAAAGGATAAGTATTTAATATGGAACTACATCCTTTATTACTTTATGACCAACAGCCTACCGAACAGCAAGAATGACGAATGGATGAACAGCCTAGTTCATAGCGGAAAGGCGACGACAGACAAGAAGTTGTTTATGATTGAATGCCAAGAACCGATTACGGATAAGCATGTACAGATTGGATGTGTTAATGTCATTTTGTCAATGCTAAGACACTTTGGCAACAAGGCCTGCCAAGATATCAGTAGAAGACCTCTCTTGATTGCCACATTGAGAACGTTGTTTAAATTTCTATCAGTATCATCAAGCTACAAGACAGCTGGCACATTAATCTTGGCAAGAAAGGCTAATGAACTAAAGAGCCTACAACCAGAGATACAAGAAATCATGATCGAACTTGAGCTATTGACCCATCAGTCAGCCATGAGCTATCGACAGACCATCAAGCAGTCCAATCGTCAGTTTATTCTCGCTCACCAGATTGCTTCAAGACTGGATAAATCGGAGATAGAAACTATTTCACTCCTGCTGGGATCCTGTGTTGGCATAGACCAAAGAAAAGAAAATGAAGAGCTAATCATACTCGTAGATAGAATAAGACAATCTTATTTATCTTTATTAGGTTTAGATACTTTATTATCCAAGCGACGTGAAAGTGAAAAGATGAAGCATTCTACGTTTGCTTGGATTAATGTGCTTATTCTATTGCAAATCAGTAAGGTTCTGTATATGAAAAAGAATAATACGACTGCCATGAACACAATACTATTAAATCAACTTGATTTAATATTAACTGGAGCAAGAAACCATATTCAATCAAAGGAAGGAATATCTTTTATTGAAGAATACGTTGACTGTTTAAGAGCAGCTGAATAAATAATAATAGAGAACCCTGTCACTTTTTCCCTTTTTTTTTATATTTAAAACATGCTTCGAACCACAGTATGTCGTTTACAATCAAGACCTCTTGCTTTGGTTCGCCTTTATACGAGTAAGAACTATAATGATCCTTTTCCCAATTTAGCCATTCGACACTCTAAAGAAGCTGCACTCGATACTTCATATCCCAACTTACCACCTATCCCTCGTCCTAATGAAGCAACAGAAGACAAGCGTCGTCGACTGATTTATCAAAGTAGAAAACGAGGCATCTTGGAAACTGACTTGCTATTGTCAACATTTGCCAAGATTTGGTTACCCAAGTTTAATGAGCAACAATTAAAAGAATATGACCAATTGTTGGATGAACCCGACTGGGATATCTTTTACTGGGCCACTGAGAAGAAACCTGTTCCAGAAAAGTGGCAAAAGAGTGAGATACTAAAGTTGATTAAAGAGCATGCAAAGAATGAAGATAAGAAAGTGCTTCGTATGCCAGACTTGGATATACAATAAGAAAAAAAAATGTGTCTGTGCCCTGATATAGAACATAAATAAAATAGCTATCATCTTGCATAATTATTTACATGTGTGGACAGACTAAAAGGAGTAAACTAAAAAAGTCGATATATAAATAAGGGCACCATGGATTTTTTTTTTTTTTTACTATCTCTCTTTCTTTCCTCTCTCTCTCCTTACAATTGATTTGCTTGTGTATATATAAATAAATAGGCGCGTGAAAGAGGAAATCATTAAATATAAAATGGCTGCAAGTGATATTCAACAACCTGTCATCCTGTTATCACCACCTCAAGATGATGATGTGATGGAAGATCAAGTAGAAGTCAAGAAACCTTCCTTTTTAAGAAGAAAATTATCCAATTTATCATTACGCAAAGATGTCCTATTGACTCCAGACGATAATAATAATACAAGTCTTAGTCAGACAAGCTCAGGATATGCAAGTGATGTCTCATCGATCATACCTACACCCACATCAAGTACAGAGAGAGCCAGACCACTGATAGTGCTTTATGATAAATATAAAAATTATAAAAAAGGCAAGATCATTGGGACAGGAGCAACGGCCAAGATAAGGTTGCTGGAACCACGTCATGGTGGAGATAAAGTAGTTGCGATGAAAATCTTTAAAAAGAAGGACAAGGACGAGACAGAAAAGGAATACGATAAACGAATGACAAGTGAGTTTTGTATATCAAAGACACTATATCATCAACACGTTGTACAAGTGTTTGATCTGCTTAAAGACAGAAAGGGAAGATGGTGTAGTATTATGGAATATGTAAGTAAGGAGATGAAAAGGAAGGAGAGGAAGATGACTAAAAATATCAATAGTGCTCGGGCGGAGACTTGTTATCTGTTATACAGCAGGTGGATTTAAATGATAATGAAATCGATTGCCTATTTAAACAATTACTACTCGGCCTAAACCATATTCACTCAAGTGGAGTAGCACATCGTGATATTAAACCAGAAAATTTAATCATGACAAACGATGGGATTCTCAAGATTGGTGACTTTGGTGTGGCCGATGTGACTCAATCTTGCTTTGATACAGAGCCAAGATATTGTAGAGGAAGATGTGGGTCAGAACCGTATTGGTCACCCGAAATATATATATCGAATGAATATGATGGAAAAGCTTTGGATATCTGGAGTTGCGCAGTCATTTGGCATATTATGCTTTATAGACGTATTCCTTTCCTCAAGGCTAATGAACAAGATGAAAAATATATTGAATTCCTAGAATCCAAGAGAGATTGGTTACCTCTATCCAAATGTACTGATCTCGAAAAGGATGTTCTGTTTGGCATGCTAGACATTAACCCCATGACTCGTTGGACAATAGATCAATGTTTAAACTCGAATTGGATCAATTCAATCGAGTTGTGTTTTAATAATAATAAAAAACATAACCATCACTTTTCTTAATTTACAATCATCTCAAATACACGCACACAAAAATAGGACAAACAAAAAGAGATTGAGAATCATTATAGTATTATTATTATCATCATCATCATTTTGCTTTTACATTCTGACTTAACCAATTCAATCCTTGATATAGACCTTCCCCTGTTGTTGCACATGACGGATAGACATACCATGGTCTATCCTTCATTTTGTCTAAACCCAATTTCTCTGTGACTTCACTGGGTGACATGGCATTAGGCAAATCTTGCTTGTTGGCAAACACGAGTAACAAGCAATCCTTCATTTCTCGATCTGACAAGATTCTATGTAACTCTTGTCGAGCTTCATCAATACGATCTCTGTCTTGAGAATCAATAACGAAAATTAATCCTTGTGTGCCTGTATAATAGTGTCTCCATAAGTTACGAATCTTGTCTTGTCCTCCTACATCCTATGTTTATTATCTTAGTATTAAAAATAAAAGGTGCTTCAGTATATCCTTACCCAAACATTAAACTTGACGTTTTTATAAACAACGCTTTCAACATTAAATCCAACAGTTGGAATAGTGGTCACTGACTGATTTAGTTTCAGTTTATAAAGAATGGCTAAAAAGGAAATGTAAAACTGTCTCTCCTTTTCTTCATCATCTTGTTTTAATAATCTTACTTGTCTTTCCTGCAGCATCTAAACCCAGCATCAATATACGCATTTCTTTACTTCCAAATAACTTGGACAGTGCCTTTGATAAATTAGCTCCCATATCGTACGTAATAAAGAATATAAAAAAGAATAAAGGAAAGGAGAGGGATGGGTTACTGTAGTAATAGTAAAAAAAAAAAAGAAAGTGGAAAAAAAAGGTGTCGAAAGTCCGAATAAAAGTGTTCAATATTTTTAGTGCAACAGTAAAAAAAATAAAATCAAAAAAGGAGGCAAAGTGTGTGTGCGTGTGCGTGTGTGTGTGTGTTTCTGTTTGATAAAAGGAGTTTATGTTCTCCCCTTTTTTAGGCTTTTTATTCTTAACTTTTCTTAATCTGCTGGTAAAAAAGAAGACGATGATTATTCTCTGAGCCACGCTTTATTTTTCTTTTATATTTGCATCCTTTTCTTTACTGTTACAATTTAATTAATTTAACCAAGATATGGTTTGGTATTCTTTAAAGGGGATTCAATGGATGTCCTTTCAATGTCAATAAAAGACTGAACAATTTAGCTTACTAAGGGGAGTTTGTTAATTATATATATAATAGCTGTAGTAATAGAGACAGGAAGGGAGAGCTGAGGGTTATAAAACGCCCACTTACATTGGATTGTGCATGGAAATATTAAACATGAGCCAACTCAAAAGGGAGCCCAATTGACTATCACTAATGCGCGTTCCCTTCTGGCTAACATCCAAATCTCCTCTTTGCATTGTCAAAAAGTATTTGATAGAGAAGAAGGGTTCTGGTTATTACTAGTAATGTAGCCAGATGTATTCCGGATCACTGTAATGAGAATTGATAAATTTGAAAGAGTTATCCAAAAAAGTGTGTTATAAACAGTATTACATTATTCCGTAACCATGGATTGTTCATATACGCTCTTTTGGAAAATGACAATACTGAATCTTTTGTGCAACAAGTATGGACAGCAGGGACCGATAAAGTCCTTTTTCTTTTTCAACAAAGAATCTGTTCTGCCTTTCATTAATTTACTTTATAAACTTTACAAACCGAATATAGATATTAACTTTTTTTGAGAAGCTAAATGGCCCTTGTCTTGAAAACAGAATATGAAAGAAAAGCCCATGATTGATCTTGAATGAAGGATCTTTTTGATCTCGCCCCAAGCGGTCTTTTATTTTTGGACCTGCAAATAAAAAATTCTGATTAAACGAATAAGCTAGTGTATAAATCTATAAAAGGAAACTGGGCGATGAGTGTGTGTGTGCGTAGTGTGTGTGAAACTGAAGTAGACAAGAGAGATATGGAACGACGACTCATCGTGACTACCCAATCAAAGAAGATACTGATAGCTTATTTAAAAAAGTTTTTTTTTTTACCACTTTCTTTTTCTTTTGATATCAAAAATCATCTCATGACAGCAGAACAACAACCTGTGATTGCATTTATCGGAGGAGGCAATATGGCTGAAGCCATCCTCGGTGGACTCTATCGATTCTATCCTCACAATCTCTTACGTTTCTCAGAACCCTTGGATGAACGTCGTGAGTACATGAGCCAAAAATACCCTGATGTCTGGAGCACAAATGACAATCAGGAGGTTGTGCAAGGTGCAGATATAATCATTCTTGCAGTGAAACCTCAAGTGCTGCGTCCTGTCGTTCAAGATGTTGCCAACGTCTTGCGTCAATCAAGACCCTTGGTCATCTCCATTGCAGCCGGTATTGAAACCGCAGCGATCGTTCGTTGGTTGGGTGCTGATGATATCCCTGTCGTACGTATCATGCCAAACACACCTGCCTTGATCGGTGAAGGTGCTGTAGGATTATTTGCAACAACTATTGTCACACAAGAACAAAGACAATTGACAGAACAACTGATGGGCGCCATATCCAAGCAACTATCCTGGGTAGAGGATGAATCACTGATTGACACAATCACAGGTGTCAGCGGAAGCGGCCCCGCTTACTTCTTTCTCATCATGGAAGCTATGGGTAAGATAGACTATGAGCTTGCAACCTTAAGCAACTCACTCTTAGCTTTTATATATAGAAAATGCAGGTGTGGCAGCAGGTCTTAGCCGAGAAGACGCCAAGGCATTGACACTTCAAACCTGCTTGGGTGCTGCTTGCATGGCACAGACCTCAGAAGATGACTTGGCAACACTCAGAAGAAAGGTCACATCTCCTAAAGGAACAACGGAAGCAGCTATCTTATCCATGGAGGCAAACAAGATTCGTGAGGTCATTCATGATGCTGTCTTTGCTGCTACCAACCGAAGTAGAGAGTTAGCTCAGGAGTTATGTAAAGATTAATTAAATCTATCGGAGCTATCACGCCGGCTGCTCCGATGAATTTCATATAGACACACACACATATATATACACATTTATATGCATTTAGATATCTGACTCCACAAAAAAAAAAGAAGTGTAACTGTATTAAATAACACAAATTTCTTAATTTATTGTTTTTGTCATGTGTTTGTATTATGAAGGTTTTTTTTATGTCAATGTATATAAGAAAGAAAAACAAAAAAAAAAAGAAAGAAAAAGGAGACCATCTATAATCGTTGTTATTATACTAAGAGCGAGGGGGAACCCAAGAAGCTATATGGGGAAGGGTACATTATTAGTTAGTAAAGCGCCATTTTGCATACTGTTCAGCAAACATACCAGAATCAGGGGATGATGTGGTAGCAGTTGATGTAGATGTCGATGGCATTGGTGTTGTCATCGATTGTTTACCAAAACTATCCTGGTTCTGTGATGGATCAGCCTTGATATCAGGCAAATGAGGACTGTTTCTTTGTGAAGCAGGTTGAGAATGTGTTTGTGCTGGCTGTTGCTGTTGTTGCTGCTGATGTTGTTGTTGTTGCTGTGCTTGTTGTTGTTGTTGTTGTTGTTGTGCTTGGTGTTGTTGCTGCTGTGGTTGTTGTTGATAATACATTTGACTTGGATAATGTTCATTATGTTGCATCAAAGGAGGACGAGCAACTTGAGGAGATGGTTGCTGATGAAGCATGTAAGGATAAGGATGTTGCTGTTGCTGTTGAGAAGGCTGTTGTTGCTGCTGGGTTTGTTGCTGATTAGATGGGCTTGCATTTGGCTGTTGAGAAGACTGTTGTTGTTGATGCTGTTGCTGTTGATCGCTGTTTGTAGCGACCAAGACAGGGTAGCCGATAGGAGGATATACCGGATTGACGACATAGGGTTGAGACATCATCTGTTCTTTATGGTATGCAGCGTATTGGCTGTATGGATCATAAGGTTGACCATATTGGTTAAGGTTGCTGGGATAAGCCAAGGGGAAAGCAGCTCCACGTATGGCAGTAGGTGCATATTGAGTTGCTTGAGCATTAGGGTCTGAACCATCTGTCTTTCTAGACTTTTCCTCTACAAGACATAAAAAAGTGAGCCTTTTTTTTTGTTTACTTGCGATTGAATTATTTACCTGTCTTTTGTCTTCTCTTATAAGGACCACGCTTAATACCCTTTTTACGTTCCTTTCTAACTGAATTGACACATGTATCAGCAATACCATATTTGATACATCTTGGACAAGGTCTAGCATCATCACACTTTTTACAAGCTTTTTGACAATTGGCTTTATGTACTCAATTAGTATAATGGTAACAAAGAGGAATATATATACTTACTACAAGCATTCTTCACTTGTTTTCTCTTTGGTGGATGTGCTGCAGGAGGAGCAGTCATTTGATCGGGAATACCAGCATGTTGCATAGGTGACAATCCATTAGGGTGAGTAAGAATGGGCGCATTGTTTAATACAGTATTTTGGTAAGGAGTTTGGTATCCTTGCTGTTGATAATATGGCATCGACTGCATTTTTTTGTTCTTTAAAAAATTTTTAGTACAAAGTTGACAAGGGTCTAATTATTATAAAATAAGGAAATTTTTTTTTTCCTTTACAAATAGAAAGTATCATTAAAGGCAAAAGAATAAAGAAAGAGAGAGAGAGAAAGCATAAAAGAGGTAATGTCGCCGATATAATTCACAGGCTTTTTTTTTTAAGGGAATATTGTGTAATATGTAAGGGTTGATGTAAATGTACAAAATGTCCGTGTCTATGTGCAGCACACAGGGATGACACATTATAAACAAATAAAAAGGAGATTTTTTTGTTGCTTTTCTCTCTCTTTCTTTTCTTTTTGTTTTGCTTTTTCCACTTTCTTTTTATAATAAATCAAAATAGGATTAGAAAAACTTACGTCTATGTTCAACTTTGGAAAAAAGAGAGGAAAAAGAAAAAGAAAAATCATTCATTTGATCGAGGAAAAAAAAAAAAGCGGCAAGGGCGGAGTAGGAAATAATACAAAAACATGTCAAGTGTAAAAATTTTTTTTTTGTTTCCAAAGAAACAATAATAGTAACAAATTATATTTAATTATTACATATGCTTATGTCCTTTAAAGGGTTCACTTTATCGAATGAGATTACAATGAGTTTATTCACTTGTTTTCTTAACAAGAGCGGAGAGAAGAAATGTATTACATAATATAGTCTCTTTTTCACTTAATTAATTTTAACTACAGTGCCTTCCACTTGTTCGGGATATCCGATCAGATAAAGTCTCTTTTTGTAAGAGAATGAGAGTTTTTAATATGACGATCAGGTCACAACGAAAAAGCCTAGTTACCAATACATAAGATAATCACATCAATTATATCCTTAATTATCCGATGGATAAAAAAAAAAAAAAAAAAAAAAAATGAAATAGACATAGGAACAAAAAAAGAATAAGAAGGAGAAGAAGAAGAGAGAGACACAAATGTCGGAGTCAAATGAAAGGCACTATACTGAGTAAAACTTGGAAGCAAGAACGTTGGTAGTCAAGCAGTGTCAGTAAAGAAGACTAGAAAGAAAAAATATGTATGATTTTGATAAAAGGAATACACGTGTCTTGTAACAAAGACTTGATCATGTTGTCACCTAAAGCTATCGGCTACTCCTTCCATTACTATAGTAACCCCGCAATGATGATTTGACGAATTTCTTGCTCTACCAATCGGGGCCTTTGTTTGACCATAAATGTGAGCTTTTTTCATTTTCTCTCTCTTTTTCCATCCTGTTTAGGTTTCATTAAAGGCCCTTAGTTACGTCTAAAATGATCAACATTTTTGCTAATTCTATCAGTTTGGTTGATGTTAACCAAGTTCCTGAACTTACCTTTATTGATGATGTTATGAAGGTAAAGTGCTTCTTTTGTTCCTAAACTTACATATGTAGGACATTTCTTTTTGAATCGCAAGTGAACATACAAGTATCAAAACGTGCTACTATACTGATCCTCTTTTGGACAGTTATAAAATAATTGAAATGTGGAACTGGTATACAAAAAAAAAAGATAGGTCTATGCCCTTTGGCTGTAGAAGTGGCAATTTACACAGATGAAATAAATTAAATCGTTCTAAATTACACTTTGTTCATAAATTATTCGCATACTGATAAAAAAAAAAAAGATGATGTCAGACAACAAATAATGATAAAAGAGAGCCCATCAAAAGCAAAAGAATGTGATATAAAAGAAATGATTAGTAAATCAGTTATTAATTTGATATTAAATACTTAAATAATAAAGAAGAGGATTATAAGAGGAAAAGAATAGACATTTAAAAGAGACTATTAATATCTTACTCGAAGTGCATCCTGAGTTGAGCTGGCGAAAACCAGCCCGGAGAAGACAACGAGGAAAGAAGAAAAAAGAGAAGAGCAAGGAAGAGAGCGGTCAAAGGAGCGGAAGAGGTTGAAAGAGTGGATGGGACCAAAATTTGGTAAGAACCAAACCATCCCCAGTCAACACCGAGTTAGTTTCGACTTTATGGTCTATAATACTACATATCAGTTTCTTACAAGAGTAAAGAATATAAAATGCCTTTGGACTAGCTGAGGAATAGCTGGTCTTACTTTTTGGTCCAAAGAAAAGAAGTCAAGATCAGACTATTTATATAAAGTCTCTAACAACTTTTTCAATTACGTATTATTTATGCGTTGACTACACTATACAAGTCTTAAAAATATCAAGTTCATTTTATGTATTATTATACGCTGTCAAGTTGAAAACAATGAAGATCATTAAGTGTAATCGTTACTATCATTTTAAATTATATGCAAGCAGTATTGTCTTTGTCTTGGGTCATTTATATCATTTTTATCTTCAGCATCATTTTCTTCGACATCCCAAATTACAGGAGTTAGCCATTGTCCCATGATAACTTTCTTCTTTTTTTTTTTTTGTTACATTCACTATTCTGGTCATGGTGGGCCCTTCTTTATTCTGTTCATCATTGTACTTGCGCTCCAAACCATTCGTCATTTTCTTAAAAGAAAAAATGCATTAGATACCTTATTGGCAACATATAAAGCTCAGCTACTTGTACTTGCTTGGATTAAAGTAAAACCATTTATTAAAGCTTCGAGCTCTCCGGCTTTTATATGACTCAATGTTTGAGGAAAGCTGAAAGAATACAAATCTTCGACAATGTAGTCTTCTTTTCCTAATAAACGCAGAGAGGATACTCTCGCTTCAAGTCCCATAACTTGAATAAGAAGGAATCGTACACTAACGATATCTTCTTCAGAGATATATGGCAACGGCTCCAGAAATGCATTCAAGTGGCATTTTGATGTTACTATGGATTTCAGTATGTCGGTGTAGAATTTACTCTTGGTCGCCTTCCTAGCTGCTTCTCCGGTGATGCCATCTGCTATCGCTTCATACTCCTTAAGAATCAATAGGCGAAGATCTAACTTAAACCGCAATCCTACTTTCTTGCATGTATCACTCATGGCATCGGGAAACACTATATGCAACAGAAAATATACCAGAAATTATATTGATTCTACGGGCGCTACCTCGACTTATTACCTATGATAACTTCCAGCAAAACCTTTGACCGCTTATGATAAATTCGTATTTATATTATTTAGCCTATTTTCTGGTGCATGTAGTGCTTACCAAAATATTAAATATTTTAATTGACAATCATTCATTTATGTATCAAATGATCAATTAACAAAACACAACAGAGGAAAATATTCTTGAGTCAAAGGATGAACATTGGTGATCTTTGCGCTTTTGAACACCAAAGAATTGAAGGCGATATTTATTTTAAGCAAATAAGCCAATTCTTATCTAGACACGTTATTGCTACATCAATGCAAGCTAAAGGTTATATCTTTTATCCAATAAATTTCCCAGCTATTTCCTCTATCAATGGATACATCTCATGTAAAAACCATGCTGATGTTAAGATGATAGTAATCAGTTTCCTTTCATGTTAGTGTCTGGATTCGGAATTAACTCTTGCTGTTGAATAAGTGTTAATGATGTGTAATAGTCAATGGCTCATACCTTGTATGATTCTTTTTGTAGACTCCAGTTGCCATATTTGAAAAAATGAGCGAGCCAACGGTCAAAATTGAAAAAAAAAAAGCAACTGTATCATTATAAATTAGAGTGATAATAATATAGAGTAAACTGCTTACCATGGTTTTATATAATATTTGTTTTGTAAAGCCATTGATAATCTCTGCAATAACTTCTATTGATATCTTTGCCTTATTAATCAATACATTAATAACAATGCTTCTCTCCCTATAGGTCAACTACGCTCTCATCTGCGACAACTGAGTATCAACACATGCCGTACTCTCAACATCCATTATCCCGATCGCCACCTTGTTACCCTCCTAATCCATAATGATTATGAAGTTGAACTCCTTTCATAATTAAAGAAATTTAAGATTCCCATATAGGATGATTACGGTCCTCTAGATCCCTCGAACCTCCGTGATCCTGGTTACGACGACTGGGGCGAAGCGAACAGGACGAGCGCCGCGCATGGCCTATTTACATGTCGTATCCTTCATGCTCTCGATTACCTTAAAGATCCTGCCAAGGCACTGTCAAGCAGGCTATAGCCAATTTCTTCGCTAACAGAGGATGTATTGATCGTAACGAGTTCCCTGGACTCTTTTCCGTCAAAAAGACATGAGCTCCATTTACTGTTCTCTCAATAGTCGTCCTTTCTGAGATCCACTTCTCTGTCCCTTTCTTCAAGCCACAACATTTTTACCTTCAAGCCCAGAGGAGTTTTTATATACTTCTTTCATTCTTTGAACTGGCCCGGGGTAAAGTTAGTATAAAAATACTACGTGCCCACTTGGGCTTAATACATAAAAAATTGTTTAATCGTATTGTTCTCTTGGGGGCCTAGCCCCTAGGTTTGTAAATATGTATACTCTGGGAAATGATTCTAATCAAACAAGGTCAACTATAGGTATATTGTGAGTATCAATATACATTTTACCTTTCTATATTACATTCAATTGAGGGGGAGTAATCAGATAGCTGAGGTTCAATGTCCCTGAAAATGGCCTCACTTCCCTGGAGTGTTTGCTGCATTATGATCTGCAACACGATGATCATTTGTAAACATTCAGCCACTCCATATTTAATAGAAAGTCGGCTTTATTATTTTTTTTGTTTACGATGTAAGTAACAAGGAGGGGAGTGAATCAACATGCTTGATTGCTGTGGTATTTCAACATAAAGTATAGGTATGCCTTAATTCTGTACTTAAAATACGTTTTAACATGCAAAGGTTTATTTTTGCGCGTGATTCATGAGCGAGCTCTGTTATAAACAAACAAAATACAAAAAATATAATTTATCAACAACTCAAAAGAGTGGGTGGGGGAGAGAACTGGACACTGTCGGATGCGTTAATAGTTTTTTTATTGGCGGTGAAGGAAAAAATCCAGAGAGAGTTTCTCCCCTGGATCATAGACGCTCCGACGCCTCCATCTTTTTCCGTAAAACAACAATACGATGGCGAATCGAGTCAATAACTAATACATAAAAAATGATGAGTTGCTGAGATGTGTGTACATGGTTCAATAGCTCACTTACATTTATTAATGATCAGTTTGTCTTCTTCTTCAATTGTCACATTATCCTTTGGCCGGACTTGTAAAATGGCCTCCAACATCCATATCGCCATCTGATAATCTTGTTCACAACCAGTGATATTTTCACCTACTAATTCATGCACGGCTGCTGCTCGACTCTAAAAACTAATCGTTAGAAACATTCTTAGCCAAGCTTGTTTTATTACCATTTCCAGAGCTCTATCATAAAGTAGTTTCTCTACAGAGGTATTTTCTAATGTCTGTTTATCATACTGAATAGATTCAGCGCGATCAAGACACTCATTGAACTTCTCTCTCATCCACTGCACCGCATCATTCAGTCGGACAACATCCTTCTTTTCATCATTTACAGGGTCAAACGGCTGTCTTTGCCAATATTGCTGTGCTACATAAAGTCCTGTTTCGAGTAAGGCCAATGACTTGACATAGAGTACGACACATTCCTCAGCCAATTGTCGGTCGTCTTCTGCTGATTTGCTGAGAGTATCGTACTTTTGATCTCCAAATTTCGACACAGCATGTGCCATACAGGCAATACATTCTATATATTCAATTGTGCCATGTGCTGCATTATGATGTGATGACATAAAGCCACGTGGTGAACCAGCTAGATCTTTATTAGGTGGTGAAGGTATGCTGGTACCAAATAGCCTAACAGAGGCCATGGAGATGGCTCTGGCAAGTGCTGAACCAGCTGATGAACCTGTACTCGACTTGCGTTCCCTGATAAATGGTGGTGGTGTCGAAGGAGGGATCTTGATGGGTATATTGACAGCGTGGGTCATGGTATGACGAGTGGGTGACGAGCCGGAAATAAAGGTAGATAAACGTCGTCCTGTATCTAAAGTTCTAGGTGATGCATCCAATTCTAAGGTGTCTTGTTAGTATACCACGGATATAATTTTTTGATTTTATTTTACCATCTGCGAATTGGTTCGTTTCAATAATTCGTTTATCAAGAACAACATATTCTTGAAGTACATCTTCTTCTCGCTTGGGTTGTCTGGCTACTGCATGGAATGACTGTCGCCTTGACTGATATGCAAATGGGGGTGGTTCATATTCTGTTGGTGCCGCCGATGAAGATGATACCGAAGACGGTGACGGTGAAGGTGAAGCTGCATAATTTGGTTTAGATGATGCAGAGTAATGCCTCACGGGCGCTGTTGACGGTTTCTTGACAACTTGAATAGCAGGATGACGAAAGAAATCCTCAAAAGACAATCTTTCGACTGGGTTCTTCTTTAAAAGCTTTCTTATTAAATCTTTAATGTCACTTCCAATACTGTTTTCATCTGAAGGGAAATGTATTTGATCGTTATTCTCTTGAATCTTTTTTAATAATTCCAAATGATTCTGGGCTCTGAATGGTGGTTTTCCTGTCACCATTTCATATAGTACTGCGCCCACACTCCAAAGATCTGCTTTGGCATCGTATTTCTTATAGGATAGTATCTCTGGACCCATATACAAGGGTGATCCACATAGGGTATCTGCTAAACTTGCGTTTGGTAAAAATCTTGCAAATCCAAAATCGGCTACTTTTAATGTGGGTAATTCGTGATCAATTGGATTAGGTGCTAATAATAAGTTCTATATAGGACATTAATAAAAAAAAGAAATAGAGAGATTGTTATTTATCATCATCATTGTTATTACTTGTGGTTTAATATCTCGATGGACTAGATTTTGTGATCTTAGAAATTGCAAGGCACTTGCTAATAATATCATAATAATAGTCATCAGTTTCGATATATATATGTGAATTTCTTAAAAAGAGAAAGAGAGTTACCTAATTGTCTTAAAAAATGACGAACAACCCTTTCAGGTAATCCACCCGCACTTGATCTTTTCATCGACTTGTTTGTTCTCACTTGTTTGATATAATGAGATAAATCACCTAGAGAACAGTATTCCATAACAAGGTAAATATTTGATTCTGTTTTCTATGTACTTGTTATTATATTCTCATAAAACCCTAGGTATTTAAACCCCCTTATTTTCTGACTTTAATATATACCTGACAGTCAATGAGTCCCACAATATGTTCATGTCTTATCGCTGTAAGAATAGATATCTCTGACTCTAGATTCTCCAATAGTTTCTTGGTTAATTTAGACCTTTTGACTGATTTGACAGCGACAATTTGTTCTGTTTCCTAATGAACAAAAAAAGTTTAATTGAAAAAGGAACTTTTTACAAAATATGAATTACTTTATGCTGCGCTTTATAAACTGTTGCAAATGAACCCTGTCCAATCTTGTCTTGTATAATATAATTGCCAACTATCACTTGTGGCCTCTTTGTATTACTTTCTTCTAAGGAACTTGAAGACATTTGTTTAAAAAAGTAAAATAAAAATAAAAATTGGAAAAGAAATTAAAAAAGAGAGAGAGAAAGAGAGAGAGGGATGATGTGGGTCAAGTCATGTGAATATGTCAGTAACTCATTTTATGCGTGAATTGCTTTTTATAGCTGTTGATTGGTCAATACCCATATATTTTGTTTGCAATAGACTGTGTTTTAAAAGAGGGTCATGTGTGTGTGTTTAAGCCTCTGCTTCTTTTCTTCTTCTTCCTTCTACTCTCTCTCCTCGTTCTCCTTATTTTTATTCCTTTATATTAAAAAGGGCATACAAAAAGCTTATATACCCCCCCTCCCTTTTCTCTCTTTTTCTTCCTCTTATATATCACTATGGTAATAAGTATATATGCAAAATGATTGTTATAGAAATAACACATATATACATTTAGCTCACAACAACACCTTATGCTTATCCAATGAAGAGAATAGAAGAAAAAGGGGATATTGTGACTATGGTTGATTATACAAACTTGTATATAAAAAACTTGGATACCAATGTGACGAGTGCTGAATTATTTAAACTGTTTCGAGTATTTGGTCATATCATATCAGCAAGAGTCATGAAAGATGCCAATACAGCTCTATCGAAAGGTTATGGATTTGTTAGTTTCAAGCGTATGGAAGACGCGCGTGAAGCCTTGATACAGATGAATGGCTGTCTCGTTCAAACAAAACATATAATAGTGAATTATCATGAGCATAAAAAGACAGTTCAACAATATCAAAAGATGCAAACAGAAAGGAATCGACATATGATAAAGAATAAGAGCGAAAGCAGTTATTCACCTGAACAAAAGGTAAATAACTATTGTGTATGTTTGTAAACAGATAAACAACTACTAAATAATAATAATCAAAGTTTATTCAACCATGGCATGAAACCATTTGGATGCATCCCATGTATCCACCAATGCAAAACATACCTGCTGTATCACCCATGACGCTCCAAATACAAAAACTGAGAGAGGCCATTGACCATCAGCTATTAGATTATCAAAAGAAGGATCTAAATGAACTGGTTGATCTCATTCAATCTCTCAAGAAGCGTGAACTATCTCTTTGTTTATTTAATCCTGCATTCTTGAAACAAAAGATAGTCGAGGCTTACGAAGTGATCCATCTCTTTAAATACCCTGAAAACTCAATTGCTACCACACCTTCGCTTGATCATCGTCACCTGAATGATGATGACAATGATTCTTCCCCTAATTCATCGGTTGCTGCTATCCTTTCTTCTTTGGAAGGCATGACGTTGAATAAAAAGAAGAGAGTCTTTGGTGATATCTTTTTCCCCTATGTCAAGGTAATAACAATTACGATATGAGTTATATAATGATAATTGTGAACAACCGTGTAGGCCACAGGTATCCGACATGCACCCAAAGTAACCATTCATTTATTGGATACAGTTCCTTTAGATGATCTTGCGTTCAACATGTATGACAAAAAGACTCTCACAAAAAAGGCTCATCAAGCCTATATCGAGATTTATGGTGATGGATCTAGTGCTTTCCGTGAATTACATTAAGTGTACTTTATTATTACTATTATTATTATTGCTGTTGTTGTTGCTGTGCCTTCAAATCTACTGGGGGCTCTTCCATTTCTTTCCAAATAGCTTCTAATCGTTTTCTTTTTTCTTTGGCTTTTCCCTTATTTGCCGCTCTCATAGCAAGAAACTTTATATACAATAAATTAAAAAAGAGCTACACTATTATTATTAGTTACCTCTTCCTTTAAGCATTCGTCAACAGCTCGTTTAGCAGCATTACAAGTGCCAATAAACTTATTAAATGTGCCGGCCCTATGGCATTCTTCTAAAGCTTCAATGACTTTTTCACAGCCTTCTTGTTTATGAGCGTCTAATGGTGGATGCATTTCGAATTTATATATGACAGAAAAGAAGAAGAAAAAAATCTACAGAAAAGTGGCCCTGTCAATGCTGAGTTGAATAAAAAATAACTGCGCATAAAAAAGAAATGTCCCCCTTCCCTCTTTTTCTTTTTTAAAAAAAATGACTCAAGGAGCAACATTTGGAAATATGGTTCAATGTCATTGTTCTTCTTATTGCGGACTCACATCTTCTAGATTCCAATGGCAATTACCAGAAGTGAAAAGAGCTCATATGACAATAGAAATGAATGGTATACACTTTGAGCTTTATTTAGATGAAACTAAATCCTGTCCTCTTCTTTCTTTTTCTATATTATATATATATATGTGTGTATATGTGTGTTTGTGTGTGTGTATGTGAATAAGCAAATTTACAACGTATCCAAGCACAACTAAGCTTATTAACTCTAAAACCAAAAAGCGATATAAAAAGGGTTCAAAAGATAAGCGTGGAAAGAAGGAAGCAAAGGTTCAGACCATTAAAAGAATTTCACGTGTTCACCTCGAAGGAGTCTACTGCGTTTGATATTTATTTTAGCAATGATTACTATTAACTCATTAAAAAGAGGGGAGCCGAGTTTACTATTATAAACACATCTATGCACAATGAGTTAGAATGAATGCTTTTTAGTGGCGGTTATTAGGCTATACAGGGCATTTTGAGTATTTGATCAAGATGCAGTAGCACTGCCCCTTTACTGCATCAATACTTCATATGAACAAGTTTTTAGACTTTGTGAATACTTGACATTGGTTGATGCTTTTTCATATTTTGTGTGTAAAAAGGGGAATTCTTGTTCATACATGCGACTATATGACTTTTAGTTGATGTAATAAAGCATTAGAGTGTGTCAAGTCCAGATTCTTTTCTTCTGTAATGTAGTCTTGCATACTTTTCTGTTGCTTTTGTATATATACAAATGATCACAATATAGTTTAGTAAATCAGAAGCTCACGTTTCCCTTTTTTTTTTTTGTATGTGTGTGTAGAGATATCAATACATTGCTATTCTTACTATTCTTTGGAATGACAGAGAGTAGATAAGAATGCAGTCATAAAACTCAGTCACTCATACTGAACATTATGTCCCTGCAGAAAGAAAGAAACTAAGGGGTGAGCGGTCTGTCTACTGTCTGACTCTCTGTCTCTTTTTTTTTTGCTGTTGTTATCTTTTCTCTCTCCTTCTAAAACTCCTATAACGCATATGTAGAAAAAAGGAAGAAGCATTAAATTGCTTTATACTTTATTATTGTTCCCCCTTTCTCTCCTTTCCTTCTTCTTTCTCTTCTTCTCTTCTTTTTGTCCATGGATACTTTCAAAAGCCATGAAACTATTAAATCGAACGAACCATCAGGACTTCCCTCACTCAATGATGTACTACACAGAAGAAGCCTACCACCTGTCTGCCTATATAATTACTATATCGTCCTACGAGACCGCCTAGAAATGGATATCTTGCTGGATTTTTGGCTCGATGTAGCACAGGCGGCACATTTGTATAAAAGATACATTCGACACCAGGCCAAGCAACTACCTTGTCTGAATAAACCTCATCCCTCGGATCTGACACTATCCGACGGCAGAACTTCCACCTCCTCCAACTTTCCCGATCTTCTCACACGCATGTTACTCATCCAACCGCGTCCATCAATGGCAACGACTGTTCATTCGGCCACATCGACACAGAGCAGCAGGAGGCCGACACAGGAAGAAATGGCAGAGGTCATTGAACGAATTTACCTAAGATACATTGTACCTAACGCCGAGAAGGAAATAACCCAGCTTCCGTCAGAGATCAGGCAGGCCATCACGCACCATTTCTCTAATGACGATTATCTACACCATAAGCGGCTAGGACCCGAGGATCCCGCTATCTTTTTACAGGCCAAGCAGTTTGTCTATCAGCAGCTAGAAACAACTTTCCCTTTGTTTATAAAGTATAAAGTATTCATGAACCTTACACTTTTTCAGCAAGTGGGCCGTTTAGCACTCGGTTTGTTTCTTTTATTCATTGGCTTTTCACTTGAACTCTCCTTGATCTTTTTAGATGTGTTTCCATGGCAACAGCGATTATGGGTAAAATAAAACATCTGTATGTTTTGATGGGGAGACTTATTTTTTGTTCTGTAGGGTATTTTACCGATAGGATTAGGTGTATTTTCGATTGTTACTTCTGTTATCGGTATCGATCCTATATGGGTTTTATGTTTCAACATTAGGTAAGAAAAAAATATATAGAGAAATCATACATAAACACACACACTAAAATCTTTAGTCTAGTGAAACAATGCCTTTCAAATTCAATACCATTGCTCAACCTCGTGTCAGACAAGTCCTCAGATTACGATCACTCGTGGTTTTATTCATTATTATACTTATCACTTTTATTTTTATGACTATTTTCTGTGCTGTTGCTGGACACAGGCTTTAATAATAATAATAATCTAGACATTCATTATATATGTACAATAATAATAATGATAATAATAATCCCTCTCCTTTTCTGTCTTTATTCAATAGACCATCTCTCAGGATTAGTAGCATCTATAGGCCCTGTATTGTTATTGATAGAGTGCATTGAATGAGAAGAGACATGAGATACTAACATGATTTAGTATCTATTTCATCTTTCTTTCACTATATACCTACTGTGATTAATCAAGCCATGATTAAAGTTCTTGAGACAAATGAGAGCAACGGGCACAGAGACCTAATTAAAGGCGTGAGGAAAAGGGAGGTTAATTTTAAAAGATCTATTTATATTAAACTTACCAAAATTAGCACCATATCAACGCATACTAGCATATACATATTTAGTTCAAACTTTTTCAATCAAGAGAAAAAAAAAACTTACAAAAGAAAGTCAAGAAAGCCTTGGAACCAACAAATCGATCAGGATCCTTGGATATGGTGACTAACATGTAAATAAAGTACCCCATGCTTGCCATAGATAGAGCCGTAAACAAGTACATGTGTATTTTGCATTCTCTACGTAACTATGATACAGTTTAACAAATGTACATTACATCTATTGCTTAACTTACACCCCAATAAGCTAATGCCAACATGGCAATGGAAACAAGGCAACTAAGAACGATATGTTCAATCAATTCTCTAACAATTAATGCTTTAGATTCTGGGGTTTTTGCTACTGGTAACCAAGTGACGATGAGCAATACAAGGTATTGGATTGAAAATGCCAAAAAGAAGAAAAAATCAAATTTGAGTAGCATCATGAATATCTGATACATCTTGTAGCGATCTATAAAATCAAGGTCAATATTCAATCACGCTGCTGCTTTTTCTAGAGTTTCACCTCGCATAGCTAAATCTGCGCCAATCTTTTTGTAAATTTGCCAACCAAACTCCAAGTAGAGTTTATATGCTAAAAATATGAAAAGTATAGTAAAGATAAGCATGATGCATATCTGTGTGATCTCTGCCCATTTCGAAGCATGGTAATCGCCACCCAAAAAGGCCAAGACGAGTAATACGGTTGGGTCGTCCTTGTTGGAAAATAAATTAGAGGCTTGATGGAACTGAATGATGGCATATGCACTGAGGCCCAATTCGAATGCGGCCAGCGCGATTAGCTCTATTGTATTTTTCTGGAGGACCTGCAAACAAATTAATTATTTAATTTCTTATCGTGTGTGTGTGTGTATGTGTGTTATTACAGCGTCTATCACTAAAATGACTGTGAATAGTTGAGCGATAATGAATAGAGCGAAATAGACTAGTAATGATCGTGCGTTGGCATATACTATAAGGGTTGGTCCAAATGCTTTTTGGTTTATTCTTTCTTGCTCGATGATACTGATTTCATTAGCATGACTTCCTAATATAATTGATTCAAAAATTATGGCTAATACTGCTTGTAAAACGATCGAAATCAATATCGCCTTTATCCATTTTGAATCCCCAAACTATTAGTTTTAGCATGGTCAGTCAAGG